AGGTTCAATTCCCTAATTACGTTTTACACTCGGTATTCGGTATACTATCCTTCTATAGGGCGTGTATGCTTCCTTTAATTATCTGGACCGTTATATTTATGCTCGACCGCTATATTTATATATTAATCTCGGAAGCACTTGCAATGGTGCATCCGCGGCAACTTACTTTTCCTTATTCTATTAATGTCAGTCTATAGTCATATTTTTCCATCATCCGATATCCGTTACACCATCCTCCTCCTTATGCTCTCATCTTGAGGACATGCTTTCAATCAAATCCGTACCTTAGTGACGGATTAATGTTTTGTCTAAATCTGCAGCTCGAGCACGAGGAAATCCGTCAATTTCTACTATTTATCCGTCAATTCCGTTTGTAGTGCAAACCGGTTTGCCCACTTTAACTGGTCGTGGTCATCACCTTCGGTAAGACCCTCCCTTTGAAACAAAACGATAGTCTGCCCCAGCCCGTTTTAGGATTCTATAAGGGCCCACCGATCTATGTCTGAACTTCCAACCTTTCAGTCTTTTCGACATGATTGTTTCGCCCGATTCGAAAGGCCGCCAAGTAGTTGTCGTTTGATTGAGCTTTTTTCCGATACTTTTGATGTGATGCTCTGGTATGCGTGTAATATGAAATGCTGACCTAACTGACTGTAAATATTCGCTCTGGGTGAATGGTGTTGTTAGCGGCATGCCTAAATTCAATTCAACTGGCAGCCTAGGTAATTGCCCAAAAACTACCTCATATACGGAGACAAGCCTAGTGTGTCGTGTCTACTAGTCTACTAGTATAGTAAGTGAACGTGACTGAATCTAGCCACAAGTCCCAATCATCTCGCCTATTAGAAACAAAGGATAGCCTGAATTGTGCGATTTTGAGGCGTCCGTTACACTGAGGACGGTAGCTAGTAGTGCGCGTTTTCGTAGTACGATATAATATGATTATACGATATGATACAGTATGATACAGTATGATGCTATATGATACGATATGATACAGTATGATATAGTATGATGCTAATGAACAGTAATACGGTATGTACTACGATACTATGATGCAATATGATAGGTGGATACGATAATACAGTATGATACGGTATGATATGTATGATACTATACTGATGCTATATTAACGATAATAAAATGATGCTAAGATACGATAGATACAGTATGAATAGTATGATGCTATATGATACAGTATGATACGGTATGATATTGTATGATACTATATGATACAGTATGATACGGTATGATACGGTACGATACTTTATGATGCAATGTGATACGGTATGATATGTATGATACTATATGATGTTATATATACGATATGATATAAATGATGCTATATGACACGATATGCTACAGTATGATATAGTATGATGCTAATGATACAATATGATACATTATGATACGGTACGATACTATATGATGCTATATATATATATGAATATAATGCTATTTGATACAGTATGATACGGTATGATATTGTATAGCTATATGATGCTATATTATATAATGATATAATATTATGCTATTTGATACGGTATGATACAGTATATAAGTATGATGCTATATTATACGATATGATACAATGATATGGTATAATGCTATAGATACAGTATGATACGGTATGATACGGTACGATACTTTATGATGCAATATGATACGGTGTGATACTGTATGATATAGTATGATACGGTAGATTATGATACTATATGATGCTATATTATACGATATATAATATGATGCTATATGATACGATATGATACAGCATGATATATGATGCTATATGATACAGTATGATACGGTATGATATTGTATGATACTATGATGCATATATATGAATGATAAATGCTATTTGATACGATATGATACAGTATGATATAGTATGATGCTATATGAGCTATATTAGATATGATATAAATTATGCTATTGATACGATATGATACAGTATGATATTGTATGATACTGTATGATGCTATATATGATATGAATAATATTATGCTATTTGATACGGTATGATACAGTATAATAGTATGATGCTATATATACGAATGATACAGTATGATATAGTATGATGCTATATGATACGATATGATACAGTATGATATAGTATGATGCTATATGATACAGTATGATGCGGTATGATACGGTACGATACTTTATGATGCAATATGGCGGTGTGATACGGTATGATATAGTGATACGGTATGATATTGTATGATACTATATGATGCTATATTATACGATATGATATAATATGATGCTATATGATACGATATGATACAGTATGATAGTATGATGCATATGATACAGTATGATACAGTATGATATTGTATGATACTATATGATGCTAATTACACGATATGATATAGTATGATGCTATATGATACGATGATACAGTATGATATAGTATGATGCTATAGATACAGTATGATACGGTATGATATGTATGATGCATATGATACAGTATGATACGGTATGATATTGTATGTATACTATAGATACAGTATGATACGGTATGATATTGTATGATACTATATGATGCTAAATGATACGATATGAACAGTAGATATAGTTATGATGCTATATGATACAGTATGATACGGTATGATATTGTATGATACTATATGATGCTATATACACGATATGATATAGTATGATGCTATATGATACGATAGATACAGTATGATATAGTATGATGCTATATGATACAGTATGATACGTATGATATTGTATGATGCATATGATACAGTATGATACGGTATGATATTGTATGATACTATATGAGCTATAATACGATATGATACAGTATGATATAGTAGATGCTATATGATACAGTATGATACGGTATGATATTGTATGATACTATATGATGCTATATGATACGATATGATACAGTATGCTATAGTATGATGCTATATGATACAGTATGATACGGTATGATATTGTATGATACTATATGATGCTATATGATACGATATGATACAGTATGAATAGTATGATGCTATATGATACAGTATGATACGGTATGATATTGTATGATACTATATGATGCTATTACACGATATGATAAGTATGATGCTATATGACGATATGATACAGTTGATAGTATGATGCTATATGATACAGTATGATACGGTATGATATTGTATGAACTATATGATGCTATTCATACGATATGATATAATGATGCATATTGATACGATATGATACAGTATGATAATATTATGCTATATGATACGATATGATACAGTATGATATAGTATGATGCTAATGATACAGTATGATACGGTATGATATTGTATGATACTATATGATGCTATATATATGATATGATATAATATTATGCTATTTGATACGGTATGATACAGTATGATAGTATGATGCTATATGATGCTATATTATACGATATGATATAAAGATGCTATATGATACGATATGATACAGTATGATATAGTATGATGCTATATGAACAGTATGATACGGTATGATATGTATGATATATATGATGCTATATGATACGATATGATACAGTATGATATAGTGATGCTATGATACAGTATGATACGGTATGATATTGTATGATACATTATGATGCATATGACGATATGATACAGTATGATATAGTATGATGCTATATACAGTATGATACGGTAGGATATTGTATGATACTATAGATACAGTAGATACGGTATGATAGTATGATACATATGATGCTATATTATACGATATGATATAGTATGATGCTATATGATACGATATGATACAGTATGATATAGTAGATGCTATATGATACAGTATGATACGGTATGATTGTATGATACTATATGATACAGTATGATACGGTATGATATTGTATGATACTATATGATGCTATATTATACGATATGATATAGTATGATGCTATATATACAGTATGATACGGTATGATATTGTATGATGCATATGATACAGTATGATACGGATGATATTGTATGATACTATATGATGCATATTATACGATATGATATAGTATGATGCTATATGATACGATATGATACAGTATGATATAGTATGATGCTATGAACAGTATGATACGGTAGATATTGTATGATACTATATGATGCTATATTACGATATGATATAATATGATGCTATATGATACGAATGATACAGTATGATATAATATTATGCTATATGATACGATATGACAGTATGATATTGTATGCTATATGATACAGTATGATACGGTAGAGATTGTATGACTATATGATACAGTATGATACGGTATGATATTGTATGATACTATATGATGCATATTATACGATATGATATAGTATGATGCTATATGATACAGTATGATACGGTATGATATGTATGATGCTATATGATACAGTATGATACGGTATGATATTGTATGATACTATATGATGCTATATTATACGATATGATATAGTATGATGCATATGATACGATATGATACAGTATGATATAGTATGATGCTATATACAGTATGATACGGTATGATATTGTATGATACTATGATGCTATATATACGATATGATAAATATGAGCTATATGATACGATATGATACAGTATGATATAATATTATGCTATATGATACGATAGATACAGTAGATATAGTATGATGCTATATGATACAGTATGATACGGTATGAAGTATATACAATGATGTATATTATACGATATGATATATGATGCATATGATACGATAGAACAGTATGATATAGTATGATGCATATGATACGATATGATACAGTAGATAATATGATGCACATGACAATTTGATACAGTATGATATAGTATGATGCAATATGATACAGTGTGACACGGTATGATACGGTATGATATAGTACGATACTATATGATGCAGTATGATACGGTGTGATATAGTATGATGCTTAATGATATGATATGATACAATAGATGTTTAAAAAAGGGTGTTGTATGTATATTGGTGTATACTGAACATGGAATTATTACCGCCCTGGTGATTGGAAACATAATATCGAAGGGAAGATACTAGATAGTCTATGTTGGAAATATCAAACAAGTGACTATATATAGTAGCGATTCTTTACTTTCATAATAATATAAACTATTACGTGAAAAGGCCGAATGGGTATAAACCAGCGATCTCTTACTAGAGAACTCCTTTCTTAGATTGAGATTTGAAAATATCTTTTGCAATGGACAAGTCAGTGCAAGAAGATGAAGAAATGGAAGGTTTAAGAGATGACGTTCCAAGCTCAGAATCTGAGCTTACAGAGCGGCAATCACAGGGCAAAGATATTGCAAATAATAGAGAATCCAGCTTGAATTGCGAAAAAGGTAATACAGAAGATGAAAGTATTTTAGTGCAAGCTGAAACAAAACACGAAGAAAGAGATTATAGCGACGTTCTTCCTGAGAGATTGACAGATCAAATTAAAGGAGTCATTTATGGTAATTGTATTGGTGATGCAGTTGGATTATTGACAGAGTTTATGAGCAAGGAAGAGGCCCGTTCGGTAAGAACCATTGGTTTCATGGTCAAACTCTAAATCTGTATGCTTATATATCCTTGATATCCACCTATATATCACCACCACCCATATCAACAAACACTTTATGTTTTTAAAAATCCATATAAAAAACGTTGGTATGTAGATGTCTGCACACCAACTGAAGTTTTTTTTATATGGATTTATATTATTTATACCACTCGAAATTATTTGTCAAATTCAGGTCTATGGTGATGTAGGAAAACATTTTTTTACCAAAGACATTAACCTTGAATACAATATGAAATCAGATGATGGTCATCGCATCAGATGGGTACAAGGCGACTGGACAGATGATTCTGATCAAATGATATTGATTTTGCAAACACTTCTGGAAGGAAATGGACAGGTGGAATGATTGTGTTTATTATATTTTGTTCAATTTCAGCTTGTCGATCAATATGTAGTTAAAACTTGACTTAAAAATGAATTTTAGTTTGACAAGTTAGTGTTTGCAAATAAAATGGTAAAATGGTGCAGAAGAGGTTTTCCAGAGTTGGGTGATATAGGAGGGATGGGAAGGGGTATGACCACATCAAAAGTTTTGGAACATCCATATTACCTAACTGACCCACATAAGGTATTTTGTACTGATTTAATGAGATTATCAACAATTCAGCAGTAGACAAGTTTGTATTTCATATTTTCAACTAAATATAGGCAGCACATGATATATGGGTAAGAAGTGGTTACTTTGTTGCTCCCAATGGAGGAGTCATGCGAACCTCAATCCTTGGCACCATGGAATTTCATAACTTAGACAAAGTTATTGAAAATACAAAAAATGCTTGTATGGTCACTCATGCTGACCCCAGATGTGTGGCATCGTGTGTTGCTGTTACTACAGCAATAGCATTGATGTTGCAAGGTAAATACAAGATCAAGAATGGGAATTATGATGTTGACAAAATAACAAAGGAAGCACATGCTTTAGCTGAACAACAGTTGGAAAAAGATGAACATGTAACTAAATGCATATATATATATATATATATATATATTAATCTCATCCCATAGGTAGGAAGTATAAGTGAAGATAATAGAAGTATAGAACTAGATTTCAGTAAGGTATATGCTTTCGTGGTCTATTTCCACTATGTGAATTATTCTCATATTTCCTGGTATTGGTATAGTAATTTCATTTAGGTTATTTTTTAAGGTCATTTAAAATGTTGAGTTCTGTACAAAGTTATTACATTCTCTCTTAGAAAAAGGAACTACATGAGTACATGTTTGAGACAAAGCTGGATAAATTAAAACTTGGTGAATCAATTGGGTATACATTCAAATGCCTTGGAGCTGGTTTTTGGGGCTTCAAGCAGAAAGATTTCCGTACAGCAATACAACAAGTCACTATGGAGGTGAGGTTACCTAGTCAGGCCATGCAAAAAATGTACATTTGGGGTCAGCAAAATTATAGTGCAAAATTAAGACCAAAAAAATTGTTAAAATAAAAATACACGAAAGGTGTCTTCTTTATCTAAATGCTTATATGTCAATCATCCAAGGCTGGTGATGCGGACACAAACTGTGCAGTGGCTGGCGCATTACTTGGTTGTAAACTTGGTTTTAACAATCTACCAAAAACCTGGATCAGTGGTCTGGCCCATCGTGATTGGTTAGAAGATCACATTGCAAGGTAATGTTTAGAGTTTTCAGTCACAATGCATATATAGGCAGCCAAGTAATAAGAATTCAAATAAATATTATACTGTTATTATGGGACCATTCCTTCTTTCAACCTAGATACCTAAAACTCTTATGCACACTCAAATAACATGGAAGATGATGTAAGCTGCATGTGATTTCGTTTTGGTGTAATTGTGTCTTGGTGATTGTGCCCTTATGAAAACACAATGAAGAACTATCTTATGATGAATATTAAACCTTGGAACTATAAAATCACATGAATGGGAATTAACTTTAGAGAGACAAAAGATTTTTCGGTACAATGACGATAACACAACCTAACAGAGAAAGAACTTAAAGAGAATCAAGCACTCTATGTCTGTAACGTATTTTCTAACAGTTCCACACGGACTGGTGTTGACCCATGAAATGTGCCTAGAGATACCGGCGATCCCTCTCGTGAAGCGTCGGAATCTGCTCGGTCAATGTTCGGAGAGAATGCCCGTGCTGAAGAAGGAGTCACGCTAGAGGCATCCGATCCTGAGTCGGAGTCAAAATCCGATCTATAATTTAGGATGTTTGCATGTTATTATCTCTTATATTTTACAGCTCGATAAGAACTTTGTATTTTTAAGTCGATTTATTCAGGCGGAAATAACAGAAAGGATCGTTCTAAATCAGTGCAAAGTGGATTATGAAGTAATAAGCTAGAATTGTACCATACAGAACAACGGGCTGAAGTGCTGGTGATCATTGATGGACAGAACAAAGTGACGCTAGTTGTTCGCTCATGCAGGCCAGAAAAGATCATCCAGTACACATAATAGCAATCAGTAATTAGTTTACATACCTGATATTATCTCGTGTTTCCTGTGGTTCTGTGTTCAGAGTACTGGCGTTCACCAATAATGAAAAGTTGCTCAAGTCCACAGGAGCAGAGAGAGATCTCTGAAGCTTTAGTAATGTCGAGAAATTGTCGTTGATTCGTTGACTAACAGCGTCTGAACGGCTGGTAAATTAACAGATATCCACAGTTAGAACTCATTCACTAGGGAGGGAGTGCTTGCAGTGGCGTTAACTAGAACGATAATTAGGGGTTGGCGCGTTAGGTGTTTTTTCATACATTCAGTTCTGCCCGACGGATTTCTTTTGTAAGCGCAATAGCTCTATCATTTTAGTTACACGCGTGAAAAGCTTCAAGTAATTTTGCTGCTTCCGACGTTTCGTACCCTAAATGATTCAACTGTTCCTTGGATACGTAAGGTATTCCAGCGAGCGCTGCCTTAGCCAAGGTTCGTCGTCTCTCCACTGACGCTTGCTCAACTGATGAAATCTTTGAACTCTGGAAACTAAGATTTGTCCTTGCGAAACTGTTCGAGATATCCGATCTAGGTCGGGACCATACTCGGGATGCTGTCGTAGTCGCCGTACTCACTTCGGAGCCTCTTGGACATTCTTCGGAACCCCTCGATCCACTTGACATATCAGTAAAACTGTTCGTAATGAATTCAGAGTCTGTCGTGGCAGTTGGTGAAAGACCGAGGTAATCCAAGACCAACATTTTTAATTTTCTGTACAGTTCATGAAGATCATCTAAAGAAAAGTTGGTGCTTAGTTCAAAAGAAATGGCAGCCCCACACTGGCACGAGATTCACAAATAATGCTTCTAGCAATGCGACTCAAACACAGAGGAAATGTCTTTGACAGCAGATACTTACCACTGACAAATGTCATATCAAAAAAACCAGGTTTCTCTCTGTTAACATTAGCGTACATCTCGACGCGATCTAAAGCACGAGCAATCAACGACTCCGAGTAATGAGAATGTTCACGTAGTCTGCGTTCATGTTCCTTGAAAGATTAGAAGTTGTTGATCGAAAATGATAACTAATATGAAATAAATAATGACCATTCTTATTAATTACCACTTACTTTAGTTGTCTCTGGAAGAATGAGAATATACCGTGGTTCAAAGCTTGTATTCTTAAGACTTAAAACACCCTAAAGTTGATAGAATAATCTGAAATTACTCCAATGCCGATAAAAAAGACCGAGAAGACATTGATACGAGTGTAAGATATTGATACCTCGAACTCCATATGAAGTGCACAAGCCAGACCTTTCCCTGCCACGGATTCAATGGCTTCTCTGGTTATACCATACAGATATCCACCACACTGCGCTGTCTCAATGAACTTGCCCTGAAAAAAAATATATCGATGTTAAATCCACATTGGCATATATTACTGGAAAGCCAACTGTACTGACACGACATTTGATGCGAAACCAAACTGATATACTGAAATTTGCGATATATACCGTAATTAATAAAAAAGTTCCTTTATAATTATCACTGAAAAACCGGTGATACTGGTATATTTTTTCACGATAGTCTATATACCTTTATACTGATACTGAGACTTTCCATAGCAAACATTACTAGATTAAAAGTGAGGATTTATCACTATATATATCTTTAAAAATCTTTACCTCCATAACATCTTTTTCAAATTCTTCTTGCGTCGTAAAGAAATAATCAATTCCATCATCTTCCTTTCTCCTTTGCGGCCGGGTTGTCGTGGAAATCCTGCACGTTTTGGGAGGATGATGAGTTCAACATGCAGAGGTAACGTTGACACGCAGGCAGTGATTGCATGCATGAACTCACAACTCACCCTAATCCAAAGAAATCCGGGAACTCTTGACACAGTTTTTTTACCAGAGAACGTTTACCACAGCCAGAGGGACCGGTGAGGACCAGCATGGGATACGGAGTTGTCAGGCTTGTTAGAGTACTGAAATAGAAATCAGACTTGATGTAGACCTTCTCTCATAGTCAAACGACGTCAAACAAAGTCTGATGCTACACCAACACGTTTACAACTTTGATTGGTTCGTTAGTTTTGCGGAGCCAATCAAACTTCGTGTTACATTTGCATCCTGCGTTTGACGTCATTTATAGAAAGGCCATTAATATTCAACCTACATGTTTCTTAACGTCGGATATTCACATTGATTATAATATATAAACATCATCTCCAGTCATAAAGATTTTACCTTTCAAATACCCTCGCAGGCTGCATTAAAGATCGTACCACGTGAACCATGTGATCACGTGCTGCTATTACGTCACGAGGAGGGTTGAACATGTTCGTTGCGTGTACCTAGAAGTATGCAGTAGGAAAACCATTCAGAGAAATCGTCATTAATGGCAAAAGCGTTGATACTATTGATCGACATCCTTCGTATACCTTCTCATTGGCTGTGACATCTACGCCATCTAGGTTCTTTAACGTTTGAAGTCTGAATAAGATTGATAATCTGTAATCGGACATTTCCTGGATAGGATTTCTTTGAAAGTTTAACTTGCGAAGAAGCCGAAGTTCCCTTATGTAGCGTATCTCAGCAATATCAATGATCTGAATGAAAAGCAACCATAATACAGCCAGTGAAGCTAGGCAACATCTAGCATAATTATCTATGATAGATCTGAACTACGTTGTAGTATAGTACATTCTGACTTTTTAGCCATCCAGTATTCGTAGTTTTCTAAAGAGGCTGTTATTTATAGTATCTGAATTACCTAAAAAAGATAACTTATATTTTTTTCCTACTAGTAGTAGTAGGCCTTGTATTAATGACATACAGCTCTGGCCTCTGGTATATTATAAACTAAAGTTAGTATGATACAGCTCAAGAAATGTAACTGCTTTTGTGGTTATAACCAGCTTAGATGTAACCACCCACTCTGCCACTTTACCTGATTTCCTTCAAGATTAATTTCTTGTAAAAATTCATGTTCTTGTAATCCTTTTAGACTTCTTATATAGTTACAGGAGAGATCAAGAACCTAAATAATCAGGGGTTCAGTACTTCAGTAAGTAAATGAAAATCTTTTTTAGACATTAATAACATACATACATCACCTTATAATAGTGTATAGAGATGGTTATATGAATATAGGGTTGTGTTAAAAGATGTGAAGAAAATTGCTAGCTGCCCAAGGGAGTCAATTTAGTTTTAAGTTATGCTAAAATCAACATTCAAACTAAATTTTTATTGTATTAAATAAAAGAAAACTTGATTAAAAAACAGGTTACTAACATATTAAATTAACACACTCACTGTTACCTTCAAATACTTCAACGTGTCCAGATTCTCTATTTTTTTCACACTGTTGTGACTCTAAAAATCAAATGGAAAGTTTTTTTTAATGACCAGGTAACATTTGTTTCTTGTACTATGAATTGCACTCAGAATTACTTAATTACTAAATAAGAATTAAATTATAAACTTACTAAATTAAGATGCGTCAAAGGTAAATTGGACAAGCCACTAATACGTTGAATATTGTTGTTCACCATACTCAGTTTCTTCAGGCAGTAACAGTGTGATAAACCATTTATTTCCTCTATATTATTGTCTAAGACTTGGCTAAGAAAAGCAATGTTGTTTATTGTTGCAATGAAATAGGAGGGAACTTTCTATTAAATTTGTAAAAGGATACAATCCAGAATTAAAGTCACCAAATGACAATGTTTTGATAGATCTGGGAGTTCATCGATGACATTGTGTGAAAAATTTACTTCCTATACAATATAAAGTCTTTTATTTTTAGTCTTCTATTAATCACTTAGTGACAAATTAATACACTCATTTTAAATTTATAAACAAAAACTACAAAGGTCCTAAATCCATCAGTAGAAGAAAAATAAATTGGAGCATTTATTATATGAGTAGCTAGGTTAAGATTATAGATATAACATTAAATGACAAGCATTAACATCAATTATAAATTGCTATTGCAAATAAGGGATCTCCAACAACAAATAAATCTTGGAGAGAATTATTATGTCCTGCTGATATTTTAGTTCATAAAACAATGAAACTTACAATAAGATTTTTTGGTGGATAAAAATCCAGTAGAGTTGGCAATTGATTGTGTGAAACATCTAGTTTAACCAGGCTTTCCATGCAACCAAGTACATTCAAATCTAGAAAGAATTTTGACACAATGTATAATTAGACAACCATGGCTTGGAAGTGTCTGTTCCATGGCAAAAAAATTCCAAAAATAATTAAAATATCCAACCTGTAAGTGCATTATTTGACAGAATAATTGTCTGAAGATGCTTGTAATTCTTCAATATAGATATGTCTATCAAACCGAGGTTCTAACACAACAAAAAATAAAATTAGCTGAGTGTAAGATAACTTCACGCCTAACGTTATCAAAACATGCAGATTTCATTACATTTAAAGTCAATGTGAGAAAGACTTGCATAGTTCCATCAGCAGAACGTCCAAGTTGGGATAGACCATTGGCTATCATATCTTCCATGTAACTCCAGTCCTGCACAAGTAACAAATTAAATCATTACAACATTCTAAAGTGTACAAATTTCTATAATTTCATTTAAGAGTTTTATGACATGACTTACCTCCTCCGTTCCAGGCGTCTCTGAACTATCAAGCGTCTTTTCTAGCTCGCATACAGATTGCGTATCAATATTTTGAGAAACCTGAGAAAAAACGTCATCATCTTGCATTGCTACGGTAGAATTTAACTCTTTTGAAAAACTTTCATCTGTCATTCCCGTTGCATCCCCTACTTCTGACTCTGAATCATCCGCCATGATGAAAAATATTCGCGTCAAGTTACCATGGTAACACCATGGATATTAAATACAGTAAACATGCAATAACAAGATTGGCATGAAGTACCGCAACAGTCACTGACCATAATTACCCACTGAGAAATTAAACTTCCACTTCTAATTAGAATGCAAAACGGAAACACGAAATCTTTCCAAAGTAAACAATGTAATTACTACACAAGTATCAAAGTATCAAAGTTAAGATCATTTCCATTTTAAAAAATAAGTGGCGTATTTTTTTCAGCTAATTGTCAACCACGTGAGATCACAGTGCCATATGGATTCAAGAAAGAATATCTCAGGCACAAAGTTAGCTATATGCATTATATGGAATTTGTGTTCAAGTATCGCTATAGTTTTCTCAAATAAATGGATATACACGAACTACAGATTTCCTAATGTCACATTGACTTGTATTCATTTCATTATGACATATCTTGGACTAAAGGCATGTGCATTTCTCAATATTTTCACTCCAAAGAAGATACCATTGCGCGAAATGATCCCGCTATGTCTGAGCTTTTGTGGTTTTGTAGTTTTCACAAATTTAAGCTTACAAAATAATACTGTGGGCACGTATCAAGTGGCAAAGGTCATGACTACACCAGGAATATTATTTATTCACACCGTATTTTTTGGCCGAAAATATTCCACGAAAATTATGTTGACCATCGTAAGTAAATGTTTGTTTAGATAAATCTACAGTATTTTAAAAGTTTTAGTGAGCTAGAATTTATAAACTATCAGTACCAATACAGTAATTAAATATCATTAACTATTGTTTTGATATTGCTGCTATATTGTTATGATTATAAAATGACTTTTCTTTATTTTATTTCCTATGCTTAGATTTTATATTATATTTTTGACCCTCATGAATTTTTTTTACTTAATGTTTTGTTCCATAAAAACTTGCATGTGGCTATATTTTACGAAGCCCTGGTGGCATATTTGTAGATGGCATATGTCTAATAACATCAGAAATTAACTATATGTAATTGTAATATAGTACACATATAATAGGAATAGGCCACTCACTTCTGAAATGCCAACTATTTTGTGCTAGCATTTAGTAAAATTACATCATAGGTTTAATTCTTAAAATAAATTCAGCAAACATGTGAATTTGTTTAAGCAAATTTACAATCTTGTTGGTGTTATTATAGTTTCCAATAATCATTGGTGTGTTTCTCAACTCTTGGTATGATGTAAAGTTTAATGTTGTTGGAACAGTTTATGCATTATTAGGGGTTTTGATTACTGCTCTCTACCAAGTTGTAAGTAAAAATGAATTTTTTTTTGTATATAAAAACAAAAGGTTAGCTTAATCAATCATAAAATTTATCATTCTTTTTTAGTTAGTTGGCACTAAACAACAAGAGCATCAGTTATCATCAATGCAACTTCTTTTTTATCAGGTAACCCTATTTTAAAGCATTCACCGAAAAATATTTCAATATTTCTTATCATATTGTTATTTTTTGCTAGGCACCACTCTCTGCTCTAGTTCTGGCATTTATATTTCCTTTACATGAACCACCATTTCAAACAGGAGGGCTACTAACCTATTGGCCACCACAAGCAATTGTAAGAGTTTGCTATATATTCCTCGCGATGACAATGGACCCCAATAAATTAAAAACATTTCATTCACATACACAATTAAAAAAAAGACATGCGAGTGCAATGTTACATTACATAACACTATTTATACAATATTTTATTCAATTTATCTTTCAGGGCTTTGTGATCTTATCTGGCATTTTAGCATTTTCTGTCAATTTATCAATTTATTGGATTATAGGAAATACATCACCTGTAACATATCCTTTTGTAACAAAGCTTTATCAGTTTAAAAAGCAAAGTTTGCCATGGGATAGTTATGAGATAGGTTTGCCATTACTACAATACTTTTACACTATAGATGTTGCTCAAAAAAAAATTATTAGAGATCAACAAAGGTAAATTTCCTTGACTCTTTCTACATATAATATGGTGGGTCATTTGAAGTTCTGCATCACTCTTATTGGAGGTGTTCTAATATTTAATGACCCAGTATCGTCAAATCAAATGATAGGTGTTCTATTAACATTACTTGGTATCATATGCTATACACATTTTAAAGTACAGGAACAAACAAAACGAAAAGAAAAACTAGGGAAACCAGTTTGACAGGCTTTTACAGTTAATATGTGTACTTAGAATATATGTTGCTGATGCTTCAGACGTTAACTTATTCTAATATAAGTTTTCGTGTTGTTGTATATACAAAAAGAGTTACATGTAAAATGAAATCAGATCAAGTAATATCTGATATTATTGCAGTACTTTAAGACTACAGCCTTAAAAATTCTTGAAGTTTAAAATTAGCCGGGGTAAAAAGTCTTGAAATAAATACACCAGTTCTTCAGGTATTTACACTTCAAAATCCCTACATACCTGTTATATAACTGTTTCAATTTTTTATACATACAAGTGAATTTCGGAGCGTCAGGATTTTATTGCGGCATTTCTCCGTAACACCTCACCAGGACTTGGGTATGGTCTTTGTTGAAACAGAGGTCCATTTGCTGTTGTATCCACACCAGTCTTAGCATCAGCCTTGTCAACCAAGCCTGTAGACCATGTCCCTCTAAATTATAAACATAGGTAGGTTAAATTATTGTAGCATAAGTTGGTAACTCCAGTTGAAGCAAAACAATGTTGGAGTAATATGTGCACAACATTAAACCATCAGGCTTTTAAACCAGTGGAAAATGACAAACCTGGGAACATCAGAATATGCAGCTGGATCTAGGGGATCAAGATCATCACTCCTTTTTTTTCTTGCTTTTGCATCTACAATAACAGTTTAAAGAGCTGTGAAAAGCATACACTAAAGCTTTTTGGCTCAGCTTTTTGATTAAATGTCCATCATCAGGCTAATCAAAATTGGCTGACAAAACTTATATTAATTAATTATTAATAGCAACATATATCTCACCTTGCTCTTGTTGTTTTCTTTTCACTGCTGCTTGCATTTTCTTTTGAGAACCCTGAATGAGATAATATTCTATTTAAAAGTATTGGATAAAGCAAGATTTGTTTCAGAATTTCACTCACCCTGATAAGACTAGGATGTTTGCCAATGTTTAACACTTGTTCTTTGTCATCTGAACCAGCAAATGGTGATGGAATTGCTGTATTTGGCATAACTTCATTGCCTAAGAAGAAGAAAGATCAATTCATAGACCTTAGAGGTGCTTACATCATGGGACTGTCAAACAATAAATTGCAATGCAATGTGGGAAACACATACATAGATTGAAAACTGTGTGGTGTAAGCACCTCTAAGGTCTATTGATAACAATATTTTGTGATTATTTAATAATATTGAGAACATACCTTTCCCATCACTGGATGCTGGATTTGTAACATTTGCTTTTGGATCTACAAAGACAAATATGAACCACCATGTCAAAATCATATACAATACAGGTTTTCCTGAGTCCTGTCACCTTATTAAGCATTTCTTGAGGATGTATATCTAAGTAGCCAATTTTACTAGCAAATTTATCCTAAAAAAGGTTGATTAAGAAATAAACTTACTAAGTGGATGTAGCCATGAGACTTGGTTTGTCATGGTATTCCAATAGTAACTAGCACCACTGCTGTTATCTGGCACAAGAAACCAACCCGGAGGTAATGGCATTTGCTGATACTGAGCCTAATATGAACACAAAATCATTAGAAACCTTGATGTTTTAAGTTTTAACTTGAAGTTAGTCCTAATTATAGCTTACCTGTCAAAGTTCTTTGAAGATATGAAATACCACATACAATGAATAAACTAACCTCATTTGTGTTAGTATCTGTTATTGAACCCCATCTTTTACGACAATATTCTGAGCACTCGTGATATGGATTTGAGGTATTTGGACATGTCCCACTGGAAACATGATTTGAATCATTCTTTTCCTTCACTAAATATGATAATAGTCACTGCTTGACTTGACATGATTATACAATACTAGACTGCATTGTACTGATTGTGGCAGACACAAGAATCAATGTGTCATTTTTCTTTCATGACACAGCATAATTATAGCTCAGTTTATAGTGGGCTTGCAGGTTGCAGTATCACAGTTGATTTTAGAAAACCTTTGATGCTCCAGTTGTGAACTATGTTTGGAAGCTGTCAAGTGGGCAGGGGAGTTGTCAATTCCGTTTTTTTTAATTCGCAATTTGAACTTTGAAATTTCAAATCAAACTTTGCGGGCAATTTGACTAAATTGCTATAAAATGGCCACTATAAAATACCAGGCCAAAGCAATTACAAACATAGTTTGCAACTGGAGCATCAAATGTTTTCTGAAATCAACTGTAAAATACAGTATAACTCTGAGGGTTAGGAAAAGGGTTAGAATTAGGGTCAGGGTTTTCGGGTTTGGGTGTTTTCCTATGGAAAGTCGGGGGAAATGATGTTATGTTATCTTGGTGGTTGGAAACAAGTGACAGCCTTCTACTGTTCTTAGTCTCGTCTATCTGTCTGATATTCATTATTCAGTGTGTTTGAGAACTCTTCAATGAATTTCAACCAACTTCAAAAAGCATGTGTACTGCTCCAATTTTGGTTAATTGATAGTTTATACATTTTTAACACAAAAACATCTGCAGTTTCCTATTTAACTATCCGTGCTATCACTGCTATGGTGGTAGAACTAGCCAAAATTGCCAAGCAAATCTCAGCGGCTTGCATTTGTTTACCTGGTTCTTCATCCTTTATCAAACCACGTTTGGCTAATCTTGCTTGTAGAGCAGCGGGAAGAGGCATTTCTTACGAAATAGGCTTAAAAATATTCTTATTTTATCCGTGTTTTAGCCACGTTTTGGACATAATGTTGGACAAGTTTTAAAAACATGGCGATCACGTTTTGAGTCCACAGTCTACTTGTCCAGAGAAAAAAATTCCGTGTTGCTTTATGTAACCCCTATTATAATGTATCACATACTCTGTCGTCATACGGAATCACATGATTAATATATTTAGCCCTTCTTATTCGACCTAACCAAGGTTGAATATACCATGTTCTGGTATAATCGACCATACCAAGGTTGGATCATATTCCGGTATTAAATGTGGTATAACAACTGCCTAAAATAGACAAAACACTTCTCAAACACTTCTCATATTCCGGTATGTTGGACCTTACCTCGAATATACCATATTCCGGTGTCTGCGGTATAATCGACCTTACCAAGGTTGAATCATATTCCGGTATGTTGGACCTTACCTCAAATATACCAGATTCCGTTAACAAGGTTAAATATACAACACAATTCGACCTTACCAAAATTAAATATACCATTTTAACTGATTATTGACCGAGCGTGAGGTCTGTACTGTGCAGGGGCGGCGGAACATAATACATTTTGGGGGGGCTGATTTAACGAGGCGCCACCATGGTTGGCGCCGAGGGAATTTTTTTTGGAATTTCAGTGCTCTAGATCTTCGGAAATGGCCATTTCAGAGCCTACTTGCCGCTTTTATCGTAGTTTTTCATGCCGGGCAAACACAAACTGAAAACGGCACAGCGCGTGTAGTGATATCTTCTACATTTGAAAAAGCATCTCTCATTCTGGCATTCTTCATGAAATTTACTTCTGGGGGGGCTAAAGCCACCCTAGCCCCCCCTGTTCCGCCGCCCTTGGTACTGTGAAATATCAGACCGAGGATTTTCAATATGAGAGATAATAAAATTAAAAAGCACCAACGCCCTAATCAATCGTCACTGCGTCACTACCGGGCTACGCTCAAATGTAATTCCCTTTAAACCATATGTTTAAACAAACGGTCAGTTGACCAGCAGCTAGTTCATCTGGTTCGTCAAAATTCTATTATGGAACCATTGTTCTAAGCAATCTAAAGCTAAATATTGATAATCTAGATGAAATTTGTTTACAAATAAAGCGTCTTCTGTTGTAATCCTGGTTAAATCACCAATACCGTTAATACAGACATTTCTAACAACTTTGCCATGACAACCAAACGAGCCCCAGTTCACATGACGTATACGTGGTGGTCGATATGAGTTGTTTTGAAAACCTGCAATGGAAATGTTTGAACATAAAAAGCAACTGGAGGAGGAAGAAGTGACTGTTAACATTTCTAAATTTATGTACGAACACAATCCCAAACATCTAAATTGTTGTCGTGCCGTAATTGTTCCATGTTTTAAAGATAATATTTCTTATCTTTGCAGCAAGGCCGCAATTTAATTTTGTATGAATAACTTAATTTTGTTCAAATATACAACTTATTAACGTTCTAGAAATACGTTCCTGTAACTGAGTGGCTGTAACCACAAGTGTATTGTTCGAGTTTAATCTTATAGTTATTTAATAGAACTTATAAGGTCTTAATACTTCGTTTTATGAAATTCAGTTTCGAATAGAAGATTTATCTTTACACAGAATTAGTTGTGGTTAGGATTATGTTGGTACATTGTGACAAACAATTATTTGGCTGCACATCTTACGTTTATCAAAGTTGGTATTCGTGTACAACGTTGCATAATACGTCTCATCGGGAAACCCTGTATTTTTTACCCATTTCAAGAAATCTTTTGCCAACTGATCGTGCAAAGTGAAGTTGATATAGGCACGTGATAGAACAACATATGTTGAACCTTTGTAAAACTTGAAGTTTTGTCGAAATGGCCGTTTACGTTTCCGCGTTGGTTTCGTTCCATTGTAAACATAAATGAAACGCTTCTTTATCAAACTAAAAAACATCAACAAGAAAAAAGCTATTACTATCAGACTATTCATAATTAAATATAAAAGAAAACCTAGTTCGAAAAGCAACATGTCATCGAAGAAAAGACCAAGGAAATAAAAGTTGACGTTGAGAAAAAAACAGTACTGACAGTATTATTAATATTGCCTGCATTTATAAAAAGTTTGGTTTTAAAAGATGCTGTTCTTCGGAGCAAGTTTTATTTTTTTAGAATTGATGGAAGGAGCAGGGCCGCCGAGAGAAATTGTGGGCCCGGGGCCCTATGACGTCATGGTTTTAAATATCTGCGAGGCATAAAGTACTTCAAAGCATTGTGCAAAAGTTTTACAAACAAACTTTTTTACAAATAATATCAACAAATCTTAGAAATTGAAATAACAATGACTGTCACTCGTACTTTCGACTAGTGTGCGAATAATACACTGGAAAATGGCGAATACGACCATGGTCGAATTGGCCGGAAAATGGCGAATACGACTATGGTCGAATTGGCCGGTAAAAAGGCGAACTCGACCATGGTCGAGTCTGCCGGAAAATGGCGAATACGACCATGTTTGAGTCCGCCGGAAAATGCTCTATTCGACCATGATCGAGTCCGCGGGAATCTGCCGCCCTTCTTCCCCCTCTCGGCGGCCTTGGGAAGGAGCTTATTAAAGATCCTAATTAAACATCCATGGTTTTGTAGGAGATACCTGGACTTCGTGTGGTGTGAGGACCTAAAAGGGAGAACCTTCCAGGAAAAATTCAAAGAAGCTATGACACGTTACAATAATCGGAACTGCATGTATTTTAACTGGCGCAGGAGGTTCTTGAAACTGCCTAAAAAAGACATCTTAACCGTTGCTGTCCGGGAAGATAAAGTTATAAATCAGTTCAGTTGTAATCGATTGCGTCTGATCGTCTTACTTGCTCGAGGAAAATTATATATTAAGCCTTATGCATAAATGAAAGAAAACCTGTTTGTTGGCTGGGTTCCATAAACCATGCTTTTCCCTCCTAACTTCTGTAATATATCCACTAATTCGCTATTAGTTCTCAAAGGAAACTCTTGTCCAGTCAAATTGATGAGATATTTCCACAACTTTGATCTTTCCCAAAGATCTTTCATACATGTTAATGTACTTTCAAGTCCAGAAAATTCAGCCCAATTTACTTCAATGATGCGAGAAGCAATAAATACATTTGAAAAGCAACTTACAATCTTTTCAACAGCACGGTGAAAAACATCTGGTGATTTTTTATCAACATGTATGCAGTAATAATTTTGAGGTCTGTAAATTGCGCGAAGAAGTCTTTCAAATTGTTCTATATCTTTATGAATATTAATAGTATAACCAATAGGAAATTTAGCTTCATTTTCACTTAAAGCTTTCATAAAATAACCTCTTTCATTTTTAAATTTTTCACAATTGCTAGCAAGTTTGATATAACTCTCAGGAGAGAAGGGCTGTTTCGGAAAGTGGTTCATAATCATTTCAGCTTTTCTAATTGCTATTCGGTCGCCCTTTATAATTCGTTTGCAGGTTGTTGTAAATTTGTGTGATTTGATGACTTTTCCGTAATTTGTTTGGTCCAGTTGAAAATACTGCAGAAACAGCAATGCTATAACAAATACTTGAAAAATTACGAGTATTTTTTTGATTCTTGATATTGAGAAGCTGGGCATGCATATGAAGCTTGTCAAACAAGTATCTGAAAATAGAGATAAAAATACGTTGTTATATATCATAAATCTTTCCATCTGAGTTTAGTAATATATTGTTATCACCCGTGATTTTCTCTGAATGGAAGAGTAGAAGTCACCTCCTGCATTCCTGTCTTCAGTGAGAGTACTGGTAAGGAATTTCAATCCTAACACTGAATGAATGACACGAAACCCGTTTTGGAAGATAATAGGGACCTTATAAGCATGTAGGACGGCAACAAGACGGCTACGCGGTTGAAATACTCCTTTAAATAAATGCTATGGCAAAGTTGTTGTTGTATATTTTTAATTGTACCGATTTAGTGAGTATAATGCGTTAAGAACATTGTGTTTATGTTCAAGGACAATTCTGTAATAGCGTAATTCGAGGTAGGGCTTGCTGGGTCCTGAAATGCACCCGTTCTAGGCAAGACGTAAAAAACCACGTTTTCCCGTTGTAAACAGAATGAAGACGACTTCTAAAACCATCATGGGTCTTTAACTTATTCATTTCTTTTCAATGACCCATTGTATTGATAGCCGTCGTCGTCGCGTTCGCGTCCTACTTCTTAAGGTCGCTAATAGCCATGCGTATTAAAATTATATGTATGTGATCCCAGTGTTTCTCAAAATACCATGCATGCACTGGTGTTATAAGTTCTCTTATTTAACTCTCATCACTCCTGAATATTTAACAATGAGCTTGAGACGCAACATCAAAGAATAATTACCTACTAGTCCTCCAGTCATGACTTTATATCGCGCATTATCCCTAGAGATGGAGGAATGGGGTAATTAACTTGGGGCCTGGAGAAAATTTAGTGCTTGGGCTCTATTGTCCTGTAACTCCTGTTTGCTTTTCCAGCCGAGGGTTTGTTTGGACATGGCCACCGCGACAATAATATAAATGCTCTAGTAAAATTACACTCTTGCGTCGTTGCCAGGGTTATATTTAACCTCAAAAACATGCATGTCACAAGCTATTCAATAATTCAATTAGCCAATGATATATTTGTACGAATATTTTGCACGGTCAAGCAATTTTAATAACGAATACTATTTCGATAATTTTTTCATTGAATTTAGTTTAACTAGTTTAACGGTCTTTAGTAATCCGTCGTAGAGAACAAGCTGATTTTCTTGGACAATTGTACAGCAGTCGACCCGTATGAATGAAAATTCGTGAAACATTTGTTTCGGCAAACGCAATGATAGAATGCTAATTTTTCATATCAATGAAAATTTGTTCGACAGTACCAGAATTTGCAAAAATTTCCGCAGATTCAATGAATTATTTCAAATTTGATCCATTTCACGTTACCTTATACAATGTGATCCAAACCGGAATTACTTTTGAATCGATTTCATTCAACTTGTTCGTGCAAAGTTAGCAAGGTTCTGTCTGGCTCATGACGTTAAGAAAACGCTCCTTAGCTTTCGGGCTTTAATTATATCTTTTCTTGAAAGATTCGCCTTTTAGCTGTCGTTCGTGTGTTCTGTTGTCCTGTTTGCTTTTCCAGCCGATGAACCCTTTGTTTGGTTTAAAGACATGGCCAGTGACAACAATTGATATGCTGACTTCCTTCATATAAAGTGAATTTTTTGGCCTTGGATTTGCATAATTATTTCAGTTGAAGTAAATATTTGTCTTGTCTTAATTATATTTCTCTTTGATTGATCTTTGTCTTCTGTCAGGATGAAATGCAGATAACTCATATAGTAACCAAAACATGGCGTTGCTGGAACTTTTCTTGCTAGTTACCTCAACATCTTTCTGCAATCATCAGGTATATTTTGCCCAAGGACAGAAAGAAGAGTCGCATCGCGCAAAATAAAATAGTAGAAGAGTTACGTCACTGGGTCGAAATCACTTTTACGGATTATTGCTGTTTATTTACAGGGGGTGTTAAAAAAAGGACCCCCCCCCCCATAAGATTAAAAAGTACCAGCTTCAGTTGTTTGAATTATATGAGAAGAAGGCAAATCATGTCCGTTTGTCTACTGGTATATTCAATCAGTTTTATATCTTTGTAAGTCAAACTTGTGATGAAGAGCAATAGAATGTGAGGAAAACTACACGAATTGTTTTCTTGACTAAAACCTGCGCTTTTCAGCAGAAATTCAGTGAAAAATAATTTTGCTGTATAGCCTGTATACTTAGCCCCCAATATTTTACATTATGTAACAATGGACACTAGCGATGGGGCCAGGGGGCTGAAGTAGTAAAAAGGAACCCCTAATTATACATCCTCCCCAAAAAATTTTATGTTGCCAACCCTTCGAATTTATTTTTTTGCACGAACACGAGATCCATAAACTGTGTGCGCTAAATTTTGCATCGTAATTTTCGAGATTATATTATAGTTTTTGAACATATTACAGTTGTACCAGTTGTATTACAGTTGGGCACTGCAAAAGAAGCAGTTCCGTTTAAAATATGAATAATTCATACATTTTGTAAGGAAATAACACGCTTCTGATTTTGGTAGAATACGCAGATCGAGGGAGACATTACTTCAGGCATTCTTAATAATTTTACTACAATCCTCAAGCAAATTTTAGTTATTGCATGGTCAAAGTTCTATTATAAAACCATTGTTCTAAGCAATCTAAAGCTAAATATTGATAATCTAGATGAAATTTGTTTACAAATAAAGCGTCTTCTGTTGTAATCCTGGTTAAATCACCAATACCGTTAATACAGACATTTCTAACAACTTTGCCATGACAACCAAACGAGCCCCAGTTCACATGACGTATACGTGGTGGTCGATATGAGTTGTTTTGAAAACCTGCAATGGAAATATTACCCAATATAAAATACAAAAATCCTATACTGGTCATCACAAACAAAACCAAAGGTAAATTTAGTATGGGTCTAGCAGGACTATATAAGTTTTAATTATTTCTCTAGAGTTGGGTTTAATTTTCCCATGCACATACCGGGCACACAATGCATGTGGTTTGGTGTTACAAATGACATGACAAATAATTGTTGATGATGGTAAATAACGGGATTGATATTTGACACAATGTATCTCAATTGACACAAAGCTACAGATAGGAAGGAGTGAGTTGCATAAAAAATATTTCTATGCCTAATATGAATACAATCCTAATTTTAAAAAACACTCAATTATCATGCCTTATTCCACCGACCTCATGTTCTTTTTACATAATATTTCTCATCTTCACCAAAAGCAATGTAATTTTGTAAAATAACTTAATCAGTTTTGTTCAAATTGACCTCTAACATAACAGTGAAGATTATGTTCTTAATTGTCACAAGAAATTATTCAGCTGGATGACTTACGTTTATCAAAGTTGGTATTCATATACAACGTTGCATAATACGTCTCATCAGGAATTCCAGTATTTTTTACCCATTCTAAGAAATCTTTTGCCAACTGATCATTTAAAGTAAAGTTGACATAGGCACGTGATAGAACAACATATGTTGAACCTTTGTAAAATTTGAAGTTTTGTCGAAATGGCCGTTTACGTTTGTTCGTTCGTTTGGTTCCATTGTAAACATAGATGAAACGCTTCTTTATCAAACTAAAAAACAACAACAGGAAAAAAACAAGCCATTACTAACAGACAATCTATAATTATAAATTAAAAAAAAACAAAGTTCGAAGAGCAATGCTATATGGCACTCTACAATGAACGAATTGTATCTCAACTGCCTTATATCATCTTAACCGTTGCGTGCATGCGGTCCAGTAAAGATTTGCAGTTTTTGAAGGAAAACCTTTTACTGAATAACCTATAGCTAAATCAGTTTAATATACGATAGGCGTTGTCGTTGTGTCTGACCATTTTGCGTGAGGAAAATTACATATCAACCTTAGCTATATAGCTAAATGAACAAAAACCTGTTTTTTGGTGGCTGGGTTCCATAAACCATGCTTTTCCCTCCTAACTTCTGTAATATATCCACTAATTCACTATTAGTTCGCAAAGGAAACTCTTGTCCAGTCAAATTGATAAAATATTTCCACAACTTTGATCTTTCCCAAAGATCTTTCATACAAATTAACGCACTTTGAAGCACAGAGAATTCGCCCCAATTAACGTTTATGCTGTGAGAAGCCATAAACACATTTGAAAAGCAACTTACAATCTTTTCAACAGCACGATGAAAAACATCTGGTGATTTTTTATCAACATGTATGCAGTAATAATTCTGTGGCCTGTAAATTGCGCGAAGAAGTCTTTCAAATTGTTCTATATCTTTATAAATATTTATGGCATAACCAACAGGAAATTTAGCTTCATTTTCACTTAAAGCTTTCAAAACATAACCTCTTTCATTTTTAAATTTTTCACAATTGCTAGCAAGTTTAATATAACTCTCAGGAGAGAAAGGCTGTTTCGGAAAGCGGTTCGTAATCATCTCAGCCTTTCTAATTGCTATTCGGTCGCCCTTTATAATTCGTTGGCAGGTTGTTGTAAATTTGTGTGATTTGATGATTTTTTCGTAATTTGTTTGGCCCAGTTGAAAATACTGCAAGAACAGCAATGCTATAACAAATACTTGAAGAATTACGAATATTTTTTTAAATCTTGATATTGGGGAGTCGGCCATTATGAAGGTTGTCAAACAATTATCTAAAAATAGAGAGAGTATCTGAATTTAGAACTGCATGTAGTTATCACCCGTAAGGTGTTTTCTTAATGGAAGAGATTGCAATCCTAACAATGACACGAACATTTTTGGGGGGTAATATATTATATATAGGCATATTCCAGTGTTTCTTAAGATACCATGCACTGGTGTTACAAGTTCTCTTATTTAACTCTCATCACTCCTGAGTATTTAACGATGAGCTTGAGACGCAACATCAAAGAATAATTATCTACTCGTCCTCCAGTGACGAGAGTTAAATTTTAATTAAACTGAATAGAAGAAAGTTAAATTATATCGCGCATCATCCCTAGAGAGGGAGGGAGAGGGTAATTTAACTTGGGGCTTGCATGGAAAAAATTTAATGCTTGGGTCCCGTTCACTTTATTTCCGCAAACCGCTTTTTTTGGTAAAATTTGAGGAATGCACGCGATTTTTACATATTCTAACAGATTTCCCGGCATACTTGATCGCTCCTACTGAGCCAACCATAAATATTATTGTAAAGTTTCCCGCGCTTTAATTTCCGCTAATTTCCACTCTAATTTCCACTATCATTACTGCAAGAATTTTTATCGAAATATAGGGATAAAATATATGACATCAGGATTACAGAGAGGGAATTTTGGGGACACTCGAAGCACGAAGCACGGTTGCATATATATTGAAGAGCATACACATATACCTAGTGATGTGGGTACACTATGGGTACACTTGGGTACACTGATACACAAAACACTTATATTTAAAAACTTATATTTCTGTGACAACGGAAGCACTGTGAAATTAAGCAGGTAAAAAGAGACATGAAATAGCGATTATTTAGCAAACAGTTTGCATGACAAGAGAGACTGTTCCCAATTTCGACTGTTTATTCCCAATAATTCTGGCATCCGGTGAGAGAGATAAAACTATGAAACAGCTGTGTCAACCGTTTTGTCCAATGTTGCGTGGTTGCTAAGCTTCCCTCTAACCTCAAAAACATGCATGAAATGTCGTATTTGATACGAATATTTTGCACGGTCGAGTACTAAAAGCATTAGGTCACAAAAAATTTCATTAGTAAATTTAGTTCAATAGATAAGGTTACGTTCTTTAGCAATTCTAATGAAAACCTGGTTAACAGCTCTCGGGCGCATGCAATAATCTCTGCCTAAAACACTCTTTGCCGAGTGCGGTGCCCCAAATACCAGTTAGCGTGTAAGCGATTGTGATTCATATTACCTAATAATAACAGCAATTTAGACTTTGAAAACTACCACCGCCCACAAACACTTCTTTGTGAAAGATTTGTTTCGATAAATGCGCGACCAAAGACTTAGAATGCTAGTTTTTCCATGCAGGCCCTTATAAGGCCTAAATGAAAATTGATTTGGCAAACCAGAATTTTGCAATTCGCGGGAATTCGCACCATTTGGCTTACCTTAATCTTTATAAAAACTTGATATTCTCCAGGCTCCTGGAATTACTTTTGACTCATTTCATTAACACTTGTTAAGCCATGACATAAAGGATTCTATACAAGCTTTCGAGCTTTATATTAATTGTCCAATTCTCCAGCTTGATCGCAATTAGATTCACCTTTAGCCGTCGTTCGTGCGTTCTGTTGTCCTGTTTGCTTTTCCAGCCGAAGGTTTGTTTGATTTAAAGAAATGGCCACCAACGATAATGTAAATTCTTTCATCATGTGAATTCTTTGGTTTTGGATTTGCATATTGTATGTTTTTAGGTCTGTCTTAGTCAATGTGCAATTCACCAGCGTCATTTTCGAGCGTTTCCAAAATGTTTTTGTCTATTTTATTGCTTAGACACCCTGTCCACGCGATCCAAGGAAAAATATGCTCAACTATGTGAAATTAGCTTCAACTTCTATTGTAGACTGACGTGTTTGAAAGCGTTTCGGCATGAAAACGAATGAGAAAACGCTCATAAAACGTTACGGTGTGCATACATAGCCTTAATTATATTCCTATTTGTCTGAAAGAAAAAACAAAACAGTAGCATCGCCCGAAACAAAATAGCGAGTGCAAAACAGGCTTAATTTTTTTCGTTTCTTCTCTAATTGGTTGAGAAAACTATTGCCTCATTCATTATATTCTGTGGATTAGCCAGTCACAACCGATGTTTCGTCTATGCATGTAATCCTCAGCTTAGGTAATCCTCAGCCTAGGTAATCCTCAGCTTTTAGGTAATCCTCTTTCTCAACAGAGATGGACAACTGTCCACTGTTCATTCTGTGTCGTAATCAATGTAAAGCTTCGTATATTCTTTTGCTGAAAGCGACTAGTAAACTTTAGTTATTGCATGGTCAAGGTTCTATTATAAAACCATTGTTCTAAGCAATCTAAAGCTAAATATTGATAGTCTAGATGAAATTTGTTTACAAATAAAGCGTCCTCTGTTGTAATCCTGGTTAAATCACCAATACCGTTAATACAGACATTTCTAACAACTTTACCATGACAACCAAACGAGCCCCAGTTCACATGACGTATACGTGGTGGTCGATATGAGTTGTTTTGAAAACCTGCAATGGAAATGTTTCAACATGAAGTCAAGTCATATTAGTTATGTTTCTTCTGCTTTACCTACCCTTCCCAGAAATTCAGTCATAAGCATTGATTACATCTAGACTAAGTCTTGTATATGTTCCCCAGCTACACGCCACACACTGTGGTTTTGTGATTTCATTCTAACATGCATGTTAGGATTATGTTCTTAATTGTCACAAGAAATTATTTGGCTGAATGACTTACGTTTATCAAAGTTGGTATTCATATACAACGTTGCATAATACGTCTCATCAGGAATACCAGTATTTTTTACCCATTCCAAGAAATCTTTTGCCAACTGATCATGTAAAGTGAAGTTGACATAGGCACGTGATAGAATAACATATGTTGAACCTTTGTAAAACTTGAAGTTTCGTTGAAAAGGCTGTTTTCGTTTCTTCGTTCGTTTGGTTCCATTGTAAACATAGATAAAACGCCCCCTGTGTCTAATGGAAAAAACAACAAAACAAGCAATAACTTCATTAATCTTACCTTAGAATTTTACCTCTCATTTTCATGGTAGAAATTAGTTTCCTGGTGCTACTCAATGTGAGACGTGATACATTAATTCAAAAATTAGCTCAGTGTATATTGGTTTATGCAATAATTGCCTATACAAAGGAGCAACACAAAATATATAAGACTGCATGGTGCATTGCATATGACGTGTTCGTACGAATATATATGCAGCTGGTATTACAGACCTGTTTTTTGGTGGCTGTGCTCCATAAACCACGCTCTTTCCTTCTAATTTTTGTAATATCTCCACTAATTCATTATTAGTTCTCAAAGGAAACTCTTGTCCAGTCAAATTGATAAAATATTTCCACAACTTTGATCTTTCCCAAAGATCTTTCATACATGTTAATGTACTTTGAAGCACAGAGAATTCGCCCCAATTAACGTTTATGCTGTGAGAAGCCACAAACACATTTGAAAAGCAACTTACAATCTTTTCAACAGCACGGTGAAAAACATCTGGTGATTTTTTATCAACATGTATGCAGTAATAATTCTGTGGTCTGTAAATTGCGCGAAGAAGTCTTTCAAATTGTTCTATATCTTTATAAATATTTATGGCATAACCAATAGGAAATTCAGCTTCATTTTCACTTAAAGCTTTCATAACATAACCTCTTTCATTTTTAAATTTTTCACAATTGCTAGCAAGTTTGATATAACTCTCAGGAGAGAAGGGCTGTTTCGGAAAGTGGTTCATAATCTTTTCAGCTTTTCTAATTGCTATTCGGTCGCCCTTCATAATTCGTTGGCAGGTTGTTGTAAATTTGTGTGATTTGATAACTTTTCCGTAGTTTATTTGGTCCAGTTGAAAATATTGCAGAAACAGCAATGCTATAACAAATACTTGAAGAATTACGGATATTTTTTTTAATCCTGATATTGAGAACCTCTTCATCTTAAATGTTGTCAAACAACTATCTGAAAATTTTCTTTAATAATCTTGAATAAAAAATACGCTTCCATTCTTGTATACATTGTCATACACGATTGTTGTCAAGCACTGAAAATATAGAGATAAGAATATGTTATAAAGAATTTTCTTTGCTTTGTGGGAGAACTAAATCATTATAGTGTTTAGATTTCAAAAGTGCAAATAAAATTATATCTATTTTCTCTTTCCACTCCGTTATACTGCTCCTACATTACGCTGAAGATTAAAGAAGTACTTTGACTAAAATTTTTCTATCAGGATTCAAAGCTATGTTAATAATATAGGAGCAGCATTCTGCATCTCTCAATCAAGTCTGGACACAATAATGTTTAGTTTCTCATGCACAAAGCTAGGCATTCAGAAATATTTCACTAGACTCGTCACTCACTTACTCAATTCACTAAGATCCCGACAACGACTTTGCAACTATTGCGTGATTGTATATTTACCTACATAAAGTTTGTTTTTTAATATATTATACTCTAAATCTTTAAAGAAGACTCTAATATAGATCAGCATGCAAGAATGCATGTCTGCACTTAATGAGTGTGAGTGTGAAGAAGTCCAGTTTTTTTAAATATAAGCATTATAGTATCTTCTGTTTCACAACGTTAAAAAAATATGTAAAAAATATGTGGTAATTAAATGACATTCCTTAAAAATCTCCCCCTCTTATCTTCTCGACCGACCGGTTGTCTATTCATTGTATCTTCCTTTGTTCGATCACGATTATAGATGACGAGTTTAGTTTTGCATCAAGCTTGAACTTTCCTCGTAAATCTGCGCATTGATGTTATTTTTCTTGCGTAGTATTACATATTCTAGGAATACACGTGTTTTTTAAAAAATTCTGCGACTTTTGATTCTATACTAAACTCATCTCATTGGAAATTTCTTTCAATGATTTCTACTTAGAAATTCCTGATAGAAATATATACATTTAAATTACACTACAAGACTCAAGATATGAGTTGTAGACAATTTGAAAGAATTTTACGTTGATATTTCAACTTTATTCCAAAGTCATTGTGAAACAAGAATAAATTATTTACACGCTTGCTATCATGCTATATACAAAGAGACCAGACCATACTCGTGATATCTGCTACACGTGAGACTATCACAGGCCACAGGCCATAGGGCCACCTTATGATACAGGTGACCGCGAGTTAACAATCTGCACATGCATCATTGTTAGATCTGGCATAACAATCGGGGACTCAGTGGGTTCAAAATTGTCCAAATTTCACATGGCTCGAGTTTTTTCAAGAAAGGGTGTTATTTTGCATAATACTTAATTTATGAAATATGGCACTGAGTTCGAATTTTGAACAAACTACTAAAGCCTCAGCATGTACACCAATATAACCAGAAAGCAGCTAACGTCACGCCAGCGTGCATGGCAGCGTCTTCAAATTTCAAACAACTTCGCTTCGCATGTGCATGGTATAATAACTGCCTAAACTGATAGGCAAAACACTTCTCGACGTTTCAACCAAAGGGTTTTCGATCGTTAGGAGGATTAGTGTGTCATATTAACTCTCTACCTACGGCCCTAGGCCAGTCGAAACCTGTCGAGACATGTTTTTGTCTATTTTTTAAGCAGTTGTTATACCACATTTGAAGCAAAGTTGCATATAAACTACTTTAATAATTTGATTTTGACGATTGTTTCAATTGCATTGTTTTATGCACAAAAGCACAACAGAATATATATATATATATATATATATATATATATATATATATATATATATATATATATATATATATATATACATAGTTAACATTGTAAATTAAGTTGTTGAACTAAAAAAATAAAGCACATGGCTATATATATAACACTATAATGGTAAAGCAAAATTTTGCCGAGATAGCCTATAGGTATTCAACATTAAATCAGATCTCCAATATGTAAACCTTTGTCAAAACTCACCCAAAAGATGCTTCTTCTTTCTTTCAAATTTTCACTGACAATCTTATAATTAGGCCTGGAGCTTGTTCTAATCGGAATCAACCGAGGAAAATAATAAATGGAAACAGGTGCGACTTGATCACTTATACCTGTGTGAATGTCGGTGATTATTAATTCATCACTGTATTATAGCTATATTTATATATATAAGACTAGTATATACGAGCTTTAAAATTATTTTCACATAACAAAACTAACTCACTGTCGTAACGAACTAATTGTCTTTCATTTGTAATACAGTTTTTATTGCAATATTTTCGTATCAAATGATTGTTTCGAACGTGGGGAATTTTCACCTCACATTACTTATAGTCAAAAACACATGCAACTCTGGGGCCGGTTGTTCGAAAGATGGATAACTTATCCAACGGATAAGGCCTATCCAACGGATAAATCTGCTATCCAGTGAATAGTTATCCATTGGATAAAAACGCGTTGCACGAAGCGTGGATAGTGAAGTGGATAGCTATCCAATAGATAAGTTAAAATTTACCAGAAGAAAACAGGATTATCCTGAAATTTCGTACCGCAACGTCAGCTGTTGCTAAGCATTTACATTGAATTCATAATCATTACGAATTCTCGAGTATAGTTACTGAATGGAAAAGACTTGAACAAGTGATTTGCTCGAACTTTGCACTTCACATCATAGTGATTTCATTAATTAAACACATTGCAATTTTATTCCTTGACCTTGCAACGCTTTGCCTTTCGGTTCCATAGCAAATTTAGGAACACTATTTTAATGTTCGTGAATGAAATTACTTAGATATTAGCAAGTTTCCTTGGAATAGGTTGAATCTTTCTTTGCATATTCGCGTTTATAAACTGATTAGAAGCGTACAGTAAATTTACCGCCTGTTATAAATGCGAGGATGTCCAAAAAATCGCCGCTCGGAACGGAATGTGTAGGCAACGTGAAACGCTGCTGCGACAAATTGCACTTCGAAAACATTTTTAATACTGAATACAATCATGATGTGTATTAGTTTGTTGAAACACAGTAACAGGAATATTGCATTTTTGTCCAATTTTATATAAATGTTTACAGTGTTACCTTGTATCTTTGAATTTATCCACTGGATAGTGGATTTAAACCACCTCCGGACCTTGGATAAATTTATCCGCTAGATAGCGATTTGTATCTGCTGGATAAAGTTATCCAAGCTTCGTGCAACGCAAATCACACGCTGGATAAAACTTATGCGTTGGATAGCGAGTTATCCGTTGGATAGCGACTTATCCACCTTTCGAACAACCGGCCCCAGGTATTTAGGCCGTGTTGAACACGGTGCATTAGTTCATGCAAGTTATGCAACTTGTCTCGCTGCGATTGCCATTGCAAGGCATGTATGTTGGTGTAGACGATACAATAACTTGCGCAGTTTTACTCGCCGCTTTTATCGGAATGACGTTGCGAGACATGCAGTTGAATAAAAAATTGCACCGCCCCATTAATATATATAAATATATTTATTTACCTGATTGGAGGTCCGTATACAGGGAAATATTTCCCAAGGTCTCAAAACCAACCCGAGGCAAAGGCCGAGGGACGTTTTTGAGACCGAGGGAAATATTTCTCTATACGGACCGACTAAACTGGTAAATAATATATTTCTTTTTTTATTAACCGTCCCCCATGCGTGCGTGCTTCTAAATCTCGCGCGGTCCGTACGAGCGGTCCGTACGGCCTCATACGGACCGCTCGCGTAGCCAATCAGATTGCAGGAAACGCTAAAATATGAAATCGGACCGCAAGAAAAAAAATATTAAAAATTATATAAAAATATCTATATTAAAAAGCTATTTTTACCATTGTTGAACAAAGGCAACTTCTCGACTGACCTCGTAACATGAAGTAACACGTTACGTGAAAGTGTCCAGGGGGGGCGTTTATATTCTTTAACATCTTCGATAATAATACGCAATGGTGCAAAAAATAAAATCTCACACTCTCACAATCTCAATTTATTTACCAACTATAAATAGATCTTTATACAATAAATAATTTCACTTACACTAGTTTTAGTCCACTAACCGTCATGCTCGACCTTTAGCGGGAACCGTCTTTCTTAGTATTGGTGACTTGCTCTTAATATGCTTGTGAAACAACGGACTGTCTATGGCAAGTCCAAGATTGATGAAACTTGCCGCCGATTTCGCACCGTTAGCTCTAAAAGAGAGTATATTATTATAACAAGAAATGGCCGCTGGTTTCAATAACAAGATGCATGGGAGATCTCTTTTCCATAACCAGGGTTTCAATTTCTGTGACACATTCAGTCAGTGGTGGCACCAGGAAAGTGAGGGAAGAAGAGGGGAAGAGGGGAGATTGAGGTGCATAGGTGACAGAGGTGCATTTTTATAAAAAACTTGCTTATGTATGTATATAACGTAAAAAAGGTTAGAAAATGCAATTTGTTTCAGTTGCGGTGATTTGATATTATTTCCTAGCATAGATAAAAAAGTAGTCTATAATGCAAAAAGTCTATTGTACGTGACAAGACGACGAATTCGTTCTAGGATTATTTCAATTGACGGATCCTACAGTTAGACATACCTCAAAACAGTCATTTCTGACGAAATTGTAGTAGCGGCAGAAGGCAAACGACTTTCTTCAGATGAAATTAAACTTCGCGTCATATCTAAATCTGAACTATGACATAATGCACTTCGTGATATACCACCTATCTCACCGCCCCATGCTGCACGAGGACCCGATCGGCACGGCGACGGACTCAGTCGGAAATCCATTGGTAAAAACAAGCCTTGTGAATAATCTTTTCTTGTCTTCGCAATCTTTGAAAGAACGAAATTGATGAACGAACAACATAATTTATGCTCAACTAGCAAGCTTGCATGAAATCAAAATCTCAAAACCTAATCTTCATAAGTGCATCTTGTACCTGCTTCAGAAAATCTTTTCGAGCATTTCCATATCCATTGAAAATATGATCTGCAAACAACAGCTTACCTCCAATATACATCTACACAACACACAAGAACAAATGAAAAAAGATTAGAACGACTGGTCAGCTGCAGAGGTAGTTTTGTAGGAAATAATAATAAAGTTAGCAAAACATTCCTACCAAAAACATTCCAGGAATAACATTGTGTCTTTTAACCAACAGAGGTTGTTCAATCCTCACAACACTATCAATATTATATAATACAATACGATATGAATCATTGCGAGCCTGAAAGAAGAAATTCACAGCAAATAAACCAAGGAAAGATGAATTAGAAATTCAGATAAAATGAAGTTTCTAGTTCTTACCTGAGCGCAAGGAAACGAACGATTTCTGTTTTTCTCATAATAAAGTTGTTCCAACATACTTGTACATTGTGTCACTGATGGGTTTCTGAAAATAATTGTGAATAATTATACCAATGAAATTTCTGTAAATATGTCACAAGATTTAAATGTATTCATACACAAGGTCATAATTATATAAATTCGTATTTTACCTGGATGAAATAATGCTGACAACTAACAACTGTGTATGTGGAACACTTTCTTTAATGAATTTGTCGTACGCAAAATCTGATACAAAAGGAATTTCTCGCTTTCTGCATCTGCGGTAACCAAAAATAAAATTCGAATATTATAAGATGTTCATTTTGCGTTAATACAAGAAATTTTACACAGCATCATACCGACAACACGGGTATTTTTCGCCCAGAAGCTCAGCACGTAGTGCTCTAAAAAGATGTCAAGGTTCGAGAACTGCTCTGTTATGTAATCGCGTCATCTCTCATTTTTGCGCTCAGACCATGCAAGATCATAAAATGATCTTTATGAAAGCAACAGCGCTTCTTAACCTAGTTAATCAAAGGATACACAGGACAGCCTTCCTTCAGTGACGAATTTCGATTCTCATATGACATCATACCACATCGGAATGGAGGTTTAAGACCCGCCTGGTTCCTGCGAATATAACAAAGATATATCGGAACACCTGTGACTGAATGGGTGGAATCTATTCTCGATCTGTGAACTTACGCTAGAATTTTTTCTCTGTCCATTTCAGTCAAGTAGACAGAAGAAACACCAGGATAATCACGCGACTCGTTTCCATACTCCAGGAGTCCTTCTACAGATTTTACAAAATTCTCTAGCGGTACTACGTTGACTTTCTCACCACGTGGCAAAGGTGGAGCAGACGGTGCACGATGTTCAGCGGTAATCATTGGTGAACCTGATCTTTTGAAAGTTACTTGGGTTGAAGGCATTTTTCCTGGCAGTGACTTGGCTGACATAGTGTGCTTACGATGTGTTCTTCTATCCGGGATTTTAACTGAAACTGAAATGCCAGCCAAAAAGCGATAACTTTCCATCCAATCGTACACAATACCTCTAAAAATTGATTTTGAGAGCTTAGTTTAAACCAACATTGGTTAACCGAGCTCTGTGGCTGGTGGGCACCAATCAGAATTGACAAAGTTGGTAAATGAATAAATAAAAAATTACTCAGCTTTCTCAAGCAGATTGGAAAAAGAAATTTCATAAAACTTTACGTACTTAATTCTTCGTCTCATTTTATACAGGTCAACATCTGAAGGCAGATCAAGAGCTAAATTTTTTCTTTCTGGAAATATTTTATCTAAATCTTCTTTCCTTTGTGCTTGTAAATCTTCAGGATTGCTTTGTTGGCTAGATTTCTGCAGTGAAAGTTTGGATTAATAAAATTATACTGCACACTACCTCGGGCTCGGGCTCTGGCCTTGCTTTTCATACTTGCGCCGGCTTATTTAAGAAGGGAACTTGTATTTTAGAATCAAACCCACCCTTTGTTGAGCCCGAGCTCTTCTTTCTTCACGTCTTGTTCGCGGGACTTTGTTCGTTTTCAAAACTGTCAACTAAAACGACATAAAAAATTACGACATACTGGAAAATTAGAGTTTGAAATTGTATAAGAGATGAACATCACGTGATTGATAAGCACCTGTTGCGCAACTTCTGACAGATAATCACCTGTGGTCATCATTTCACCCTAAAATGACATCATAATATTTAACTTGCATTCTTGCTAGAGATATTTTCTATAATCCGATCTTTCAACCCAGTATTTTACACAAAGGAAGAATTTACCGCAGAATTGACCAGAATACAATGTAAATCTTGGGTAATTCCGACATTCAATTTGTACGTATCTTGTCTTGCAGAAAAATGCACGTTCATCTGATTTCGACTGGCTATTTTCAGTGTTAAAAACTCGTTCAACTATATGACAAACAGGAAAAATTACCTGATTAGGAATTTATAATGAGACAAAACGTCATCGTAGAGAAATAAAATCTATTATACTGACCTCAAATGTTTTGACTGGATTTTTTATACAGGTCTTCCATGTCCAGTGTTCTATCAGAGTGTTTTCCTTTGGTTAAATAAAACAATTTATTTATTTAAAATATACGTGATAGCAAACTTTGGTTAATGTCAGGGCATGGGCGACCTAATTCTCTCACGGTAGAGCACATTTCCGCGTGAAAAATCAAATGAAAATACAGAATATATGAATAACTACCTTGTTATAAATAGTACCTTCCTTTGGCGTACACATGAAGCTTCAAGAAAGATAACAAATGGTTCTAAAATATGTAAGATGCAGAGAAAGTGGTGGAATAACTTATCTTATGATAAATGAATACGTACATCTTTCCAGACTTATCACAGCAGAAAGCATTTGTAGGTGTAAAGTAGGCTAATAACGTTTCACCGTCGGTTCCATAAACGTATGTGTATTTTCCTTCTCCAACCATATTTCTTGCCGTACAAACAGCAATTTTTCCTGATGGATAGCTGTAGTTTTTAGTTAAGTTGCTAGAAATAATGAATATCTCCTCTTCTTTATATCCCCGTTTTTTCATTTTCACATTTTTTCACCCACCTCTCCAAATGATAAAAAGGATACTACAAATTTAATGTATTATCAGGTAAAGCAATGATAAATAGATCAATCTTAGCAGTTCCTGAAGGCGTTCTCTTGATCTTCTGTCTTCCCTTCCGAACTTTCCCGACAATTTTCTCTCCATATTCCTTCAGAACAACGGGCGCGACCTTTTTAACCTTTGGTTGTTTGAAGGTGGTGTCTTCATGGTCAGGCATAAACGTCACAAACTTTGTGATGCAAACTAGACTTTTTTCTTCGCATTGTTTCATCCAGATTTTAGTTTGTTGATTAACATCTATTTTCGCCCCTCCGTATTGTTTTATTACCAGCTCCGAACCGTGTTTCGAAAGATCGTGTTCTGAACTATAGGGAGAAAAAAAACTGACATAAATATTTCACTTGACATCTTATGACAAATGCATTAAGGCGATTCTCCATTACGTCCGCTCCCATCGCGCGGACAAAGCGCGCTTTGTTTTTCAGGCCCGTCACGGTCGCATCACCAGATTTTCAAAAGACGTTTTGCCCGCGCGGGTGAGCCGAATGCAACAATTTCGTCAATTGCAACAAAGAATTTAATTCAACGAAAAGAAAATTTCAGAAATTCAGTAATAAGGAATAAGATTTGGCAAACCTTTTTTGGATAGCTTCTTGCAGCCTGGCACGGGCCCATTCAATTACTGTTAATCTTTCTAAATCCGCGTCAGGATTAACGTGATGAACCCAACCTGGAAAACACGATGTATTTAAAAAACTGCGAAATTAAAAATTATACTTAAAACATCGTTACCATTGTCTTCGCAAGTCTTGGACATGAGAGAAAAAAAAATGGAATGCCCGGACATTGGACCTGAAATTCATGAAAAGAATATTGGTATTAAGGAATTGCATAAACCACAGAAACAGCGGCTAGCGTGTCTATTTGTGGATATTTGTTCCTTAATTGGTGGTACTCTAATTTTTCACATTGTTTTCAACAAAACTCATATCATATCTATCCAATCGTTATGCGTAATAAGAGGAAACAATTTTAGTTATTTTACCTTCCTCTTTATTCATTCTATGATATGAAATATACTCGTTTTCAAGTTCCTGTCCAATTAAATCCTTTTCTGTTCCAGTTTCATCTGTCATTTTTTTCTCTTTACCATCCTTCTCTTTACTGTTTGGGGCTTCTTTATCGACTTTTTTTCTCCAAGAGAGAGCTGTTCAACGCAAATATTAGCTAGTTGGTCTGTCATCAGGTTACTTTGTAATTTGGTTATAATCACTGTTAATTAAATTATCCTTAGTAATAAAAACGAGAATAAAAATGCATGCATAAAATTTAATTTACCTAAATGTGACTTGTCTGGTATGTATTTGTATTTCTCCAGTCGAGTTCTTGGAGCTTTAACGGCATTTATACACTTTAAAGATTCTCGTCTAAAACCTTGTACACTCTTGAGAAGTTCACCATCTTTAAGCTGATCTTCATCCTTCATGCTACTAATACTGTCTCGTTTCACCGTGTTTGTTGAGACTGTCTGAGTTGGTTTCAAGAGAAGTTGATCTTCATTTGAGTTTGGTGACTGGCCAATTGAATCTGAAATACTATCTCGCTTATCATCCGTAACTGTTTCAACATGAATTGATGGTTTTTGAACTTGCTCATCAGTAGTTGACTTTCTTGACTTCTTACTTACAAAGGAAACGCTACCTCGTTTCTGAGAGTCTTGTGATGTCTCAGGAAGCGTTTTTGAATCATCTGTTATCTTCTTGGATTTCTTGCTCGTAAGGCTATCACGCTTGTTTCGATTATGTTTTCCGCTAAATTCATTATTTGCTATATCTTCTCCCGACTTCGTTTCTGTAACTTCGTGTAGCTCAGACATACCTTGTTGCTGCGAGGTATCAAATTCCCCGGTAACTGAACGTGTTATATTTGCTTGCTGTTTATATCCTATCGTTTGCCATTGGCGTTTAGAGTATACAGTGTTGACTATCAACTGCTCAAAGTTCCACTTTAATTTCTCGGCTAAGTGAAACGGTATAGAAATTCCTATAGCGCGTAAATTAAAATGACTTGTGGACAAATTTAGATAGCGATTGTTTGACGTCGTCAAATTGGCCCAATTATCAAGCGTTTTTACGCGTGCGGAAATATTATTATTTCGGTCGACCCGTGTCTCGTAGAGAATCTCAAGAATCCTGCCCAAGTGTGCAAGAAGATTGGGAGCTGCAAATTTATTTTCTTCGAATAAAAATCTCTGCGTATCTTCGTCTTCGTCAGGCTCATTGTATTCTGAAAACGTTGCGAGTGATTTCCCCTTTCGCGTCGCCTTTGCAACACTTTGATCGCCATCTTGTTGCAAAAAGCCATCTTTTGTTTGTTTCTGATCATCGATATCTTCATTATTATTTGTGATTTGGTCAGGTGTTTGAGGTGAACTATCACCGGCTGCTTCAGAAATTTTTATTTGTTGCCGTAAATAAGCTTCAACTTTCAGTGTTCCGCTTACTCCGGTAAAAGGAAGAGAGAATGGAAGCTGATCGACTGGTTTTCGCTTGCGTCTGACGTGTGTGGGTTGATCTTGGTCAAAGAAATATAGTTTCTGTCTACGTGCAGACATGTTTAATATAATCTCGTTTATAATTTATGAACTGCTTTAAATGTAGTCATTACAGTTAAGATTGTTTCCTGCCATATTGTTACTCAGCTTTCTTGCTGACAACCAGCATGTACCACTGTACCACACACTGTAATTTCCACAAGTATATTCCCGAATATATCGCCATATTTTGCCAAGACTTTTTATTATGAAAGTATGGTTCACATTTCCTCGGCAAGGTTTTTACTTGGTTGTCATGGAGAGCAGCGTCATTATCGGACAATATTGACAGAAATGGAATAATAAGCAGAGAAATCAATCAAACGCGTCTTTTATACAATAGCAGCTGTACATTAAAAGCGGAATATTAAAATGAATTAATGTCGGAAGTAATTGGTTAAACTTAAAACTGTAAAAAGTTATAAAATTTCACGACAATACATGCAATATTGACCACGTAAGAGGTCAAAGCCGTTGTCAAACGAAACTTGACCCAACACTTTGGCCAACCTCGTACCCAGCACCCTTTAGTCACAGAGAGGAATAAAAATTAAATGATTATTTCATATGATTTATTCAATTGATCTGCCATATACAAAGTCACCTGAAACTCATGAGAGTTACGATACAGTAATGTTTCTTATATTGCATTTTCATGCATTTTTTATCTCAGAAAGTTGACGTGTCTAGCGTCAAAAGTTTGGCTACATTAATTCACTGATATATTATTTGTCCGTTTTCTTTGTTTTGCTAGAAAAGTCAGATTTAGGTTGGTTAGAACGACATCAATATATCACTATTTAAGGAACGTTACGCTCGTTTTTACTGTCATTGCGTTTTTTGAACATAGGCCAGCAACTACATCTGTTCAGTACATGCACAAACGTTAATTTTTGTTTAAACTGTAAAACGTTCACAGAACCAAGCATGCATCTAAACCCCATACATCTTCCATGTATCAGATAAAAAGATTCAAACTTTAACGTCTTGCTTCGCATAAAGCTATGCTGGGGCAGGTTATACGAAGGCTGCATGGATAGCGCTACCCACCGCGGATAGTGATTTTTTCAACCATTGTAAAAATGCTTGGAAAGCAATAAAAATACAGGTTTGAAGTTGACAGTTAATTAAGAGAATCCCTAATTTCAGAATACTAAGGTTTAATCTAGGTTATAGTGAACAACGAGAAATTTCACAGCGATCGAAAAAAAAATCACGATCCAGTTTTCGTACAACCTGCCCTAGGTTGATTCATGTTGCGTTCACACGGGACCGGAGAAATTCGGCCGGGACCTTGTTCGGTGTTATCAAATAAATTCACTGTTTCTTCTACGTGTTCACAAATCAAAACAGCCAATCCCGTGTGAATGTGGCCAAGAAAAACACAAGAAAAACGCCGGCGAGAAAACCTAACAAGCGGTGGGAGTTTCGAATGCAATTGCATAGAAGACATTGAATTATGAGTGGAAAGTATTGAATAGCTCTGTGGTATAGAAACACAGTAAATATTTTCTTTCATATTTCATTGTTTTACCTTTTTGATTTGATTTTTTGTATCTTTGCTTTCCTCACATCAACTTGGTCATCACCAGTTTCCAGAATTGCATTTTCAAAACCAACCAATCCTCCATAAATATCCTCTGACTTGGAAGCGACATCTGAAAGTTCGGAAGCTCCTGATGTGGTTGAACTAGGCTCAGGTGCTTTCTTGGGAACGAATAAAGTGCTTGAGTTTTGTTTGACAACGTCTTCCCCGGCGCCTTTCGTGACACTAGCGGATTGTATCTTATGCAGTTTAGCATCCTTCAACTTCCCGCTTTCCAGTATGGCTTTACCAAGAGTGATGTTATCATTTGGCTCCAGGTCTTTTTTGACAGGCGACGACACAGGCGAAGCAGTTGGGGCATTCGATGAATCTTTTGTTATTTCACGTGATGGATCATTATTCTGCGTCTTCCCACTTTTCAATGAACTCTTCCCAGATTTCTGCTTATCAATCCCAACAGCATCATTCTTAGGGGTTGATTTTTCTTGATCAGTTGATTTCTTAGTCTCCTTCTGCTTTGTCAGAATAGGCCGTTGAGAGCTCGGGACGGGGGGTGGTGGCGGAGGAGGTGCATCACTCTGCAAAGAAAGTCCTTTTGCATCATCTGTTGATTTTTTAATCTCCTTTCCCTTCCCCCGAATAGGCCGTGGAGAGCTCGATACGGGGGGTGGTGGTGGAGGTGGAGGTCCATCTTTAGCGCTTGTTGAAGGACGTTTTGAACTGAAAACGAAAAGCTCTGAACCAGATGGGATTTGTTTGACACATTCTGTCGGTTTCGACTTCATAATTGATTTAGGTCGAATTGATTGAGCTTTAACTTTCTTTAATGGCATGTAATCCTTGGCAAATGATTTCTTGCTGGAAGATAAATAGAACTGGATAAGTTAGTAAGATCCTGACGGAAGGAAACATTGAAAAGTGACTCCCTGGTTATGTGTATAAAAGTTATAACTCATTTAACTAGTTGTTTCCCTTTCCTCTATTCACTTATCAAATGATGCAGCAAAATGCCGTCGTATTACTTTCGTAACCCTAGAGTCGAAACACTTGACTAACACTTTTTTATGAAAGTTTACAAGCGACTAGAACCTCTCAAACAATTGTGCATTTACGTTAGGGTTATTCCGTATTCGTTATGTCAACTTGCATTTCAACTTACTGAGCAGCTCTGTAACAAACGAACAAAGCCCCAATAAGAGCAAGACCAGCAATTCCACCGACTATTATGTAAATTATTGTATTGCTATTGCTTGAGCTGGATTTCTTTGCTAGTGCCATATCTTGTTCACCCTTGACACCTTGGGCAGAAATGAAATCAGGTTACTGAAATATGCAACCGTATATTACAACATGATTTTGTGGCACTTCACTCGATGTATGTAAATTCTAAAGGTTTTTAAAGGGTTTTAAAGTACCACCTTAAAATACAAACTAGCCACGCTTGCTTTTGTCAACTACCTCTAAGTTACTTCTCTCGCATAAGCAGTTCTTGCTGGAGGACCGATAGTTGACTAATTTTTCTCAACTGTTCCTGGCTTGAACTGAGTTGTGTATGATTCCACTGCAAATTAAGACCCTTTAAAAACCTTCCTTATAATTACAACAGTCGCACACTGCTGTGTCGATAGGTTACCTCTACAATGCTTCTGATGACATTTCGTCTCAAAATTGCTTTTTCCATGACATTTCTTTCCACCATGTCTTGGTTCTGGGTGGGTACAACTTCGTGTACGAGATTTGACTCCAGAATCACATGTGACTGAACATACGCTCCACTTGCTCCAAGACGACCATCCGCCATTAACTGAACAAAAAATTTAAATATTGCAACACACTAGCAGGTTAGGAAATTAACTCTACGGTGTTTTAACATACCTTGACAAGGCTCTTTTTTGCACTGTTTTTTATCCTGATCCGCACCCTCGCAGTCTTTACCACCATATTTAGGTTCTGGTTTACTGCAGTTCCTGACTCGGGTTGTGATACCAACATTGCATGTTTTTGAACAGTCAGTCCAGGTAGACCATGCTGACCAACTCCCATTAACTAGTAGAAAAGATGGTTATTTTATTATATGAAAGTAACTTTGTTTGCATGCATGGAGGTGTTAAAAATTAACAAAGATTTTATTTAAGGACTCTTTTTACAAACGCCTCCTAACTCTCAAAACTTCGCCGGAGCTTATACGTCAACGACGTCGGCGGCATTGTGATTGGCATTGAAGGCGAAACTGTCTGTAAATACTTTTGAAATGTTTTTAATTGCTACCTTACTTGGTTATCTTCCTTATACATCTCTCACATTTGTTTTAATTACTTTACTGCTGGGTCTAAGTGTTTATGAAAGTTAGTTTACCTCTAAAATAACCAAGTTATTATGAAATACAAGTTAAAACGTGTTATTATACCTGCACATGGTTGTACATCACATTGTGTTCTATACTGACTTTCTCCCTTGCATTTCTCACCACCATGTGCTGGTTTAGGATTGTTACACATTCTTGTGCTGTACTTAACCCCTGCACCACAGCTTACGGAACATGCACCGAAATTAGACCAAGCTGACCAACCACCATTAATTTTGCAAGGTACTTTCTCGCACTCTGTTACCGATGTCTTTTTTCCGTCACACTCCTGGCCACCATATTTTGGTTTTGGGTTGCTACAGCTTCTTGAGCGCGTCATACTTCCTTTGTCACACGTTGCTGAGCAGTCAGACCAAGAACTCCACGCAGACCAACCTCCGTGAACTGCGAAGAAATAGATATCTCTTTAGAGTTAGAAAACTTCCAGATAAAGTATTTTCAAGTTGATATTATACTTTGATATTTCTAGATTTGTCAAACAAGCTTTCTTGGTTCACGTACTGTGATGGCAGAAAGAAAACAAGGCATGCATGGAATTTGGCTGTGGATTGGGATAATCGTCTTACCCGGACAAGTTCCATTGTTGCATTTTCTTTTTGACTCGCTCAGGCCTTCGCATGGTTTTCCATTATGCTTAGGAGCATTACATTTACGCGTACGCAACATTGTCCCTCCTGGATAACAAGTTTTACTACACGATGACCATGATGTCCACTGTGCCCAGAAACCATCCTCTGTGAAAAATGATAAAATGAAAACTTTTATGCAAACCGAGACATTCTTGAGAAATGAAAATGCAAGTAATTACGTGAAAGGATGACATAATGATTCATAGTGATTCATGAATCTTTAGGGCTGTTTATATGAGCCAGTCCATAGCCAGTCAGACAGTTTGTTTATATCGAAGACTACTGCCAGTATGAGACAATTTTTATTCTTTTCTGATCCTGGCAGCAAATGCCAAGGTTTGGCAGGTGGAATGAAAGCGAAATAATTTAAACGCTCGATAGAATTTACACTAATGCAGGTCCCTTGACATTTCAGCGTAAACACGAATTGAATAAACTACCTGGACAAGGTATAAAGAGTGAACAAGGTTTCTTCTCTTTCGCTTTACCATGGCATTTTTTTCCCTGACATGTACGAGTGCGCAATTTGATATGTTTGCCACATTCACCAGATTGTGCAACACAAATCCAGGCAGACCAACTTGACCAGGCTGAAATATAAATACATTAGGGTCGGTTGTGAAAAAGATAGTTAACGTTTAATGAAAGTCAGTGACAGGATTAGCCAATCACACTCATGTATTTAGGAGTTGGTCACGATTTAAATACTCAAAATGTAGTTAAAGAGGTACTCCGGATATAATCTAAAATATGGACATAAAATGCCGTGCCCCTTCACCTCCACTCTTTCTACTTTTCTCATCATTAGATCCTGGGCAATATTTTCCATCGTAACGAGGAGCTGGATTGTTACAGTGACGAAAACGAATGTTTCCAACACATTGCTTTCCACGACATGGCTTCCATGGTCCCCATGACGACCAGCCACCGTTCACTGCGAACAGAACGTTATTAAAATTTAAAAGCGCTCATGCAATGCTGAACAGATCTCCAGATCGGATTAAATAGAAAAGTAGACTAAACCGCCAAACAGTGGATGATCTATGTTGATACAGAATGCCGTAGCGATCAAGGAAAGCCTGGGCCTTGAGCTTGATTTTTGGTGGACAACGAGAGAGATTGATCAGGAGTTAAGAGTTGACCCTGGTCGTAACTTTTTTTAATAAAATATTACACTTAAATATATCTAACTTATATAAAAATTGAAAATCACGTACCGCTACGAGTGACATGAGTTGATATTAGACGTTTTCCTGATAAGCCTCGGTCTGACGAAAATTCACATGTGATTCGTAAGTCTGAGTCTGATTGGCTGATATTACGAATTTCTAAAGATCCGTCTGGAAACGTTCGGAGACGATTTTTAGTGGTTTCAGGAATGTTTTTCAAAGAAATAGAAAAGGAGTCGAACGCTGTTGGTAAACATGTTAAAGATGCCGTGCTTCCTTCTTCTAAACGAACTTTATCAGATGACTTTTGCTTCAGACTGAGTGGTTCCTTCTGCTCAAAGTCTAAACAATAAAAATATTTACGGGCATAGCTTAGTTGATCATAATAGCTTTAACTTCAACTGTGTCGCATACATTATTCGTATTTTCACACGAATGGTTAGGAAACGATGATATTCGCCACGATACGGTTGAAATTGTTTAACACCTCGACCTATAACTATATTATATATAATTATAACTATATAACAGCACTGCTAACTATACACAAAGCGCACATCAACACATACCTTTCACATGAACATAATGTGTCATTGAAATAACGTCATTTTTAGTTCTAATCTCACACTGATATATTCCTGTTGCGACAGATTTAGCGCTAACCAACTTCAGCACACCTGCGCGTAGTTTATATTTAATATCAGTGACGACACCATTCATCTTAATATTGCCAATGACATCCTTGACGCCCCTGGAAGAAAAAAATATTATAGTTGACTATCAACAAATTAAGTAGCATCATACTAACTTTGGTGATAAGCATATTATCTTTAATCAAAAAGGTTGATTTCTAATGTTTCAGTGACTTACGATTGATTTAAGAGATTCCCGTTGTAGAACCACCAAACATTATCTGTATCAACATTCCCCTGACATTTCATTGTAATACTCGTTCTCTTGTAGATGATTAGATGTGGGAGACTGGTGCGAGAATATGACGCAGTCTTCTTTTTTTCGACCTGAGTTCCAACAGATTTGCCAGGTGCTAAAGTAATAGTATAAAAAGGGATTGTAGTAATACATGACGTAGTAACAAGCAAATACGAAATTCAATAGTTAATACTCACGTAAAATGCTAACATGAATAGCTTGACTGAGAACACCGCCCCAAACATTACTTGCTAAACAACGGTACACTCCTTGATGCTTCGAAGCTAAAGGTTTAGCGATGATAAGAGTACCACCTCTTATCTTTGCATCTGACTTCATGTGGAAAGGTAGATCATTGAAACGCCATGAGTAGGTGGGTTGTGGTGTCCCCTTAGCCTTACAACGGAGAGTAAGAGATTTGCCGCAACAAACAGCGTTAGAACCAGTCAAATCTTCACTGACATCCACAATTACAGGTTCAGAAACTAACAAAGTAACAATAAAAATAGTTAAATATGGAGTTAAGAAAGTCAGAAGAAATTGGTTTTAAATTGCTTTGCTTAAAGTTGTCTGATGTTCAGTAAGAGAACTGATAATATAATTAATTCGGGCCAGTGTTATAACAATAACATGACGATCAGACGTCGGCATGGAAAAGTATAAAAGAGTAGAGAAATCAGTTCAAACCTTTTGGTCTTTCCAATATTCTTTTGGCAGGTTTACTAAGACCATGTCTATTACCAGCATAGAGTTCCAACTGATATTTATGACCCCAGTCTAACTTGTTAAGGAAGATATTACGTTCTTTCGTTTTTTTTCTCACTATCTTGGGTAAAGATCTCCATTCCCCTTGCGAAGTGGTGATATCAGCATATCTTGCAAGATAAAATAATACCATCCCATTTGGTGGATCTTTCACACTTTTGAACGTTATCTTGTACTCAGCACTGTAGTTCGGGATTTTTGTTTTTGTAATTATGATAGGTTTTTCAGGAACCTTATCTAAAGAGGAGAAATGAATATTATATTATATATATTTCTTGGGTTTTTCGCTACTTTGAGACTAGGTGAAATAAGCCACGCTTTTACCTGTTTCCTTTCCAATCAAAGCTAAGCTATTTAGTTTCACAAGAATTAATTACCTTTTGGAAAAGATACGTACTTGTCATCTACACAAAACAGAAAAACGTTGCTGTCATTTGTGATCGATAATGCGTGATCTATTTGTGCATAAAAGGAATAAGACTTTGAAGCATCACGTTTTGAGTATTTACGTACCAACAAACTGACACCATTGACCAGTGTAGTTATAACGACAAAAACAATTAATTGTGAGAATGTTCTCTGAAGAGTTATCGTGATTACAAACACCACGTTCCCCGCAAGGTCTCAATTTCTTGCAAACACTTTGATCTGCATGAAGTGATCCTATCACTAATAAAACACTCAGGACAATAGTCAAGAAATAGTTGTACATCATCTGGAGTTTTTAAGTTCCATCCATACATAACTACACAATATCATGTCTTCTAACTTCGTTACGAGGACAGTAATTGAACAAAATTAATAATTTGTGACGTCTCTAATTGTGTTAATTGCTAATTAAAAGCAATTAAAAGGGGAAAAGCGCGTAATATAATTGAATGAATTTTTCTCTTTTTTCTGGTTTTCCCATAGGCAGTCCAGGAAGCATGCGAAAATTATGTATAGTATATAAACATGCATACATACTATGGTTTTCCTAACATAAGACAACAGCGGTAACATCAACAATATTTTCAATGAATGCAAGTTTATTAAAAATGGATATTAAACGTGGTGATTGAGAGAAATTATAATTATACTGTTCATGAGTATTTATACAAAAGTCATTTCCGACTCATCCTTTCGATCTTCGTCTTCAGAAAAATTTACCTGAAACAAAAAGGAACGGTGTTAAAATATAAACCATTTTAACGTTGTGTGCAAACAAATTATTTGTATTAATGACACACCATTGGATCTAGCTTTTAAAAATTTCTTACGTCATATAAAAGTCATCGTTTAGGAGCAGGAGGAGGAGGCGGTGGGGGTGGTGGTGGTCCAACACTCCCTGATGAAGAAATTGGAGCGCCAGGCGTCTCTACCCCAGGTGGTGGTGGTGGAATTCCCCCGGCCGAAGGAGCTGGAGCTATGCCTCCACTGGGTGCCAGTAGTGAAGGTGATGGTGGTGGTAGACTCCCAGGCGGAATGGCTGGCGCTAGTGAACTTGAACTACCATCTGGAGGAGGATCCCGCTTTTTCTTGAGTTTCGTATCCGTTTTGTGTTTAAAACGTGCAACACTCTTTGGTTCCGACATTGGTTCCGTGCTCTCCAAGTTTTGTTTTCTGTGTTTCCGTGACGGAGGTTGTTTCCTTGCAGGGGGAGGACGTACTTCAGTTTCAAGAAGTGGTTGTCTTTCCACTTCTAAATCTGGTTTTTTGAAAAGATCCTGCAACAAACGTCTGTGTTTGGATTTTTTCATTGATTTCCTGCAGCAATAAAAAATGCACAAGTCCAATAAATAATACCCACGACACGTTACTGTTATTATAATATATTTAATTTTATCAGATAGTTGAGACACAAACTCTGGCAGTCTATTGGAGAATACTATACCCACACTAGACTACCACGTTTGAGATATCTTTCTCAGGTAGTTGAGACAAACCCTGGTAGCTTATTGTAGAATACTGCACACACTAATAATTGCAGAGTACTTACTACCTATACAAAACAGCAACCACATTCCAAAGATCTAGCTTATATCAATTTTTCAGTAAGCTTACTTGCGAAGGTTATGTACAGCCATTGCTATTGCTACTACTACGAGGATCACTGCGGCACCGAAAGCCATCAAATTAGGAAGAAAAAAAATTCCTGAATAAATCTTTTTGGTTGGTCCTTCCTTGCATTTTGTATAACATCTTGAATATTGCTTTGAAGAGCCTAGACAATATTTTTTAGAACAGAGTCGCTGACGCATGCGCGACCCAAAACCGCATGATTTAGAACACTTATTCCAACGTGACCAGATGCTCCATCTTCCCTTGTCTAAATTGTCAAAGAGATTAAGTGATATTAGCACAGTCATTTCCAGGATCTAGCACGTGCATTATCGATATTAGGAACTAAATATAGATAATATTAATCACAATTCGTCCTACTCACTCTGCACTAGTTGGGCATTTTATAATTATTTTATCATAAATATTGGGGGAGAACTTAAAATTTACTTATAATTGAAGTAAGTGTCATTATGGAACGATATGTAGGGAGTCCTTAGGAAATTTAAAAATTTCGAGCAAATGTAATTTTTCAGTTTTCACGCTTGGGGTGACATTTTTTCAGAATGTTGAATACCAGGCATTGTCTTACCGAGAAATAATTTAGCTGAAATAGTAAAAATGGATGATTTACCTTTTTTGGGACAAGGAACAAAGGGACATGGTCGTTTTTGCTTCCAGCTTCCGCTGCAATATTCTCCGCTAAGTTCATAACCATCATCAAAGAAAGTTAAATTGTTTTCATTACGACATTCCCGGTGGCGAGTGCTAAGAAGGTTTCGACCACAGAAATCTTCGAAAAGCGGACAGAATGACCAAGAGGACCATGAAGACCACACCCATTTACTCGAGGTCGTAGTTGAAAACACTAGAAATGAAACGTAATTTAATCGAACGAACACAACTAAGGCTTTGCCGAAGTATAATATTTTCAAAACGACACCAAGGCTAGTCTGGCTATATGTGCACACGAGCGTCGTTTTCCAGCGTTCTCAAAATCGTTTTTGTCTATTTTATTGTTTAGACGCATTGTCCACGCGATCCAAAGAAAAATATTTTTAATATGTTAAATTAGCTTCAACTTCTATTGTGAATTGCCGGTGTTTGAAACCGTTTTGGCATGAAAACGAATGAGAAAACGCTTGAAAACGTTATTAGTATAGTTTTGGTCTTACGTGCTCCCTCAAAACCCAAGTCAAACTTTCTCTTCACCGAGTAATGGTTACCACGAGCATTGCAACTACAAAGGCTATGTTTCCAGGCCGTTTCTTGAGTTACGGTGAACGTATTATTTACAACATTTGAGCCACACGAAACTGAGAAATTCACGTTAACTTCAGACGAGCTGAATGTTCCCTGAGGAAGACAGTGAAGATGGACGGCAGAATTCGCGGGCACAGTTTTGTCTAGTTCTTTCTCGTCTATAAGAAAGCAAAAAGGATTTCTCTGGCTTATTTCAGAGGTAGCAATAGCGTGGCCGGCTGCCGTGGCGAGAAGCCAAAAACCAATGAATAGTTTTTAATTAAAGTTATTTACCAATAACGTAGAGATATATTGTAGTGGTATATCGCTTCTTTGTGAAAAACATGTCAACTTGATAGACACCAGTGTCCTTTGTTGAAACATTGACCAAATCGTAGTATTCAGTCCTAAAAATAACGAGTATCAGCACACGTCACATTATCGGTATCACTAACATGTCAGTAAACGAATATCTGAAAGCGAACATTAAATCTCCAAATTACTCACCCTCCGACTTTTAAATTCATCCCATTAAAAAGCCATTGTATTGTTGGTTTAAACCCCCCCAAACGGAGTGCTGACGAACTGTAGACAGTAATTAGTCGTGGCAGATTTTGTAACACATCTTCAGGTCTGTCCAGAACTAAAAATATTTAAAATACGTACATGTAAATTTTATTTTTCTAATTTAATTTAATTTACTGCTCTTGAAACTTTGATTTTAAATTGAATTTGTGGCCTTGGTGTAGATATTAGTAAGTTAAGGATGATGTACAAAAAGTGCACGACGTCATTTGGGATAAGAAGAAAAAAAGCAGTTCAATGTAATCTATTTGTTCAACTCGACTGCTCGACATATTACTACAGTTGTGAGTTAACTTTCACTCAACCAACCTTCCAACAATGTAACAGTTTTCTCTTTATTTTCATACACGAAGCAGGTTATTATGCCGGAGTCTGATTTCTGTACGTTTTCATATTTAAGAACGCGACCAAAGTCACCCAATTTTACACCATTTGGAAACCTCAGGTTGCGATTTGGAATGGACCAATGAACAATTTTTTTCTTTCTAAATAGAGAGATCCCATAATGCTTGTCGAGTAGCACGGTGATGGATAAACCGATAAACATAATAATTATGCTTATTTAGAGCATTACAATATACCATCATATCAATTATTTTCAACATACTCTGGACGTCCGAGAAGAAAGCCAGCTGCCGAGCAGGTCAACGCAAGATTTTCACCTCGTAATAAAATGATTTTCTTAGGCGGTTTGTCAAAAAACGAAATCCAGTTCGACCAGGGTATTTCTATATTTATTAAGAAAGTAAAGAAAGTTTTTATTGATTTTCAGCATTATTTTATCACAATTGACATCTGGTTTATATACTCACGAAATTTTAGTCGAACTTGGAAAGATAGGGACATTATTGTCCGTCGCCTGTTGTTTGATGTTTTCTGTTCAATAATACATCTAATTCCTTTTTTATTGATCAAGGCAAAATCTTGTGGTTTAAACACGCTAAATACAAGAGTCCCATTATTTGACACCCATATTCGTTCGTTTGGTTCAATATCAAAATTATTTGTTGAGTTTGAGTAACGGTTTCCCCATTTGAAGGAAACACCATTTTTTGTTGATGGATAGTAGGTCGGGCAATGAAACGATGCTGCTTCCTCAAAATTGCAAAATGTCGTGGTGTTTTCATATTTAGAACGATAAAACTCTATCGGGGCTGTAAAAAGAGTAAATCAGAAGCGGTTAACATGGCAGACTGACAAAGTTTATTTGAAATTTTCATAACTGAAGTTTCATACGTGCATATTTAACTCAAGTATAGTGAAAGTCACAAAAAGCTACCAAGTACAACAACAATAATATTAAATAACGATTTTCTATACCTGTAATAACAACTTTCACCTCTCTGCTCATCACAGTTCCCCACGTATTGCTAGCTTTACACCTGTAATAACCATCATCTCTACCGTATTTTGCTTTAAAAACACCCAAACGTCTTCCATCTTTGACTAGCAAGTAATTTCTGTGCGAAATTCGTTTATGATCTTTATACCAGAAGATAAGAGGCGGTGGTTGACCACGGGCGTCACAGTGCAGATAAAACAGAGTATTTTCCAGTATTGTCTTATCTCCGATATGATCTTCGCTGATGTATGTAAACTCAGGATATTCAACTACAACACAAAATTAATTTATTTATCCAACCATTATCGCCCCAATTTTATTGGCTGAAGAATTATCACCTAACAGCCCCTAATTCGTAATGAAGGTAACGAAGAAAAACTGTAATAAAAAATAACAGTTCTAAATACACATCACTGCATGACTCACTTTTTGGACGATGAATGATTCCTTTAGCAGGTCTACCAACACCGTAGTATGATCCAGCATAGATCTCAAACTCATAACGAAGACCCCAAAGAAGAGACTTAAATTCATAACTGAATGTCTCACGCAATTTTAAAAGATTGCCATTGGAAAATATTTCATCCACGTTATTCCACGATAACTCTCCTACTCTCCGGTATCGTAAAGCATAATACACAATCGGTGTGATCGAGTTTGGTTTTCTCCAAGTCAGCTGGAACCTTTGCTCGTACGAAATAGCCGATAGGTTCGTGATAATCTTAGGTATGCCAGGACGACCTTAATTCAAAAAATACAAAATAAAGGCGAAATACAAAGGCGATAGCTTGAAATCAATTCGATCAAAAGTTATCAAGTGAGAATTCCTTGAAACACACCTTTTAGTTTGCTATAGTCAACTTTAATACCATCTTCTACAAACAACAAAAAATGAAATTTACAAAAGTTAGACACTATTTCTGAAAACGAAATGAAAGTATTTCACAATAAATTGTTATTAGCTCGTATGATTTCTATCACAAGTGGTCAAGAAATTGTTTTCATCCATAAGTTTTCAGTAAAGATATATTGATTAAGTTACCCTTAAACTGGCACCATCTTCCGCTATAACCTTTGACACAGACACATTTTGTCAAAAGCATGTTACTTGTAGATTTTCTCGTAGGAAAACAACCACCACGACGCTGACATGGTATATTATTCTTACAGATATCTGCTGAGCTTTCAGCCTGGATTACCAACAAAAGGAAAAGTACCAGGATCCTATAATACTCAAATGGAATAACGAATCCTGGCAATGAATTTTTTAACATTTTGTTACGCGAGTTAAGGTTCTTCTCGTTTGCGCGCATGTTTGCATTGTGTTAATGCGCGTATATTGCAAGTTAATTAGAACGTCACTTAATTAAAATCACGTGTTGCAAAAATTTATTGATCTTTAGGCTATAGAAATAGAATGCGTGATAATCTAATCTGAGATAAGCGAAAATAAATAAGCGAAATGAAATTTCAGATCTCCTTTTCTAGGAAAATTTACATAGGAAACAAAAACTTTATAACAGCGTGTGGGTGACGATTTGAATAAATCGCGCATCTCGTGTAGTCAACGCGTTGGCATAGCAACGCATAACAATCGCCATGTTGAAAAGTTGATATCGAAGTAACCGAATATTAGGAATAAACACAAGAATTTAACTTTATAACTTAAATAATATTATAAAACATCTTGGTAAGTTTATTCAAGTTTTTTACATGTCTTTAGATTTGTTATTTGTAAGAATTTAAACCTAGGCTCGCCTCTAACATAGAATTATCACGACAAATCTTCAACTCTACCATGACATTTTGTAATTGTGATTGTTTTCAAGCATGAAGATTACTAAACCATGTAACGAACCTAGACTACGTTTTGGACTGCTCTGAGTAGCCCTACTGTTCCTCTCCTATGTAAGCCCTATCCCAAAACTATCACAGGCTTGATCTTAACTGGATTGCAGATTGCCCACAAGCATTAATTATCACTGACATTACAAATTTTACAACATTAGATATTGAATATTTCACATTAGATATCAACCTGACCGTGTATAGCTGCAAAAATTGAAATCATAGTCCTTCTGGCAGGAGGAGAATGTGTTGCCCCACTAGTTAGTTGTATGAAGATAGTTACGTTGCAATTACTTTAACAATGAGTGGCAGAAATTGACTTGTGCTTGGTATAAGTAATAACATGGTTTTGAGTGCAATTTGGATATAACATGTACTAGTGAGTTTTTCAAAGACCTCAAAATAGCACGAGTCTGAAAATATATATAATTTGATTGGTTCACAGTGATTGCAGAAAATTGCACTGTGATTACAGATTCTTGCACTGTTGTGTAGGAATAACTGCACTAAAATCAACCAATGACAGTCAAGTAATACTTTTATATATATTATTAGAAAGGAAAATGTCAGCTGTATCAAGATCAACAGCATCAAGAAATGCTGCTTCTCACAATTCATCAAGGAACAGGATGAGATCAAGTAGGGAAAGCAATTATGACATCCAAAATTTTATAGAAATTTTTTCATGTGAAATTATTTTCTTTAGGACCAAACTCAACAGCACAAGGCTCAGCACATGTCACATTTCAAGCTAAACCAGGTAAAATGCAAATGTTTTTTTTTTCATTGTATGGTTGCTTCATTATATTCAATCACTTGCAATATTAACTGTACTCCCGCATTTCATCACAAATTGAAATAATGTGGTGCCATTCTGCATTATGATTTATAATTATTGAAACATTTGTGCTCATTAAAAACATTTGTGTTTATAAAAATGTTCACAAATCATTTGCAAAATTTTTATATTCAGTGACATTAGAATTATTTCGTATCATTTGTTCAATAGTAAGAATGTTTTTATTCAATTTAGTTGAATTTAGAACATCTCATCTTTTACACAATACTGTTTTTTATAGATATGTACAACCCTAGAAATAATCCATTCAGAGTGCCAATGGATAATGATATTTTTACACTTCGTGAAAAAGAAAGAGATGAAAAACTCCAGGTAATTGTTAGAGCTCAACCAGATGTTCTCGCCCTCTCGCATTTAAGAGAGCTCCTCTTGTATAAAAAACAATAATAATTTGTTTGACTTTTAATTCATTCCATTTGTAAAGCAACGTAAAGTGCAGCACAAATTAAAAGTTCATGAGAAGACAACATATGCATCACGTGTAAATGCCAAGACTGCAGAGATGAGAAAGATTGTGGATGATGTAGATGACGAGGGTGATGAAATGGACACTAAAGATGAAGATGGGATTGTCAAAGATGATCCACAATTTACCCTCGCTATCACTAGAGGTGATTGACTTTTTGGTGTTTCATACCACAATAGTGGAACAGGCTACAAATACTCATATTTACATATTATGCTTCATACAATATTTCCTCTTAAATGAATAATTAGATGTTTTATTAAACAATTAATTCCATATAATGGTTGTTTAAACCTGCAGATCGCAATGTAGAGAAAGAAAATCTTTCAGACTTCATTGCAAAGAAAAGAGAAATGTTTCTTGTTCAGGTATGAATCAGGACCATACTGTGTGCCTATATTACCTCTGAAATTTATAATTGGCAAAATTCTAATCTTGCCTCATTTGGGAAACATTGCTCAGGATAATAACTACATATTTTATAAAGGATTGTGTTAATCTATTAATCGTCTTTTTGCAGTATTCATTAGGTGTGAAACGGGATGAAATGAGAAAGTTAGAAGAAATAGCTCAGGCTGAAGAAAAGAAATTGGAACTTGCAGAACAGTACCTTGAGGAAGACGCACAAATGTTTGATGAATTTCTAAAAGAAAATGATAAGAATTCTGTTGATGCTATCAAAATGTATGTGAATCTAAATAAGGAAGAGCAAAATGTCACCGCGTATTACAGTATACTGTATGAAGTTATGATATCTCTGATTGTAGAGCTGAAAACGAAACAAAAATCAAGTTGGAAAAAGTATCGGATATCAAGAAGATCAACGCTCAAATGATGGCAATAAAAAGGTGGGAAACTCGAAGTATTTTTTATGTATTTTATTGGATAGGATAGCGTTAACAACGACTTTTTCTTTGCATTGAAATAGTGAAATTTCGAAGAACGAGGATACTCTGAAGGATTACATGTTATATAAACAATTTCTGGATATCCTTACTCCACCGGTATGTTTTATCCAGCTTTATGTGCCTTTTGAAATCTAAACCAACAATCACAGGTATTGAAACAAAAATATGTCGTTTACCAGGAATTTAAAGAAAAAGAAAGACTTCGGAGACTAGAGAAGGTAACAATAAATTGGTTTGGTTCAACACGTACATAAACTCCTCTCAATCAATGTCTTTTTCTTCTCTCTAGCAAAGAAAGAAAGCTGCAGAAAGTCAGGCAAAACCGTTAAGTTATTTAGAAAAAGGTTTGCAAATAGACCGTTCGCAAATAAAACTAAAGTTCCATATTATGGCTGGACTGCGCACTTAGAGTGTTTTTGCATCACTTTCATCTTGATTTAGTACCTCCTGGTGCCATCACCGAAAGAAAACACAGCAGACATAGTAGAAAAGACAGCAAAGTTCAGGTTTGTTTAAATTATCATCATTAATACGGCTGTGGTCCAGATAACATTTTAGAAAATACTATTTTTTAGATTAAACCAAGTAGTTCGGCCATAACACACAGGTCACATACCAATACCCGGATAGAAAGCGCCAGTGATAGGTCAGTGACGTCATCATCGCATCACGAGTCGGAGGATGAGAGTAGCGATGAGGTGTGCTAATCTATATCTAGACAACTGGAATGTTTTATAAGTAGATAACGAATACGCATAGAACAGGATTAGTATTTTCTGGTTATCAACTTACGACTTTCTTCCATTCTGTCACAAGGAACCAGAGTTATATTTCACGGATCCACAGCAACTGTTGGATATTTTCACAGAATTAGAGGAACAAAATCTTTCTTTGATTCAAAACAGTCAGGAAACAGAGGAAGCCTTGGAGGAACTAAAACAAACCATTGAACAGACCAAAACTAAAATGTAAGAAATTAGGAAGAGAGATGAACGATGACAATGGTCTAAGATTCATTCAAGAATACCATCTTTTCTAGGGATAAAGAAACAGAGGTTCTTAAACAACAAATATCGTTACTGAAAGACGCAATTTACCGAGAACAGGAAAAATCTGCAGATTTGGAAATGAAATCGAAGTAAGATGTAATTCTTGTGACAGTGGAAATTGTCAGATAGCATGAAATTAAAATCTTCAGAACTTTCAAGTCAACGTTTTTAGGAAGTCAAGGAGTAGAAGCCAGGCACATTGAAATTCTAGTCTAGTACATCTTTCCTAGAATGTTCTCATACGGCGAATTTAAAGCTGAGGATCAGGAACAAATGCTTAAAGCATTGAATAAGAAAGTTGAAGAGGTTTACAGAAATACAATCGGTGACAATGAAGCCAATATAAGGTGAAAAAACGACGTGTTTTTATACAACTTTTGTTCAACACGCTCTTATTTTATGCGATTCATCTTAACAGTACTCTACAAATGTTAACAAACATTGAAAATCGTCTGGAAGAACTGTTTGAACAAATTGAAATGATGCCTCCGGAAAAAGTAGAACTGGCAGAAAAGGTAAAATTTTCACTGTAAGGGCATCCTGGCGACCTGGCCCATGTTGTTCTTTTTAAATTGTGATCTTCTCCGCAGGCGAAGGAAAAAGAACGACGAATGCGACAAAGGGAAGAGAAACTAGAAGCACAGAGAATTCATCAAGAAGAACGAGTAAAACGGGCTTTAGAAAGGGCTAGAGCTGACCCAAAGAAAAAGGTAACTTGTATTATATAATCACTACCATTAGTTTGCCATTGAAAGAACTGATTTTTCCATTTTGATGATTTTGACATTTCATTGTCTTCTCTCAAGATCATGAGAGTATTATTGCAACCATTACATATAACAGAACTGAACCTAGAACTGAATGCCTTTTATTTATTTAGACTGGTCGTAAATTAATGTTTCGCTCAGAACCACCACAAACAAGAAAGAAAGAAAAAGATTTTGAAAACAAACAATCAAAAGAGGAGGAAGAACTGCAATATTTCTTTTCCTAAAAATGATTTGATAGAATGTACAAATATGTACTTAAAAAATTTGTAAATATTCCTGCATAAACCTGTGCGAGGAAATTATATACAATATACTCTGCCTTTTGTTTATACCATCTTGTTATATTTCAGATAACATTATGTAAGTTTGCAAGGTTTTCAACACACAAGTACCCTATATGCAACTGTTGTTTTACACTGACATTTCCAATATGGATATTAAAAATGATATTATATTTGACTATTCATTTAACAAATACAGGAGATCAAAGCGAAATGGCACTAAGAATTGTAAAAAGTGAACTGACAACCTCTGAAAAACAGAATAGGTATCTGAATCAGGTGTTGCAATTCATTTCACAAAATCCTCAAATGTTTACTGATTGGTTGCTAACAATTTTGAATGTCAGCACAATCTGGTGTTTGGCAATTACAATTTTTAACAAATTAAAATAAAGGTGGAACTTTGTGAAATGTTTGTGAAAACAACTGTAAATAATAATTTGCCTGTTCTTGTGTTACTGAGCTATTACCTTGCCATTAATGTTGTGAGTGCAGTGAAATCATTAGAAAAGTATAAAACTGTTTCACAGAAAGCAGGTAGTAATCAAACCACGTAACACCTGCCTGTCCTCCAGTAGTTACTATCAAATTTTGAAGAACCTACTGTACCTATGTGATATCTGGCTCATTCCAATCTACATAGCAGCAATATATTACATTCATGATTTCTCTAATCAAGTTTTTCTGAATGCATAAGTAATAAAATAAGTTAATAATGCCTTGAAGTTCAATCTTTCATTTCTCCATCTTCCTCCTCTTCTTCAATACCTCTTACATAAAGTACATTGTTGCATCTATCAGAATGAAAGAAATTAGGATTTAGTTCCAGCATATAAAATTTTGATCATTATTTTCTGTATTCCATTTTTTCAGATGAGGGTCAAGTAAACATTCACGAGTAAATACAAACCCAGAACTTTTTAGTTACCTGATTAAAACTTCTCCCAAATTCCCAGTCAAAGCACCATCAATAAATTCTTCAGTGTTTGCTAACTAAAAATTAAAATTTGAAATCAAGGTTGAGTGTGTTACTGATCAGTTACAGAGCTCTGAGCTGTTCTCTTAGACGTAAGATAAAATGTGATGTCTTTATTTCATTGATACCTGCAAGTTCATGTATCCATCAACTGACACAAGATATCCTTTATATTCCATTCCCCATTTCAACTTCACCATGACTGGCTTTCCTGTCAGACCATTTAAAAATGGCTTGGGGTTCAAGGGCATAGTCTAATAAAAAAAGTTATGGTATGATTAGCAGGTGTCATGTGATGAGAGGTGGGAATCAATTGGTATTGCAGCAGGGAGGGATCTAGTGCAGATCTGTTTGTCAAAATATTTTCTGGCACAGTTGCACTCTTTCTGTTTGCATTTAGCTTGGAGCCAGACAAACCCAGACTAGAAAGTTTGCTGCACTCTAGAAGAAAGGAATTGGATCACACAAACGTCTTATATTATCCCTTAAGGAAATGAATCTTCCGCATTTATAGTTTTTTGCACTTAATCATCTGTATTTTTTACCAAAAATCAAAGCGATCATTGCTAGAACTGGTAGCACGTGTTTACTACACAAATAAATATGTTTTATGTCAGAAACGGCATTCAAATTATACTCACCGCCATAATGAAACCTTTTATATATCTTTGAAAACAAAATAGAAAACCAGTGTGCTTCAAACGACTTCAAACAGCAAATAAACTGCTGTTTTTAACGTTAACACTGAAAAAATCTTATGAATTGTACATCCACTAAACTCGTACGGTCGTTTTACAAGCGAATTTCCGCGCTTTTTTTTGCAAGAGACTGAGAACTATATCATTTTTATCCTCCTGAAACCCTCCTTTATCCTCCTTTATCCTCCTTTATCCTCCTTTATCCTTCTTTTTTTCTTTGGCATTTGGAATTGTCAAAATTCAAAATGGGGACTGCAAAGGAGTGGAAATCGATAATTTAGCTGCCAGAACGTTTAATGGTTTAAATATCCCGGTGTTGAGCATGTATAATCCTAGATTTCCTTCTTTTAATTTCCCATACACGCCTTCGGAGGATTTGAGACAATTCTTAGTGGATTATGGTCGAACTGGGGCAGTGCACATATTCAAACATAGCAATGACTTCAAGTGTATACCTCAAAAGAAAGAGAATGAAAATATTCGGACTAAACTCGTTTCTCAGAAACCAACCCTGCCTTTGAACATCCCTGGTCCAATTTCTAGTGAACTGAACAGAGAAGAATCAGGGGATTGTGAACAGGAATTGACTAACCTAACTGCTGATTATAGCAATGTTGTATTTAATGGTCTTGCCAAGCTGGTCAGTGAGGAGTTTACATCCTTATCTTCATGTCTACCCTCATACAGACATTTACAGAGACTGGCAAAATATGATCCAGAATTGAAAAAATTTCAAACAGACTTCTGCGATATACCATGTAGTCTTTTGACTGACCTTGTACTAGAGTCTGAAGTGGAACAAAAAGCAATTGGGAAATATTATGGGAACTGTCTTGGGTATACTTGTTCAACAAGGGAGACAGACACTGTATTAGTTTATCCTGGTGGACTGTCTATGAATGAATTGTGTTTTGGTTACTTAAAAACCTACTCTCAAAATAAAGAGGCGAAGTTTTCTGCAAAGGGTAGTTTTGATTTGAAAGAGAGAATTTGTGAAATAGCAACGGCAGATTGTATTGATCAAAATGGTTTAATCGCTGTTCGAACCCATCAACAATGTTGGTTATTTTCAAATACAGAAGGTATTGAGGTACAATGAAGAGTTTTAATAACATATTTTATTAAATATGTATACATGCACATTCTGTTTCCCACAAGTTTGAGTTGTTACTGATCCAGGTATTGAATACATCTCAAATCACTGGTAATTTTTCATGCAAATATATATATATATATATATATATATATATATATATATATATATATATATATATCATGTATTTGATATTTTTTCATTTTTCAGAAAACAACATTTCTTGGAAATCTAAAGTGTAAAAGCCGGCCATGCGCCATTTCTGTTAGCCCATACATTCCTGAAGAAGTTGTTGTTGCCATGGAAACAGGAAGTTTGTGGCTATGTCATGCGGAAGACAATTCTGTCCAAGTTGCCCGAAAAAGTTCAGCGTGTACTCCAGAAGAGTTTGATTGGTATTTTAGCAAGTTTGGTTCCCATCCAAGACAAGTTGTGAGAGGGACAGCGACAAGTGTTGAACTTATCGACATGAGGGTTGGTATTGATTCTCTAATGAAACACAGCAATTTCGACTGCCAATTTAAATCATAATCTTAAACATTGAACATTCTTAATATTCATGTTTATATCTTGTTTTCTAGGAAGGCTCGTCAAGAAGTCAGGACCTCATTACTTTGCCATCATCACATTTCTTTCCTAATGATACGTTTTCTTCCATACAGCATCATTATAACAACCCTTACCACTTCATCTTAGCCACCACTCAATCTCTGGCAGTTATTGACCAGCGTTTCCAGCAACACCCTTTGTTAAAGTGGTGCCATTCATTGGAGCATCCACCAAAGTATATCAATGTAGCACCAGATCCCACAAGTGAAGAAACACTAGTGTTTCTAGGATGTTATGAGAACCATGATGTTCATTGTTTTCAATATTGTTCTGGTGAAAAGTGGAATTCTCCATTAGGAATGATGGATCATTTGACTGCTGTTTTACCACCAAGGTCAACCTCAAATCCATGGAAGGTAAGTGAAGATTGTGTAATGTAAATTTATTGGAGTAAATTATTATTACATGTAAATGTTTATTCAAAATGAAAAAATGATTGTTTTAATAATTTAATAATTTAACTAATTATATATCTAAGCCTGCTCACAGGACTACAGTTGGTTGTTGTTATGATTGACCTTTATCTATTTTCCTTGATTTAGGTTTCTTCATATAGTGAATGGCCAGAGATGGTGGACTATCCAAGAAAAGCACAAAGCTATCCTGAAGTGACCAAACGTCTTAATCAACCTCTACTTGGTCTTTCCTGTATTCCTGAGTCTGAGGGATCATCTTTAACTGTTGTACAGTTATCCAGTACTGGTGATTTATTTTATCAATCTCTAGCGCCACGTGAAAGTCAGCTTACTGAGGTCAGAGACGAAGGAAGAGTTCAATATTACGAAGATTTTGATTCTGATGCAGTGTCTAGTGGTGGCTGTGGAAGTAAGCAACCAAATTTAGGCGTGAATGATCACAAATTTATTACACATTGGGTGGAATGTCTTATGAAACAGACTGACAAAGAAAGTAAAAAACGTTTGGATGAGAACTTTGATAAAAGTTGTGAAGATGTCGGTATCATTCGGGAAGAAATATTTTCATCTTTAGAGACGGAAGTGCAGTGTAGTTTATGTTTAGTTCCTGAAGGTGACGCATCTTGCAACAATAAAAAGATTGCAGAAGCAAATGACACCCTTAATTTTAGTAATGAGACATTGAAGACTGCCATCTGTCCTTTCTGTAAGTTAACTAGAAAGATGTCGGCTCAACTGTTCAATACATCACGAAGACAGAACAAAGTTCTTTCAAAACTTCATTTAGGTTTAAACTATGAACCAGAAACACTGCACATGTTTAACGAAGCAATTCCATGCAGTGAACCACTTGGGAAAACTTTGTTAAGGAATTGGCACTCGAATGAACAGGTGTCAATAGATCTTATAGGAACGCAGGACAATGAGACAGTTGAAGCATCTTTAGAGGACAAGACTTCACGTGTAAACACAGAGTGCAAGGAAACACAATCATCAGTTAATAACAATAAGAAAACGAAAAATGAAAAAAGTCCACCAAAAATAATACGTTTAGAAATTATGCCTACCACCGCACAGGAAGAACAAGCAGCCTCGCCTGGAACTTTATTTAACCAAGACGTTTTAATTCCTAAAAATAAAACAAACTCTCCTTTGAAAGAACCCAAGACACCAGGAACCCCTAGAACGACCGACTTAAGTCAAGGCAATATACAAGATAAATTTGGGGATATTGGGTCTCCAAAATCAAGCCACGACACACGACCAGGAATAAGTTTTGATAATCCTTCCACGCCTGATTATACAACATCTGCAAGAGGTGAGCCAAGTCAGGAAACTATAACTCCAAGCTTAAATAAATCACCTCTAAATATAATACTTTCCCCATCAACACCAAGGAGTCAAAGAAAAACACCAACAAAAAAAAAGATCTCTCGAATACCAGGATTTTGAGACGTCTAAACTAGTAGCGTAAATTTGACGCATAACTTGTTATTGTTTTGAATATTTCAAGATGTAAATAAGCAAATAAAATTTGACAAAAAATTCTATTGGGTTTTACTGGTACCGGATGTGTTAATACACTACGGTATTACTATTCACAGTCACACTGTTCATTTCGTTTCTTTGCCAGCTTTGCCTTTCGTTATTGTCCCCGCCTTTTGAAAATGTTTCTGTTCGAAAACTGTTCGTTTAAAAAGTTTCAAACTCTAAGAGATTCTATATTCCATCACAATTGAAACGTTCCCAACGTTTCTTAACATTCGATACCTGTTACACCGATATACTTGAGAAATTTTCATCAAAATATTTTTATAAAGAAAAATTAGTCAAACTTTCATTTAGACTTTGATAAATATAAATGTAACGTACCCAGCGCAAGAAAAGTTGTTTGGAATCAAAGATGTAACCAATCCACATTTTATCCAGAAATGTTTGGTAGGTTTTATAAAAAATGTATTCTTGCGAGCGATTACTTGTTTTTCAAATGTGCTTCTCGACACAGTTCACCAACACACACATACATGAACTCTAAAATTTCATCTTAATTCGACCTATTGGTTACTAATGGCAGTCTTTCTGCATGAATATACCTTATCTTTTTATATAATATTCCAGCTTAGAGGAGCACTAAAGTGTGATGGCTTTCAAACAAGTTCTGGTTGTCTTTGTTTGTCTTCTTGTACAGCAGTTTGAAGGTGATATATGAAAACTAATTTCTCAATAGTGATTGTGCATGTGAATAAGCCTAAGGTGAATTAAGGTAGAGCTAGTCTGAGTTACCAACAGGGCAAGCTCGCAATTTGCTTGATATTCGGTTGAGAAAACATTGCGGCAGGAAACCAACTTCGAACCTCACCGTGGTCAAACTAATTTTTCAGCTTGCCCAGTTGGTATAACTTAGAGTAGCACCATCACAATAATTTTCCTATGTTGTTATACAAATATGTATCCCACTAAAGTCATTTAATTATTTTTAGCTGCTGTGCAAGGCATTTGGGAGGAATGTAGTTTATCTTGTGGTGGTGGTGTACAAAGAAAGAAAGGAATGAGAAATGAAACAAGAATGTGTAATCTTATTAACTGCCCAGGTACGAGCATCGTTCATAACTTGTGAAATAAGTTTGTTTGGGGTGTTTAGTACAATTTATATAGAAATGAATAACAAAATATATGATACTCATGCAATACAAAATAAAGCAATTTTATTCTTATTCTATTTCAGGTGATGCAGGATGTTTAACTGTTCACTATACATTTGACACGTTAATGGAAGGGAGTGCTTACGACACAACAAACAACGGAAATCACGGGACAATAAACGGTGCAGCAAAACTTGACAACAACGGAAAATTTGCGAAATGTTTACACTTGCCTAAACACTCTAATATCTCACTTGGTTCAAAGGGGTTTCACAATAGACCAATAATGGCTATTACTATTGCATTATGGGTTAAGTTAGCGTCATCAAGTGGACAACATGAACTTTTTCATACATGTGCGTCAGATGAGACCAATGGAAACGCTCAGTTTCATTTTGAAATTAATGACGGAAAAGTTCGTTGGTCTCACAAGGACCATATGAAAAGAACGGTGTTCAATGTTTTATCAGGTAGTTTATCATTACATTTTTATTACAGCTACAGAATAGGTCTCACACTTTCTGTTTAATGAAGTTTGTCTACTTGTAAGAACTTGAGCTAAATGACTAATGTGGTTACGTTCCAGGTTACGTCCCTTCTATATAATAATTTCTCATCAAATGTGGTACAAGAACTGCTTAAAATAGACAAAAATTTCATCAGGAGAGATAGCGAGATAGCACACTATACAGATCTCTCCTGATGAAGCTTTCAGGTCGAAATATCAATTTCTTTTCTTTGAGCCAAGCCAGATTCCATATATTTCAGGTTGACCGAATTTCTTATATTCAAACTACCGCGTCGTGACTTCATATAGTTTTGTTTCAATTTACTCATAATTCACCTGGCAGTCACTGTACCCACTCACTGTACCCACTCACTGTACCCACTCACTGTACCCACTCACTGTCTTTCTTACAATGTTTCAATTCTTCGTATTAGAATCAATAATCGTAGCGAATACATGGACTCACGTGGCAGGGACGTATCGCACGTCCACCAGAATGGCTAAAATTTACATCAATGGAAAGCAGGGCAGACTAATTGCAAACTCACAATTGACCAAGTTTGGAAAAAATGCTGGAGTTGATGGTCTTTCCCCTGACTGGGGTTGTGTTAATATTGGCGATTACAAAAATGAGAGACCTTTAGATGGATATTTAGATGATTTCTTCATTTTTAAATGTGAACTTATGGAATTGGAGATTTTGGATTTGTATCAAAGTGGGTTATTTAAAAGACATGGAATTCCAACACCGTAGTGCGCGCATATATCATTTGTGAAACAGTCTTCGAAGAAATTTGTTTTAATTCAAATATGAAGATTTCGCTATTAGTTTATATGAGCTGAAATCTACATCTGTAGCATCACAAATATACTAAATGAATGTACTGTAAACCTGAGCAAAATCTTCACTTTAAGTATAATATCCATCAATGATGACGTGTGTTATGATGTCGCTTGTCTATACATTGATAATTCGACTTAACTTTTGAATTCGGTTGAGTAGCAGATCTCCTTGCTTAATCACAGACTAAAAAACAAACAATGGAATGGCAATATGAGAAAAAATAAAAAAATAAGTTTTCTGTTTCGAAGGGATGTCATTCATTTAGACATACACTGTATCTTTTTTATTATAATACTTAAATTTTCGTGTTGTTTAAGACTTTAAGCACAATTGTAGTAAACTCTGACTTTACCTGATATTGCCAGTTTTTGTGATCTGGTCTGTTTGTCTCAACAATTCCATTGACTTTGTCAATTTTGCAGTTTAATCTTCCTGCAGCAATAAACCTTGATAACTCTCTATAAAAGTAAGATGTGGACCATTTAGTTATGATGTGATGTGAAGGCAGACAATGCATTATTACGCACCTGTCAATGAAAGCCTCACTAACGCCAAAAGCATTTGCCATATATTGTAACGTTAGACTGCGGTAAGACTCCAATAATTGGCTGTATCCCAGGATTCTCATCTCACGAACATAGTAACGATAATGTGAGTGAAAATATCTATCTTGTTTCATCTCTTGTTCAACTTTTGCTGTCATAAGAAGATTAGCAATTTCGTATAACACAAATTTCAATAATATCGATGAATGTAAATGTAGACATTGTTAATAAAGATTATGGTGATGATAGGAAACCTACCAAGAGAAACAAAGAATCTATCATAATGGCAGTCATAGAAAGACATAAGAAACTTCTGAATATCAGGCAGCTGATGTAGCATCTCAAGTATTTCAGATCCATTGACAACCTGGATTAAGAAAATAGAATTAATAAAAGAATTGAAAAAGTGAAATCTGACACTTATATTAAGACTTACTTTCTCTCTAAGCTCTGTCCTTGGTAATGCAATCATGCTTGTTAACACTGTATATGAGACAAAAACTTTATAATCCATCAATTCATATGAGGTGAATGTTGATATAGATTCAAGGAAATTTTCAGCAGCATTCTTGAAATCTCGGATTGATAAGTAGTAGAGACCATGATAGACTTTGAGACGGTTTCGTCTGTCCCAATCACCACCTTTGTCAATTAGACTGAAAAGTGAAGTTTACTGACATTTAATGTTTTGCCAAATGACTAAAATAAGGTCATAGTCTACTTTGGTATATATTTTTTAAAGGTTAACCTTTTTGCTTCTTCAATATTTCTTGTAATCAAATCATTATCCATATAAAATAAACCAATCCGAAGATAATAAAATATGATGTCCAGTTTAAATCCAGTTGTCACAGTTTTTTCATGCGTTTTTCTGAGTGCTGTCAAAGCACCTTCCTAAAATACAATAAAGAACATTATTGTGCAACTTGGTACAGCATCCCCAAACAATCATATTTCTAATACATACCTTGTCTCCTATTTTACATAAATATTCTGCTTTTGACAACAATGCATCTCTGACTTCAGTTTCTCCTAAATTTTTTTCTGCATCTTCAATTGCTTTCTCTAGTTTCACAAGTTCTGTTTCATTGGCTAATTTCATATTGGCTAACAATGTTTGGTCCATAGGCCATCCAACATCAGGACAGACTTCTTCATAAAATGGTGCCATATCTATAGATGAGATTATATGATCAATTATGATTTATTTAAAAGAATTCACAGCCTCTGATTGGCTAAAGGTCCTGTGTGAAATTGTCATGTCCAATGTGCGACATAACATTTGACACTTTTCTTGCACACTATTACATTATGTGTGATATATAGTTGTATCCCACATTTGACGTCACACCAATGACAAAGACATCAAGGTGCCTGGCATATGGTCCCAAGGGAGCAGGAATGTGAAACAGGCAAAGCTGTAATGTTCATTCTTTTAAATAAATAATAAAACAATTATTGAATTCAATTATCCTTAGTTTTTTGTTATCAACCTCAGCGTTCAGCTTCAGTTGATAATGACAAACTTCGACTTGACGAATCTTCATATCATGTTCAACTTCATTCAATAATTGTTAATTATATATAAGATTTAGGTTTAAGGCTAGTTTATAGTTTAATGTGATTGTATAACATGGTGATGGTACCAAAGCACTACGTCAACGTTGCACACATTTGCCTAACTGCTTATTTTTTCTAGGTAATTATAAACTGACATTCTACAAACACAAAACAAATGATAAACTTTAAAACATACTATTTTCTTTGATTGCATTTAAAAGTTTAGTCGCAGTTTCTTCTTTGTTAACACCATGTGCAGCGGTCAATGTATATCGCCATTGCGCAATTTCAAGATTAGGATTCTTTGGTAGGCCTTCATCTTCGAGATTTTCCACAGGCATTGTTAAAACAAACGATTTTTTTCAAGATAAAACAACAACCATTCAAAATTATAAAATAGTTGTAGAATTTAGATTTTAGAAACTGCCGGAAAGTAGGCCCCAGTATCTTCACGTTCTGCTCTCATTTGACGAAACCGCAGTCCAGAAACATGTGACAGATCAGTGGAAGACGTGTTGTTATGACGTCACTGGAGGAAGTAAACAAATTCAATTAGTGATTATTAAAATATAAAATCATTTAGAATGTTCTTTATTTATCGTTCAAAATAGCATTTATTTTTACATGGAAATACAATTTTTTCTAGTTTTAGTATTTTTAGTTAGTTCTGTTAAAAATTTCGATCTATTCAAGCTGTTTTCTCGTCAGAATGGTTCACAATGGCGAAACTACAGTACTGTGTACAGCTATTTTGGTGAAAGTGAACGGCTGAGATTACGAGATGACGCAAAGGAAATGTTTTATTTTGGCTATGATAACTACATAAAGTATGCTTATCCTTTGGATGAACTAGATCCAATACATTGCACAGGACGAGGGCCAGATTATGACAACCCGTGGGTATTTTGTGTATATTTTATGTGTTAACATATTATAAACTGCATGTTGGCCGGATAGCGGCAAAAAAGTTCTGACGTGTTTCATTCTACACTTCTAGATCAAATATAAATATTAATGATGTTCTGGGGGATTACTCTTTATCTCTGGTTGAATCACTTGGAACATTGGCAGTATGAAATAGTCTTGTTTCTCTATAAGCATAATTAATGTCATTATAATTTCATTAATCAATTAGCTGTAATTACAGTAATTGCAACTTTAATGTTTTAGGTGATGGGTAATAGTAGTGAATTCAAAAGAGCTGTGAGATTAGTCATAGACAATGTCTCCTTTGAAAAGAATAATACTGTTCAAGTTTTTGAAGCTACAATAAGGTAAGGGTAAAAAGGACTAGTCCCTAGCTATATCTATGGGTGAAACATGAATTCTTAAATGACTTAACGGTACGTCTGTAATGGTTGAAGTACACACTGTAGTCTGTACTGTAATGGTTGAAGTACAGACTGTAGTCTGTACTGTAATGGTTGAAGTTGAAGTACAGACTGTAGTCTGTATTGTAATGGTTGAAGTACAGACTGTACAAGCTACATACAGGTACTGTGGTGCTTGCAGCTATATCACTGTGTGACATAATATCACATATCTATGCAATTCAGCCCTAAGTTGAATAAAGTAGAGTGGCAGCCATGATATTTCTTCTTGTATCATTTTAGTCAGAGCATTTAATACTAGGCTTACTAGCAACACAAAATAGTTTTCCATCACTCATCCATCAATCTACACCTTGCCTATGCATCTTACCTCTGGCATTCACAATCTGTTGACCTCATAAAGTGTACAGAATATGTTCAAAGTGTACCTCAGAGAATACTGGATCTACTCTCTTGTAATATTATCAATTAAAAACATCTCATAACATGAAATTTTATTTACATTTTGTTACTACAGGGATCGTGGAGCCTGTTTAAAAGTGGGGGGGGGGGCAGGATAGCATGAGAACATACCCTATTGGGATGTAGCTAGCTATTAGGTGGGAATGGTAATTTTTCATATAAGGAAGAACTTCAAACTAATAGTAACAATTCTACTTTATATGCCATCTTAATTAATTAGTGACAAAGCAACTGTTTCCACTTGCGGAGATCAGAATTCCTTATTTTAATTACATCTCCCAACTCATGCAATTTCTGCCAATTTACAGAATTTAACGCGAACGCAAAAACTTTACCCAATACATAAATAACATAATAATTGTTTGTCTATGAGAAAAGTGGGGGTCCTGGCGGAAAAGTGGGGGAGTCTACCTTAATCTAACCAACCATATACAAGTAGAGGTAGTCTGCCAGTCAGAAACCCTTCCTTAAATGCTCGGATAGAAGGATTTCAGGACATTTTGAGTCATGTTAACTTGAAAAACGTAACGTTGACTTAAACAAGATGACGGTTACTATAAAGTAGCATTAGATAAATCTCGTTGACCATCCACGAATTTGGAAGTCAAGTTGCGGTTGAGATTGCCACCAAGCTCGACTAAGCGGAAAAAAAGATTTAAAATTATTTAAGCGCAGTATCTGCCCTGAAACGTCTTAAATATTTTGATATAGGCCGACTAGGCAAATCTGGAAAAAAACGTCACAAAATTAGTGAAATTCGTAATTATTACGGGGCTGAAATCGATGCTCTTTTTTCAGAAGAACATCAATTTTATTTGCAAAATACAATGAAGTAATACAGATTAATAAATCTTGATACATGCATGGATACTTAAAAGACTTTATGTGATTTTATTATCCATGATATATGTATATAGCTTGCAGCTAGCTCTTCTACTAAAAAATCCTCTTCTACTAAAAAATCATTTGTGTATTGTTCAATTCTTGATTTCAGCTGGTTTCTTTCCTAGAGTCCTAGGTGGTCTGCTTGCTGCTCATTTAATAATCCGTGACACAAGCCAGCCATTTGGAGACATGCTTCCTAAGGATTATAATGATGAACTATTATTAATGGCTCATGATTTGGGCAACAGATTACTAAGTGCTTTTGATAATACATCATTAGGAATTCCTTTTCCTAGGGTTAGTATATGCACAACTTCTCAGCTAACACCAAATACAGTTCCAATATTTTCTATCAGACCAATGATTCTATTGGTTATCTTATGTCGACAAGCCTGGAATTAAGGAGATAATTAATTTCCTTCGGTGTTTTTAAACAAAACACTGTAATAAACTATTTTGCCGTTCTTGTAGCCACGATGCACGTGTAAACAGTCATATAGATAGATGGATAAACGAAAAATATTTTGACGGCCCTGATTTATTTTTATGCACTAGGTGAATTTAAAATCTGGTGTGCCAGCATCGTCATCAAGGACAACCTGTACAGCTGGTGTCGCTACTCTTCTCTTAGAATTTGGGACACTGAGCAGACTCCTGGGAGATCCAACATATGAGATTACTGCAAAAAATGCGCTGGAAGCATTATGGAAATTTAGGTCAAAAACGACTGGTCTTTTAGGTAAGAAAAAAATACCGTATTTAGTCGTCAAGATATTTTAGTTGATCCTAACAAAACTTGAGGCTCAGAGCCGGAAAAACACCGTCAGTCACGCGATTGGTTTCAGTGACAATTCACCTTTTTTGGCGACTCAAACACAGCCGTGGAGAAAGAGGTTTTTAATATTGCTAAATATGTCAACATTTTAGTCATACTCTCCGAAAGACTCCATTCAATCTTGTGATCTCAATAATATTACGTTTTACTAAACATATGTAAATCTCGGAATCATATAGGCAACATTATCGACATAGTTTCTGGTGAATGGATCTCTGGTATGAGTGGGATTGGTGCAGGCATGGATTCACTTTATGAATATCTATTGAAGGTAGAACGAAGCTATGATCTATAAACTAACATCTTCTTAACATATTTCTTAATCCTGTTAACGGTTTTGAAGAATTTATTAACCCAACTTTAGATTAAAAACACAATTGATTTTCATCTGCGGGGATATTAGACTATAGTTGTTCAGTTTAAGTCAGAGATTATCAAACTTTTTTCTGTTTATATTTTGCTAGGGTTACATTCTTTTTGGTGACCCAAACGATTTACGAAAATTTAACGAGTTGTACCGAAGTGTGAAGACATATATGAGAAGAGGGTGAGAGAGAAACGTCCCCGGCTCGTTCCAGTTCCCGCTGCTCGGGCTTATAATGTCATTTCTTGTTTCAGACGCAAATTTTGTAATTCTGGTAATGGCGATGTTCCTATATATGTTAATGTAAATATGGACGATGGAAAAATATTAAACACTTGGGTGGACTCGCTCTCCGCTTCATTTGCAGCCGTTCAGGTAAGCCAGCTTATTTGAACAAAACTGTTACGATCTTAAAAACACGTTTAAATCACAGCATGATCCCACTATATACACTGGACTAACTTCATTCTGCATTCGTTATAGGTTTTAAACGGTGATGTTGATGATGCCATTTGCACGCATGCTCTATATTACGCTATTTGGAAACGTTATGATGCGTTACCGGAGAGATTTGATTGGAATTCACGTGTCTCTCACGTGCATTTCTATCCGTTACGTCCCGAGTTAGTGGAGTCTACGTATTTACTTTACCAAGCGACCCAACATCCTTTCTATCTTCACGTAGGCAAGGATATCATGCATGATTTGCAGACACATGCTAAAGCAAGGTACTGACAGAGCTATACAAATTTTAGAACCTAAGTGAATTTAAGTAAGTTTCCTCCTGTACTGAATCTTAATGGAGAAGACTTGAGCCTTTTGGAGATCATCGTTACTAAACCGAGATAAAGCCATCCAGTGTAGAGATAATATATAAGTATCAGCACTCGCTTTATCCATCCAGGTGTGGTTACGCAACTCTGCACAATGTTATGGATAAATCACAAGAAGATAGAATGGAAAGTTATTTCTTGTCGGAAACTTCAAAATATCTTTATCTAGTAAGTGGAAGAATTTGTACTCATATTATAGGCAGGGAGGTGCAATCCACTACTATTTAACATATCTCATTTAACATATCTCATCAGGCAACAAGGCAGGTCACTATAACTAAGTTAAGATAAATGGTATTTTCAGTCGAGAACAAACGCTTCAGTAATTGCTTCCAAATTCTTTCAGCTCAATTCCTCAGCTTACTATTATACTAGGGGGGATACCCTAGTGCATGCGTGGAACGGAAAATTTCAAATGACACTTTCGCAACAACGAGCTATAATTTCTTGTTTTCCTTTCTAGTTGTTTGACCGAGACAACCCGGTAAACAAGCAAGCTTCAAAATATATTTTCACAACCGAAGGACATTTTTTCAAGTTGGATAAATCAATGTGGAATGTAGATTCAGAATTTTACGATATGACCGGAGGTTATCGATATGACGTCACTGAAGTATCGAGATCCAATGTTAGTGATTGGGGGGTAAGTGTACGTTTATACCATTCGTGTAACTTAGTCTGGTATGCGTATGTGTTTCACCACGTTACATTATCTCTTGTGTTTTCTACATACGTTTCACTGGAGTCTCTTCCTATGACAAAAAAATGAATGCCCTGAACCTGGGAAATATTTAAAATCTCTAAAACACTTTGTTGTTTTTTTAGTGTGAAGTCGTGTCCGATCACAAAAAACGTCCTCTACCGTTGGAACTACGTTATCTTCAACAAGTTGAAAGTTTAGTTGGCGTGAGGAACTAGGGAAACACTATAACACTAGCTCTACTGATTTTGAGGTTATACATGATGAAGTAATGAAGGTGTAAAACGGGTTAGGAGTCAACCAAATTTTGGTAACAATTGATTTCTTGTTGAAATCTAATATTTTATAGACCTATCAAAAAATAAACGAAATCGAAAACATTGTTTCGTGTCCCAATGTGTACCTTTATTTGCGTTATCTTCTTAACTTACAGCTCCCCCCTACAGACTGTAGGTTACTGCATATCTTGAAGTATATTACCGTATTGTATAATGCGAGGTACACTCATATACTGATCTTGAAGTATATTACTGGACTACCTATTGTATAATGCGAGGTACACTCATATACTGATCTTGAAGTATATTACTGGACTACCGTATTGTATAATGCGAGGTACACTCATATACTGTACATCACTGTTAATTGTACTACCGGGTACGAGATAGTGCAGTTCACTCACTATACGCTGTAAAAGAACAATTGAAAAAACGTGCAAAACCTCAAATGGGTAGCATTATTTATCATGCATTATTTATCATATGATAATATACAGTTATGTGCAAATATGACCTGAAATATATTGGTAATATAGCGTTAAAATAATTTTTAACTGCATATTTCTTTGTTCTACCATTTGCTTTGCGCGCTAAAAGATCGCATGCATGATTGAAAGTTGGTAGAGGGCAACCTTTGTTGAATTATCTGTAGTCTATATTCCACAAGAATTTTTTTGTATAGTACGTCTGATAATTTGGCAAGGTATATACCTAGGAAAAATGGAGCGATCATTAAAATTTTGAATATAATTACGTTCTTCGGAATAAGCCCATGACCACGTGTGTGAACCTACCATTAGCATTAGTGCAGGGGGTATGGCTTTATCCAATCAGAAAGCCTTTCTATAATAGTTTTATAAGGCAATATTACATATGGATTTCCTATATATTTTTGTAGAGTATTGGAAATGCATTATGTAGAAATCTCTCAAAAAATACTATTTTTATTAAATGTTAACGCTATTTTTTGTCTTACATAGCGAAGTTTGTATCAATGTAATATAAATTACGACAAATAATATTCTTAGGCAAACACAGAGTTTAATAATTAATAAGGAGCACACTAAAGTAACACGACTATTGACTAGAGACGCATTATATATTATCGACAGGGAGTTGACAGGCGTCATAAAGTTCTAAACGTACCCTGTTCATTAGAAATCATTTTAAAATGAATTGACCGAGTGTTCTATTTTAAAAGAGTTATTTCATATTTTGTTAAGTATTCTATCAAACGAAATTATGTTAATGTTTAGTTTTTTTGCATCTTGATTTCAATAGACAAACATATATTCCAATATTGTCAGCTAAATGACAAGGCTGATGAACTAAAACCATATTACGATTATCATTTTATCAAAGATCCTCCTGCATGGTAACAGCAAGTTATATGCAGGAAGATATTTCCTTTATTTTGCAAAATGAACAGACTATTATTTAATTTTCGTCTTTATTTTATTTGTGCACCCAAATGACAATATATTTCGTTTTAAATAATTAATTTTGTCTGCAGGTTGTTTTGAGGTAATTCATTGATGCATGAGGAGCAAAATGTGCTACGACATGAAACAGCCAACCAGCGTCCAAGTTTCAAAACAATAAAACACATGCAAGAGAGGAGTTATAACCTGAAATTTTATTTATTAATGACTGTTGAATTATTGAAAACGAACAAAAATTTACAATTGTTTTAAGAAAAGGACTTTAGCGTTCGACCTCACAGCAGAGAAGCGAATTAGGAGCGAATTGTTGGCTTATTTAAGGTAAGAATAGTCAGAAATTGTTCCAATCCCTAATTCGTAAAAAGATTATCATAAAGAGAAAAATTTTTATAGTAAACATCAATGTCAGCTTTAATGCAGTGTGCTTGCATCATTAGGGATGGACGAGTCTGCAAATTACTTGCGCGTATCTATTAAATTCGTTTATCAATAATCTTATAGTTTAAAGATTTTGTATTTCTTACGCGAGGATACTTTTTTTATTTATCTAACATCGTATAATATGTAGTCTTTTATTTCTCAGTATCTTGCTGAGAGAATTTGAATTAAGTATCTCAACCATTTTTAAACAATGTCACAAAAATAACAATTCGTTCGAAACACAGCATTCATATATGATCCAAATGGAACACACTGATTGCTATAAAACGCGCTTAAACCTCTAAAATATTAATCCAGGGATTTCATATAGAATATAGGTCAGTAAAGTAGTTTATTATTTTAATGTTACAACCAGAAATGTTTTACTTATTCATGAAGTACAATGTCTTGTTCTTAACAATGTACAACAAGTAGCCATACAAGCGCCCCATACAACATATAGACCAAGAATGACATTAAGGTTTTTAGAGATTGGTTTAGGGTATATTTATCTAAATCCCTCAAAGCAAAGTTATTTTTATATATTAATTCTTTACCACAGACGATCATTAATTTATCTGGCCTGCTTTAACAGGAGCCTGAGGACTAGAGTAGACGAAATTTTACTTTAAAAATATACCTCAATTCTAAACGGAAAAAACTGTTCGCCTCAAAAATGTAGTAGACTCTTTAGGAAATTGTCAATGAATCTTCCAGTAAAAAGTAAAAGACGTGTACATAGTACATACAAGAACATACAAGTGTGCACTAAATCATACAATTGAATAAAAATGTTTGTTGGTCGAACTAAAATGTAATTGCATGATAAGTCAGTAATTGTTTCCATATTTTTTCTGCTCTTCTTTTAAATAATACCCAGGCAGTATCTTTCTACTTATTGTAGTAATCAACACTATTAGAGTTGCAGAGTTGTTTGACCTTCTCATGCCATATTTGCTTGTTTCATGGTCAAGATTGCTCTTAAGGCAGGTTATCCCTTCCACTTGACCGTTGACAACGCCCTAAGCCCGCCATTTTCAGCTATAATTGTTACATTGGCAATTTGGACTGTTTGTTGCCTTCGATTCGAATGTGTCGAAAATGTAGACAAAATTAAATAATAACAGCCGAAAATTTTCCAACGTGTATTTTCTAAGAATAATTTTAAAATACATGTTAGCAACAGCAAGTTTTTGAAAAACGATGAATTCTGCTTTTAACAAAACATTTACCATCCTAAATGGGGTGGATTTTAAGCTTTGTCGCATACTTTTCTATTTAGTTTGACATTGACAAATATACATCTTGACAGTGTCGCAGCAACCCACAGACCTTAAACAGTTGAATCATGGCAGATCACGAGGAACTATCAAAGGCCACAAAAATCCATCCCTCGGGAGTCTTTACTTCCGAACATCTACGATCTTATCTCTATGGACATAAAAAAGTGCAGCTTATTGACACAACAAAGATACAGAAGGAAAGGATAAAACATCTTCATATTAATAAAGAACCAAAAGGAAATTCATGTAAGTGAGATTCTTCCAAAAAAACAAATGGGCCTTCTGCTGCTGTAAATCTGATTGACATTTGAAAATACATTATAGAATGACAATGATTGCCGAATTTCTCTGACACCGATAGTTAATAGAGAAACAACAGTTGAATACCCAGTTAAGCTAGGACTTGATCAAACCTCTTTATCCTCTGTTACAGGGTGTGATATATGCAATGAAAACCCTGAAGACTGTCCAATGCATGGACCACTGCACTCCCTAAGAAAACTTGTCAATCAAAGTCAGGTTGATTCACCAATTGATTACAGTGCAATATTGAAGTTTCCGGATGAAGTAGGTCTGTGCACATCTAGTATCCCTGGAATCGAGTATGGAGTGTGTGCCAAGGCCACTATACCTTCTGGGACATGGATTGGTCCCTATGAAGGAAAACTAGTACGACCTGAGCAGATCAAGCGAAGGACGGAGACTGAGTATATGTGGGAGGTAAGAAAGCCCATGTCGAGACTCCTCCACGCAAATCACAGTGAAATTTTACCACATCCACTAGAAACGAACCACGATAACTTATTGTACAATACTACCACCCACAATGGACCAAGCTGCAGCATAAAAAGAAATTTAGTTCGTTACATTTACTATTTCCCTACAGATCTTCCATGATGGTCAAGTGAGTCATTATTTAGACGCAAGAGATGAATCAAACTCAAGTTGGATGCGTTTCATTCGTTGCGCTCGTCAACGTTTTGAACAAAACATGGTGATATTTCAATATCATGGTTGTATCTATTACAGAACTACGAAAGATGTCAAAGTAGGCGAAGAACTACTGGTCTGGTATGACAGTCGATATTCATTGATTTTTGGTATTCCTGTAGCGTTGAATGAGACCGGAAGTAGAGGTTAGTTAACTCGAGTAGAACCACTAGTTAAAATGATTTATTAAAAAGTAATATACATACGAATGCTGGTGCAGAACTTGCTATATCATCAAGATATATAGTTAAGCAACGAATTAAAACATATTGAATTTATACAAAATGAAAGTGATGCACTTTACGGTGTCAGCCGTAATGTAATAATGTGTTAATCTGGAAACCACTTGCTTCAATCCTAGGTGTCAACCCACCAAAGGGTATTGTGACGCAAGAACGCATTTACGGGAAACGTCGAAACAGCGATGTTGACACAGCGTCAAACAAGAGGATATCAGTTGATAAACATAGTACGAGTGTCAGTAAAGTTGGTACAATGATGGATAAAAGTATTTCACCGGTGAATGCGCAGACGAACAAAGCCAGTACAGCGGTTGTTAAACAAGAACCTAAAGGCTCAACAGACGGTGTCCCACAGTCGGCTTTGAATTACAGGAACTCTATGTATCATAGAGGACGTTGGTATACATTACCCAGTAATGAGGGAACATCTGAGGCTAGTCGTTGTTCAAAGTGCATGAAAGGTTTTAATAATCGTGAAACTTTCTTGCTACACAATTGTTCAAAGTCAACTAAGAACTACACATGTGCATACTGCGATCGTGCCTGCGCCACTTTAACTGAACTAGGTGAGCACATGGAAGATCACGTGAACGAGAGGCCATTTAAATGTAGTTTTTGTCCACGCAGCTTTAATAATTCCATTGCACTTGATTTACATGTGCGTATACATGGTCGTCATGTTGGAGACAAATCACGTGCTTAAGATGACGTCACGCGAATTTCAATCCTAAATAAGGAAGATTCTCTACAATGTAACAAGATGGAGAGTCAATTACTTCGCAATCATAGATTGAATATTCCAAGATACGACGGGGAGGCGGAACCTGCAATCACCCGACTTCTGCCTGCGACTATTTATAATATAGGATTGACCAAAAACCCGGTGCGGAGTAATGCGGTTAACAGCGGGTTTCTAGTGGACAGTATAGGATAGTAATTAGATTGGGGGTTTTAATAGAGAAAAAATTTATATTCATTCAGGTTTTTATAGTTCAGTTTTAAAGGCAGATGGAGCGTTCATCCATCATAGCTTGCAGACTAATTTATGTACGGGATCTACTTTAGGAACTTTGTATAAAAAATGAACAAAAAAATATATGTGAAATCTCTTGGGTAGTTTTATAGAGTATGTGATTTCACAGCAAACCTAACTATTACCTGGTTATCAAAACTATGATAATAAATACGTACAGTAATAAGTTCAATACAGTGTACCTTACGTTGCATCATATGAAATCCCTTTCTTTATTATTGTTGACGCGAATATAGGACCTTTCCTTTTTTGACGACGTGCTTTATCACGTGATCATGTCCACCAAACTGGTATATTAAATGTTCCCACCTGGAAAATATAAACCACTCTGTACTCTGCTGTACTATGCTGTTGTGGTTGACGTCTGAACTATCTTAAACGTCTAAAATAATGTCTTCACGCAGTCTTACTCACTTTTAATTTAAACGATAGTTATGCTGGTCTATATACTGTAGCTACCTTGGGCAATCAAGAATCAACATATCAGCGACTTTGCCAACTTCCAGAGAACCATGAGATTGTGATCGTCCAAACGATGCTGCAGCATTTATCGTGCTTGCAACAAGTGCTTCGTTCATTGTCATACCAAATGTAACACACGCCAGATGCATGACTAGTGGCTTTAAATTGCAATGAGGACATAGTAATCAGACTAGACTGTAGTACTCTACATATGCTACTATCTAAAGCCCGCCACACACGAGAGCTATCAGCTGAGTTAAAGACCTCACGAAGCTGTTAGCTCTCTCGTGTGCGGATAGGTTTCGAGCTGAGCCTAGCTGGCTGAGCTAACTGCCTCGCGAAGTCGTTAGCTCAGCTGATAGCTCTCGTGTGCGGCGGGCTTGATATACGTGATTTAATTGCCTCTTCAGCTCTCTAACCAAGTGACTAGAGAACAATGCTATACGCAATGTTTTGCTAGAATTTTCTCTGAGAAAGAAAAAAGCTGGGAATGCTCAGTCGCAAAAGCATTGCACCGGTCATCATCAGGTCGATCCCTGCTGGAAGGCCGATAGTTGATAGTAAACTCAAAATTTAGACCCTTTAGACCAGGAAATACTGATTTTGAAGCTTTTATAAATTTCCTGGGTATATTTATAAGGCAAAGAGTTAGGGTGTGTGTCACATGGTACATCGATCATTGGTCTAACCAGTGAATCTAACACAATCATGCTATGGTGACGAGCAAGTTATTCTGTTATTGCTTATGTTATAGCTTATAGCAACATACTTACCATTGAAAGACAGAATGCATTTGGGTTGAAGTCTGAGCCAAGTGCTACCGCAGCTCCTAAAAGTTGGAAATACTATTGATGATGATCATAATAATGATAATTACCATGATTATAATGAAGATCATAATGATGTATGATCATCACCTACCATGCTCTATCATCTTTCTCACAGGAGGTGGTTTAAGTTTCAATATATATGCAGTGGTTGGTAAAGCAACACCCACAGTTGAACTGGCAGCCATCATTTCAATTCCTTTTTCACTTATTTCTTCAAGATGACTAATAGCTTCAGCCCCAAGAGACACTCCTAACTGAAATAAACAAAATTTACTTTCCACATGTTTATATCTAATACATCTTTCTTTATTTCTAACCATCTATCTCAATCCTACTAATTACAACACTTCCTAATATTATAATCGTACATATAACACACCTCAACAGAGTTAAGTTGATTTAATTCCTCAGCATGAAAATTAATTTTAAGTCCAATGTCTTTCCCAGCATGTAGTATTTTTTTGGTGTCTTCAAGTTCAAATACACCTTTTTCACAAAAGACATCAATATTGTCTACATGAAGTTCCCCAGAGTCAATTAAAGATTTCAGCTTTGGTAGTTGCTTGTTTATAATATCTGAGGTTGCTTCTGATGCTGTTAGGCCACTAGAGATAAGGAAATACATACTAGTCTTAATTTGAAGACATTATACATGCACAATTCATCCCACTGGTAAATAGTTCGTACACATACACCTATAATAATAATTTTGCATGCTGCTACCATGATATCAACAGAACACTATACCGAGGGACAGCATGAGCACCACAGAATGTGCTGGATATTTCAATGGGTCCTTCTTTATTTGCTCGCTCTAAAACCTTTAACATTTTTATTTCATTTTCTGTATCAAGACCATAGCCACTCTTAGCTTCAAGTAAGGTCGTCCCTGCTCTCAACATTCTGTGTAAAATTTCTTTCAGATTTGAAAAGAGTTCATCTTCAGATGCTTTATGTACATGGTCAACAGTGAAGTGTATTCCTCCTCCTGCCTTATGAACATCCATGTATGATGCTCCAGCTAGCTAAGCAAGAATATCTTGTTACTGTATATTGTTGATGATAAGCCTTCCTTAATGTCCCAGAAAACAGCCTAGTATTATATATTCTATTATTCACCTTCATAGAAAACTCATGTACTCTGTCTCCAGCAAATACAGGATGAGTATGGCCATCTACTAAGCCTATTAAACATAAAATTTATCAGTATATTATGTACACTACTACTGAGAGCATTCATAACTAATTGCCTCTATCAAAAGGATAAAAACTTTATTAAAACTTTATTAGGTATGTACCTGGTATAATGCAACAGTCAGTTGCATCTACAATCCTTTCAAACTCTCCTTCTTTAAACCTCCGAGAAACAAGAGTATCCTCACCAATAAAGTCAATATTACCATCAGAATTCACTACAATACTAACAGGACCATTTAATATACAGATGTTGTTCATTGCAGACCCTTTCTGCAATGTTTCGCCGTTTTTACATACCGTCACCACTTGCCTGGCACTTTTGATCAATAAACGATGCATCTCTTTAAGCCAAAAAGGAAAATCGTGCAATTATACAACTTTTACGAGAACTTTTATAGTTTTATGTGTATAAAAATTATGAATCACCAATATCACGCATTTGCGCATGCGCCAAATCAATCAACATTGCCTGGGCTAAGCCATCTTTTTTTTACCATAGGAAGCCCAGACAAATGAGTCGGCCATTTGACTATACAACTAGTGACGTAACTTACTATATTTCAATACTGCTGTCTTTATTAAAGTCTTTGTCGTTGCAGTAAATAAAAGATAAACCAATGTTCTTGCAGGAGGAACACGAGGTTAACCTAATTACATGTGAAATTTTACTACCAAAAATTTCTGAACAGAAGTAGCTAATTACGTAATGATTCCACAACCATGTTTTTAAAATTCTTTTACGACAGTGTTCTGGGAATTGAACCCAGAAGCCACGAAAACGTTTTTATCACTACCAAACAGTGGCGGCGACAGGGGGGCATCCGCCCAATGTTCGCTTCACTTATAATAAGATCTCGCCTCCCCCCCCAGTTGCTCCACAAAACATTTCTTTTACCCCCAATTGCCCCCCCCCATTCATTTTAACCCGACACCGCCACTGCTATCAACAAACACGTTTTGGTTTGGCCCCAGACATGGACACTGTTTTTTAAAGCCAAACGAAAAGGAGGGAAACCGGAGTGCCCGGTGAAAAACCCTCCAAAGGCAACCTGAATTTCAGGTTACCTGACCGGCGTTCCGAATTTGGTATTTTCATTGGAAATCGTCCGCAAAGACATTTATATAGATCACCATTTCAAGTCCGCTAATCCGAACCGGGTCCCAGGAATTGCCATTGCAATTCATGAGCTTCGTCAATTCGATCCTGGTGGTGGTCTAACGTGCGCAGGCGCATAGCGTCCGTTGCGAAACACCAAGCTCTTAGAAATTAAACTGCGCTTTGTCCGACAATGGCAACAAAAATTATTCCAATTATTTGAATGTTCATTTGATAAATATAGAAATGCTTCACGTGCATGCTTTTTTATCAAAAGGATGTACTGAGACAACAACACTCTTCTACCCTTTCTTAAGACATGCGCCGTTTTGGGGTTTTTTATACTTCGTGGATTCCGGTTGACCGAATATGAAGGAAATAAACGTAATCGGGCCCAACATGCAACTTACTCAATATGGCTAATCAATCTCCCTTACCTTTCGCACCGTATAATTACCTTTGGCGAACAACAGTGTTCACTTGCTTCATTGCTCTATTCCAAACAGTTGCGTTCTTCTTCAAAACATCTCGACGGTGGGGCGTGTAAAAAATTAAACAACATAGTAAGTGCGTCAAAATACAAAGGTTCTTTAAAGGGTTGGCTTTTTAGGCAAGAGGGTCCTATAGTAAACACCCCAAGATAACCAGAAGAACCCCAAGATAATCATACAAGTCCAGTTGTCATGCAACGTGATATATAATGTTATATATCATTTTACATATATTTTCCTTCTTGTAGTGATAAACTTCATGGAGTTAGTCAAAATGATTACGTTTATTTCCTTCATGTTTGAAATTAATCGGATTTTCAGAGCTTAAACTGTGAATACGAAAAATGAATACGAACAAGGGAAACAAAAGAGTGCTAGTGTCTCAACATCAGAGTAATTTTTTCTTCTTTTCAAACATCAATAATTCCAATTGCAAATCAATAATGCCATTGACGGACGGTCCTTCTATAAACGGTCGTATTCAGGCTGAACAGAGAACTTATATAATCATATAAGTATACTCTGGTTTACCTTCGTATTGGTCTAAAATTAGACTAATACGAATTCGATATTTTTCGTTGCGTGCGCGTCGACCATGCTAATTGCAGTTTGTTGCTTTCATTTGAACGCTTTATCTGCCGCAGTTGCCGTTAAGGTGGTCTTATATACAAAATATAAAGATTTTATATCTATCGTTTTTCTAAGCAAACGAAAAATCACAGTTCTTCGATTAAATTTTTTAAAACTAACTGGATACATTTTTCAGGGATACTTATACACTGTACACATATTTTTTTCGGATATGAACTAAATAGTTGTATCTCGGTGAGATGCAGTAAAATGGTGACGATTTTTGTCCTGGCGATAAAAGATGCCCCCCTTCTCTTTTTTGACTGAGAATAACGTGGATAGTATTATTGCATCGAAACATTTTCATATTTTTCAAAAGGAAAAAGTATAAGACCACCTTAAGTCGTTAAAATTCACACGCAAGTGACAAATGTAGGAATGTTTGATCGAGAAAGCTCGAAAAAGCCGTCATAGAGTTGTGAGAAATTTGCTGTTATCATGCATTTTCGTAGCCTGCTCCCAGGACACATAGAGCTGTGAGAAATTTGCTGTTATCATGCATTTTTGTAGCCTGTACCAGACTGAATTTTAATTTGCCGCTGAATTTTCGTAAAGGGTGAAATGGAATGTCACTTGATGTGTGAATATACTAGGTTAGACCACCAGGAGGATCGGAAAATAAATCATGCACTACATTAATCATGCATTACTCTAATAAATATACCTATAGTATGTACCTCAACCAGCTTCTGCTTGTACACCCGTCTCGTCGTCCATCATCTGATCCTGCGATGCATAAATCTTTCAACATCTGATCCTGCGACGATCCTTCATCATCTGATCCTGCGACGATCCTTCATCATCTGATCCTGCGACGATCCTTCATCATCTGATCATTTAACGTAGATACAAAAATAGATACTGAATTCGTTACTTTCATTAATTTCCAAGAGAGAAATGCCACTTATGTATAAAGCATTCGGGATAAAATGATCACTCAAAACACGATTGTATACCTTCAACATCTCCTACGACACTCGTCCAAGGCCTTCGCATCGCGCACGCGAATACAAAATGTCATGCATGTTTTGTAGGAAATATTCATTGTTTTCTTCATGCTCCTGAGAAAACTAAAACACTCAACAATTATCTCCTTCTAGAAATACAATTTCTCATGCATTTTCATGTTTTAGGCGCTCTGTGAGCAATATTTTTGTTCCGGACTATTGTCGTTCAAGATGGAGAAACTACAAGTGATGGGGCCCCAGAATCACTTGTATTAACTCCGCATGCACTTGACACGACCAGGTTAACCCATGCAAAAACCGCAATCCGAAAAGTTGAAAATCAAGGAGGAAAACAGAAGAGTGTTCAGCATGTCTCAGTCAAAAAAAACCAAACCATGCATATTTTACTCAAGCATATTTTCACCGAAATCGAGTTTTTGTATTTGCGTGCGTACATGTCCCAAGGCAGCTCCGACGTCTCTTGGTTGCGATGTTTCTGTAAAAATAGAAAACCTCGGTAAAACAAGAAATTCACGGGCAATAAAGCCTAGTTAAACTGAGATGTTTTCAGAGTATTTTTTTGTTTTGTGATAAAACTAATTGTCGTTGGAAGCAAAGGGGAACCACTACAGCACGATAAGATACTTTGGAAGTAGAGAACTACAATATATAATCAGCACATGTCACGTTTGTATAAGGTACGAGTCTTTCCTGTCTAAACATAAGGCTCTAAGGAACGAGTATTCACGATGCGACAACCGCGTCGCATTGCTCCAGCCGGTAAAGTTTCAGGCCATTTATATGAAAAAATTCAGGATAAAATGATAAAAACTATACTTGATTAAAACTATATTTTAGTTTCGCATAACGGCAACGTGCAGTACAAACGTATTTCTTCAAATCACAAATGCAAAATATACTAATACAGAGGGTATAAAACCCCACAATTTTAAAAATTCAGAGGCAGAGGCCTACGATAGCTTGTTTTTGTAAATGAGCGAGTATTTATTTAATAATTTTATATCGCACGGTATATTTTAATAAAAAAATACCTATTATTCGTTGCGAGCAAGCGTTTGTGTTTCGCCTTCCCCATCTTTCGGCGCCGTAGTTCGTTCTGAAATGAAATAAGCAAAGAAACACAAAATCAGGTAACAGCTCACTTGCATTTCACATTTTCAATCAAAATATACAAGATATAGCAGTGAAAACAGTCGGCAAGAATATGCCTGCATTCGCTAATGTCTTCTGGCTATTCAATTCAACACGCCGGGCGATGAATTAATTTGCAAAGCCAAAGATCAAGCGACAAGCCAACAGATCTTTCAACCAAGATGACAAAATATGTACCTGCATGAGCAAAGATTCTTCCAACCTTTCACTATATACTTCCTCGAGTAAGCTTTCCTTTTCCGAAACTACCAAGTCTGACTTCGACGTCGAATCCACCCACCTTTTATCACCCGAAAAACATTCCGATGGACAATGCACTTTACAGATCGATGCACTTAACAGTAAGGCCTGTTTCAAACCTCGTGCTTCTCATTTGCCGAACGCATAAACAACAATGGATAATGATCAATTGTTGTTTTAAATTCGTTTGGCACAGTACAGGGTGTCCCAAAAAAAAACGCAACACTTAAATATGCAGAACATTAATACAGCTCTAAAGCGCAATAGATAAGCACCTCTGGGAATTGAAAATGGCTCTTAATCCTTCATTTAAATTGCTAAAAGTAATTTTAGCTGAACTATGGTGCAAACCCGAACAATATTAATATTCTTGCATACTTATAAGTGGTTGCGTTTTTTTTGAAGCACTTCCCTGCTACAGTTTGACAGATTTGGAGTCTCGATTCGAGGCAATATGTTTTGCATATTTCTATTGCCTTTGCAAGGATTAGCATCAATGGGGATCTTTGATACAGGGTGTATAAAAAAAGACCTTTAGAAATCAATCTATTGTTATCATTTAAATGACCATCACTGTGGTAAGCCAATGGATGTATGAAATATTGCCAGCTTTATGCATATATTACATATCTTTGTTACAAGCACAAAAGCCTTTCTGCTCCTTCTGATAACTTCTAAAAGCAATATTCTGCACAATAATTCATGGTCAAAAGAGCTTTTATCGTGCAGATTTATATAAAGACGTAAAGTACAGCTGTGGTACAAAACCGTTGGTTTGTTGATCGAAATCCACCGGTGAAAAGCACAACCTGGCTTGAACAACGCCGGTGCGAAATAATTCGTGCCATGCATTAGATTTTATTCGATTGTGCATGTTTGCAACCCGTGGGCTTAGGAAATTGATCAGGCATTTAAATTATAATAGTTAATTTCTTATGATCTTTTTTTATACACCCTGTATAATTAAAGTGCGAACTGTGTTTTTCAATACTCAAGAAAGAATGTGGCTTTGGTTTGTCAGGTTGACAGGTTAGGAAAAATACTGTAAAAACAAAATCTTGTTTTATTGAAAACCAGGATGGAAATGGCATTTTTTATGCTTTGGATCGCGGTTGGTCAGTGGTAACTACCATGAGCAAAGGAACCAGTGGTGGCGTGATGATGTCAATCTGCCAAGCCAAAAATGTTTTTGCTTCAAAAGATTGGGGGAAAAGTTGGAGCACTTCCTCTGAGAATTATTATATAGTTCAGTGGGGCCACCACTGTGGGGAGGGGAGGGGTGGGAGAGTGACGCCCATAACCTGTAACTCCGATGGATTGCTCACGTCCGAAGTCTCATAAAAACAGGACAAGATCGTGAACCACAATTTTTATTTTACGTAAATATGTGCGATATAAATTATAGGTGCAAAGCACAAGCTTTTTGTTACACGAACGAACGAATGAGTGTAGAGAATGAAGCTTCTCGTCTAAGAGCATCGTGAAAACTGAATGGCTAACGATGTATTCCCGACATTTTAACCACAACTAATCAATGCCAGTAAAAAACATTATCTCGGCAAGGTTTACGATAATCGGCGACGATCAATTGTCTGTGATCAATGAACAGTACCACAAACAGTAGAAACTTCTGGAGCCAGTTGTATAAAAGACTAGTTAACTTTTAACTGTATTTAAGGAAAGAATTGGCCAATCAGAATTGCATATTTCTGAGTTAATAGGAATTTAACAATTCAAAATGTAGTTAACGAGTTTTATACAACCACCGGCATCTGATAATTAAAGCTCTCTGGCTCGGTTTCATTGAGTGTTATCATAAAGTAGATCAACCGACCCCAGTATTGACCGTCACCTAATATAACACTCAAGAAAACCCAGCAATGTTTATGTACAGTTCAAATTATAATACAGTTCCCTCAGATTCTGTCACAGACTCGGTCCTATATTCGTCGGTCGCACTAGCGTCAAACGTCTCATTAGTATGCAAACGTTCTTGTTCTCTTCGCCGCTTGTTAACATGTCTCTCTCGTGATCTTGGCGGCTTATCACGAGACAACTTATGTTTTCGCCTCCCTGGGAAATATTGTTCATTTAGTTTGATTTGCAGTGACTGAGGATTCTCATGCGTAGAATTACTGTCAAGTAGTTCCTCCCCAGTGCCCTGGTAGAGATATGTCTTCGTATTAGAGAAAGGAAAAGTATTACGATGATTTGACGTTGAAGCTAATGAGCTGGTACTGCTGTTCATCGAACACACTCCCGACGAATGACGGCCATCATAGGATCCATCACGATGTTCCTTACTCGAACCACTTTCGGAACATGATGTTTGTAAGTCGGAAGGTGCACGGGAATCCGAAGACGTCACGTACGTTGACGAAGACCGAGGTGACTCATTTGGTTCATTCTCCGTCATTTGCACATAGTCCCGGTTGTCTGGATCTGTAGCAGCGTATGAATCAAGAACTACAGTCCCGGACGTTTTGTGACGCATAAAACAGGGGCATCCTCTGCGTGTGATTATGTGTAATATTGCCATGGAGATCAAGGTTGCTAGAACCATTGTACACGCGGCTGTGAATATCACTGCACTAACTAGGGTCTTGTGAGTTATATTTTCATCTCCTAAAAAAATTATAGGAATTACTCAAAAATTCGTTTGGTCAACAATTATTGTCTATTTTTAGAATAAATTTGAACGCGCATTTTCCAGATTGCTTTGGAATAATGATTCCTGAAGCTCGCTAAAACTGCGAGGTCAACCGTCGGATGTTTTGTCTATATATGCTCACGGCCACGGTTTCTCTCGAACATCTATCTCTTTTTTAATGAAGTCTGTATCTATGCAATACACTTTGTTTTCTGTGTATTTTACCCAACTGATGACTTTTCACGGGATATTTTATGAAAACGTTGTTTCCATGCATGTATCTACTTGATTGTTCAGCACTCCCAAGCTCTCTGAACATGATACTGTCATTCTTAAACTGTTCTCGAGTTAAGGTAATTTTCACCCGTTTAATCCAATTGTTATGACAAGAGACAGCACTCAGTTGATAAAAAATGTTTGGAAAAGAATTTGGGTTGGTTTACATACCTGATGAATCAGACTTTTCCCTGAAATCTTTAACGACTTTTAACTGACTACTCATTTCAACAGACCCTTCATCGTTAGACACCAGACATTTGTAGTTCCCAGTGTCCGCATAGCCTGCATTTAGTATGATGAGATGTTGAGCATTTTGTTCCAATCGAAGTTGCAGGTTACTTGATGTAAAATCAAGTATTTTACCATCCTTGTACCAAGTGTATTTTGGTCTTGGCCAAGCATTCGCTGCACATACAAAAACTGCTGCGTCATTAATCAGGATCACTTTGTCTAACATTTGGTGCATAGCCACTGGTTTGCCTGTAAAATTGTAAAGGGTTTGCCTATTTAAATGATGGATTTTATCTTTTGTGATAAGAATCAAACGCTGACACACAGTGTATTATTATTATTACCCGCAGAACGGAAGGAAGGCACTGATGGAATTCCACTTTTTGTGCAAGTGAAAAGTGTTAAAAAAAATAAAGTTATACCTATGACATTCAGTGTGAAAGTCGTATTTATCACGCCAGCTTCACTTCTTGCAAAACATCGATACAAACCAACATCGCTGTGTGATACATTTCGTATTATAAAGGTGAAACCATTCAAATCATACTGCCTTCGAAAATGCGGGACTTTCACTTTTCTGAAATATATTTCTGGTTCTGGATGACCGCTGGCAGAACAATTAAAATGAATATCATCGCCAAGATTAGTTACCAGATCCCCAGGTGTACTCGTAAATTTGGGAGAAACTATGAAAGAAAAAAGATTCAATTAACCTTGAATTAAAATTTTATACTCTGGCAATAAATAAACGTCATATTTTCTCAGAAAGAAATCCCAGTAGAGTTAGTGAAAATGACAAAATGATGAAATACTATAAAACAAGGTGCCACAAATTACCATAAATGCGTAGTCTTGCAGTGCGTGATGGGATACGTTCTTTCCCAGCGATAACAACACATTGATATGCTCCACTATCTTTGGCATCAGTGACGTCATTCAAGTACAAGATACTCTTATAGAACACAAACTTATCTTCCACCTGAGACGTAAAGTTTGAATTATTTAGTCTGAAGCCCACACAAACAATGATGTTCAACCGTCTTTGAATCTTTCATAGGAACAAACCACGAAAGCTGACTAACTACTTGGGAAAATTAGACCGTTTAGCAGCCTGGGCGGATTCAGTCTTAGTCAAAATAAATTACAACAGATCATATTTGGATATATTTCAAACAAAAATGCCTTAACATAATTTCATTCGTAAATTTAAATTCTAAAATATTCATATAGGTATTATCGTGAGCAAATTCTAAAATATTCATAAGCATTGGTATTTAGATACTTTAAATTTAAAATTTGGTGCTTTATTAATTTATTTTGACTAACGCTGCATGGGACGCTGCTGACGTTCGGGATATTTTCTAAAAAACCAAGGAAGCAGCTGAGCTTGGCTTCGAGCTTGGCAGTGCATGTCAGTACTCAGTAGTCTTATCAAATGTGGTTTAAGCAACCGCCGAAATAGACACAAAAAACCATTCTTACGTAGGGTCGAAACGTCAAAACGTCATCTTCTATGACGATTTTTTGTGTACCTGGATTAAATAAATAAAGTATTGTAGTCTTACCTGAGTATATATCGTGGATTTGTCCATATCAATATTTTTCATATTTTTCTGCCAGAGTATTTTTATCCCTTGCAACGAGCCATTCTTGACTGTACAACTCAGTCGTACATCATCTCCTTTCATAGCAATCTGGGATTCGGGATGCTGATATATCTCAGGACGGGATGAGTCTAGAGTTTTAAAAATCTCATTTATAAACATGAGCCAATTGTGTTTAGCGCACTGACGTATACTAGATTTAGTCAGTGGTTCAGCTCTAATACAGGTCAGTGGTTCAGCCTCTGGTATTACTAGTGGCAGTGCATGCGTTTCATTTATTCCAACTGCGCATGTAGAGTGTATTTGCATAACATATTAATATGGAAGACAGTTGCGTGAAAATTTTAGCATTATTTTACCACTATCGACACACAAGAGTATTTTAGCAGTTGTTAATATAATACTGACCACACATTAGATCTTTCGTGGGTATCTTTGTAAACTCGATGCCAGATAATTTCTTTGGTCGATTACAAGTAAACCCAATTGAACGAGAAAAACTTTTGGTTTTTAACCACTGAGAAAACCAACGTAACTTACAACCGCAATACAACACCTTACTGTTTAGTTGTCTAGATAATATAGATAAATAGAAATATAATGGAATTCATTAATTAATCTGGACTCCCCCTGACACAAAATATATATGATTCAAGTACTTACAAATCTTTTAGTTTTTGTAGTGAGGTAAAAGCGTTTTTCGTTATCTCTATGATAGGATTATTCTTTAAATCTCTATAAAACAATATTTCTCGTCAGACGTCAGCGATCAAATTCTATTCGCAAACAAGATTAAAACCTGATAACTTACATTTCTTCCAAAGTTTGCAATTTTTCAAATGTGGATTTCTCCACAAGCGACAGCCTATTACCACTGAGATCCCTAAAAAACAGTAATTTAAAACCAATAATTCAAAATATGACATTGCATGATGGTATGTATACGACCGAAGTAAATACCATACTTACAAAATTTTCAGTTGTTGAAGGTGGGGGCTTTTAGAACCACCATAAGAAATGTCAAATATTTCGTTTAAACTAAAATTTCTAAAGACGTAAAAAAGAAGTGAAATCAATTAAACATTGAAAACCAAACAGTCATAATAGTTGTTACAGTATTTGAAGTACAGTACTGTATAAATAACCATAATAAGTTAATAACCATAATATAACCATTATATTACTGTGTGAAAAACTTCGAATTATTAATACCATCGCAAATTGTTGTCTTGTTTTATAAAACTCATATCTTAAGTTTACAAGTTGTTGCTTTTTGGAGCATGTTTCTTCCTATATTAGAGTGTAACTTAATTTATAGATAACTTACAAAGTGTTTAACTCATTCAAATTCAGAAAGTTGCCTCCGTCTCCAAAGCTAGCGTCACCAGCAAATAAAACACGCTTTAGCTTGTTTTGAGCTAAATTTCTAATAAGGAAAAATACAATTAGGAACTAATTCATCAACTTAGAACTGCAGAAGCACATTATTTTGATGGTGGATTTCTTACATGTATTTCAACATGTGACAACAGTTTGCCTTCCAACTCTCAGCGGAGATATTAACAATCTTGTTGTTCTGAAGATATCTGAAAGAAAAAGAAATTCAAAAATTAAACATTATGAAAATGATTTTGTCAAAAAAACCCCCGACAAATAACTCACAAATATTCCAAACTAAGCATTCCAAACATCCATTTTTTCTCAACACTTTCGAGTAAGTTTCCATTCAAATATCTAAAACGAATATCAATTATATAAATGCTACATTTGTTTTAAAGAAAGAAGAATAAAAATAACAAGTTTTCTATCTTATTTTCTTTCAAATGACGAAACAACTTACAAGTGCTTTAGTTTCAGTTTCGTGAACGCAGCAATTTCGAAGGTTTTGATTCTATTATTAGATAGTTTCCTAGAAAGATTGGACAACATATAATTAATATACAGCATAACACATGGCATAGGTCTCATTAGATTCGACATCAAACTACGTAGGCACACTGTTTCGTAAAAGCATGTGAAAAATATGGTGAAACCCATTTTTCGTATAGGCGCATGAATGTAAATCTAAACATATTACTTTTAATTAATGACCCCCAAAAAACGAGGTTATATATCATGTACACATATGATATAACGACTTGTAAAGGTGAAAATCCAGTCATGCCAAGGCCATGATTCAATCATAAAGTATTAGTGTAAATTGTACTTACAAAACTTCAACAGCAGGGACCATATTTGAAAGAGCGAAACTTTTAAGCGTATTAAGTTGGTTGCTACTCAAATCCCTAAAAAGAATAACATACTAATGCTAAAGCAGAGAATGGTTACCAGGCCTGTAGCTCAGGCACAGATGAGATATGGATCTATATCCATCAGCAGCTGAGGAAAGCTGGGGGGGGGGGCAATGTCCCTGTTTGAAAAGAAAATTGACATGATGCAGCTACCAGACTACCAGAATGCACCAAAAAAGCAACCATCAGCAATTTTTTTAGCAAAAAATCACTTACTTAATTAATTAACTCATTTTCTAGTTTTTAAAATAATGAAACTTGATTTTGATTTTTTAAAATAATGAAATCCAAACATGATTTTGATCTGACAACCATTTTGCCTGCTTGTCTTGTGTTCAAGAATATTAATGACAAATAATTTAATTTGGTTACTTACAATATTTTTAAAGATGGACACATAATATGTGGCAATTCTGTTAGATTATTTCCATCAAGTTGCCTAGTTGAAGAATAAAGAATAATAAAGATAAAGCAGATATATGTAGAAGTATTGCTTACCAAAAATCATCCACTACAGTCTGTTTCATCCGTATACAAATCTTCAGGTGGTGAAGATTGAAACCACCTGAAGATTCTTATACATATGAAACAGACAGTAGTGGACCATTTAAATTAAAGTATGCCGATTGGGTAAGAATAATAGAAGCACATGCAATAAAAAAATTACATGTAGATATACTAACAATGTTTGCAAACTTTGAAGATCTTCAAATGCAGTAGGAGATATAATTACAATTTCATTCTTGCTCAGATATCTAGAAAATTTTAAATATTGTGCAATTGAGTTCTGAGGCATAACAAACTATGTAAATGTTTTTCATGATGGAGTTGAGTTTAGTCATTCATCCGACTAGATTGTAAATTTGTAAAGTAAAATGATTACAACTTACAATTCTGTTAGACTTGTAATATCTTTGAAAGTTTCATTGCCAATACTTTGAATTAGATTTTGACTGAAATCCCTAATTATTTAAAAATACAATAATAAATGACAAATTGAACAAAACCAGTAAACACTGTTGACAACAAAACTATAAAACTAATGGTGTTCACAAATAAACACATGTCACACTCACAGTTTGGTGAACTGACTCCAATTTCCATATAGTGATTTCAATTTATTTCCCTTTCTGAAGATAGAAGTATAAACAAAGTAAAATTAAAATGATTACAAATTCTGTAGACCATCATCTAACGTTAAAAAAATTAACACCATATTTTATTCTTTCTGATTATCATTGAGCTATAAACTTACAGATGTAATACATCTAGAGATTTTGGAAACTTCCCAAGATCAGCTACATTTGAAATGTCATTATCATTTAGATTTCTGGAACAGGAAACACGTTAAAACTGGATTAAAAACATTGAATCAAAAAAAGTTATATGAAAATCATGAGATAGGAGAAACTTGTGTGCCTTACAATTCAATCAAATTTGGAAATTTCAGAAAAGTTCCATCCTGAAATGACGTTAACTTGTTGCCACTGAGGTCTCTAAACAAAACATAATTTGGAAAACATCATAACGGGGTTGTTGGTTGTACATGTAAGCAGTGTAAGTAGTCTATCTATTATTTCAACAAATTCAAAATGTGAAAAATCCCGGTTAGGCTTTCAACTCTGTGCTCCGTAGTTGTTTAGGTTTAAAACACTCAAATAAGTGAAATAACAGAGACGGTTTGATGATCGGTGGCCTAACAATTTTTAAATACTCTGCCTCGCGCAAAGAGATATTTATTTTCAACCAGTAGGTGAAATTACTTTAGATTAGCCTGGGAATATCTGATTAACACTGTTAAGACGGAATTCCTGGCGTGCTGCAACCATAATTTTTATACGTATGTAGACAATTATTGACAATTATACGACCAAACAAGATTAGAGATGAACAGGAGAATAACGAAAACAACAATAAAAGGCAGTTTTAGATTGTTTCTGGATGTAGTCCTAGGATTTATATGCTGAGGTACTGATTTTGGAAAATTCTCCAGTTTTCATCCTTTCCAAACAAAATCGTTTTTTAATCTCTTGGCAATGTCAATGGTGTTTTTCTTTGGGGCACTTGAAACTGATTTATGTTTGCATTCAATGGAGAAAAAAATTCGTACAAGTTGGATGATGGAGTTAAAATTATACAGCCCTCAATAAATAAGCTCCGATTAGCATATGCCGCCATTTTTGGTGTACTTTTTTTTTAAATCGTGAGCGTAAGATCTCGTAACGAGTTTCTTTAATCTATTCTTCAAACGGTCTATTGATTCTAAAAAAATGCTTTCATGTTGTTGTCATTTTTAAACCCATTGGAAGTACCTAATTTGAAAATAATTCTATTTTACATCCAAAACACGTCAGTTCTGAAAAAATAGTCATTTCTGCTTGCCAGACATGCAAGAGCCTGCCGAGGGATAGTAAACATGATCAAATATTTGTCAAAAAATTGCAATAGATAATCGCTTTATACCACGCAAAACCTTTTATAGCGAAAATCTATGCCCCGAAGCCCTATTTAGAATTTGACGTAAAACAGGCAAATGTTCCATATTATGGAATTAGAACCTCGAACGAAATCATCGAACGAACGCTTTGGAATGTACACGGGTAATGCCATAATGCGATTATTCAAATACGATTGATTGGAAAAATATAGCGTTCCAACTGAGTTCAGAATTCTTATGGTTAACACGGGGGAAGGACACCCTACCGGTTCAATTGTCACAGAGGACCATCTAATTAAATAAAATAACAAAGTGTTTGGTTCAAAATTAATACTCTAGTTGTAAGATATAAACAAAATGATTTATAAGAAAACGTTCGTTATTTGACATACGGAAACACGTATAGGATCATTGATGGATTACTTTGAAAAAACGCGAGGGGACCGTGGTTAATATGACCTCCCATAGAGATAAGACACGCAGAAGGATGGTTTAGGAACGGTTTATAGATGGCGAAAATTAGATGCCCATAGTCCACGTGTTGAATATTTTAAAAGCAGAGATTAGTGTATTTCAGTCCAGTCAACGTAGCTATTTATCGTTTATAATACGATCGCGAAGTTTGTGTTATGTTCCAAGACAACCTCAGGAAAGTATTAGTGAACGTTGAAAGGAATTTAAAATTAAAGACTCGTCAACAAGCTGTGAATGACTTAATTCAAGCACAGTTCCTCTTACAAAATTCATGACTTTCGTTGTCATGCAAACTATCCTACGGCATTTAGAAACATAAATCGGAAAATCAACGACACAGAACAAACCTATTTATCAAATCAACCTTTTGGGTTATTCGTATAATGTTTGTGTGGAAAATTAACGAGTTAGTCGACAAATTATTGGATATTTATATAACTCTTTGTGATAAAAAGCACTCTAAAACTATGTTCTCAAATATTGGAACAGGAAACATAAATCTTTAGAAAACAGAGCTCAAAATATTTCAAACATCTACGCTCCTACCGGCTTGCTTTTTATTCTTACCTACACAGCACGAACTCTAAAGAATATTTATAAAGTATCTTTATTAATACGGCAAATAAACCAACACATTGACATTGTTTACCAGCTGACAAATTCGGGCCATTTATACAGCGTGGAAGGGATAGTTTGTTTTTTATAAAATCAGTAACCTGCCAGTATCAGCTGTTGCTACATGAATTCAAAATTAAAACGAGTGCGACAAATGCGCCTCCATTCTCAGCGGGTGATGTCCAAATCTCAATATAGTCGGGCCTTTGACTTTCATAAAATAAAACGATGCACGATTGTGTACCAATTTCGAGCAACGAAAGCTCTAGACGCATTTAGCCATGTTTAATGCCACACTAAGAGGAATCATCGCTTCTAATTTGGCTTGTCATAACATTACAGCATATCAAAATAATAACCCTGCCGCAAATAAGGCCTCGTTTAGAAGAAAGCGGCAGCGAATAAATAGCTTTAAAATGGATTAATTTGCTTTTAAGAACGCCCCGAACGTACACTTAACACGACAGGCTATGTATAGGTGTAGTATTATATCATTTTCGGGTTGTTTTCTACCCCAATTTGTGTTATTGAAACACGAGTACATCTGCTTGCTCTATTTAATAAACGAAGCAAAAGGGACAAACGATAAGTGGACTGAAATATGATGTATAAAGGTTAAGCGAAGTGTGGAATAGAAGGCGGGCTTTGTACACTACTTAAATACTACACTGTATTGTCGAAAGAGAAAAGGGTTTTTAAAGCGTGTACGATAATTATTATAATGTAGCCATTGCTGTGTTGATTCAATTGACGAACCTATCTTGCGATAAGGTCGACCTCAAACATAGATAAGACATCAAACGCGTTGAAATTTCTTATCAAATACAACTCGTTTATTACAACATTCATTGCTCTCAAATACCCGAAGCCGATTAGTAATAAATTATTAAAAGGCTGACAACAACTTACAGCATTTTCGACTTGTATTTATTTAGCAAGGTATCATTCAAAACCAATAAATCGTATTCGTAAAACGATAAATCGTTCATAAAAGCGGTGGTGTATTTTCTTTTATAACCTCGCATGAACTTTTTCATGTTCTCGTTTTATGTGTTGATTTCTCGACTTTGAATGATATATGTCCCCACGAGCATGCATCTCATGTGAGACAAACATTAATTTACACAAGACAGTGAAAGTTGACACTGCAAATTAATGTATCAAGCAAACGTACGACAGATACACCAACATGAATGTGTATATATACACAATATATAAAAGAAAACCATGACATCAAATATCGAGAACGTTTGTACTTACAAATTTGTTACATCTTTTGGAAGCCATTTAGGAATTTGTAGCAAATTTCGTCGGCTACATTTGATATTCGTCCCTTCACACTGACAGACGGCTGGGCATAACTTTTGTGCAGAAAGTACAGTAAAGTAAACAGAATATAGCAACAGGAAAGTCCACATAGCGATGACCGATTATGATTTTATGGACAGTGTCTTTGCGAAGATATAAGAGTGTCTTCTTCTCACAACGGTGAAGCCGTAAGACTTCATTTGAGTCTCTCACAATGCCCAACACTGTTGGAAACTCAGCACAGGCAAACACATGCAGATCTCACAATTTGACTCCGCGTTCTAGAGCCTATCAAATCAAGGCTTCATACTGTGCGCGCTATACTCGTCACTCAAACGCATAATGCAACAAAATTGCACACAGGCTGGTGTTCTGCGATTTGATTGGCTAAGATCAGGGTGAGACGACAGATATTAAATGCGTGCATCACCAGTACATCAATTATGATAGCCGGGATATAAAAAAACTGAATTCTGATACTGAGGTCTGACAAATACTCATTTAACATTGGAAACGGAAGTATACAAGAAAAAAAACAAGAGTTATGATAGCTTAGCATTATTTTCAAGCATGTTTTAAAAATTGTGTAAACTGTGTTCATCAACCGCCACGTCTCCTCTCGTTTTTAGCAAATATAGCATTCGGAATTTTCTACCTTTCTGATAAATATCGTTGCTCCACAATAATAATATATTGATAAAAAACACTTTTTTTACCAAGAATAATTAATAATATTTAAAAAATGTGGGGTAGGATGGGAGAAAATTCGGTTGTCATGAGTGTTCTTCGCCGCGAGCTCCGTTTTAAATGTCTATGAAGTCACTGAATTCCTGCCCTTTGAGGAAATATGACAATTCTTAGTATCTTAGTACGCAACAAAGAAAAGTAAAAGACAGAAAAATGGGAGAAATAACGATTATGGTTAATAATTTCTTTATAAAGTCGCAGAACAGCGGACGCATATACAGAGTACATCGATGATCGATCAGGAGTCGTTGAAACTTAAAGCATACATATTAGTCGATTGATTCAATAATGTCTGCGTGCCGTGATGAAAAATAAATGGTAGATGCAACAAGTCATTGATTAGGAGGATTTATTAAAAGGCTATAAGATTGAGGTCTGCCTCCGTTTAGGATCTTGTAAGTGGCAAAGATCTACAATTAAGAAGTAGGATCCTTCCGGTCTTGGTACAAACGAAGAAAAATATGTGGCCTGGCTTCCACTGGAATCTTTTTCAAAATCCATACTATGAGTAAGTACTATACCAATGTATTTCCATATTATACTCCATTGTCTGGAAATGACATGGATCAAGATTTTCCATATTATTTCCAACGAAGATCAATGCTGTTTTCATAATATGGATTTCGGAGAAAATTTCTATTGTTCCTTTTAACCACTCATATATGGTGCGTTCTAGTTGATTCTTTGACCCGATTCTGAAATCAGTTCTGTAATGAAAACCCAATAAATGTGTCATTTTTTAGACTATATCGCTACGTTCTTGGCACAAAATAGGTGGGCTCGTGAAGAGTTACAAGCTGAAAGAGATGGTAAATACTTATACCAGCAATTTACAGAGGAGCAGATTAGATCTCTTAACACATAAGTAGTTTTATGTGAGGCTATTCAATATGCTCATCTTTAGATACCAGATGTGCTATCCGAGTCTTGGTATAAACACATGCATGATTTGTCAGGTTGATTTAGAAGCTAGCTTTAGAAGTGACGAATGTTGGTGGTACTTAATGTTGTCGTCAGGTCGACGTTTGCCGCAAATAGTTTGCAATATCACTAAGGTGTATTTGAATCGATCCGACAAAACGTTGTGTTCAACTCTTCCTTGGCGGCAATATATTGCCGCTTTCATAAAGCGCGCCCAGGTAAACTCCCATCTCAAACATAGCGCATGGTATTTCTACAACTTCGTCCCAAGATGAGTCCTGATATGATGCCAGTTTCCATACCCCCCTCACCTTTCCAGAGTTCACAATTTGCAGTGACGACTCTATCACATCAAAGCTGACATGTCAATAATTATAACCCCAGTAAGTGGAACATCTTCCATTTTAACGTCTGTTCACCGAGACATCTTGTCCCTTCGCCTGCAGAGTAAACCGCATGAAAAATCTCATTATTATTTTTCGAAATATTTTCTCTGCTAGCTAGGGTGCTGAAGTGCGGTCGAGATTTGACCATATTTGCTAGATAACAATCTTCAAGGAAGTTTTACCTAATTAAAAGGGCAAGGATTATTTCAAACGATCGCGACGCATAATGTATCACATGGGATGACTCTGGTGTACGTATATCACACCATGCATGGAAGTACAATTAAAATGCTCTCAATCATTTTTGCGCTTCACTTTGTCATATAGGATGACAGAGTAAACAACGAGTTTTTACTTCAATTCACCTCCAATGTCACACTTTAACTCGCATCAGTTTCATGAAACTATTGAAACACTCTACGGTTTCCAGAATATATGCAATGCGTTCCGTTCATTTCGGTTTTTTCTTTGAAAATAATTTCAGGTCAACGTCGCTTGAACGCTTCCTTGCATAAATTTTCAACGCATTTGGCACAAAAATTATTTATTTATTTATTTGAAATCTTGTCTTTTAACAGTTTTAATATCTATACACAATAATCAGGATATCACAGCCACAGGATAACTCAATTTCTACAATAATGTTGACCTCTTATTCAAGAAAAAGTTTGTACTAGAGCCAGTGGGTCGAATTTATCCTCAAATATTGTTTTGTGCTAAAATATACCACCGCCATTCTCGCTGTGCGCTCACCTTTTCTTTCAACATGCCCCCTCAAAGTTCCGGAGGTTCGTGCTGAGCGATCACTATTGCGCAGCCAACATGTTCTTTACGCTGTACATTGCTGAAATATGTATTAGTTGGTCAGCCTCCCCCTTCGTTAATCATAGTACAGTGCAATAATTCAGTTCAGTGGATGTAATAAGAGATGCTCTGAGATTGTCGTAACGATGACGTCTGGCCGACGCCCCATTATAGTTTTCAGGGCCAAACCAAATAGGCTTATACTCTGCATTATCATTTATCAGAGGATTAGGGCGGTAAGCAGTATGCAGAACAGAATAGAACATTTAGCATTTAGTGTATCTCCACAAAAGAATTAAGAAGATAAAATGCCTTTCTTGTGTTTCTTTTCTTGTGTGTCGACTCCAGTTGTTTGTAGCAGGAATAGCTTGTGCCAAGACAACTTCAAGGTGATGATTTTCATCCTTTCATAGCGCCTGAAAAAAAAAATTAACGGTGCGGCTATCCATATTATAGCTCTAAACTATAGCTATGTTCCATCAAAACACTGCGATCCCAACTTACGCTCGTGGGTAAATTCCTCTACGGTGGGGGATTATTGCATCTGGGTAAGGAATACCTCCCTGCCCATTGATACTACGTCTACATACTCACCTAAAATGATTAATGGACTACTTGCTCGTAATGTTTTGAAATCTGTGTTTTGCTAGAACCAGAACGATATAAACAGCCCTAAACACAGAGTAAATAATAGATCTTTTATTTACTTTGTGCCTAAACTTTTACCGCATTTTCATGGCACCTCCACCACCGCCTTTTCTCTGCATTATACTCACACAAGATGAAGTACGTCATTAAGCGTTTTCAAAGATGGCCGCTCACTCAAATGAAAAAGGTAAAAGCGTTTCGTTTACGTTTTCAAAGACGAAACCAGCTCCAAAACTTGTTCAAGGAAACAAAAAATGTGGATACGATATAGAAGAGGCTGAATCGGATAAAGATTTTCTACATTCTGCCGAAGGGAAGGTTTTAAAGAGGTATATATGTGTGATAGTGTTTTATGTATATACTGATTGGCTTTCATTTCTTTCGACAATTCCTGCCTTTAATATTATTTTACCCTTTAAAATCGTAGAAAACTAGTTTTGGCTTTGCTTTGGGCACTATTTACATACTGGGGAAGGAAGGAGATTATTCAGCTCAATGGAAAACAAGATTTTTTAAATGTCTTTGACGTTTACGGGCCATGTCGATAAAAAATAAAAATAATTCATATTGACACACAAAACATCGAATCGTCATTATCATCTGACTGTACCCACCCACTGATGGTCCACCATAAATAAAACGTCTACCATAGCAGCAATTCCTCAAGGTTTCTTAATTAAATGTTGTATTTTGTTGCCACTCGTAGCTTAAGTAAAAACTTGCCTAACCACCTATAAAAGGCTATAATGCCAATTCGGCAATGTTATTGGTGGCAATGTGAATATGTGATTATTAGGTTCACAGACCACTATCATATAGTACGCCTCATCAAATACCAGATAAAACCATTTTCTCTTACGACCTGACCTGTCAAAAATCAATATATTAGGCTAGCATACAGTGGACATTGGTACAAATTTGCAGTGTGGCAGTCATGTCTGTTGCTTTTGTAAATTATATTTAATTAAACATTTAATAATTACATACTTTAAGATATACATATGCATAAAATATAGATAAAAGTAATTTGTGTCTGCCAACGGTCTCTAATTTACTGTTTTTAACTTAAAGTAAAAACCCAAAGGCAGCAGTTAAAGAACTAGTGATTCCATGCCGTAGTCGAAATGATGTGTTGTTAGCCAGAGTAAAGAATGAAGCAGGAAATACATTGGATAAACAGGCAGCTGAGGAAATTATTAAAGGTATAATTCGGAGTTGCTACTTGACATGATTGGAAGAATGAGAGAAAGTTTAAGCTCCTGGCATACAACATTGAGCTAGACATGACCATTGTACCAACCCCTATCAACAGTTCATTGGTAGGCTGTTCTTCTAGATCATTCATGGCTTATGTCAATTAATTACCTCATTGCTCTATACAACCCAACCTAGATTTGACAAATGCTGAGAATGTTGAAAATAAGATAGAAAATAATTTTGCAATCCCATTGTTGGCAAGAACACATTTGGCAACAAAAGGTGAAACAACAAGTGATGCAGGAAGTTCCACCATCATCGAGGACGAGGTTTGTACAATTTTTAATCAGATTGGTTTAGTAAATTACTATCATTTATTACAATATATAATTTTTTAGAGCACCTTAGAAGACTATGATGCTGTTCCAGTCACATCGTTTGGAGCAGCAATGCTCAGAGGAATGGGTTGGAAGAAGGGTGAGGCAATTGGGGGGACAAATAAAGGATTGACAGTGCCAATAGAATTTATTCCTCGCTCCCAAGGACTAGGCCTTGGTGCTGAACGACGTCATGAAGATGGGGAAAAGAAACGTAGAAGAAAACCTGGTGATACAAAGTCATCTGAGGTAGTGTGAATAGATTATATGCTAACCAAATTGTGTGATGTATATGTTTTAAATTCTAAAAAGTGTTATTTATTAAGTATTCAGGTGCGATAATCGAAAAGAATGGTAGAGTTAGACATTTCAAAGGTTTGGATGAAAAATTACCTGAACAATCTGATCAAGGTTTGTATATTGCAAGTTTAGTTTTTTATATACCTTAAACCTGATCTTGATCTTAATGTGTATTTATAATTATCAACATTTTTTCCTTTAATTAACAGGTAAAACATTTTCCAAAGGTGGTTATATTGTTATAGAGTATGGAGCACATAAAAACTTGGGGGCCAAGGTTGGTGTATTGAAAGACCCAAAGAAATATATTAAATCAACAAAATAGACCAATTGCGAAACTTAGTAACCGCGCCTTCGCATAACATGGAAGCGAGGCTTATTATGCAAAAAACAATATTTGTATTTTTTGCCGTACAAAGCTATCCGCCGAGTTATATCCCGGTTTTCGCCTTTCGTTTACATATTTTTTGATACCTTTAAAGCTCGGTTTCATTGTTGTTATCATAGTTTTCAGGTGAGGGAGTTTTGCCTTTCATTTGAGGCGTTTTTGTGATGTTTTCATTAATTTTTTCGGCTGCTTTCGTCGGGGAAATATGGAAAAGGCCGACACAAACTCAGGTAAAAATTCAGTTTTTTCCAAACTATTTCGTCTCAAGTCTTGAAAATTTATTTCATTTTTTTCCCTCTTATTTGTGCAAAATTTGGCGATATATATTTGGTGCAAAATCTATGTTTTTGTGACAAAAATTGTTGAAAACTAAATGAAAAGTGACAGTCAGATTTTATAATTTCACACCTAATGACTGAAATGGTTCAAATTTATTCACAAATATCACTATATTTTTTATCTTTATACCAGAGTAATACTGTGAAAATGGCAAAAAGTAACTAACTGAAATGTTTTTGTTTATTTCGCTTTAAAAAAGTACAGACGATGCATGGCTTGCATACCGACATGAAGGCCGAATTTTATTTAAAAGTCGAATTCGAACGCATCTGACGTTCTGTATATTTTGTGTCACTACAAAACACTATCACTAAACACTATCTACTACCATGCAATAGATGTTTTAAATAAGGATTAACCAGGAATACTTTAAAAGGAAAGGATTCCGTTCACCATCGCATTATAAAACGGAAAACACTTCCGAACTTCGGGGTTGTTTTTTTCGCCTTCGGCTTTGCCATCATGTAAAGGCATATCTTAAAAACGCTGCTGCTCGCATTGTGGCTACCTTTATAGTATGATATTGTGGGAAAAGAAATATTAAATGGTAATTCAAAATAGAGAATGATATTATGTCTTGGTAATAAGTATTTTACTATCCATGTCATGCATGTGTGCCAAGTTGAAGAGTTGTTTTGCTTTTCAGTCGGCATCACGTCACATGTATTGTAGTCTATATACACAGGGAAAATAAACCAAAAAACTCCGTTGTATATTTTATCTCCGATTGTTTCTGTCAACAGAGTTCTGCTAATTTTTTCCTGAGCTGTAAAATTGCTGTGAAATTACAGCTTATCGATCGATAAAATTGGTGTAAAATAATTTTAAATGAGAAATGTAAACATGTTGGTTGTTCGACCGTGACTTTTCAATAATCCTTGTCACAAAAACATAGATTTTGCACCAAATATATATCGCCAAATTTTGCACAAATAAGAGGAAGAAAAATGAAATAAATTTTCAAGACTTGAGACGAAATAGTTTGGAAAAAACTGAATTTTTACCTGAGTTTGTGTCGGCCTTTTCCATATTTCCCCGACGAAAGCAGCCGAAAAAATTAATGAAAACATCACAAAAACGCCTCAAATGAAAGGCAAAACTCCCTCACCTGAAAACTATGATAACAACGATGAAACCGAGCTTTAAAGGTATCGAAAAATATGTAAACCAAAGGCGAAAACCGGGATATAACTCGGCGGATAGCTTTGTACGGCAAAAAATACAAATATTGTTTTTTGCATAATAAGCCTCGCTTCCATGTTATGCGAAGGCGCGGCTACTAAGTTTCGCAATTGGTCTAAATGTAAAAAGTTCTCGAAGAAATCTGAAAAAATTTTTATAATTAATAAAAAACTCTAATTATCCCTAAACATCCTTTTATAATGCAGTATAAATAATCAATCTTATTTTCTTTGTAGATAACTGCCGTGGATGAGGATAATGCCAGACTGATTGTCCGTCTTGCCATGAGCGATGTGGTAAAGTATCTGTCTCATTGCATTAATAATCTTTGGATAATTAGATTATATCAGGATTTCTGTAACTACTGTAATTTCTTTTTCTATTCTTATAGGAAGTAACTGTCAGTCAACACAACGTAAAGCTGGTTGACAAAGATGAATATAGACAGTTTATTAAAGGTAAATGAGGATATTCAATTTTATTTTCTGTTTTTCAATTTTTTGTGAAGACGAGTACAAAAGAAATTGTATTTGCACAAAATGTTTGATCAATATCCTTAAAAATAACTTGATTCTGCTGCTAAACTAACTTGATTCTGTGAAATTCTGTTAACAAATATCAGCAACAGTGCCTCTCAATTTTAGGCAATGCAGGTATCTCAAAAGACGATAAGGATAAACATAAAATACGGAAACGACAACGAGATGTCGACGAGAGGTAAAATATTTTCATCTTGTTTATAAATTCGACAAAAAGTTGTGCGTAATGTTTTTCGTTGTTATTTATTAGAAATACTCGTGAATACAGTTCAAAAAAACACAAGACAAAACACAAGAAGCTGGGTAAAGAAAGCGATGATTCAGTAAAAAAACCATCTCAAGATAATCATGAACACGAAACTACAATACCAGTAGATGTGATGGATGAACACTGTTGGATGGCTCCTCTTATCCGAGTTCGAATTATTAGTAAAAGTTTTAAAAATGGCAGATATTATCAAAAAAAGGTACATTTAATAGGAATACAGAGATTATTAATGGTGGATAAGCAGTAGATCTTTTGTCCACATCATATGTGTATATAAAACAACATTTTCCCCGTAGGAGAAGACAAATAAAACTCTTATGATACTGTTTAAATCCGATACCAAAATAGACCGAGAGAACCCTGGCAGTTTCTTCTAACAACTTTACAACAAAATGTGGTATAACAACTGCCTGAAATAAACTTCTTAGCAGAAATAAACTAAGCTAAAATGAAGTCGACCGTTCCTTTGACCGGAGATATCTCAACCGTTGTTACAACATTGAAATCTACGTCACTGAATAATATTACTCATTAGTTTCTTTCTTTTTTTGTAAACTTCAATTTTTAGGTAGTCATTCAGGACGTGATCAGTAGAAATTCATGTGTATGCAAGACAGATGAAGGACGTCTTATCGATGGTATTACTTTTCGTATATCTAATTACTTTTAAAATCCTGCAGAATGACAACGTCTCTAATATATTTTTTGATATCGTTATTTAGATGTTCCACAAACTGCGTTGGAAACTGTGATTCCGAAAATTGAGCCAAGATATATTTTATTTGTTCAAGGTGTGCACCAAGGAGAGGTAGGTGGTGGTATTGTTAATATAGTATATAATCCTTTACCAGGGAGAGGTAGGTGGTGGTATTTTTAATATAGTATACAATCCTTTACCAGGGAGAGGTAGGTGGTGGTATTGTTAATATAGTATACAATCCTTTACCAGGGAGAGGTAGGTGGTGGTATTGTTAATATAGTATATAATCCTTTACCAGGGAGAGGTAGGTGTTGGTATTGTTAATATAGTATACAAACCTTTACCAGGGAGAGGTAGGTGGTGGTATTGTTGATAGTATACAATTGATAATTCTTTCAGATTTTTATGGGTAAAATTTGTGTTTCCGTTTTTTGTTAAATTATACTTTGATATTTCAATATAGATTGGAGAAATTGTTCAAACAGAATCATCAAAGCAGCAAGCAGTTGTTCAGATTTTAAGTGACAGAAACATTGTAAAATCACATTATGATGATATTTGTGAATATACCGCAGAGGTTCATCAAGAATCATGATTCTCGTACACTGTATAAAAAACAGAATTTTAATTTCCTGTAAAATAGTAACGTATAATTACAATGTCGGAGTTTTAGATGCTTCTCGGGTGTTTGAACATGCTTCATGTTTTCTGGGTCGCAGCATATGAATATGATCGCAGAGACCGAGAGATTCATTATTCGATTGCTTTTAGATTGCCTACCGAGGGTTGGGCTTTACGCGCATACCGCTTACTGTTATTTATGATACCGAAACTCTGTGTGAGAGGAAGGACTGCTTTATTCTTTCTTAGCTACCTTCTGAAATTTCTGTACATTAGGTATTTTATTTTTGCTGTATACATTGCGAGTATCACAGTATACTTAACTGAATGCAACTCTTGTTCAGACAAACAATTTGGTTTTTTTTTCCGTCACGAGTTTTTTTTGTTTTTATGGTTTATGGCAAAAATGACAAATTCTCATGGCTTGGCTTGTCAAGGCAACCTTTGAACCAAGAAAAATTGCGGGCGGTGCAAATTGCAAAGAAAATGACTTTTTCAGAGTGGAAACACAGCAGCGCTCAAAGCCTCAAAAGGAGTTTGTGCAAGATCAAGAACACATGGAAGAAGAAACAAGAACGAGAGCGGTTTAAACTTTAAAGATCACACCATATTATTGAATTGATATGTCTTACTGCCGTGAGGAAGGTGAACAACTAACTATCCTTAAATTTTATTTATAGTAATATAATTTATTGCCTATGATAGAGTGAAGAGACTTTTTATAGTATTCATTTATATCTTTCATTACCAATATTAATTCTCTAATATTTTTTAATATGTTCACTCAGGCAAAGACAAGATTATATTCGTGACGGAAGCAGATCATGCAGAAGCAAGTAAAGTTAATATACCTGAGGTTGAGGATGAGGCAGAATATGAAGGCTTAATTAAACCAAATGGTGAAATTAACTGGGAGTGTCCATGTTTGGGTGGTATGGCAACTGGTGTTTGTGGAGAACAATTTAAGGCAGCATTTTCATGTTTTCATACCAGTACAAGTGAGCCAAAAGGATCTGATTGTATTGAGCAGTTTCGAACAATGCAGGAGTGTTTTAGGCAATATCCTGAAATCTATGGTGAATTTGAGAGTATAGATACTGCAGATGAGGAGGAGCAAGAACTGTCTGATTTTGTTGGTGAACAAAAAGAAAGTGAGCCAAGTAAACAAGAAGATAGCTCAAAAAGTGACAAAGATAAAGAGAAAAATACTAGTGGACAACAAGATGAGAAGTTGGAAAAAACTGCACTAAAAAAAGCTGATTTATGATATTGGTTCGATTTTATTGCTGTTTGAGTTCTTTTATAGACATAAAGCATGAATTTGTGGAGTAAAGTTGCTTTTGCAGGACTTCATCTTGGAAATTTCTCCTGTTATAATTATTGCCATTTTCTAAACATTCTAATTAGATCTTGAAAATAAATTATCACTTGTATAAAATAGTGTTTCCTGAATTAATAGAGATATTTTGGGTCAGAGTGAAACATTACTATTTGCACTTCAATTTCTGTACATTCAGTGTGACTTTCACAATTTCTCACTGCTGTTAGCAGTGATGACCATCTGCAAGCATATAATTAGACATTTTCTGTTGTTTCTAGGTGCTTTGCCCTAGGTGCAGTGATAACCAATTTGTGCAGTGATAATTCATAAAATTAGAATGTGCAGTTACAAAATGAGAAATATGCAGTGATAAATAGTGTTCTTAATTAATTTACTATGCCTCTCACTGAAGTATACATTCTTCCTGAGCCCTCCCCACATATACAATTAATGCCTCTTTTCTAAATCATTTACATATCAATGACAACTTTGATTTTTGAAAAGTATTGTAGTTTAGCTTATATATTGTCTATGGCACATTGTGCAATCCTGTTGTAACTTGTAAAATGTAAATCACGATAATAGTACAGTTTTCATGAAGTTTCGCGGTGGTGATTATAACAAGAAATGCAGGCTCGTATTCAGAATGAAAATTTAAAAAACATAAAAAATATGAAATGAAATCTGAATATGACAGCTCGTCAACGAATATTTCGTGGCATCAAAGCCTTTGCACAAGGATTTTTCATTGGAGTACCAGTATATTTAACAATAACAGATAATTTATTTACTGTATGTCCCGTTGAAGGTGCTTCTATGCAGGTATGATTCTAAATGTTATTTTATTCGTCATATTTATGTTTCCACGTGTTTATATTATGCAATTTGAGGTTAAGAAATGAAGGTAATTGTTGGAGTATTGATTTTATTCTTAGCCGGTACTCAACCCTGGTCATCATACAAAGGATGTTGTACTTATAAACAGGTTAAAGGCGAAAAGATTGGACAAGATTGAACGAGGAAACATTGTTTCAATTGTGTGAGTTTATAATTCACACTATTAACTAGTAACTACTACATCACATCATGTTTTGTTATTTCAGCCAGCCTTGTACGCAGTTGCTTTATTGGGAATCATAAAGAGGCTAAAGAGATTATCTTATATACAGATTAATACTTGCATAGTTGCTCTTCTAAACTAATCTTTGTGTTTGCAATGAAGAAGCTGAGTACAAGCCTGATTCTCAACAATTATGAGGTCACAAGGTTTAAATGGAAGGAGGTCACATGTAAATGGAATAAGTGGCATGAGAATGAGATGCTGTGGCACCATGTCAATGATAGTATGAGAGCTGTAGGACTGTGTCAATGAGAGAGTTGTAGGACTGTGTCAATGAGAGAGTTGTAGGTGACAGGATCATATCAATGAGATGTGGCACAACATTTATCATGTCAATGCAGAGATTTATCAAAGCTATCTGTGTTGAGAAAATTGTGTGGCACATTACCTGACATAGTCTTGTCAGCCCTCATTGCATGACATAGTCCTGTCAGTCCTCATTGCCTGACATAGTCTTGTCAGCCCTCATTGCATGACATAGTCTTGTCAGCCCTCATTGCATGACATAGTCTTGTCAGCCCTCAATGCATGACATAGTCTTGTCAGCCCTCATTGTATGACATAGTCATGTCAGCCCTCATTGTATGACATAGTCTTGTCAGCCCTCATTGCATGACATAGTCTTGTCAGCCCTCATTGCCTGACATAGTCTTGTCAGCCCTCATTGCCTGACATAGTCTTGTCAGTCCTCATTGCATGACATAGTCTTGTCAGCCCTCATTGCATGACATAGTCTTGTCAGCCCTCATTGCATGACATAGTCTTGTCAGCCCTCATTGCATGACATAGTCTTGTCAGCCCTCATTGCCTGACATAGTCTTGTCAGCCCTCATTGCCTGACATAGTCTTGTCAGCCCTCATTGCATGACATAGTCTTGTCAGCCCTCATTGCCTGACATAGTCTTGTCAGCCCTCATTGCCTGACATAGTCTTGTCAGCCCTCATTGCCTGACATAGTCTTGTCAGCCCTCATTGCCTGACATAGTCTTGTCAGCCCTCATTGCATGACATAATCTTGTCAGCCCTCATTGCATGACATAGTCTTGTCAGCCCTCATTGCATGACATAGTCTTGTCAGCTCTCATTGCATGACATAGTCTTGTCAGCCCTCATTGCCTGACATAGTCTTGTCAGCCCTCATTGCCTGACATAGTCTTGTCAGCCCTCATTGCATGACATAGTCTTGTCAGCCCTCATTGCATGACATAGTCTTGTCAGCCCTCATTGCATGACATAGTCTTGTCAGCCCTCATTGCATGACATAGTCTTGTCAGCCCTCATTGCCTGACATAGTCTTGTCAGCCCTCATTGCATGACATAGTCTTGTCAGCCCTCATTGCCTGACATAGTCTTGTCAGCCCTCATTGCCTGACATAGTCTTGTCAGCCCTCATTGCCTGACATAGTCTTGTCAGCCCTCATTGCATGACATAATCTTGTCAGCCCTCATTGCATGACATAGTCTTGTCAGCCCTCATTGCATGACATAGTCTTGTCAGCTCTCATTGCATGACATAGTCTTGTCAGCCCTCATTGCCTGACATAGTCTTGTCAGCCCTCATTGCCTGACATAGTCTTGTCAGCCCTCATTGCATGACATAGTCTTGTCAGCCCTCATTGCATGACATAGTCTTGTCAGCCCTCATTGCATGACATAGTCTTGTCAGCCCTCATTGCAAAGAACATAGTCTTGTCAGCCCTCATTGCCTGACATAGTCTTGTCAGCCCTCATTGCATGACATAGTCTTGTCAGCCCTCATTGCATGACATAGTCTTGTCTGCATGACATAGCATTCAGTAACAAAAAATCAACACCAAGTCCTTTACTCATTTGTAAATTTTTTTTATTAATCAATCACTCAATCAATAAGAAAAACTACACTTCTTTATTACATGTTTCAAACACGTGTCTTAGAGAGGAGATATGTGTCTTGATACATTTTTCATGTTTTTTTTTTCATCATAAATATGCTGTCAAGAACTATTTGCGAGATTGTTCAGTAGAGCGACCATTGAGAAAACTAGTTGGTGTCCTTTCAGTAAAATTCAAACCTAGAGGTGCCCCAAGGTGTGGAGTCTCACGCGAGTACTCGGCGTTATATAGTAATTGTTCCAGTTGAATGCGTACAAATGCTTTCGCTTGAGGTGTCAGACGTTTTAACCTTGGCACTAAACTACGACAGTATAGCTCGTCCTCGTCTTCAAGTTCTTTGTACTTTCTTTTTAAATATTGCTGAGGTATTATTGTCGAGTTGCTAGGTATTTCCAGTGGAATCTCTTCACGAATTAAATCTCTCCTCGGAATGAATGAACGACTAGATGTTGGCTCAATTTCGAGTGGTTGTGAACGCGTAGTACTCGTAGTATTATGGTTACACGATATGAGTTGTTTTGAATTTCCCTCTTGTCCTTGGTTTGTTGTTACAGTATCATTTGAGGGTTTTGTTTGTATTTCCACAAGTTCAGTTGACATTGTGGACTTAGTTTGAACAGTGTGACATATTTCTTGTTGTAAATCAGTGTCTTGATGGTCGCTTTCATAGGAAGCATCGTTATAATCGCCAGAGTTTAGAAACTCAATATTTGACATTGTTACAGGGCTAGTTTCATCATCACTACCATTTGCATTGTCAACCAGTTGTTGTGTACTAGTACATTCATTATTTGAAGTAGAACCTCTGTGAATAATATGAACTGCAAGCCATTCACAGTTTTCAAATCCAAATGGTGTGAAATCCTGGCTATTTGCTAAAGAAGGGTTGGATCGCCTTTTTTTAAGATATCGTCCATAACCAGTGCGAATATTGCGGAATTTTTTTTCCGCTGCCATCGGGCTCATGCCAAATTTTTCACCAACTTTTTTCCAGCATTCATCTCTCAGCTCTCGGTTTCGATATTCGCGAGAGAATTTGTTATACAAGCACTCGTGTTTTTGTACTTCTGCCATGAATACTCCATTCCAAGACATGATTTGTGTTACAATGTTTAGAGAATCTCATCGACTATAGTCTGCGATTTTAATGCTCTCACAGATTAGTAATCTTATCGCTTGAATCAATTCTCACTGGGATTGTTTAGTAAATGCCTCTCACCATAAGATTTCCCCTCGAGGAAGGTACAATCCAGCTGCTTTACCGTTAAAATCTAGATGCACGAAGTCGTTGGATCGCTGCGAAGATCGCTGTTTGTCAATTTGAGTCGTTCATTTACAATTCATCGTTTGACGTCATTAGCCGCGATAATCACATTTAATTTCTACGTTTTTACATAAAGACATAAAGACTGGTCCCAATATGGCGCCGACAGTCGGCGAGTCTCATTGATGCTAATCATTGAAATAGAAAATCAATGATCATGTGTATTGTGTAATTATGAACAAAGGACTCGCCGAGAGTCGGCGCCAGTGAAATTTGTGTTATGTGATTGGAAATGAAATGTTTCATTATGAAAATCTCCAATCAGTCCAATGCATTTTATACATAGCACATCTACTATGATTACTATCATGATGAATATTGTAATCGAACGATTGTGTATAAAATCCCTTTTGCCTTCGACTGATTATCGGCAATGAAGTCCCGGCTTACGTTTAAATGGAGGCGAGCGACGGAGCGAGCTATGAACAAGGCTTCCCCATCAGTCAGAGCCTAAAAACAAGCAGAATATAGCCATACCATAGCCAGCTAAACTGCTAAAGATAACCAAATCCAACTAGGTTGGATAGTCAAGGCTAGTTTCCACTCAGGAAAAATCTCCTTTGGATCGGACAGGAAACTTTTATATACAAAGGAAACTTTCCTGTCTTGTCCGATCCAAAGGAGAATCTTCCTGAGTGGAAACTAGCCTTCATTCAGTCAATCCAATTATACTGATAGCCCGTCAAGCTGAACAACCAGAAGCAGGCAGGGTAGCTGGCTTCATAATAGTTAATAAAAAATAAAACATTCTGTAAACTAGCCCCTATCTGTTCTCTCTAGATCACCGAAAGATCCTTCAACTGTGTTTATTAAAAGGATAATTGCATTGGAAGGTGATAAAATTAGGTGAGTTCAAACAACGAAGCTTCGGTCTTGACTAAACATTACCAACTACCGCCAGAACTGAAGTATTTCGCGCACGAGATTCAAATTCATTCTTTGCAAAAATAATCCACTCTGAGTTAAACATACACACACTATAATGTAATATTACTAGAATTTAACACTGAAAACAAACAAATTGTCATCGAAACCTTCCTAGGACGCTCAGTTTTAGAAATCGAATTGTCGAGATCCCTAGAGGACATTGTTGGATCGAGGGTGATAATCATAAAGTCAGCCTGGATAGCAACTCGTTTGGATTTGTAAGTAAATGTTCCAATTGGTTAAACTCACTATTCCAGATTGATACATTAATCATCCAATTTAGGTACCCCTGGGTTTAGTCAATGGGGTTGCAACAAGAACAGTCTGGCCACCGTCAAGATGGGCAAAACTCACTAAACAATTACCACTCGGTAGAAATCCATTTGATATAAGCGGTGGTGATTGGGACGACGATAACGATTTATGTCAAGTTACAAATGACAGGTATATTAACGAGTGTCCAAAGACTGAAGTTAATTCTAATAATGAGATAACAAACTTACCACAAAACATCAACAGATGCACAGTAACAAATTAAGCTCACAGCACAAAGAATAATAATTTTTTTCTCGGTCAAACTGGTAATGTATAATTACTATGTTTTACTCAGGTATTAAATAACATATTTTATCCGTGTTACATTCTAAGTGGTAAGGTGGTCCATGGGTCCAGTATAATGATTGTTTTATGATACAAAATAAAATACCAAACATATGAAGCATTAATTTTGGTATTGCTTATTCAAACTTTTCCTATATTGTCCAGAATTTTTTGTTTAAAAAATATCAGTAGTATTCGTTGTTTAGTCTAGTTAAACAATTCCTAGAATTATGCAATATTTAAAGACTTCTTTACAGTGTTAACAATATTATGTTTTTGTGGCAAAGCAAATTGCTCCAATGTTTGAGCATAAGGCATTGGTACATCAGCTCCTGTCACTCGCAAAACTGGTGCATCTAAATAATCAAAGCCTTCACCTGGAGGAAATGAAGGATATCAATTTAATATGTTAGTTTATGACAAGCATAAAGTTTTTACTTGCAAATTATATTGTGACCTGTGTAGCTTCAATTTAAGTCAACTTCCGCATTAAAAAAATGATATTTTTCTTACTTTCCATCATTGTGGCACATATCTCTGACCCAACTCCAAAGAATGGCCATCCTCCTTCAACGGAGATCAGATGGTTTGTTTTTTTAACGGAGTTCACAAGCGTTTCCTTATCGAGAGGACGAATACTGCGAAGATTGATAACCTGAGAATATCATAAAAACATTTTGTGACAAGACGAAATGATTTTTACCACAAAGGACGATTAGAAAACTCACCTCACAGCTAATGCTATGAGCACTTTGTAGTTCTTCAGCTGCATCTAAACACAAACCAACTGATCTTGAGTGTGCCACCAGTGTTATATCAGCGCCTAGAAAACATAAATATAGAATGAAACAAACTTTGCATTGAAGTTTTACTATGCGTTTATTTCGTTTTATACCTTCACGTTCAATTTTTGCTTTTCCAATTGGTAACACAAAATCATCTTTCATTGCTTCGTCAGACATATCAAAATTTATTCCATACATCAGTTCATTCTCTAAAACAACAACTGCAAAAAAACAAAGCTTTAAAGCAAAATTCCAAAGAAAAAATTTAGAGGCAATGAGTTGTATATTTGGGCTTGCAGTGCAGCAAACATGAACAAAATTTATTAATAGTACCTGGATCTGGGTCTCTGACTGCTGCCTTTAGCAAACCCTTTGCATCTTCAGCAGAATAGGGTGATAGGACCTGATGAGAGAGGTCAAAATATTCTGATGAAATAATTCATTTGGACTTGGTTGGAAACAATACACTGACCTTTAAACCTGGACAATTACCATACCATGCAGCGTAATCTTGTGAGTGTTGAGCAGCCACTCCTGCTGCTGCACCATTTGGACCACGAAAAACAATAGGAACTGGAACCTACAAGTGGATTAAAACGTAGCAGTTTCTTGCATTTTGAAAGGTTGGGTGATCATTTTCTAAGTTTTAATGTCATTTCTTACATCCCCTGCAGACATGTAATATGTCTTTGCAGCAGAGTTGATCACCTGTAGAAATAAATTGAGACAAAATTAACAGAAGTAAAACCAAACAATATGTTTTAAAACACTTTTGTATATACCTGATCAATGGCTTGCATTGCAAAATTGAATGTCATGAACTCACAAATTGGTTTCAGTCCAGCCTAGAAAAGACCACTCTTGAAAGCATGTTTGATGACATTTAAGTTAACATGTTGATGTTATAAAATGGCTGGCAAAGTAACTTATAAGTAGAAAGTAAATATATCAATGAATAAGTATGAACACCTATACAAAATTATTTCATTCACAAATTCCAAACTATCTTATAAATTAAGTTGAATACCATAGCAGCTCCAACAGCAATACCAGCAAACCCCATCTGAAACATTTTTCAAATTTTTCTCAATAATAAATACAAAAATGTTTGATAATGTTACTGTAATCTTTATACCTCACTAATTGGAGTATCTATGACTCTGTTTTCCCCATGTTTCTTTGATAAACCACGGGAAACCTGAAAAAATAAACATCAGTAAACTTTCTTGTGTAGCTTTTTATATATTTTAATAAAATAATGAACCTTATATGCTCCATCATATCTGGCAACTTCTTCACCCATTAAAAATACTTTGTCATCTCTCTGTATCTCCTCATCAATGGCAGCATTGATAGCATCACGAACAGTAAGCTGAAATGGCAAAGGGTCTGTTAGAGATAATATTTTGTAGATGAACATCACCATACATGAAAAATCTAGTTGCCTGTTATGCTATTGCATAACCTAGTGTAACAACACATTAAAAACCCTAGCTGCTAGGACTGGTGATGAGGGCACTGCTATTTCTCAGTTTGAAGAATTCTAAATAGTTGGAGATCCAGAAAGGTCAACTCTGATTGTACATTTGTAATGTATATTATTGCCCATTGGGTACAAGTGATTGTCTGATTGAAGTGAAGAGATAATGAAAGTAAGTATGGAGGTATATTGTGGTGCAGTTGAATGTAAAAAGAAGAGTAGGCAGTGCCTATGCGGAAAAAGACTTCCCAAATTTCACAAAAGTGCACACCTACAAAAGTATTTATACCATTGAATTACGCAACATAAATTCTAAATAAAATAAACAGACAACTTACACTTGCACCAACTGAGCTGGATGCGTGCAAATTCCTCTTGCATAAAACCTTTAATAGACCCTAATGAGAAACAGTATATATTGTATTTTATAATTGACTTAAAATCATCATTGAATACGGTAAAATAAATAGACACCTTTTGTTTTGGAAATGTTTTCGTCCGGAGAAATTTCGCAGACATAGCAGCCATTTTCAACCAAGATCCAGACTTCTCTTCTTTGCGCAACCTTTCGCGTCTGTACTGCGAGGGGAGGGGAGGGGAGGGGAGGAGAGGGGAGGGCAGGGGCGAAGATTCAAACCTAGCAACGAGCTATCAGCTATATAGTTCTTATAGTGCAATATATATACTGTTCTGTGCAGTTTCTCTTGCTGTTCTTGAAGTTCTCAAAATTATGTTGTATTTTGATTGCCTATGAATGATATATTTATGGAAAAAGCAAATATATATTATTATGGGAAAGTAAAAGATTGATCTTTTGCGTAAGGTTGTACTTGCGTCCTGTGTAAAATCCCGCGCGCGATTTCCCACGCAAATATCTGCTAATTGGTTAAAATACGAATTCTTGCAATGAGGATTAGAAGTCAAGAATAATTATTACGTGAAACGTCTGGAAATAGTTGTTTTTCTGCTACAGTCAAGCATTGAGCACCTGCTTTGTGTATCTAAAAAATAAGGTGATATATTTCATTGCGAATTTGTAAAAATGATGGATCCGGAAGAAACACCACCAACAGACGAGATTGAACCTGACCCAATTCCTGATCAAGAAGAAGACAAACAAAGCAGTGATGTTGTACTTGTTGCAAATGTCATTGAGGCTAGTAAAGATGGTGAAGTCGTGAAATATACCATACAAACAAAAGAGGTTTGTACAGTGTAACCTATTAATTAAATGGTTGAATGAAATAGACTCAAATAGTTACAATAAACATACACAATACATTTCATTATGTATATAAATTGTGGGGCGGTACTCCGTACTGGGGCCCAACCTACATGATGTATGATGTATCTCATTTAAATTCATTTACACATTTGCTAAAATACTAGGATTATAAGTATTCCTATTAAAAAATTGGGGCCCAAAATAATATGTACCACGTACCTGGCCCAGGCATGTCTCGATCTGTGTATACTGTATATGTGTACCACAATCTGCAGCAAAACCATGCAGCCAACAAAGCTAGACTGAATACAGACCAATATTCAAACTGGTATTTAAAACATTTTCAACTCATGTTCAACATGTGAACTCAACTCATGTCTATTTGTCAGACTCCTAGCCTTGTCATTGCACTTAAGCCCACCCTTTACACAGCCAAACATGCATTAACCAATGCACTGGGCAACAAAGTAGATCTCATGGATTGATTATATTGAAATCACTGAAATTGAAATCTTTTTCAGATAATGATGGGTGATGAAAGTGAAGAAAGAGGTCATGTTGTTGTGAGAGAATTGGATGATTTTGAATGGCTAGATCATTGTATTAAAACACAGAATGACATTTCTGGAATCATTGTAAGTTATTGTATATTATCAAAATTAATTCCTATAATATTAATTGTTTAAACAGTTCATATGTAAAAACTAGCAAGACTCCCCAATTAGATATAGTTTGTCAAAGTTTTTATTTAACAGTCTGGAAGCTTTACTATGTAGTAAATTTTCCATATTTTTTCCAAATGAAATATATGCATATTTTCATATGCTTATTGTAATTACATTGCAAAACTACAAGAATCTTATATAATATATTATTTATATGATTTGCTTTTGGTTGACAGTTTCCACCATTAATGACAAAACACCATGTAACTGCACTAGCTGCAGAGAATAAATCAAAGAAACAACTTGGTAAGTAATTTAAGTAGAACTAAGTATGTTTAGGTTGAAACTCAATAATCTCAAGCCCTTGAACCATGTTTAAGGTAACAAGACAAAGAGTATGCTTGGAGATGAGTTTACAAAAGAATGTAGAAGTCTTGAGAAATATATCCAGTTACTTTTGGTACATCCTATGATTTCAAAAGATGTAAATTTAAGAAAATTTTTGATTGATGAAGAGGTATATTTCAGTGCATCTAACAACCACATCATTACCTTCTAATTATTTCTTACAGCTTTTATAACTTTCATATACTTTGTTTTAGCTCCCACCTAGAGTAAAAGTTAAAAAAGGAATTCTAAACAGTTTATCAAAAACAGTTGATGAAGTTCGATTTACATCTCATAAGGTACATTTCTCACTCATATTCTTCTCTTAGTTTGCAAAACTCGAAACTCTAAGATCTGTTTTTGTATACACGCAGGATATAAATGATGAATTTCAAAGTCGAAGAAACTTTGTCAATAAATATAGTACAGATATTAAATCTTGTACAGAGGTAATTTATGCATAGACTTATGATAGAATGTATGGCCTAGCTTTGATGGCTTGTTTTTGAAATCCCTAAGGGTTTTTAATTCTAATTTTGACTATACCCAAACAACATGTTCACAATCCTCTATTGCACCGTGTACCATAAAATAAACAATATACCTGAAAAGTATAGCAACAAACTTAGATGTTCTAATGAAGTTTTTTGTCAATTATGTATACATAGTGCACTATTAAATATTCACATTTGATGAATTGCAAAGAAGTACGTACCTGAAACCCCATATTTTAGATAAAAGTTAATGCAGTTAAAAGTGTGTAAATATCTGTTTAATTTATTGGCTACAGGCCTTTACAAAGATGGTGAACTCACAGTTCAGTAAGTGTTGTTTTCTAGTCACACATTCTCATCAGGTAAAACACTATATCATATTTGTGTATTTCATTACAAATATGTTTGAATATTATAGAGGTAGCATCAGATCTTGCCTGCTTTGCTAATACGGCATCATTTAGTATCACTGACGGAGTCAACTCCAAGGAGATGAACAGGTTTGACTTTTTATTCAGTGAATATATGATTAATGGTTTTGAATGCACTTAGGAAATGTACTGTATATTTTTGTCAGATATCTTCTTGAATTTGCATCGTGTTTAGAGAAGTCTAGGGTACGTATAAGAATATATTTATCAGACATTAGAGTATTTATGAGTTTTACTCCTATTACAATAACCTACAACACGGGTACAGCAGGCAATGGTGTAGTGAAATTCGCAATTTTTGCTGCAGGAATCTCAAAATGTGATGGCGATAAATGATGAAAAGACGTTAGGTTTTACGCTAGAATTATATACAAACTACATGGATGGTGTGAAGGTTAGTTTTTTGGAAGTTATTCCTGCACAGTTCAAACAGCAAGTGTGATTGTACGAGCCAGTGATAGGATACCTGCAAATGAATGAATATGGGAGAATCACTGAGCGAAGAATGTTATCGCTCTGCGCTTTGTCTTCGAGAAACCATTCCAGTGTGTTTTTAGTCAAACTCTCATAATTCTTAGTAGAGTGAGAATTATTTTCCTAGCGTTGTGATGCTATTCGTTGATTCATAAGCTATAGGCTATACTCCCTATAGCAGATAAATAAAATGCATTTATGTAATTATGAAATTTTGAAGCGTCGCAATCTCTTTTCCAGAGTATGTTCTTGCAACGGACACAAAAGCTTGTGAAATTGGAGAGTGCTCAGAAGGCTTTACAGAAAGCAAAACCTCAGAACCAACAAGAGGTAACTGAGTTGTTTACTTGTTTTTATTATTGTTGGTTTTTAATTAAAACGACTTAGAGTTGACCAGTTCTATATTTTTGTTCATGCAGTTGGAAGAAGCAAAAAATACTGCAGAAGAAGAATTTCAAGATATTTCAGAAAAATGTGAAAAGGAGGTAAGATATAAAATCATAATTAGCAAAATTTAGTCAATAACAGCGAGCGCAATGAAAGAAGTACGAAGATTATCTTTTAAAGTGAAGATGAGCACGACAACTCATGTTTTCTTGTATAATTATTATTGTCATTCATTATTGTCTTTGGGTTATGATGTTGAACGTCATTGGTTGTCTGAGCACTGATTTTTGCCTGTGTTAATTTAGTTCTCCCGATTTCAACGTCAGCGCGTCTTGACCTTTCAATCCAGTTTAACAAAATTCACTGAAGCTCATATCTCGAATGCCAGGGATACCTACGCCATGCTGGCCAAATTATTGTCTGATGTTAAATCGATTTAATATAAAAATTTTAAATAACAATTTAACACTAAAAAAATACGGTAAATTAATTCACAGTCAAATATATTTTAAAATAATTAAACACACAAAATGAATTGGTGATTGTCGTGATGTCTACGTGAGATGGCCCAGGAGGAAATCACAATCCACCATTATGAAAAAGATGGTTGATGCACATCCTGATAGAATACATGATCTAAACTGAATAAGCAAGAAATAAACCTCATGACGTATATATACCTACCTTCTGTTTTATGCATGACCTCCAGATAAGGTCAATTCACTTTTTTATAAGATAACACATAACGATGCTAGAAACTGATGCCGATGATGACCATCGTGGAAACTCTTCACTGGTTCTCTGAACACAGTTTGCAAATTACTTGGCCTGGGACCAAGTGGAAAAATGATTGGGATATTATTTGTTTGCCTTTATATCAGAAATTTTGTATCCAGAATAATGCCCTTTGAATAATACCATAGTTTGATTTAGAGAATGATTCAGATTAAATTGTCTTTGTAAATCATAGTACTTTTGGATTGATAAACTATTAAAACTATTCACAAACCTGAGCATCAAGCTGGTCATCTTGATCATGTTCTGCTGATATAGTTTATATAATTTGATATACGTGATGACGCAATATATTCATTTTTATATATCTAGTTGTAACAGAGTAAATTAGAGTACAAAACCTAATCTGAAGTTAGCATTTTGAAGGCGAAACAGATTGAGACAAGACAATAAGAGAAGACAAGAAAAATGATTCTCTCTGGTATATTCCCGAGCTTTTGCGTCACATTCAATTGGACACGTAAGTTAAGAAAACGTAAGGTACCCACGAGCACACGTGGACAACGGGGCCTGCCTCGCATGTTGTCACACCAGAACGATGGGAAAGTAGATCTTTTTCTGACAAAACATGAGGAATTTAAAATGCTTAGGGTTTCTTCGTCGGGAGAATATGCTGTTTTTGAAGCTTTTTATTATCACTTCACTTTTCAGAAATGAGTTTACATTATGAATTAGATACAATTATTGTCCTTATAAAAAATTCCTAATGTTTTAATAGACTCGACGGTTTTAAAATAATTTCATATACATTAGATTATCCAGGTTTGTTCACATGCGCTACTGCACAGTGTTTATGAAGCTTTGAAATGTTTATTGAGCTTGTAGCTTTTGTTTTAAACTTTCTGGCATTTCAGGAGGTGGTGGTCGGGGTAACCGGAAGACAACTTTTACGGAGTCATAGATGAACCACTGAGCAGCGGTTAGGGTACCAATCATAAGAATACGAGGTCCTAAACCTTTCCATAAACCTGTAAGATAAAAAATAATATGTTTAGGATTGTGGTTGAACATGCATCAGGTTTCACCCTGTAATATACCTTTCATGCCCAGTTCTTTTGCAGCTTGTAATGGTGAACTACCAACATCGTTGTTGAGTTTAGATACAACAGTATCAGCTGGATGAGATACCACAGCACAAAATACACCAGCTATATATCCAGCAATGAAGGTCACAACCAATTGCTCAGACTTGGAACATTCATTCCTAAAAGAAAACAGATGAAAATCATTTTTGGAGCAATTAAAGACAGCCTAAAGAACAAAGCCTCTTTAAACTTGGCATTTTGGTATTGATGAAGCATCATCTTCTAACTCAGTACCTTGGCTTCGGAACAACATAGTGGTAAAGGAACTCAACAGTTCTTTCAAAGCAAGAGAATTTCATCATTGTGTAAGGAATTTGTCGTAACCAAAGTGGAGGTAAGCCCTTATAGAATCTGCAATGGAAATATTTATATTAAAATTTAAGTAAACTTTGGTAGGAATAAGTAATTAAAAATAGCGTTTAAATTGACATACAAATGATGAACTTACCCTCGAATACCTTCATCTTTCAATAATTTTGGTACTCCTTCCCTTAGAGTGTTAGCCCAGCCAGGGTTAGTTTGAATACGCACTTTGACTGCCTCCATTGGTGCCAAAGCTATATCAGCAAAGAATTCTGCACTTGCTGAGGCTGCTAGATATAGTGAAGTTCTCCAGGTGTATGAATATTCCTAAACAAAATGGAAATATTGATTAATAAGTAATTGAGTTTCAGGATAAAAATCACTTGATAACATTTAAAATATACATACCTCTCCAATCATATTACTGTAGAATATCTTAAATACTTCATAGAAACCAAATTTACAGAGTCCTTGCATAGAATAACCAATTAATGTTGGAGCCCATCCTTTAGCAAGACCTCTAACACCTTCCTCAGCAACAGTTATACGGAAAGCTTTACCAAGACTTTGATATTTTACAGGGTCTACTTGAATTCTGCACTTGACCAGATCAAGTGGAACAATGCCCGTGTGTGTTAAACCACAACTTAGAATACCACCAAAGCCACATAAAGCATAATATTTGGAATCACCAAATTCACAACTGTACTCCTCTAGAAAATTTTATAAAAAACAAAGTGGTGGTGTTATATAATATAAACAGGTGTGTGTTGTTGATAATAAGTGCTTGAACTACATGGCTAGTTCTTTTATATTTTAGGTGAAAAATAAAACTTCTGTCAACAATATGTTAAACAAGAATATTATTCTGTAGACAAGTGGAGAAACATGGAAAAATCAAACATGTATGTACATTGTACAATAGAGTAAACTACACTTACAACACAGTACTTTCATCTAAAGTTCAAATAGTTTTAAAAAAATTCAACTGAATTTAATAGCATGTATTTAGTGTACGAGTAAAATGATCTGTTCCAAGGCATTAATAATATTCACCAAGAAATTGAATAAACGGTCAACGTTTTATACTATTGAGTATTGACTAACATAAAATTTTGCTACAAAATCACATATTCGATTATCACATTAAAAAACCACGGTGAAAAACGCTAAATACGCCCAGTTTAGTAAAACACCAGCAGGTCCAGAAAGGCATAATTTCATAATCTTAACCAACTTTTAATACCTGAAGCAGCAGCCGCCATGTTGACTGATTTCTGCTCTCTTGTTTCACATTGTGCCTGTTGAACAGGACTAGAAAACGGACTATTTTTTGCTGCTTGTAATAAGCCAGAAAACATTGCTTCTTTCTATGATAAAGCTTCTATTTTGTCGGATTTTGTAAGAAAATTGTAAGTTTCTGCCGGTAGATGAATATAAGAATTAGAAAGGAAGACACGCAATGAACTATGGACCTTTTACGTCACACACGCCGTGACGTTGCTACGGTGACGTCATAGATTAAATAGCTTCCACTTCCTTCTCCATTATTTTTTTTATTTCGCTGTGCAATACTTCTTTATCTACTGTAGCCTTTTCATTTGTGATTTTACGCAAAAACGGTTGCAAACATTGTTCATTCACACCAAAAGTTAGAGTTTATTGAATATATATTGTAAATATTTTTTCGGTCTTGCGACTATGACTCAACTAAGCCCAAAGTCTTAGAATGTTGCAGAAGCTTTAAAACATAATTTCCTATGCCTAGATGACATATTCCCTGCATCTCTTGCACCAGAATCTGTGGATTTAACAGACACTACAGTCATGTAGAATCACTAGAATGGTCAATGGATTTGTTGATCAGTATGGCTATATAAAAATGTGTCTGAAAACACACTTAATACAACTGCTTTTAAATTACCTATACACTTTTTGACGTTTTGATGCAAGGGTTGTGTTGCTTAAGCTGTTGTGTTCTGAATAAGAAAATATCCGCTAGAAACAGTTTACTGAACAAATGAAATTTTCAATCAGTTGGTGAAGGAATAGCTACCAGCGGCAAAGATGGGAAAAGAGGGACGAGGATTCAGTTTGTAATTCGTTTGTGAATTTGCTTGAGAAAATGCAGTCAATGACCAGTAACCGCCGCAGGAAAAAAGCGACGGTCCTATATTGACAAATTCAATTTTTTTATTTGGTTGTCATTCTTGTATAACAACCTTCATTTGCCCATGAATAGATTTTTAATTAATATATTGGACGGTAATAACAATATATTGATCACTGTTGTTACGATGGGAGTGAACTGTTTGAAAATAGAAGACTCCAATATTGACAGCTGAGATTTAACATTATAATTATAATCTTATAAGAAACTTCTCGGTTTTGAAACGGAAATTAGCCAAATTGTAACTTTATTATATATGTATTATTTCTGTAGTGTTCTCTCTCAAAAACCGAGTTCAGCCAACAGTGTGAGAAAATATTAAAAGGCAGTGAATTCTGAAGCGCATGAAGTCATTTTGCAAACCATCAGTTGATTCAAACAAGACTGGCAGCTAAAGAAGTTATAAAAGCTGTAAAACGTCGGCTTTGTTGCATGCAATACATGTCCTGCACCACATCATAACGTCATCACCGGAAAGGAGAGACGAGCCAAGATAGTAAGTGAAGTTTAAAATGTGTTTGATAAGCAGTAGAGCTAATCAGTTACCGAACGCGGAATATCGTAGTTTTGATCATTTGTGTGGTGGGCATGTCTATATCCAGCAGACCCACAGAAAACTGAATTTTTTAATAGAATCGATAGCAAACTGTGTTAAAACATGGTAGACATTAGCTGCACTTGTAGCTGTGAGATGACCGAAATTTGAATTATGAGTTTACATTCAGTAAACGGTGTTCCAATTAACTATACTGGTATAGTTTGCATGTGGCTTGCAAAATGATTTATGAATTAATTTGAATAGGCGACTAAGAATGTATAATTTGAAAGCAGGTCTAATTCGTATTACAAATATACAGGTATAGATAGATGCATATTCAATGAAATAGATGCATAAACTGACATAAAAATTTTTTGCGGGTAACATATTGTACTAACCACTTTTATACACATTACTCGAGGTCAGTTAAGTTTTATTTCATTTCATAGATGAATATTCAGAACACGGCTTTTAGTTCAGTTTTGAATATTTTTAATACACTATAATATATATTTTTTAATTTCTATTGTCTTACTGATCACAGAATTAGAAATCGACAAGTGCTTGGAACATTCATTCGCGCTCTTTTTAGTTTAAATTTATTAACAATGTTGATATGATTTTTTAGTTAGTTTCATGAAGTTTTCTCATGTGTTTTTTAAGATCAAAGTTTCGACAGAATCCTTTTCCGCATTTCACACAAGTAAAAGGTTTTTTATCATTGTGTGTATGCATGTGGAATGTTAAATTATAAACTTGATGAAATGCCTTTCCACAAATATGACATTGAAATGGTTTGACTCCAGTGTGTGTGAGACGATGGTTTTTGAAATTGCCTTTTTGATGAAAACCTTTTCCACACACGTCACAAACAAAAGGTTTATATCCAAGGTGAATGCGCATGTGTGTGTTCAATGTCGATGAGCGATTGAAAGCTTTCCCACATTCTTTACACTGATGAGGTTTATCTTGAGTATGAATTATTTTATGTCTACATAAAGTACTAGCTTGTCGGAAACCTTTACCACAGACTTTACACTTGAAAGGGCGGGCTCCTGTATGGACCGGCATATGACGAGTTAGATTATAATGAGCATTGAATACTTTCCCGCAGATTTGACAAGAGAATGTTTTGTTGCCATTAGCACGTCTTCGTCGAGTGTTTTTCCGAGGCGTTTGTGGTTCTACATTCTCTTGTAACTGGCGAGAAGTTGTCTGAAAGGGGAAGAAAGGACCATTGGGCGGGTCGCTATCATCGCTTTTTGTTGGGGAGGGAATTATAATCGCTTCTTCTGTTGTCTGTTTAGGAACAACTGCGGCTCTTTCGTTGATAAGCTTCGTCTCAAATGTGTCCAACTTCGGGACAAAGGGCCATGCGAGGTTTACGGTTAAAGGGTCAAATATCTTTGCTATTGGGCTGGATTGGTTTCTTTTATTCTTAAATGTGAACGTTGGTTGAAGAACGTTTAAATGTAACGGACGCATGAAGTTTGGCAGGAATCCCCAATTGAGGGGTTTAGAAACCTCTTCTGTTGACGTCAACTCTGAAAGAATAAATGTAAAAGCCTTAGTATTGAAAGAATTCTTGTTTTTCCCTTTTTCAAGAGTTCATAGTAAAACTTTAGAAACTTGAAAAAACACCGAAAAGTTCTGAAAAACCCAGAAACCGCATTTTTGCTGATAAGTTGTGCCTCAATAAGGATTCTAAGTAAAGTTGTCACAGTTAAGTAGGAAAACTGAGTAAGATATGAATTTTTTGCACTGAATCAAGTGCATGTAAGTTTTGAAGATGTTTTAAAATGTTAATTGTTGTCTGCCTTTTTTTAAATTCGTTAGATGACTAACGCTATGCATAATTAACATTGTCTGTGGCTGTAATAGAATGTGTTTTGCCCAAGGGCAAAATTCATAAAGAATTTTCTATAGAATGGGTTTAACAGTATAATAATGTACATACTACGTGATATTGACTCACCTTTATTTATTTCAGTATCGTTGTCTTTGATGACTGGAGATTTGCTTTTCTTTGCGCGGAGTTTTACTAAGAAAGATCGTGGCATTTTCAGCGAGTCGTTAGCTTGTTGTTGCTGTTTTTGTGACTTTATAGAACTGGTTGAAGGAAAGGTTGTTGGTCAGGCGGTCCTTGATGTTCAGTTATTGTAGAATTCTGTTTGACTGCACCGCCAACTATGAGAGTGCTCTATTTAACTTCTTGAAGAAGAAATTCGTATTTGGACTGCAGGACTGGTTCAACTCGACGTATATGAAGGTGTAGGCGTTGTGATTCCTGTTCTCGAGATTTATTTGTTATTTTTTAAATGAAATTCTTTGCGTTTCCTCCTGCGATATTTCTGTCTCTTCTTTCTTGAGATGTTGACTGTAGAGGAGTCTAGCTCGTAATGACTTAATGTGAATGGCGCGTGCGACTTATTAATGACGCGTGTGCTCTTTTTGTCTGAACGTTTGTTGCATACAAATACAAATATTCATTATTCTAATTCATGCACACGCGCCGTATAACAAAGCCTCAATCACATAGTCTAATTATATTTTGGTACAAAAAATAGGAGCACCCCATTGCTGCAATGTCAATTAAGCTGTAATAATCAGGATTTACATTTGTCGTGCCCTCAAAGCTTCTTACGATATTTCATATCATTATTCATACGTTTTCAAATGTTTGTGTTGCATTGCAACTTCTTGTAACTGTTCTTATATTTGAAGATTTGTGTTGGCGTTAATCGACACTACATGGATTTTTCATTATAGGGACATGAATCACTTGCATGAGGTGTCGGGAAAAGTGGCGATAAAGATATATTACTATATTAGATTACAGCGCTATAAAAATATCACTGAAACTCCTCTCTCGCGGGCTTTTTTTCAATCAAAGTGCTATCGCCGTGTGTTGTTTAAGAATACGAAATATGAAAAGTTTGTTTGCGCCATTAGAACAATCATTTAGGTACAAGTAAACAGAGAATGTTATATTTGTTAGACAATCGCAAAGGCCCGTGTATGCAGACGACAACCGCATTCATTAGACAACCTTGTTTTTTCCGCGTTGCTGTGCTCTAAAAATAACATGAATACGCACAAAAATGAGCGAAAGATTTAACATTAAATATTTAGAGAGAACTCTTGATTGCTCAGCTATTCACCGATTTCAATTAACACAACAGCAAGCAAAATAATGAAAGCACGCAGTGATGACTACACATGAGATGAAATATCAGACTGAATACCTAGCTGTACGTAGCTACAACCAGTACATTATCTCATGCATGCAACTAGTAAAACTGCTTTGATTCGAAGAATGAAATTGATTACCAAATATTTAGAGAGAGATGTAGCTACAAAACTTATTGATTGCTTCGTCCCGTGTGGGATAAATTCGAATAAAATGTTAAATGCAATATAACGCGAATGAAAGAGAAATTTTTGGCAGCAAAGGCATCCAACTATTTCAAAGCAGTTTTAAAATTGTGTTATCACAACTGCAGTTTTAGGTTTAGGGTTAGGCTGCGTAAAATGAGTAAAGTTAACATATAACTAACTGTGTATAACTTTTCATCTAAATACGAGTTCGTATAAAAAACTGAAAAGGAGGAAATGATATAATGAAATAAAGGATGCAAGATATAATCGGTGAAATATGCAGCAGATATTTCGAGTACCACGATGCAACGGTCTTGAGTAAACGTTTACATGAAGTAGCTATATATATTCGTTTGTGTATAGAATAATTACAACTGGTTCTTCGGATAAACGTGGATGGATATATATATATACGCTATATATCGGTGTTAGAACTGCACGTTTAAATTTTTTAAACAACAAAATATATTTATTGCGCTTTTCCGGTACAACGGCTAATCAAGGATTTTATCTTAAACACTAGTAAATATGCAGCCATACAACTATACCTTTTTTGGTTCGAATTGTGAAGACTGATATAACTAAATAAATATTTAATGTTCATCAAGCGAATAATAATGTGCTCAATTTTTTGCGTTTTACCACAAGACAAAGATTAAAACTGAAGCTCACGAGTTATAGCTCAACTCGAGCCTCAAAGACGACAATGCCGCACACATTTGAATATCCTGGCCACCCGTAATAACAGCTTGACGTTATATTAAAATAGTTCTGGGGTTTAAAAACAATATTGCAGTATACTCAATGCTTTTCAACAAACGTGTAGGAAATATCGGATCGACTGAAGGATATGTTTATAATTACAATGATGTCTGTTGATGAGTGTATTGCCGTTTACGGAACCTGCATGTATATACTTTAAAACGCATTTTCAACCTAGTTCAGAGCAAGAATTATGATAATTATAAAGTGAGCGAGAATTTTTTGCGCAACAGCAATCGGTAATTCTCTTATTATAAGGTCGATGCAAATCCTGATATAACTCTATATGCGATTAATTGACATACTATTTCAACCTCGATACATTTTGCGAACAAGTAAACGTTGTGCAAACATGCATTTATGGATGTATTTGGATAGTAAAAAAAGTTTTCTTTTGTTCGAAGGCACGACCAAACCAGCTAAATTGGTTTGTTTGTTGAAAATCATATAAGGATACATATATATATATATATATATAATATCTATATATATATAAAAAGCAGAATGTTATTTATGTCTCGCACCGCGACATACTTGTATAGTCTTACATGCAGTTAACTTCTAAACTATGTACGAAACATCCATACTATATATATGGTCATCAGTTAATGAAAGAGTGCTACCGACACAATTTTAGGGTTAGCGATGAATTTAAATACTCGACTACATATATACATACATATATATATATATAGAGAGAGAGAGAGAGAGAGAGGGGGTCGTGCATGTTTCGGTGTGTACATGCATGTATTGAAGGTTTTCTTTGTTTCAACGCGGGATATCGTACAGCGTGTTGGCAGTATACGACAAGAATTGCAACACAAACAGACAGACAAATTAATTAATCTCATATAGTGTACACATGCATGGATTGTATAGTTCTTTACCGACATTTGACAAGAGATCGTTTGCGCTCCTGCATAGCAACTAACTATAATAGTGGGTAACGTTGAAAACATTCAGCATACTCTAGTCATTTAAAATCCACTGTACGTGTATAAACGATGCTTATAATAGTTCAGGAAATGTAGTAATTTTTAGCATTTACCCATGATACGTGCATGTTCTTGGAAAATTATGTTAATTTTTTTTTTATGATAGAAAGCTTGCATACATGGGTGTTAACAAAATATCAATATTCTATTTTAGAAATGTTTCCTTATAGACTTTTAAGTTGCATTCATTACTTTTTATCTTGATCGCAAGATTATTTCGATGCTATCTCTCATAAACCACAAACCACTAAAAATCCTATAAAAAAGCCGCAAACATTTTATTAAGCCTTCTGGCGATAAAATATTTCTGGCACTATTTTGTCTTGCTGAAAACTTGGTTGTGAAGGTATAATTGATATTGCATCAGAAACTTCTTTACTTCTCTTCGCTTAAGAAAAAAACGATACAAATCAATACAGAAGCTTCTGTTGAACTGTTGCATAAATTATCGGTGCATCAGGAATCGGTGCGGCTCAATTTTTAATACAAGACAGAATTAGATATGTTTTTATGTTTCCTATACTGGAGATTGAGTTTTTAACAATTTCATTTTCATAAAAAATGTTTTAACATATAATACACGTGTCAGTAACAGAGGGAGCTATGCCTATGACAAGCTTTAACAATACTATGTTGTTTTGACGAGTAACTTCTTAGTTATTTAGTTCCAGTTTTTCAGTCTCCGACATTAAATTAGGAATGCATCAAACCGAAGCTCATGCAGAACGACACAAGCTTGTCGTGTAGTTTATTTCAAATGCTAAGAATAATATTATTGCATCCACATTGCACATCTGTATATTTACTATATACTCCGGTATTGTTTACTAAGCCTAGACTTGTGGATGGGATATTTCATGTGTCTCGTAGCCTACATAACGATATACTTAGTTGGAATGCTTAATCTGATACATTTAATATGAAGAGTTAATGAGCGAGGTTATTTAGGATTAGTGATGATTTCAAAGACAGCACGCGTTCCCCAGCATGATGTCTGTATGAACACTTAGTACACTCAGTTCTTAAATCACCCCCTGTATGTCACATCACCTGCCATATCTTTGCAATATCTTTGTACTTATTAATCATGGATGCCATAAGACTCTGCCAGACCTAGTGAGGAACATAGTCAGTGTTGAAATGTCTGCATGGATTACCAGAATTATCGACTAGCCTGTGTTAATGTAGTTCTGTTCGGGTCCCTAAAAGATTCCTAGGGCAACTATAGATTTGTGGATAGTATCGTCGAATAAGCTACTGCATGTGGTTTGTACCTTAAAAATACTTAAAAGTGAAGGTCTTTTCTTGTGGTAGTGTAATGACTAATGAAGCTCAACCTTTTAGCAAGGAAAAGTTAACGGCTCTTGCATCTTTAATATTTTGCAGTTAAGTTGAAAAAACGATGGCAGCGTCATTGAATAGTTGTGGTTTACTATCAGACAAAGTAACAAAAAGAGTATATTTGGTTGGCACGGCTGTCTTACCGCGTCAATTTATTGACTAACTTTATGTTGTCGCATGTACAACACAGTTTCACTACCTTGCTTACTGATCCTAAAATAAACTGGAACATGTTTATTGAAGCATCAATTGTCGTTAATGTGCCTTTCTTTTTGACGAGTAAATTTTGTAACTATCAGTTTCTATATAATGTTTTTCTAACGTACCGGTTCATGCATGTGTTGTATACGGAATATTTCATCTTTATTGATAAAGAGATATATGAAATTGTATGTATGCACCTATGTAAAAATCTTTCGTTAAAACTGTATAACTATACCTAATATCAATTCATGCAACGATAAAATATTTCAGCAGATATTATTAAAAGTATATTCAAAGTTGTACAAGATGATTTATCATGGGGATATAGGAATACATCAGTTGATGGATAGAAATGGTCGGTTATAGATTATTTTGTAGATATCTCTAAAAAGAGTTTAAGCATTGCCGTAGAGTATAGCGCCGTGAGACGCCAGGAAGTCTGCGCAGAATAAAGTAGCAGCATTTAAAAAATTGTGATTAAGCAATGAAGCACTTGTCATAGACATTTTGATTGTTCAAAAATGTATAGAAACTCATTTATAATATCCAAGGGTAATAATTTATTTAATGATATCGAAAGAACACTTCTAATTAGTTAATTATTGACACTTAAGCTTCGACTAAGTGTTTTCAAGACAATTACAATATAAGTCATCTAATGGCGCGCATTTGAAATTATTGTCCTTGTCTTGGTTCAATAATAGTTCAATAATATCAGTATTCTCTGTTCTACCACTTCGGCCTAAGATATCTTGTTCTATGATAAAAAACACATCTTTACTGTTGAGAGTCTGTACGAATATTTGTTTTCCATTCACATGTATAGTGAAATGAAGATGCGGACTCATGTAAAATGGCTAAGGCAGATAATATATTGTATGAAGCTTAGATCTCGATAATGTCATGAACAGGAGAAAATAATCACTTTCTAAAAGACAACCATTTCCTAAAGAAAGCAATACACGTGGAAGGAATTTCTAGTAGTTTTAATAATGCAAGCAATTTATCTACGTTTTGAAAATTGCTTGAGCAAACATTCCGTTGGTCTTCTTAGATTGGTCTTCTTTATATGTTTTGCGGTGTTTCTTTATGAACCTTATGCATCTTATATTCTGGTTGTTGAAACAATTCAAACGACTTTTAGCTTAGATAATTCATAGGTATATATAGAAATTGCATGACAGCCTGATGAACGAGGATTGAACATGCATCGTTTGAACACGTATCTTTATGTCTTTAAAAGCTAAAAAGATCTGTGATTTAATCTTATCTCTTATTCATCCAGACAGGCATTTAAGATTTATTGATAAAATTTAAGCTAGTTATGAACTATTATGATGTACGTAATCATTTCTTTTTTAAGACACTTTTGCAGCTGAAGTAGTATGAAATATCTTATAAATATTTAAAAAGGGTCAAACATGAGTTCCAACAGTTCCAATCAACTACGTATTTCATTATTTCGTTATTCAATGGTCTTGAAATTTGAGAACGTTTTTTAATCTAAAACCTTTATTAAAGTTTGTCAATAATATGCCCTTAACCAGGAAAAGTTCCGGACGAGAGCTGAAAAAGTTTCAATTATTAAAGTTGATTGCAAATTGTTATTTGCAAATTATATGAAGAATTTTTTGGGTTTATGGTTAAGTTATGAAGAAATTTTAGTAAATGCTTGTGTTTTACGAAGACATGAATGGAGAGCAAACCAAAAACAATGATATAGAAAGATATAGACAGGTGCATGTATGTACCTATTGAGAAATATTTATGGTTTTCATTTATGATTATAATCCCAAGGTGAAGATAAAATAGGGAACGAATAACTGGCATGTTAATGATTTAATGTTTGGTCTCATGAGTTAAACCATCTGTTCCTTTTAGAAAAGAGAAACTTTAATTCTTCGTTTAAGTCTTTCTAGTCCCATCTTTTAACCGAAAGTCGGAAATTAAACAGAATAGCTCCTCGGAATTTTTTATTTCTGAAGTGCTGATGAATGAATAAATATAGGTATAAATATGATACAATGGCACGCTGATTTCGTATTGTCTAAAGTGTTGCAATTAAGATGATAAAACAGAAAATTTTCTTTTCGAATGATGAATGCGTTCTTCTTTTAACTTAGATGCACAAGGTATATGCCATATACAATAGTTTATTCATAGCTATAATCCGTGAATATAAAATAGAGCAAACAAACACACGAGTGTGGATGATCTAAATAAAGACATTGAATCGAGTCATAATACTTTCGGCAAACCTTGGTTATGATTTTGTATGACCCCCCTGTGTTAAATATTGAAAAGGTCGCGTGGCGTTCTAGTGTTCTCTTATTACTCTATTTGTGCACTTCATTCGTGGCTCGCGACATTGTTATTGTTTATTGTTAGCTTGATTAGAAGAGAGCCCGTTGAATAATAAAAATATTAATTATAACATTATCAATAACATTGATTCTGTCGCGTGTTGCATATTTAGTATCTCCATTTCCATTTATGAAACAGTTTCCTGTTCCAATTTATTGTCTTTTTTTTCAAAGCAAGCTCGAATTCCTGCATTAGTTTCGCTATTACTGTTTTTTTACAAATGAAGCATGTGCATATGACCAAAACCTCGTAATGAGTGTTACGTTTGTAGTATGTTTCCTCCTAACTACAGATAATGATTCCATTTTTCATTGGAATAAATGTGACTAATTTTTTCAAATTTGTATCTATTTTGTTTGTTGTTCAGTCCTTTTAGGAAAGGACGCTATTTATTGTCGTTTTGTGTTAGCTGGGTATGCAGATTACGGACGATTGCTAGTGCAGATTAGAGGTGGCTATAGGAACAAGATGTTTTTCCAAATGTACAGTTACCCTCTTTAGATTTAACGGCTTCATATTTACGTCAATTTATAGATCTTTGTGAACTAGACCTGCTCTGATTTTTGATAATTATGAGCTGATTATAACAAAAATTATGTCCCCAAAAGTATAAACGTTTCTATTTTTATTGTTTTTCTATCTTTTCAAACGTTATATATAAACCTAATGGCTCGCAGCAACTCAGTCGTTGAGAACGTCCTCCATGGCAAATATCAGCTCTATACGTATAGAATAAAGGATTCAATCATGATTCAAATATCCATGAAAGTATCATAGGATACACGATAAAGAAGACAATATAGTGTTTTTTTTTATCAATTCCGTTCACCATCATTTTGTGTTTATCATATTGTTTTGTTCGGCGCATAGCGATGTTGGCGCGTGCGTATTCACCACATAACAACGACTCGACCTAATTACTTTGGGTTACTCAAGCAGCTCGTGCTAGCTACGGAGACTTTTTGTAAGCAACATAACACACATTGCAAGGCACGTGTCTCGAATAATTTGCGTTTTGTGTGGCTCCATGAGTTTGCAATGTGGTAAAATTGGGAAAATTCTAAAGAGGTCACCTATACCTGTGGGCGTGGCTCATTCAGCAACGAAAATTTTAGTTATTGAACTTTATTTCTATAAACTATTATTTTGTGGGCATGTGTGCTACTATACGTATTGAGCTAATTGCGACTGTTGTGAACTTCACAACGAATAAAATCAAAAAAAGAACGGTATCTCAAACTAATGTCAGTTATTGTAGCTTAAAACGATCACGTTTCCATGCATTATATTATAGTCATGTAGATTTCAGTCACTTGGGTCATTGAAAGCTGCAAAAATGTTGTTCTGAGGTACTGGTCTTTTCTATGTTTATATAATACTTACTCTTTCCGTATTTATTTGAATTAAACGAATAGTTTCAGTATCTCTTCCCACCTTTTTAAGCGATGATTGCGACAACCTTTTCGTATATTTAATTTGGAGACTAAATTTCGAATAAATCTGAAACGGACATGTGGTGCGATAAAAATGAAAAGTCTTTACACTGTTCGTTAGTGTGATGAAGGTTTATCACGAGAGAAAAATGAAATGACAAACCAGAAAAAGTTGTTACACAACATGTGTCACACAACTTTATTTTTTATTATTACACGACACGAGGAAATGATCTATATTGATTTATTTTATACATCGGCCTCTTTTATTAACGACTGATGATAAGAAATGGTTTTCCCAAACTATACAATGTTGCATTGAGATCTTACAAATCTGGCAGATTTAACCCGTTCCCTGTATATTACTTGACTTATTGATATTAAATAAAAAAGGCAGATTTTAAGTTAATATTTTGTCAAAATGTGTACTATATAAACACCGGAATTTTTACTTCGTAATACGCAGTATCTGGTCTTGTTTATATAGTCTTTCCAATGTAGAATTGTATGTTATTTCTATTCAGTATATATATAATATGTATATTTTCAATTCCAGTCATTTGTTATTGCATGTACAATATAGTGATACTAGTGTTTCTTTATGTTCTGTATGTAATCATTAATCATCTTGCCCATATAAAGCAAGGGTAGTTCACCTTGTCTTAATACTTCATAATGAAAATCACGAACATTAAATTCCTTTCCGAGTTTCGCTTTAGCCTTATTTCGATATTCAGAAAATTTTTTTTCTCCAACCATGTAGGCTGTACCTTGCCCAGGCGCGCTTTGTAACCGCGTGATCTCTTTCTGTATACCGTCACTTGTATCCAAGGCATATTTCTCGTATAATGAAACTGCTTCTTGGCGTTTCATTCCCAGGTAATGTACACCAACATCAACTTTAGCTCGTAAAGCAGCAAGAATCTAAATTTATAGCAAATTTATGAGTTGGAATTATAGCAAATAAATGAGTAAATTTATAAATGAGTTGGAATTTACAACTCTTCCGATAAAGCTCCCCAATAGTTTTATTTACTCCCTCCTTTTTCTTGTATTTCCAGTAGCTACTTTTGCTCAGTGATCTTAGTACCATGCAATTGCAAAAAATATTATATTCTTTCAAACATTTCACAAAATATTTGAAGAGTAAGTGCTCCTTATGAATTCCACTTATACATTCAGTCTTCATTGAGGGCCTTCCACTTGAGCTAGACTCAAGTGTGAGTAAGCCTTTATAATACTGGCGCCTTGTGTCTATCGTACATGAGCAATTGTACCAGTCAGGCTACAGGGGGTAGACACGTAAATAACCTAATTTATAAACGTTTTCATTTTTTTTGTTATTAAAGTCTCATATTGTATGTAGCAACTTTTCCCGACTGTATGTGATTCATAAAGTCAACATACGTAAAAAAAAGCCATGCTGGTATGTCTTTTTAAATCAGGACTACTGTTTTGTCCACTCCCTGCATGTGATTAGTGGAAGCCGTAGATATAGTTGGGAACTGACTAACTCTATTAATACGCTATGATTGATCAGGCAAAACGTCATATTTGTCGCGTCCTTCTATATGCTCTAGCGTGCTTTTTCACTTCTTTCATAATAACCTCTATTGAACAGTTTAGGCAATCTTTTAATTCTTTACGTACTTTCTTTTGTATAGGGCCAGAGACAATCTTAATATTCTCTGTTTGACCATAAAAGTCCCATGCATACGTTTTACTGGATGCATGAACCTTCATACCTGATGTTTTAGCATTCCATATCTTTGCATATCATTTTTGTACAAGTTCATGTCTGTGTCAGCCACGTCTTTTTCGATGTAGGTTGCCCAGCCTTCACTAAATGCAGCAAAATAGTTTTTTCCTAATAGCCATTTTCGATATTGATCACATTTAGTTTTGAAATGTTCTTTTACGCCTTGAACCTAAAGAAGAGTAAAAAAATCCATTTGGACAAATAAATTGTCCCAGAAAAACAAATCCCGTTCTTTCTTGTCCTAAAACGCTATTATATTTATAAACACCATGTAGTATCACACTAGATTTTGATTCAACCGTCGATGACATACTTAAGATTACCTCAAGATGATGTCCAGGATAAGCTTCATGTGCCATGACTGTTATCTCCTCATACTTGGGTCCAGGTCTTTCCAGAAAGAATGGTATAAATATTTTCGCTAGGTTTGAACACTTATCATCTCCCTCACTATAGCTATGATAAGGAATCGCTGGACTAAAGTCAAATCCAACGGTTACGTTGCAAACAGGTAATATTTTCTTCTCTCCCTTCACGTAAAATGCTGTCTGGACCATCTTTTTTAGATTATTTACTTTCTAAAAATATAGGAATAATACTGAATTTTGTGAGGAGAAACACTTGATACTGAGAAACCTTGTTAGAAGGCACTTACCACTTTAGCAGATTGTAACCACTGAGTCATGGCCTTCCATCTTTCAGGACAATATTTTTGCGCCGTTTCCTCATCGTAACATTTCATATAGGGCTCAGAATATTTAGTTTCATTTTCAATATTGTAGAAAAAATCATCACTTTCAAGTTGCAAGCGAAATTTCTCTATTGCTTTAAACTCATCATCTTCTTTTGTCCTGTCTTTTGCAATCTTTACTACCTGCATAATGGACACAATGGCGGATATCATCAATGCAAATTGCGTTTTTCAAATTCCTTACCACATCTTATAAACTATACCTGCGGGTAAAGTTCGTTTAATTTATGGACTGCCATGTCGTGAACCTCTTCAGGAGTTATATCATATGTTGTGAAATGTTTGAGTAATAAGAGATATGCAGAGCTACCATTAAATTTTTTACTGGCACCAGGAAGACGGCCAGTGGTTGGTTTACTCAAGTTTGCTACTCCGTTCGTGTAGATATAGGGAAGTGGTAGGGAGGCAAAGCCACTTGAGATATTGCTTGGAGGACAATGAGTTGAATAATCGTCTTCTAAGTACCTTAAGAATAAAGAAACTGTATTAGAGTGCATGCATATATTTATAAACTAATTTTACAGTCACACTCATTGCTGTTTAATTTCTGTTTTCACAATCTTACTTTTTTTCAATAGTGCTTTGCTTAACTCAAAAGTATTTGACAATAATATTGCTGTTTGTAATTTTATCCTTTAAAATAACAAAATCCATGCAGTGATGCCGGATTTAAATTAACTAGAAACTCATTCTTTCCGACAAGGTCGACCTGCTATATCTCTTGCTAAATCCTAAATTGTATTACCTTAGAAATTCACTCAAAGGCCTTCCAACATGGTTGAGCAAACCGTCTTTCAAATACTGCTCCATTGTAACATTATGTTTTTTACTCCAAATTCCTTTTTCCTCCTCCGAAATTCCTTGTAAAGCACCCGTATCTAATAATTCGACAATGTATTTTTCATCAAATATACCTAAAGAAAAAACATATTTGAAGTTATACCCTGAATTCAGCTAAATCCTCACTATGAAAGAGATCTTGGGAAATGTGGGACTTGTGGAATGTTAAACTGTCTGAACTGCCGGAATTATCATTAGAGGTTGTTGAATTGTTATTGTCTTTAATAATTTTTTATCATAATTATTATGCATTCAAATGCAAATTATTATAGTTTTTCTCATTATGCATATTCAAATAACTAACGGCACAAAAGCTGCAAAATTGTTCATTTTGCAAAGTTTTGAATTTGAAAGTCCAAGACAAACGAGAAATTTAAAGTACAAAACGAACGATGATTTGATGATTTTAGTCGAATTTATCATTCATAGCTAGTCTAGCACTAATTTTGTCGAAATTGACGAACTTACACAACTCGTACGTGCAGATAACACCACCAATATAAGGCCGCTGTCAGCCTGGCAGTAGACAAGTTTTATGGTAAGCTTCAGAGCAGTGCTTTACTAACGTTTTTACTGAGCTATATTACTAACTGTTGCCAAGTTTATGTAGAAGAAAGATCGTCGGAATATATCTGATATATACTGAGTATACGAAATATATTATTGTTCGCTCTGAATTTAATCAATTTCTACTAATGCAAATCGCCATTTTATTCTTCTAATTATGCATGCATGACACAGTGGCCTCCTGTCCCAAATTTCTGGCAATGTGCAGCCTTTCCTGACATGGTTATTTGCGGCTTTTGTATCCCGGATTTCTCTGCTCAAACACCTCTCTTTATATCTGGACAAGCGCATGTCAAGACTTATGATAAATTGAAAAATAATAGATAATCATCGAACCTTTATGTTGACATGTTTTAGAGTGACCTAGTGTTACAATGATTCAATAATTATAACATAGAGTTTGTTGGAATATTGGGATCCTAACCCAGGAACGCCTTCTATTTTCGTAGCAAGTCTGAAAATCATGTGTATACAAGTCTCAATATGTTTCATTTAATATGTGTAATGTTCATAAGTCCTAATTGTCTTAGCTATTATCATGTCATGACCAATTCAAGAGGATTTACTTTCATAACTATACTTAAAACATGTTGGATTTTAACTCTATAAATAAACCACTTAATGTAAATGATTGAGCGCAGTTGATGAAAGAATGGCACTTCTTTAAGTGTGTTAACACTGTTGTATAAAGATATCCACTTCTTCATTTCCTAATATTGTAAACTCTCTATTTATGGTAGTTCTATTTTTTTCAAATATTTGTAATATTTGGGCGATGATGACTTTAACAGTATATAACATATTCGGGTATCATTAAACCATTTATATTAATTAATACAAGACTTCTCTGGGATAAACGTTTACGTAATTTACGTTGATACGGCCACTTAGTTAGATAGAAAATGCATGAATCCTAAATAATTTATCATGTCTCGTTTGTTTATTTCATCAGGGCTGAATTTTTTTCCCGTATTTCTAGAAATGGGGCGTGGATTGACAGACAAGATGGTATTATCGTGGAGTAATTCAATTTCGTCAACTGAGTTTTCTTTCAACGAATGATGTCTGAACTGTATGACATTCTTAACATGGTTTGTTCCTGCAGACAGTCTTCCAGTGTGACTGGCATAAAAGGTGCCGAATTATTAAATATCTTTTGTACATTCGAGGCAATTTTCTTTTTATTCTTAGATCCAATGATAAGCATAACACGCCTAAGCTCATCATGATTTGAATTGATTCCTAACAGGAAACTTACAGTCCCAAATGGAATGCGATAAAGTATTTCATTGCATTTGATTTTGAAATAAGACACCGATGTGTCATCTCTAATATTCTATTTTCAAAGATTATGCACTAGGATATGATGTTGAGGCAGTATATTTACCATGCCAACTCCAAATAAACCTTTGTGTTGTGTATGGCCTACATATCGTACTGTCGTAGACCAATGATGCAAAGGGGCGTAGGAATTTTGAAATCAGTTCCTGAGTCCCGCAAATGCGATTTCCTGCATTTTTGGGGTAATGTTTTTACTTTAGTTTTCCACAATGTTTTTCACTGTTTTCGATTTCATTTTCCAAATTGATTATACCAATGTCAGTGACACAATCGTAAATAACAGTTTTATAAAGATCTTAATCTGTAATGTCAGAACACCAACCTATTTATTGCTAGGAAATATCGTGTTAGAATACGATTCAAATTAAGATTTAGAACTCTTTCAAAAGAGTTACAATTTTTGACTATTTAGCTACTTTTCCATCTGTAACCATCTGTAAAATTCATTTTTGCTGTTCATATTTGATCACATTTTATTTTCAACATCCTAATTAGCAGGTCATAATTAAATAAGAAGATAATTATATTTTTCCTCATTCTTACCATATGGGCCTTTCTTTGCAACCGAGACATGGGACATCTTAAAGTTCTCGAGACCAGCACGACAAGCGACATCAGGAAGAACTATACCAGCTAAAATACCATTCTTGAGGTTCTTAATTCTTTGTCTATACCCTTCGCTACATTTCTTCATAAAATCAAAAGTTAGTTCAACATCATGCACAGTTTTAAGCTTGATTTGTTTTAATGCATCTTCTAACAAGAAGAGCAGTTCGCAACTTTTCTGCCAGCAATATATATTTGGTCCCAGTAGCCAATCTCCAATTTCGTAATTATTCTCATAAGCCGGAACGCCAAATGTATTCACCAAAAATCTTTTGTACAACTCAAACGTCAAGCTTTCATCATTGGGCATTGTGATACTAGTCTCAACCGATTTGAGTTCTTTAAGCAAGCTTTTAGCTGCTTGTGTTCGTAGTTTGTATAAGGCTGGAGTGAAATTCATGTATAAACGTTGAACAGTTGCTACTCCATTTTCGCTCTTCAATAATGGACCCGGGTGTACTTCATCGTACTTAGATTGTATCTTTTCGTACAATTCTCGTACTCGAAGATTTTGTTTGTTATTTGGTTGATCACAAAGACTTTCATTCTCCCTAATAAAGAGAAGAACTGTGATCGTCACGAGTGCTCCGATCCCAAACATACACAATAAAATACCAAGTAAAACAAAAGATTTTTTCTTTGGTGACTTATTCTTTTTCCTGATATCTGTATCTATATTGTTATTCTCCACAATATCTAACGCTTCTGTTGATTTGTACATTTCCATGGGGCAGTGCTTGATCCTGAATGCAGGAATGAAGTTTCCGTATTGAATGAAATATTTTAGTTCACGGCTTTAAATAGCTCAACCGTTTATCTAAACTTGTAAATACATTCTGAAGATATTTCCGATTGAAACATTGATTGATATAATGAAAGCCGAATGGTATACATCTTTCACTTCCTTATTTGACAATGATCCTTAGCCATGTTAATTTTCCTCACGTTTTAAATCATCCACGTCTGATTCTCGACACACACAATCGTGGTTTAAAAATTGTGCGTCCCCTGCGGTAGCCAAGAATGTAAAATGATCCTTGGAAACAAATTGAGGTGAAATTTAGATGACATTATAGTTTGTGGCAAATTTGGGGTCATAGTGAGAATTACAATTTATCATGTGATGATTAGTTGGCGGTTTAGATGTCATGAAAACTTTATTATTTTGCGCGATGCTGTTTGTCAAATATTGAAATTATTTCTTACGCAGAGTATATATTGTTTTGGCGGCGAAATCCTAAACATGCAAGCCCCTATGGTTTAGAGCAGGCTTCCTATAGTCGACTGCGCTACCTGTAAATCTTTACCTTACACGATGACGAGAGGAATCAATATCACAATATAAAACGATATATGTTGAAGAACAGAAAAAGCCTACAAAATAATCTTAGTTACTATGCTGAAAAATAGGTACGCCGTGCGTACATATGGCTAGCCAAATTAATGGACGACTTGCGCTTTAGAGTAATTTTTGATCGAAGTAACTAGAAGAATATAAATCATCACAGCCAGAAAGATCTTACTTAAGTTAGTTCAAGTGCAAAGTTTGGCTGCGAAATTTTGTAAAATACGGAAAATATAGCCAGGTGAAGTTGGCACATTTTGTATACTTTTGTATGACGTGCGAAAACACACTTAGTTACACACTTTCGGCCGTAATACAAAAGTATACAAAATTCGTGAACTTCACATGGCTATATTCTCCGTAATTTACCACAATTCGCAGCCAAACATGCCAGTTTTACTAATTTTTGTAAGCTCTTTCAGAAAATGTCGTTTTTAAGAAATTAATCTAAAGCTTAAGTCGTCCATTGACTCTGATCAGTCCGATAGTTTTCAGGTGATCGTGATCAGTGTCTGGGTCTATGATCCAGTTGTTCATATAAATGTACAAAGTGTGTTTTTAACAGTGAACGTAATAGTGGAATCAAAGTGGCAATTAAAAAGGAATAAAAGTTTTTATAAGGTTTAAACCTTACCATTACCTCTCGCAAAATATACCCCCACTGAATATTATCGCCCAAAAACACACCTTTCGCCGAACGAACGCGCATGCGTAAATACGGCAGTCATCTCGTGTATAAACGAACCAAGTTGCACTGACGAGGCGTTGCAATTGAACGCCAAAGCCTACCAAAATCACTACAAAGCCTCGGCTTCATCACTGGGGAACCAAAAATTGCGATACATTCCCTAATTTCCAAGAGACAGTGCAACGTCGTTCCCAAGGTTTTCCGTGGAGCGAAGTAAAAGACCCTGGGTACGAGGTTGGAGTCAGTGTATGATGACCAAAAACCCTGATGTTCCCTAATGACCAGTAAACGTCATGATGACCAAAAACCCTGATGTTCTCTAATGACCAGTAAACGTCATGATGACCAAAAACCCTGATGTTCTCTAATGACCAGTAAACGTCATGATGACCAAACCCTGATGTTCTCTAATGACCAGTAAACGTCATGATGACCAAAAACCCTGATGTTCTCTAATGACCAGTAAACGTCATGATGACCAAACCCTGATGTTCTCTAATGACCAGTAAACGTCATGATGACCAAAAACCCTGATGTTCTCTAATGACCAGTAAACGTCATGATGACCAAACCCTGATGTTCTCTAATGACCAGTAAACGTCATGATGACCAAAAACCCTGATGTTCTCTAATGACCAGTAAACGTCATGATGACCAAAAACCCTGATGTTCTCTAATGACCAGTAAACGTCATGATGACCAAACCGTGATGTTCTCTAATGACCAGTAAACGTCATCTTTGACAGCGGTGTTGTGAGTATTACCAATCAAATGGTATATTCCGTGTGTTTGACAGACAACTCAATTCTACTCAACTTACTAACATATTTTATATTTTATTAATTATCTTATTATGTAAAAAATATTAAAAAAATCTTTTATAAGATTACATAAGATTATATAAGATTGAGAGTGTTATTTTTTTAGCTATGCACATTTACACAGACTTTACCTATCATCACCGTATTTGTATTTATCCCGCTTAAGCTACTGGAGTATGTTTACATCAACATTTTCAATAAACCTTGTTTTTATCTCGTCCAATATAAAATATAATTCTCGTTAACTTTATACTTGTATTAAATGTCCGTTGCGTGCCCAAAGCAACCACAGAATCCGCGAGATTTTTGTTTCGAAACTGAACTTTAATTATCATTTCACATTTCATTTTTATGATTATGCGTTTTGCTGCTCGGTTTTGAATTCAACAATCTTCTTCCCTCGTATAAGTGAAGAACAGTTGAGATGCTTTTGATAGCTGCAACTATTTCTTCTCCAGAGGGTCTGATTTGATCAGCTGGAACGAGAAATCCATACTTTCCATCGTAGCTTGGACGTAGTTCTATTCCATAGGAATATTGCACGTGAAGTACACCATACGTCCAGTCTTTTGCACTACCAGTGTTGCTGTCTGGAAGAAAGAAGTCAAGTTAATTCATCTGAGAACTAATAGTAATAATGTTGCCTGGTATAAATAAAGATCCCACTCACATATGACCTCTGAAGAAGGCCCAGGCTCCTTGTATGTTGCTCCTTGTGCCATTTTGATTGCTTTGATTGCAACGTCAGCGACCCGTTTCTATGAGTAACATTCAGTCAAACGTTTGACACAATAACCACCATAAATATTAAATGCTACCAGTCAGAAAACCTGACTATTGACGATACGCGCGAAAACCATCGCTCCGAACCAATCAGTCAGTCTGTTAAATCCTATTTTTAACATTGTTTGTCAACTATATTAAACCACCCCAAAATCTCAAAATATGAGCAATTTTAGAAACATATAAGCACAGGCAACCCACAGCCCGGTCAATGCGGCCACGTCATACTGTCTTATGTATATAATTATCGTAAGATATAAGATAGTATGACGTAACTGCATTGACCGAGCTACCTATGATATAAAGTTACGATGTACTCACTCAGAATACCACTTACCATTTCATTATAATGCTCGGGTAGTTCAGTCTTGTAGCCCCAAGGTGTCATCCAGAATTGGCTGTAACTATGTAAACCAATGTAACCCAACAAATTACAGCGATTTCTGTATAAATATTTTGCAACATTCCTTGTTTCGATTTCCGAGAATGGAGCAGTTCCACGATAAGAAGATGAACATGGATCGTTGCTCGAACCGTTTCCTAGAAAAGAATTGTTCATTAATTTTTAATTCGGTTTAATCAAGGAATATATAAACTCATGCAAAAATCAAGGAATATATAAACTCATGCAGTCAACTCATTTGGGAGTAAATTTTCTCGAGGTAGCTCGTTAGAATATGCTGTACCCACCTCCCCACTTGTAGCCCCAGTTTCGATTGAGATCAATGCCAATACATTCGTCACTACTATTAATTGGCCGGCGTCTGTTCTTTCTCCAAAACCTTCCCGTCTGTGAAGAACAGGGTTAGTCATGGATATCAACGATAGTTGAAGGTTTATGAATGATAAGTAAACTGTGCTTACCTTTGTCCATGAGTATGCATATCCATCCACATTTATCACGGGAACAATTACCCAGTCTATTCTGTTGCACATTTTCTCTTTTCTTTTACTGTGATTGTCTTCAGAACGACGATCTTTTAATATCTGAGCAACAACAACAATATTATTGACGGTAACCCATGCAACCGAGATAAAACCGTATCTTAGCTGTCGCACATGCTTCTCGTTAGTGAGAGAGAGAGAGGGGGCGGGGATGGGGCGGAGGTGAGGCATGCTCAGCCAAATTTTCTGAAGAGTAAAAGTCCAAATATTGTATCAAATTTGGGAAGGAGGGATCCCCAGTACCCCTTCTGTACGATCCTGTTCTATAAACAGAGTAACTGGCAAATAAATGAATAAATAAATAAATAAATGAATGAAACCAATCAGCCACCTTACCGTCTTGATTAGCCACATGCATGTAGCTGGTGAAAGCCATTCTCGTGCATGTGTCCCGCATTCAATAAAGAATATTTTTCTGCTTCTTTTCGATCTGCCCAAGATCTATAAAGATTAAAGAAAATATATTCCGTGGTCTTTTTCTCAGGAACGATCGGTGATGAATAACAACGTTTATATCTTACCTTAATTGCCTTCATTTCACGTCCTTCGTGTGATCTTCCAAGATTTAATATCTCGCTTATATTCGCGTATTCTCTCCCCAATTTTTCCAGTTCTCTATGAATCTACGTAATAGTAGAGAACATTTTAGTAATGTAGACAATGCTTTAATGTCATTAATTAAGGATTAGAAAATGTTGGTTCTAACTCTGTGGTTTTAATTTGTAACTAGTAAGCAGTCTTTTACTTGGGTTTTTCTAAAGGTTTTTAGAATATTGTTGTCTAGAAGAGATTGTCCGAGGCGTTGTTTCAAGGTGCGACGAAAACCAATTTGGATGCAGTGATATTTATCCGTTTATTATTCAATAAATACATACTTGTGAGTACGGAAAAGGTATAAATATATTATTACATAAATAAACTACATATAATTTGTGAATTATGTAAACTTCAATCAACTGTGGTATAACAACTGCCTAAAATAGACAAAACACTTCTCGACGTTTCGACCTGAGGGCCTTCGTCAGGAGAGTACATTTTTCATACTAACTCCCCTGACGAAGGCCCTCAGGTCGAAACGTCGAGAAGTGTTTTGTCTATTTAAGGCAGTTGTTATACCACAGTTGATGCAAAGTTGTTTAAAGACTACTCCCTGGTTATATTGGAATGTAAACTTTAAATGGCAGAATCAGTAGGATTTTTTTACTGGAGCTTTTCTGAAACATATTTATTTAAATTGTTACCATTTCTTCCACTTTCGTGCAGTGATAAAATTTCCTTAAAACAATACCTGTATTGTCCTTCAGCTAAATATATTGCGAACCGCTTTAACGTTTCTACAGTATACCTCACTGTCTTACTCGAAAAAATAAGAATGCAGTTCATCGCACGCACAACAGTACCTCAGCTAACGGATGAAATTTTTGATAGTCATATTCTCCCATTTTATATCTGTTCCTTCTTCTTGTAGTTCTCTGTTTCCAGATGGCTTTAGTAACATTCCTGATCAAGATTCTGTATGGTATGCTTTTGTTTGTAAGAAAATCCTCTATGATTGGAAGCTCAGACTTCTTAGCGTAGAAGTCTGCTGGATGATTTGGACGAAACGTCGGCATCCATGAGTCCAACTATAAATTAACATTGTGAAACAAAATATGACGCTCTGTACTTAACGATGATTACGGCTAAACTGACATTTACCAGAACTGTCCCTGATGGATTCCTTAGCAAAATTTATAAATCGTTTACTAGGAAACTTTCAAAGCTGGAAGCTTAGACCTTTACGTTGAACATTTTGATTATTGAAAATGCACATATTTTTAAATAAGATACGATCGTATATTTTGGTACGTTTTTTGTTAGTGATTCAATTGTTGAACTAGTAAATGTTACTACGTCATTATTTGTTGAAAGGACCAACAAGTAAAAGTGCTTCATATTTTTCTATTTGCCCACTTAATTTTTTATGATCTATTAGCACTCTCCCAAGTTGTGACACCAGGATGGTTTTTTAAATGCTTGTTTGTTTCTTACCAGCATGATGCCCTCCCTAGTTTGCCCCAGAGATGAAATAATTGCATTCTTTAATAAGGCTATATTGCCTCCTCCAAAGGAATAGTTCACTACCATAACTACCCCCTTCCAAGGTATATTTGAACACCAGCGAGAATTACATAAGATCTCAACATGGGTCTGATGGCTTTGCTGTTGCAGTCAGTCAATTTGACTGTTGAAGCATGTCTAACCACTACATACTGTTTTTGAGTTAGATTACAGCTTCATACAAGCTTAATACATTTTCATGGTCTTAACAAAACAAAACAAAACAAACAAATGCTATTGATACCCAATGCTGTGTCCCTAATTGTTTTACACGACAAGTATGTCGCCACCATGTTGAATAGGTCTATGTAGTCTCAAATTCGTCTCTATTTGAAATTCTTTGCTTTCCCAAAAACGTACTAGAATAAATACCTTTTCCAAGCCTGAAACTTTGTGAATTTTCATTACATCTTGGACTTTACTCTCTGTATCCGGGGTAACACGAAGGACTTGGTCTCTGCAAATTATTTGTATATAATAAATACAAACTAACGACTAACTAAAGCTCATCAGAATTATATATGCCTAAAGTTCATATGAGTTATTTATTTTTGAAAAATGTAGGGCTTTTGAGCTATTTTTTTATTATTAGGGTGCGAATAAGCTAGCTATAGTGAATCTCATTCTAAGATCAAATATTGATAGTAATTTTGTTCATTTGTTAGGTTGACGATAACAGCTTGACACTAATGATCAGTCTACATGACTGGCGCCATTCATGACGATAAACTCAGTATGATTTCGTAATAATATAAATTATATCTATCTCCATTGTGATCTGATTACTAGATTAAGGCGAGGATTTACAAATAAATTTGGATCAAAAGACATGTCAAATGTCATATAAGAAAGATCCATTTTTAAATTTTAACATCTAAGACCAACCGTTGCCGATAACGAGGTTGTCACAACTTGCCTTGTGGCTAGCTCGTTTCGACGGTTTAGAGTGGAATATTTTTTGAAACAGCTGGATGATATTCCTATTGCATCATACCTTGTGAGTTGATATGTCAGTTAATTAATAGATATAATGACTTTTGACCAGACTAGTTGCCTCCTACATCGACGTCTTACAGTTCTCCAAGAAAGAGTATTCTAATTAAGCCCCGTGATTTCGGGTGGTGTGTGAAGATAACAATTACCGAGTCTTATATGATCGGCCATTCAATGTTATTTCCTATGTAGTACAAATTATTTATCACATTTGAGTAAGGTATAACACTAGATTACTAGTCGAACTAAGTGGCTTTTTTGTGATTGCATATTTTTGACGTCATCTGTACCGGCCTGTAACAACAGACAATATTTTTTATTGAACAGACAAATACTTAAGATTAGGAAATGTGTCAAACATTGTGAATGTGTGCCTGACTTGTGACACGAGTGTGATTTCTCAATGATTATGCAAACACACTGCTGGATCGCAATTCACTCGTAATGAGTTGTATAAGCAAGTTATTTACAAATCAATCATTCTGAACTCTGCATGCAGGTGAAACAATCCCGATGATATTAAATTGGTTTGAAGACAAATATTTAGCTGGTTTAGGTTATTCACTATAGTCATGTTGTACACTGTGTTTTACTGTGACCTAGTCTTATTTTAATGCTCTCGTATCATTTGATCCGATGACCTTGTTCACCAACTAGATTCCCTTTAACATAAGTTCAGTATATAATATATCGTTGGTTAATTAATTCGAATATAGATATCAATAATTGTGAACATATTTTGTTGAGCACAAGAGAAATGAACAAAGAAAACATTTTGAAATCGGATGGAATTTTTACCATAGAAGGCCATACAAAGCCATCAAGGCGATTGTCAGTTCGAGCAATTGTGAGCATATAAACCAGATCTGTTCAAACTTTCAGCTAAAATGAAAACAGCAGGCTTTTTACCTCCAAGTGTCCAGACCTGAAGTCATAATTAGCGTCCCTTGTCTGTCGTATTGACATTTGTGTAGTGTTCAGAGCCTTACCCCTTCGTTTTCGTCTAAAATCTCCAATGCCGCCAATGATAAAACATCATTGGATTGCGAGTTCCATTAAAATATCACTGGAAGTGATATTGCATGCACACGCACAGTGTAATATTTTAATATGATTTGATATGATTTGAACAACCTGTTCATTATTATATATAAGACTGTATATTTTACAACATTTTTGCGACAGTAACCAATTTTTAGCATTCTTTGCCTTTGGCTTAATCCAATCAATGTTTATTGTATTTATTAATGTATAGAGCTTCCTGATTAATTTGGACTTGAACAAAGCGGTTGTTTCTCGAAACAAAGGACACATAACCATATCATTGCAGGACGCAGAAGGCGATATCATTTCCACTTCCCACAGAGTTTGTGTAATTAGAAAAAGATTACAACATAAGATAAGTCATTTTTTAATAAGCCTACTCTCTCTAAGCCTGGTGAGGACTACTGAGATATCGACCATGAGATTTTATTGACTGACTTACGCCCTGTTTTTATCGACAAGGTTTGACAATGTATGTGTGATGCTTTTGTTAATGAATCAGCATATGACATGTGGTTAGCAATAAAATCGAGAATCACGGAATGTCAAATTATCAAGTTTGTGTATTCTATTTTCTGAAAAACGTTGCTTGAATCATGTAAGAATAATTGTATATAAAAATTGGTTGTTGAATTACTCTAGACAAGATGGGGTGCAGATCGTGTCGTTGCGAGTGACGTCAACGACAACGAATTAGCAAAAGATAAGAAGTCGAGATACCAAACAGGAATATTGCGAAATTCAATTGACATACAGCAAGATACAAACCAAGTGTATTTATTTGTACTAATTCGTTGCGGTTCTATAGAGGCAGGAAATTGGTTCCATTAATAAATTGAGCAATTATTACAGCTGTTTCCTGAGATAATTGTTCTAATTTGAAAATATTCTACTTTTCCTCCATCTGTACGAATTCTCTCTACACATTGAACACAGAATGACATGTTTTTATAGGGATAAGCTTGATTATAATATACTGACCATGTATTTCAACAGAATTTACTTGTAACTGTTTATACATGATATATAAAGTGCATAGGAAATTGTAGTTGATTGCGTATGTTAGCTGGAAACAGTCAAACAGTGAATTATTTTTTACGACATACATGGTCAGGCGTTCTTGCATATACAGCCTGGCACGTCAGGTTGCATACATTTACTGTTGAAACCTCGATAACAAATGTAAACAAAGCTCTCAAGAATATACTTAAGATTTAAATTTGATCAAGTTTTATTAAATCGCATATTACTAATTGGTATAAACATTTAAACATAATAACACGTTTCTAGAAAACGAAGCACAATAATTACGTATATATTGTACATATATATATACAGTAAGCAAACTTTTGAAAACCGTCTTGGATTCGGGTTTTTATTACTTTGCAAGAATGTCGTCATGGAAATTGAATTCGATCTAATATATCACCAATGGACCGAACAGATTATTTCTAAGTTATATTCCTATGTCTATGAGTATGTTCTCGTTAGCCAATCTTTCTTTTTGGCTAACCTTTAACTCAATAACAACGCAATTTCCAACCCAACTAAGCACATGTATTTGTCTTGAACTCACGCCATTGAGTGGGAAGAGAGTAAACAGCAGTGAGTTCTCAGTGTTAAAAAAATTCATCCAATTTGTTTAAATATTAAGTGTTATAATCACTGACGTTCCCTTCCCACACCGGAAATACGCTGGTCTACGAAACCAGTTTCAACCCACTGAATTGACCAAATATCACATTATTCTTAATTTATAGCGATGGGAATAATTCTAATTTGCCTCGAGGCTTTGTTGACAATATTTTTTGTAACATTTCTTACTTTATATTGTGAGGCAGGTGTGGTTCATATGGCGCTTCTCTATTCAATTTTAAACTATTTAGTAGATGTTCAAATTTTGAAATGCGTGGCCATTCAATCGCGAGGAAACTAGGTTCGGACGCGAGGGATATCTACTCTGATATTTGTTTACAGACTTTACAGACTTCCTTGATGTTAAAAAATCACACCGATTATTTTTTATACGGGGAACAATTCAACTAAAAAAATTTAAATTCCTCGTTTCTAGTACACGACACACATAGACATTAAAGTTTGATTAAAAAATTGCTTTCTCACGAGAAACAAGTGCGTAACTTTTGGCAACGTTCCTATTGACAGTGAAATATGCTGTCATATCGCGCAGTTTGGTATTTTAGCCATCTTTGGAGTAGACTGCAAGCTATGTACCGATACCTTATTTGGTTTAAAACTATTCTGGAAATCTGGCTCCATGCATGATCATCTCGTTTTCACAAGCTCCTAATAATGAACAATTCTGATATCTAAAGTCCTCATGGAAAGAAACAGACGTATTTTGGCGTGTCCTCCCATTCTAACTAAACTATTTAATTTGATTGAAATTTTAAAGCAAATCTCATCAATCCTGTTTCCTCCTCCGCAAGAAGATTAACAGATATGACTCTAACTGACATTCTGCTTTCTCGGGGCTAAAAAAATGGCTGTACTCTTAACGGACATTTTCAATTACCACATTTGTTCTTTGTTAACAGCTGTCTTTTTATCTCTATACATTATTTTATAGCATTTCAATTTATTTGTTGGCTTTAGTTACAACACAGATGACCAGACCTTTCCGTTTTATATAAGTGTGAATATGGTTTTGTAACAACAGAAAGAAGGCGGGTGGAATATTTATATTCTTCGCTTTTGTTAAAAATTTGAATTTGTGGTAGTTTTTGTCTATACCGACCTTGGTCTGGACGGCTTCATCAAAATAATACAACCGCTCAAGATTAGATTTTTCTACTATGGATCTATACATTTTTCTATTGCAGCTATAAGGTTTAAATATTGTGGACAATAAGATCATACGAATAAAAATTGGGTGAAATCTTCACTAATATGAACAAAAACGTAGGTTATTTTGTTACATACCCTTCATAATAATCCCCATAAAAAGGATTTGACTTTGCCATCGAAACAGCTGCTAACAGTAATACGGATACCAACATTGTTGTGTGTTTTATTCACTCCAAGTTTCTTCACTCTTCCTTCAACCTGAATGTAACAGTCTTGTGTTATATCCCACTATATACCGTGCCAGAAGGAAGACGTCAAACTGTGCTCTCACTTATACAATTGCATGTGTAAAAAAACACTGGAGAATGATGCTTAGTTCATGTAGTGCCCCATATAGTGTGTTTTATTAACCACATCCTTTGAGGAACAATACATTTTTCTTTGCGATCAAGATTCTTACTTTGCCCACAGGGTCGCAGCTCTTTCACCGCATATTCTCGATCTTGTCTCTTCGATGCTCTTCCTAAATCTTTGAGTGCTCTATCAAAATCCGTGCTTTTTAACTTTTTACTAATACACGTCATAGACAATTATAAAAAGACTGGAATCTATATATGCAACCAGAATTCACAGTTAGAACGGAATTTTTTCACATCTGAATATATGTGCAGATGATATCCCATTAATGGCAGAATTGTGATTCTAATTTTTGTATGTCGTTGTGACATATAAACTAGGGTTGTTTCTTGATTTAGTTTCACTTTATTCCTTCAGTAGATATCAACAGCTCTGAAATTAAAATCCACTAGATTAAAAGATACACGATCCAGTTCTAACCGTTCCAGTTTACATGAGTCCATGTTATATAGTATATCATGATAACTAAATACTGGTGAACTAATGTGAGTGTTATAGTTCTCAGCTGGAGAGTAAAAGATAATTTGTGTAGCTTAAATTCTGAAGAGCTTCATTAATACACTAATAAACTCCTTTCGTTTCCAACATATAGATAAACAAAGGTTTCTTTTCTGTCGTTTTTTTCTTGGAATGTCAAAATTATCGTTGAAGTAGTTTTGACAAAACATTGGCAACTTCAAGTAATTAACAAAAGGACTGTTTCTGCGTCGTCTTGATTATATAAAAGTTCCGGTTTGGTTCTTTTAAAGACATACCGCCATAATTTTGATTTTCGACCCGACAGTCTATGCATGAATAATAATATAAGTTTGATTTTTTCTTTGCAAATTTCACAAGATATTGTTCATAAAACAAACATAATCTCCATGTGTGACATTAGCAATAAACACATCAGATTTCAATTATCAGCTTAAATCAACTGGTTTTTAATGACGAAACTAATTCAAAATTCGAGTAAATTACTTTTTAAGTATTACCATCAATAATATATAGCTAACCAACTGGTCACGGACATAGGATTCAGTTCATTTTCATGTTTAGTCAACACGAAGATACTTGAAGTATTTAGACAAGTTCTCGTTGCAGAGATAAAGGGCAGATAATTGTTCTTTCAATTGAGTTTCTTTACTCGACATGTATTTTTTGTGAATTCTCGGATCCTGTAAAAACTTGCCTGTATTGGCGTATCAGCACGCGTAAAAACAGACATGCAATGTGAAAGCTCTGGAATTCGCATGACACCGCACAAAGCACATTGTATCTGCGTGATATTTATCGCATCCCAAATCAAATCAACCTATTGACAATGTGTGATGAATAGTCGTGCTTTGAACGATCATTTAGAACTGATAGAGTTATCAGGTTTGTATTGATTGCATGCTTTACACTCAGATTGACCGCTTTTCGGCGCGGAAATATATATTTAGTCAATCTTGAAGTTCCTTTCAGATAAAATAACTTCTTAGAAGATTTTAATCGCAAGCAAGGCGGCATTGACACAACGAGATAAGTTAAAATTTAGGTTTTTGTTTAGCGTTTTCGCTTATTACCTAGCTAGAGATTTCAGAAATTTTATTACCCTTGTCCCTTAATAACCTGGGGAGATGAAATAGGAATTGCGATCCGTCATCTGCAAAATTTCTGGAGCAGTTTGTGAAACCAAATGGATCATTTCAATTATAATTTTATGTTTAAGAATAGATTGGCCTTGGAATATCAAGAGAATTGAGTAAAAATAGATCAAATTTTAATAAAATATCGGGCTTCTTTGCCAGTTCTATAAATGTTTGCATGTACGTGAATAAGGTCGAGGTCATGCATAGGAGTGTTGGGATTCCTGTGATAAATATAATCTAAGCACAGCTATGCACGCAAGCCTTAAATCTTATATATATCCAATCATTTAAAAATTTTGCTGAACATACTAAACGCCCTATTCCAATTTAGATTTTGCACTCGATTGGAAAAAGAAATATTTGAACATTTATGAATATTTTCTTTTCCTCAAATCGTATGTCGAGTATTCAATATTGGATCGTTAAGATAAATTATTACACTTTACTCTTTATATGCGCAATATGCGTAGGCGTTGTTTGAAAATAAGACTGCATAACACGAAATTTATTCATCGCTTTTTTTATTATCTAAGAATTGGTGATCCTTTAATTCTCGTGTGTGCAGATATCTTCTACGGCGACAAGAGAAAAGTTCGATTATCTTTAAGTATCAATAATATGTACGAAACATTGTCACGCAATCTTAATTTAAAATTACCCAAAAGCAGTGAGGAATCAAAGGAGAACAAAGCTAGAATAAAGTCACTGGAATAAGAGTGAAGAGAAGTGATGTGACGAACTGTGCATGGGGAAGGACAAAATAGACTGAATTGTTCTTTCAATTTTATGTTCATCAGCTTTCTAAATTGGGGACACTATAAATAATGCAGTATAGGTGATCAGTTAATTACTTAAAATTTCAAAGTTAACGCTTAACTTATATATTTTCTTTTTTGCTGTGAAATTCATTACAATTACAACTTTATAGCCTGAGCCATTGCTTTCATAGCAGCAAAGGTTTCGACCCCTGTTGGGATTATCTGTTTGGCTGGCAAAAGAAATCCATGGCGCCCTTTATCTCGGAGCTCTAAACCGTAAGAGTACTTTACCCCAAGAAAGCCATAGGCCCAATCGTCTGTCGCTCCTGATGTTGCATCTATGGCAAGATTTAATAAACGTTACTTTAGAAAGACTTATCTCCACCATTGCCAGTGAACTACCGCCGGATTACTTTCCCCCCAATCGGCCGGTGGTAGATATGCATGATAACTACATTTAAAAGTTTCAACTGCGATATTTATTTTCTTTCATAAGAAATGACATGTGATTAAACATAAATTAAGACAATTTCATGGCATTAGCCATTGCTTTCATGGCAGCGAACGTCTCAACGCCTGTAGGAATGATTTGAGAAGCTGGTAATAGGAACCCGTGGCGACCTTTATCCCGGAGTTCTAGAGCATAGGAATATTTCACCCCTAAAAAACCTGAGGCCCAATCCCCGGTTGTACCGCTTGTTGCATCTGCAGTGCAAAAATATTTAAATGAAAACATTGAACAGAAAAAAAAGACCTAACAACAGAATCTACTCACAGATGATCACAGAAGAAGGTCCAACTTTGTATGTTGTTCCATATCCTGCATTTCTGAGAGCATTTGCTGCAATTTTCCCAACTCGCATCTAAGAAACGCATCGATTTAACCGACATTGTCCATTGCAAGTAGCCGCGTTACTACCTTATAGGCCTGTCATGTACCTACCTGTTCCCCACTATCATTTGGATATGCCCTCTTGTATCCCCAAGGTGTCATCCACAATTGACTGTACGCGTGGATATCCATGTAGCCAATCAAATTTCTGCGTTGTTTCAACAAATATTTTGCGACATTGTACGTTTCGACTTCTGAGAATGGTCTCGGACCGTGGTAAGTGTCACCACAGCTGGAACTGGTACCAACACCTAGTATGTGGTAGAGTGAAAAATACAGCAAGGTTTGGACCTGGTATATTGCCTGGGACGTTCAAATTTGGTCGGCCTGCATGTTGCGTACTAAGAGACATATGTATACATACTTTCGGGGCTCGGAGCATGCGTATAGTTAACTAACAATATTTCTCGATCTGTCACCTGAAGAAAGTCTGATTTGATTTTTTATGTTAGCTCAGTGAAATATGCTGCATGTATTGTATTTTTGGTTGCCGCATTACTGCCGCATTACCTCCCCATTTATAATTCCAATTTCTATTTGGATCAGCTCCAGTACAGCCACTGTGCTTTGTCTTAGTTCGTCGCCACATTCGATTCTTGTAAAACGCAAAATCAAACCGTTGAACAATTTCACAGAGGTGGGGGCGCATTATACAGTGATCTAATGTTGGTAATGCGTTTCAGTCAGAAAACACAGCAAACTTTATTACCGCATTCCATGTGTATTTATATCCATCAGGATTCAAGGACGGCATAATGACCCAATCCATTTTATCCACCATGCTTTTCACGCTTGAATCTGTACCATATTTTGTTAACATCTGGAATTAAATAACGATTTTCATTCTCTTTAAAAATACTATAAGATTACATTACTTTGTTGTTTCGCAACTTGTTTTGTTTCATCAAACGACAATTACCTCTCGAATCATATACATGCATGTTGCAGGCGTAATCCATTCACGAGCGTGAATACCGCAATTCACAAAAAATGTTTTTTTCGGCTTTCTCGAATTTTGGGATCTGATCTAAAAGTGTTTAAAGGTGATGTAAGAATTAGTGTATTTGGATTTTCCGGCATATGAGCGGAGCAGGTCCCGAGACAACAGTTTGTACCAATATGAGAACGGGCACAATGATTTATCTCATTTCATTTAAGTCTTGAACACAGTAGATGAACTCGTCCCTTGGGGTGGTCTGAGAGTGATTTATGTCGCTGGTCAATGCTTTTTAGAAAACCAAACTTCGTGTGTGCCCTACCTTTACGGCGAATTGTTCATTTCCTTCATATGATTTTCCTGTTGAAAATAGTGAGGCGATGTTGGAATGGGTTGAAGCTAGCTTTTGCATCTCAGCGTGAATCTGCAAATGAAATATAAATCCGGGATTTATTTGTTGCCCAAGTAAAAGTTGTTTTTGTAATTGCTAAAACACGAGTTACTCCGCCATCATCTATCTGCCATCCAGCCGTCTCCATGAAATAGCATGAAGTCTGCATGATATGAATGCTACCATACCGCGGATAATGTGTTGTATCGTTCGTATTGAAATCCTCCTGCGCGAGATGTTGGAGGATTTTCGTTATCAACCTCTCCCTGAACATCATCAATGAGTACGGTGTAACTGAGTTTGAAGTTCTTCAAGAGTTCAAAAACCGTTGCCAAATTTGCTTCATGAACATAGATGTCTACATTTCTGCCGACCTCAGCCGGACCTTGCCAAAAGTCAATCTAGGTTAAAGCATTATGATAGATTATGATAGCTGAGGGAGATGCTGTAAGGCAAAGAGAACAACAGGCAGAAACCTTGACATGTCAAAACTCTAGTTAATAGAATGGGTCATAGTTTTGGAAGCATCACGCGATGAAATGTAAGCTAATGAGTCATCCGGGGCATAAGTAACTAATGAGATTGTTTTGATCAAAATTATCCATGATTGACTAAATATGGAATTCAAGCAAAGTGATACAATTCAGGAGAGGAGACAAGGGGGTGGGTACGTATAAGTAGGAATGTGGATGAAAAGAAATGGAAAATGGAATGTGAGAAGACTACCCTTATTAGCAAATAAGGCTCTTATCTTGGTTGCATTTTTATAACAGGTGATTGGACATTACACGTTTCACAATCTTCCTCTTCGTCAGCTAAATACATGTGAGTTGCAACTTCTTCTGAACATTCATTTTACACTGATTAAAACTCAAAAGTCTCGACAAAATAAAACCATGTACGATTTTGAAATAGATTTTTTAGCTTAGGTTATTTTATTTAAAAGTACTAGGTAGGCAAAATTTTTACGTTTAACTGCTTTAGGAAAAGGACTGGATAAGGCCGGCTTTCGTTACCGTATGTATAAAATTATCAATTCCAGAATGCTTCCAGCCATGTATACTATGAGTCATGCTACAAATGTAATAACCTGCAATCCATCCTCATCTACTAATGACCGTAAGTTCTCTAAATCTTCATTTGTCTGGGGTACTACTCGCAGAACTTTTCTAAGAGAAAAAATATCATATTTCACTGGCGATGTGTTAGAGAGAAAAATCAAGCTATGGCGTCCGGGTAGGCCAATGAGTTTGTCCACGGTACCATTCATTACCTAGGCTATCCCGGCTTTTTGAGGACACTTTGGGAGTAAAGCCTACACCAGTGAGGTAACTTGGGGTGTCAACTGACGGGGGACCCCGAGATTTAGGGCCCCCCAACAAAAATTAATAGCATAAAAAATTGATAACTCATTTATAGAAAATAGAATTACTATCAACGGACACTATCAATATTATATTTGGAGGCGTAATCTAAGCATAGTAATATAGATTTATTTTCTATTCAAATATGTAAGTGAAGATTGCTTTGTGTAGACGCAAGTCGCAAATTGTGTGGAGTAAAGGCGGCCACAAATGGCTGATTGACAGAGCTGCTTCAGCGGTTGCCCCATAAGTAGGTTCAGAGTAATTTTGACTCATGTTTCCGTTAACCCGCGCTATTCGTATAGGGAGGTGATTCAAAAGAAAAGATTTATATAATTTTGCGATGAGGTAAGGGCACTTTGCAATCACACCGTCAGCGGAACAGAAATAATCATGATGGTTTCGAAATTAGTTTTCATTTGGAAAAAGTATTGAAAAACTAATTAGTTTTCACCCTGGTTTAAAACTACGCTAAAATATTCCCATTTATGTATAATAATGAAGGCCTTACCCATCATATTGACCAGCCTCAACGAAGGTGAAAACAGCGAAACAAAGAAACACTGATAACTTGAACGTGAACATGATGAGTTTGTTTTGGAAGTGTTCGTTCTACTGAGGTGAGTGGTAAATTAAAACCACGTTAAGAAAATAATTATTCGCCTGCTGTGTCAACATCAGAAGCTTGTCGTCTGCTGGTATTAACACAGTGTTCGTCAGTCTTTGTACACCTGAAATATGCGTTCTCTTAAATTGCTTTCTGTAAACGAGAAGCTTGTGAGTTTATTTTTACAGCCGGGCTTCTGTGTCAAGAATTTAGTTGCGTTTGATCTTGGAAGCTATAATGTTTTTTTAATAAATGACTAAATATCAGCTTAAGTCGCTTAGGTAACTATGCTTTGCCGAAAACAATATCGATATATTCTCTATAAGAATCAGACAATTTCCCCAAAAAACAATCTCCGCTAACAAATGTCGCTGTACGCGCAAGCCTCTTTTTTTTTCCTGAAGAAGCGCCTGGGTACGAGGTTGTCCGCAAACGGAAATCTGTAGCAGTAGCACAGGTTTTAAATGACAGAAGACAGCCGCAGCTTAGGAATTACGATCTCGCGCACAAAGCTCTAGTCAAGGTCATGGAGAGATTAATCACTATTTTTTCTTTACTATTTATAATTCAGATCACAAATGGCGCACAGAAAGTCACTTATGATGGGTATGTTTCTTTCTATAGTATGTAAATATTTCTATAGGTATTAATAATTCATAATAAAATCTACATGAAAGTAATGTACATGTATGTAAATATATTATGCATAACATTTGATATAAATTTTATCTGAACTGTCTTACCATTTGTCCACCAACGAATTTTTTCATTCAACCTTCAAAGATAAATACATGCAACAAGCGCATACAATGCCTTACAAAACGTACAACATTTTAGTCATTCTTCTGCCGCTTATTCGTCTAATAATATCGATGAACAACGAATAGTTTATAAGTTTACATTATACCTCAAATTGAAATGGGTTATTGAAGTTAGCAAAATCAAGATTTATCGAATAAAACCACGAATTTAGTCATGAGAGATGGCGATGACGTTAAGAATGCGCATTAATATAAGCAGAGTTTTCCCTGGTGGTAAATAAGATGATATTTCTCTCAGCATGCGAAGATTATAACAACACTGAAAATCGAAATCCACTTATTCGTATAGTACAGGTACTTATCTATACAACCTCGGCGGAGTTTTGACAGGTTGAAACTCTTGAATAACGAACAAAACGTTCTGAAGACAAAACTTGTCTGAATTCTCCATTTAAAGCGGCGATAGAATTCTTCGTCGTCTGACCATTTTTAGTGGAGATGATTAACATATTGTGCGTATATATATACTACCTCTCCACCGGCGAACTGTTGGTATATTGTGAATATATTTTATTTCGTGTGTAAGCTACAGATGTCAGACGACGCATATTCACTAGTGAAGGGATGTCTGTTTCGAATATTAGTAAAAATGACGCAGCATGCTGGTTTGCCGCAGAAGTAACATCTCTCGTTTATACGTTTTTTGACATAAACAATGCGATTTGATTGTATCGACAGTACACAGGTTACGAAAGAAGAACTTCAAATTCATAAATACTTTTTAATATCACTGGCCTGTGACATTTCCTTATAGCACTAACGACATTTATATCAAATTTCAATGTCACATAATATCTACCGCCATATAAACATTCCAAATAATCGAGCCTCGTGAAACAATAACGCCTGTTTTGACTCGTCTGCATATATTTATAATGAACTCGCTTTTAAGCGATTGGCACTTGAATGACGGTGGTTGAAAACTGATGGGGTTTTATAGAATGGTCCTCGGAATAGTGCAATACCAAGAACTGATTACGTCGTCTGTATTCATACTCTGACAATTTCAACATGCACACCTTGGAATAATTTAGTGACATAAAAGCAATCTCGTTTGCTGAGAATACCACATGACTCGCACTGCTCTTGCTTTTGATTCTATCATCACACGTTTCATGTTTCATCGAATAACTTTAGATAAAAAATGTGCGAGAACCCGCCGATATTCTGTACCTTTAGTTTCTGTACAGTTACTAGCATTTCAAAGACATATAGTGCAAATTCTGGTGTGCATTGTGCAAGGAGTTTTATCTATTGTATTACGTAGAACAGACACTCTTTCCTGGCTTTCTCATATCAGGGCGCTAAATCACAGAGGTCTATTGGTTACAAGATCATAACTGTGTGTACATGAAAATTTGCGGTTCGCGACGAGACCCTCCACCCTGCTCTATTGGGAAACGGCTAATATCAATTATTCCCATTGAACAGTCGGATGTGTGAAAATAATCATCGAAATGGATAATTTTAATTTTTTTTGTTTAGGCACAAGCTAGTTCGAATCATTCCAACATCAAATCATTCACTGACCTTTCTTCAACAACTTAGTTCAGCTTCTGCAGCACTTGAGGTTGGTGAATACCCACGCTTTTAAATCTAGCTACAAGTTGTTTTCGTTGTGCGATAAAAAATATTACGTGGAATTGCTCTAATTTATTAGGTAAAAATCTCTCACGAATGTCACTGCTTGAATACTTCAGGTATTGAGTAATACCTCAGGAATTGTTTTTTTAACAATTCTTATTCTATTCGTTCCTATATTTTTAGCTTGATTTTTGGTCGTATCCTACAACATTACGACAACCTGTAGATATTCATGTTTCACCGAACTACCTTCCTGAACTTTCAAATGTTCTACAGTACAATAATATGACATACAGGGTTTTAATCAACGACCTGCAAAGATTAATTCAAAAAGAATATTCTCCAAGTGCTGTGAAGACAACATTTAAAAATTTTGATGCGGAATATCATTCATATCCCGAGGTAATGTTTATTTATAGTTGTTAAGAAATCTCTACTGCAATGTTTTAATTTTTTAGAAATATTCTATCTACGCAGATATTGGGTGAACTAAGAAATCTGGTGTATACAACCAATCGTGCAAAACTTGTTCTTATTGGAACTTCATATGAGTTTCGTAGGATATACGCTATAGAGGTCAGTAATATTATCCAGAAAACTAATAATTATTGCGTGGCGTGTGTTTGTCCTTAATTGGCGACAAAACTGGCTGTTAATTCAATTGCACGTCATTTTTATCGTCAGGATGTCGAAAGGATATCGTCAGGATTGTGAAAAGATAAAAGAGACAAACGAACCTGACAACTTCGCTTTTTATTTTACGGTTCTACGCATGCGTGCATTAGGGGGATCAAAACATGTGTCAAACTATGGTATATTTATACGTTACAGATATTTGAAAACGAGAGCAATACTCGACCGTTGATATTTCTAAACTGTGGACTTCATGCACGGGAATGGTTAAGCCCAGCCACATGTATGTTTCTTGTCAGACAGGTGAATCAACGAATATAATCTAACCAATTTTGTACATGTTATTTCAGTATAAGCCGAAATAACCTAAAATCTTTTTAACAATCCCCCAAAGCTGTTATCTAATAATATGACATCACTTCGAGCTAACTACACCTGGATCATTTTACCTGTCCTGAATGTGGATGGTTATCAATACTCATTTACTACGGTAAGATTTCAGCGTCAAAGCTTTAACTGCTTTTTAAGCGCATTCTAACTTAGCGCGTGAACCAAAGTGGCCCACCCCCCCCCCCCCGCTAATCCTAAATTGGTAACTAAGCTCCAACGTTTAACCGGTCCCGGACCGAAATATTGTCTTGGCTCTCATATGGAGTGCTATAAGTTCTTTTTTATACGAAAGGGCATCTTTGTGTTGTGAAATTTTGAAAACTGGTACTTATAGTCCATATTATATCACATGTCAAACAGGAAAGATTTTGGCGAAAAAACCGTTCACCTGGACGAGGTGGATGTATGGGTGTAGATCTAAACAGAAATTTCAACCATCAATGGGGAGGTCAGTATTAGCGCACATCAACTATAGAAAAGCTAATGCTTGTTTGCATGATCAAATAGATAAGTATATTCTATATTTCAGGTTTTGGCACGAGTTCTGATCCTTGCAACATGTTATATCATGGCAGACATCCATTCTCTGAACCCGAGACGTATGCCTTGGGGCGATATTTGTTATCTCGCAAAAAAGAAGTTAAAGTTTTTCTAGATATTCATTCATTCGGTCAATTATTTATGTCACCGTGGGGACACACAAGACAATATTCACCACATTATTTAGACATACAGGTAAGATCCTTTTTAGAAAGGTTTTGCAAACTAGTTATCATATCCTCTGGATTATTTGATTACAGGAGCCACTGATGAAGAGAGTTTCTGAGGCAATTGCTTCAGTTAATGGTAAAACGTTTACGTACGGACCTGCGTCGATCGTTATTTGTAAGTTCAGCATTTGATAGTCCTTCGACTGACGTTGTGCATGAAATTTCCGTTTTCCGTTTTAGCCCATACAATTTTTCTTCGAAATTGTTTATTTTTCAAATCCATAAATGAATTTTTTTTCTGAAGCTTGATTTCACATTTTTATTGCCCTTTTAATCCCTTATGTTGCACAATTACATTGCGTGAAACATATCGTATTTTACGGCAATGCTATAAGCAATTCTAAGTCACAATTTTCGAAACATGTCTAGGAAACGTTGCTTCTCAAATAATTTCTGTATTTAACTTTGTGCTCATTTTCTTTTTCACCAATTCCCAGAGAATTCATAATAACCTTGTATATAATATTTTAGATCCAACCACAGGCGATGCAACTGACTGGACTTATGCAAGTCTAGGAGTTATTCATTCATACAGCATTGAGCTACGACCAACGTTTCAAGATGAAAGAGGTTTTATTGTTCCTCCTGAACAAATTGTGGAGTCAGGCAGCGAAATATTGAACGGAATGATTGAAATGGTGCGACTGATTCAATCTGAATAATTAATTTTACCATCAATAATATTTCAAAGAAATAATCATCTAATGTAAAGCACACTATAGCTTTTAAAGAGAACTAATGTTTTTGAAATACTACAAGAAAACGTTCCAGAATCCAGCTGGACAAACACTAAATTTTTGATATTCTTACATATAATCCTACGTTCACAAATTTCTCGTATACCTGACTGATTAGTTCAGTTTACGGCATGTGAACATAAACATACTTCATTATTCACTCCCCCCCACCACCACCACCACTGCTACTAATAAAGCGTCTAGGAACGGCCTTTTCCAGAACCAGTTCGTCAGTAATTGGTGCTTTTATTTTCATAATCCTTCATGTTCGTTGACATACTATGAAATGCTGCAATCGTTTCTTTTGCTGTTGGAATGATGTTACTCGCTGGAAGTAGAAATCCATGTTTACCCTTATCTCTTAGTTCAAATACAAAAGCGAATTTTACTCCCATTGAACCGTAAACCCAATCTTTACCGCTCCCAGCTGCCTCATCTAAATATTGAAAGGAAAACTGCGTAATTAAAAATAGTTAGAATTTGTATCCAAGGACTGAGAAAGAGAAATTACATGAAAGGGGATTAAAGTAGTATCGTGCATGGACAATAATTTCAAGTTTGTAAGTAATTTTCCAAATGGTGTCGCACAAAAGGCTACCTTCCGTAAGCCTGTGTTTAGAAAGTGAACGCTTTTAGACTCGCATTATCAAACTCATCATAAGAGTGCATGAAAGAAAGGGGGTTAAAATAGCTACTTTTTCACGCTGAGCCTTTTCCCATGTAATTTGTTTCACACCCTCCTCATAATCACGTGATCAAAGCTAGCTATAGCGTTATAAATAAACGTTAATGTTTGGATGTATTCTCAAGTTGTTATTCCCTAAACTGCATGTACGGGGATGATATCCTTACATATAACTGCAGCGGCTGGTCCTGTTTCAAACGTAGTCCCGTATAAACTTTTTATTGCATCAGCAGCCTTCAATGATATGTCATGCTGCAAGAAAATTGAAAATGACTTTGGTTTAATAGAACAAAAAGGTGGCTGATGCACTGTGAGATGGTTGTGAATAGAAACTATATGAACGTCATCTACTCTGTCTCTCTTTTTCATTTGGTTACACTTTATATACTACTTTTTAGTACTAACCAACTCTTCCTTATCCTTAGATATCACGTCTTTGCTGTAACTCCAAGGATACATCAACAATTGACTATAAGAATGTATGTCTAGAAAGCCGAAGACATGGTCACGATTTGCTTTGATGTAATTAGCCACGGCCATCACTTCCGGGGCTGAGAAAGCGGATTTGCCATGATATATGTCGCTACATGTATTGTTGCTTGAACCGGAACCTAAAATAAAGATGAATGATATTCATGTCTTGATCACTCAGCATCTCTGTGACTATTACATAAACACCATTGCGTGATGGTAGTTGATTATCAAAGTGTCTTTGAGTTGCCTGTAAGAAAATCTTTCTTTGGATTTTACTAAACAAGTTCGCTCCTGATTCCTGAAGATAGCGCCACTGCAGTAGAGGTCTGGTAATAAAACGGAAGTTGGACAACTTGACATGCATACCTGCAAAGTGATAACCCCAGTTTCTATTGAGGTCTGTTCCATGACATCCAGATTTATCATTATTTGATTGGCGATTTTTCCTCCAAAGACGATCCTGAAATTATTTAATAACTACATTCAACATACTTTATGTTTTTTTAGACAAAATTAAATATCAGTAAGAAGACTTTAAATTGATAAGTACTAGTTAAATGCTTCAACGGTTCTTTGCTAATCTGTCTATAATATTAATAGTTAAAGGCACAAATTAGTCAAATAATAGTAGGTTCTTTCTCTGTGCAAAGGAACAGCGAAAGTACCATATATATACCCGATTAATTCAGTATTTGATACGTAATTATCTAAAGGCAATTAATTTATCGCACTGGAAATTCAGAGTAAAATTTAAGAAAAACAACAGACACATTTCTACACGACCACTCGATCGTGAAACGAAAATCGAAATAAATCGGCAAAATACAGTTTCCTTGTAACCTTCCATCTCTGCATGGTGGCACAATCTTACTTTTTTCCAAGTGTAGACATAACCATCGGGGTTGACTACAGGAAAGAAAACCCAGTTAAACCTATTTAACATTCCTGTTATTTTAGAATCTTTCCCATAGTTAAGGATCATCTAGATGAAAAATGAAAGAGATTTTATTTTAGGCAATATATTTGACTTCGAAACCTATCAATTTGATACTCACATTTTCCATGATGTAAACACATGTAGCAGGTGATATCCATTCTCTTGCATGTTGACCACAAATGACGACAATTTTCTGCTTATTCATATTTAACTTATTGCCTGTTATCTGAAATGAATTATAAAATCATTAGTATTTGAAATGAGCAGAAATCACCAAATTCGTTCTACCTCTAAACCACGGATGTTCCTCCCTTCTGCAGACAATCCAATATTCAGCAACGTAGCTCGACCTTTACTAAGAGGACTCAAATCGCTCATCTTTTGAATGATCTGAAATAAAACGTGACACACTCGGATTGGTGTGTTTTCGGCCTAAGTACAGGATCTACATTTGGATTTAAGTTCTTAGAACGTAAGACTAATTGCTTGCCTTCAGATAATGCTACTTTTCGAAGAGTCATTTATTATGGCATTGATCAATATCGTAGCCAGACATTTAACTGTTTTTAATTGCTTTGTTATCAGTGGTATTTATTCTAAGAATTCACTAGCATTGTAGGGATCGACGGACCGGACCGTATGTTAGCTTCAATGAAAGTGTAACGATACAAACCTCTTCAAAGTTATGATAAGAGCGATGCCAACTATGGCAGTGACGATAGTGTCCTTTTTCCTCTTCTTCGAAACTTTTTTGTAGATCGTTATTTATTATATCATAATTAATATTCCAACGGTTTAAATATGCATCCAGTTTTGTATAGTCCTCTGGCGTCACATGGATGTCGATGTTTCTACTTCTCGACCAGAAATCCACCTGAAGAAGTTAATTATCGACATGAAGGAAGGTTGAAAGTTCAGAGGAAGGTTGAAAACAGATCACGAAGAATTTTCATACCTCGATGTCTGGATTTTCCTCCAATGAATTAATAAAATCAATATCAGCTTTTGTCTTAGGAAATGTTCGAATAACTTTATGTCTAAGCAAAATCAGAGATCAAATCTTTAAACGATAACTATTTCAAACGATGTAATTTGTTTTGAAATTTAGACATAGCTATTACTGACGTTTAAAAATAATCCAAAATAATAATCCAAAAATTAACGAAACTAAGTCTAACCAAGTCGATCGTTATAACAATCGTTCAATAGGATTGGTTGTGTCCACGATAAAACAACAAACTCAATTCGTCACAAATTCGACATGAAGATACTAGACGATAATAAAGATCTCACCCGACAAAAGGCTTTTCTCCCGGCTTTTGTTTCTCCAATAATTCTAAATTTGAGTAACATTGTACTTTACTAAATATAAAATAACCTACTAAAACAGTTACGAACAATACAAATTTTGCCATAACTTTAAATACGTCCAGTAAGCTTAGCTCTTACATAATATCTATAGGCTAAACGTGTTTAGTATTTGAGTCAAGTAGCAGTAGCAGGTTGTTGTTACATGATCAACCAGTCATGCACTACATGCAGTGCCAACGGCAACACTGTCGACTGTGGCGTACCCATGCAGCCTGAGGATTTAGTCACGTTATGATCTACTTCGTGTTAAAATTATTGTTTTCGCATGCAAGGAACTCCAAGAGGAATTAGTCTGGATACGGCTAATCGTAATACGCGCGTAGTTTTATGGCAACAGTATAACCATTTTTTTGCCGTTCTACAGGTGGTCGTAATCTTCTTATAGTCAGACTACTGACAATTTTCCAATTTAGTTGAGAACTAAATTAAAGGGCACTTCATATACTATCATATAGTCCTGGGAACGAAATTTAATTTAGGCCAATAGTAACTAATGCTAATGAAATCAGTAAACTCTGTTTCCATTGGTAAGTCATTGTTGGTAAGACCCAGACCCACCCGGAGACTAGGGTGTGCCTATGTTTCAGACTTTAGAGATATTCAACTGATGTGGAATGCCAACGTCATGGGACGTAAGGAAAATCTGTGTTATCGCGTGCTATAGTTCATTCGTTCTTGCATTAAAAAAAGGTTTATTAAATTTAATATACAGTTGATTGATAAAAAGCCTCCTAAGCCCAGTTTAAAGAGAGAATTTTCGTAAATTGTCTATTTTTGTAGACAAAAATTGTCGTAAATTTTTTGCAGACTTCGAACAAAATCTGTATCATAATAATTCTAGTAATCTCATCAAAGATCAAACCACTCAGTGTTATTATAGAGACCAGTGTCAACATTACATTTACAGATGTACTTCCGATGTAGCAGCGATGTGTGTTCCGGTTGTGGTGCCACTTCCTGTTTTGCTTTTACCTGGAAATTTAGACGAAATTCTACGACTTTGGCTTGGATTATATATCGAGTACACTGTTGCGTTTGACTATCTTTGTTTTTCGAAAAAAGAATGGAAGGCAAGGCTCACTCAATGGTTTTCCAATGCAAAAATTGCAATTTTTCAACGCATTACGACTATTTTGGAAAGCAACCGCCGTTTTGTAAAGAAATAATGTATGTGAAATATGATTTTTATTACATTTCATGTCTGAGAATTCTGCATGCGTGTTGTCAGTCTCTGAAGACGCTTAACCAGGAAAATTTATATATCCTTTCTAATATAGCTTTTTATTGCAAATTCTACCATCTTCATTCAATATATTTGTAGCTAGAGAGCGTATTTTGATAGGTGATCGAACGAGATATACTTTAGGTGCTACAGTAGTTTTACAAATGCAGTTTGTTGGGTTGTGCTTTTGGCAAGGAGAAGGCGTTAAACACCGCTTTGCTGTCCGCCATTAATGCTCGAATAAAACCGTTACAAGCGCCATTATATTATCTAAAAGTGCTACAACAATTTGATATGTTATAACTTTTTCCCTTTGGAGAAGTTTAAAAGCGTTCAAAAAGAGGTTTTAAATGTTTAATGTCGTTCATTGTGTGGAAATTTGTAGACACATGGTTGCTTGCCACAATTGTGATCTTGCCAGCGTGAGATAGATCTATCAAATTTTGAAAGGCCAGTACGTAGGAGAGGGTTTTAAGAAAAGCACAGAAAGGGCTGCAGTTTGGTAAAGGGCAACTGAAGCAGACAGTATATTTATAAAACTTTGGAAATTTACAAAATATATTATAATATCAGAAATAATTCATAAATTTTAATTCATTGTCACCAAACGGTTATTTGTTTATTGTGAAACCCAGCTGTTCCAGTTTAACTTTAAATTAACTTTCACAGCTACAGTTATTTCCATTTCGGTTATTACAAGTTAAATATAGCTTACATTACAGATATAATATGTTAATTTTACGTGGAAAATGCATCCATCTCAGTTTTTTTACTTGTAGTTATTGCTTTTATTTGCCCTTTTAAGCACAGCACCACACTAATTGCAGCTCAACAGATTCTTTTGTGAATTGCTACATATGTAGCGATCTATCTGAATTAACACTTCATTAGTATTCTATGTTGTTGAAATCCTGATGGTTACTCACTAGTGCATGGAAGACTAATACTGAATCATCCTTGGCAAGGTCATGGGTATTAGGAGTAGTTTTTTTTATTGATCCAGGAATTTAGATTTCAGGAAAGGCAGTGGCTGTCTGGCCAATATCTGTATATAGTTATGCAGTATAAGATTTCTTATGTTCACAGCATATGTTAAAGAACTGTGGTGTTGCATTAATTAGGAACCTGATATTGTATGCTACCAGATGGCAATTCATGTCTTCATTTGAAACGTATATCCTTTGGTCCGCTGGGAAAAAAAACATAAAGATGCTATAGGCAATAATAGCTACTAGGATTTGACATTGCTTTCAGGACTATTAATGTCTTAAGAAAGATGTCTTAATGAGAAAGTGACAGCTAAAAAACTCTTGTATAATTAATCCAAGAAGTATTTTTAAGTACTTCCGGTCACTTGTGAAACAGTAATTTAATGAATTTGTAATTAATATATATCCAGATGCTGATTTGTTGCAGTTAAATTCTAGAAAATCCCAGTGTAGTTGTAATTTGAGTACATGATCAAATCCATAATTAAATCACGAAGTCAGGACTAATTGGGAATGTACATTAATTTTTATTGACTGATATATTGACTGACTCTATTGAGCTCATTAGCACCGGCAGCTCAATAAGTGGGTGACATTACTGACATATTCATATATTTTCTATGCAAAGTTATAGGCAAAATGAAATTTAGTAAAGCATTAATAATGACTTGGTTGTAATTGTTTAAACATGTTTCATTCAAACTATGCTTTCATATTTGAATGCATTTAATGCAAGACATTAAAAAATCAGTGCCTGTTATATTAAACTCTTGAAACAACTTTTTTTAACCAATATACACAATTCTGGTTAATTCTGTCACTACAATATAGTTAATCTGTTAAAGTTGGCTACCTTTTCATAGAATCGCCCACAGATTGTGTCTGTTTTAATGAAAGACTTCCCTTAGAAGAACAAGAAAACGCAAAGAAACGAAGAAAAAGAGAACGATGAAGAAAGATGCAAATGAAAGAGAACGCGAATGTAGAAGAGGCAAAAAAAGCCGGAACGTGAATGAAAAAAGACGCAAATGAAAGAGAACGCGAATGTAGAAGAGGCAAAAAAAGGAACGCGAATGAAGAAAGATGCAAATGAAAGAGAAGGCAAATGTAGAAGAGGCGAAAAAAGGAACGTGAATGAAGAAAGACGCAAATGAAAGAGAAGGCAAATGTAGAGGAGGCCAAAAAAGCCGGAACGTGAATGAAAAAAGATGCAAATGAAAGAGAAGGCAAATGTAGAAAAGGCAAAAAAAGCCGGAACGTGAATGAAAAAAGACGCAAATGAAAGAGAAGGCAAATAGAAGAGGCAAAAAAGCCGGAACGTGAATGAAAAAAGACGCAAATGAAAGAGAAGGCAAATGTAGAAGAGGCAAAAAAAGCCGGAACGTGAATGAAAAAAGACGCAAATGAAAGAGAAGGCAAATGTAGAAGAGGCAAAAAAAGCCGGAACGTGAATGAAAAAAGACGCAAATGAAAGAGAAGGCAAATGTAGAACAGGGAAAAAAAGCCGGAACGTGAATGAAAAAAGACGCAAATGAAAGAGAACGCGAATGTAGAAGAGCCAAAAAAGGGAACGCGAATGAAGAAAGATGCAAATGAAAGAGAAGGCAAATGTAGAAGAGGCAAAAGAGCCGGAATCTGAATGAAAGAAGACGCAAATGAAAGAAGACGCAAATGAAAGAGTACGCAAATGTAGAAGAGGCAAAAAAAAAAGGAACGTGAATGAAAGAAGATGCAAGCGGAAAAAAAATGCAGATGAAAAAGATTAAAGCTGAAACTTAAATAACTGTATAAATTTAACATTTCCCATTTATAGCATCAAATGTGGTATAACAACTACCTAAATAGACAAAACACTTTTCGACGTTTCGACCTGAGGGCCTTCGTCAGGAGAGTTAGTATGAAAACATTCATTTTCATTTAGGTTGTTATAACACATTTGATGCTAAGTTGTTTGAAGACGCTGCCACGCTGCTCCTTGGTCAGATTTCTCATCTATATTTGTCATGAGCAATCTATTTATGCCTATATATTTATTCGTATTTTTGTCTCATATAGATTGCTTGAGAGTGTCTACGTCATAAAAGATCCATTCACAAGAGAGACAGGAATTGTGATTCTTGGTGGTCACTGTGCTCTTTGTCATACTGAAGTATGTTGTGATCAGGTACACAATATTTCCTAGATATAGACTTTTCATTATACAAGCATTAGTGATTTAACGAAATATATTTGCCGCAGGGGTATAAATGTACTTTTCAATTTTTTTTAGAAATGCAGTGTGTTTTATTCTAAAAGATTCTGTATCCCATGCAGTATGAAATATTTCAAAGAGTTTCCAGCTGAAATTCAGAAGGTTTGTGGTTTTTTTTACCTAGTTTGTGTGATTTTAGCTGAGCTGTAACCGTGTAGCGGACCATCACGTATGCAGCGGAACATAAAACTACCTACCGGTGTAAAATAAACACGAAACGATCGAAACAAAAAAGAACCTGGGGACGGTCATGTCTGGTTTCATATATTTGAATACTGCGAGTGAGAAGTTTCTTCTAGTTTTCTTATGCCAGCCATATAACCACCATAAACCAAATAAGAGTTTTTGAAAGTAGGCGCGGACTTAACTTTCTAAAAAATTATAGCCCTCCAGCATTTCAACTCTTCGGGGTAACTATCGTCTTCATGACATAACTTTCGTAATATGGAGACAGGATTTGCTCATTTTCAAGCTCGTACCCAGGTACGAGGTTGGCTCATTTTATGCTTAGTGGAATAAGCTGCAATCAGGAGATTTAGGACTCTTATGTTCAGCTGTTCTTTGAAATTTAATCACGAGAGTTCTTTTGGCGGACAAACGCCAGTTTTTATGGGACGATGTGCAATTTAGCTATTAGTTAGTTGTTGCACTTGGCCACTTGCGCATCAAAACGAAATAGCCTTGGAAATTGCGAGATAGTATGCTTTCATGCAAATAAGATTTTCCGCTTATTTTAAATATGTTATGGCAATATATAGGTTTAGTTGCAGTTTGGTTTGGTTTTTATAATTACAATTAGTTGTAAATATGGGATACAATGATTGTCGGGAATTTATTCTCATGTCACCACCAAACAATCGCTCTTACAGCTTTGGAGTGTGCGGCGGAATCAATGAGAACTATTTGCAATAAAACATGAAAACATAATTTGAACAATTTCATGTTAATGAGCCTTGGGTTAATTCAAAGTGATATTGCAAGTTGCCGCAATTCCATCTAGTGTTGTGGCAACAAGATTTTACAAGACAATATCGATTGACCTTGCTGATCTATCCTTTGGCTAACCATGCCAAAAATGTACATGTACAAAGAAGATGCGATTAAAGAAATTTCCCCTATCCTTTATGTTCATCAAACATTCCTCATATTTATTCATTCTTCGAGCAGAATTTTATACATGATTATTGTGACTACATATACTCTCTGCCGTAATGGTCTGTGATGTGATGTGAATGCTTATGAAACATGACGAGAACTCGAGTCTCGAGAACTTAAGGCTTCATGGCTTTATGCATGCATAATGATATTCAAATGTGTTGAGAGATGTAATAATAAGCCTCCTGTTGTTAAGATTGTTTGCGTGATAGCGTGTTTCATGGCGTGACATTTCTTTGTTTTAAATATTTTTTTATGTACATACAGACATACCATGATGACATTCGGCTTTTAGTTACACGTAGAACGGAAGTTACGTTGCGAAATATTCCATGTACACTTAAGCTAGTTGCTATGTCCGTGGCGTAATATGTAAATATCCGGACAAACTAGTGTATTAATTCTACTACAGTCCTATCTTCCCCCCGCTCCCAGACCAAATTTACTGAAATCTTTGTCATGACTTGGGCAGTTAATAAGGATTTGCCTGGTTGGTTGTTCTGCCCATTTCTTCAAAGCCCACTACTGTATGTGTCTTAAGTGATGGGGATGCATGTTATTTGAATGTCTTTGAGCAAGATTGCCACGATTTTTACAACACAATAAGTTATATATCCTCGTGTTCATGAAATAAATAATATTTTGTTTCTTTTTTAGGACGTACAAAAGAACGGAAACCTTGGACAATAGAAAATTTCGAAGGTTTTATCATTGACAGCGTTGATGCATGCATGATCTCGCGATGACTATATGCATGCAGGCTTGGACTGCAGACAACTATTCCATTTATGATCAACTGCTTTGGTTATAATGATAACGTGTGCCACATTATCCATCATTTCCCGTGGAAAATGGTACATGTATAGCATGGACATCAGGTCATCATCCTTCAGAGTGTCTTGTAGAAGAACTATTGTTGGTAAAATCACGGTACATTTCACCATTCATGGGATATACAAACGAAAAAGCTGTTTGAAAAACTATAATTGGATAACTATACGTGGAAATCTTGCATGGATGTTCTCCAACTACGTTGACGCTGTATATGAAATCGAACGAACTGATAAATTTTGTCGCTCCACAGACACAGCTGCGTTCTTTTGCTGGCTTTTGAACTTGAAATGTAAGCAGTGCCAGTGGTGTTACATGTCAGCGGTGTTGTTCAAAAGCGGAAATACGATGTGCACAGGAAGTAAAAGTGGTGTTGCTTTACCAAGAAAAATGAAGCTTTACTCGGAAAATATTTAGTAAATTTACAACCGGTCTCGTTTTCACGATTATGTATTGTTGTATACGAAATAAAATGTCTACAGTTGAAACAGCACACGAAGGGATCTCTACGATAATATTGTCTTGCTGGCACCAAAATGTATCCTTGTCCAGTTTGCGATGTAAAATTAAACTCAGTAGAACAACGACGAGCACATTGTCGCGGTAAGAACCATATCAAACGTGAAGAAGCAAGAAAGAAGGCTGAAGAACTTGGAACGGACTTTGATAGCACACCAGATCACTGCGATGTATGTAATGTTCCTCTTACCTCGAAAATGACAGCAATTGATCATTTTAAAGGCAAAATGCATCAGAAGAAGGTCAAAGCTGTTGAAGAACAACGTCAGGGATTCAGAAACTACTGTGAGATTTGCGAAGTACGTCTTCAATCTTTAAAAGTTTCTGAAGCTCACTTTACTGGCAAGCAACACCACAAACGGGAACGAAAGACAAACTCTGTGAGGGGACAGGGAAAGAAGATCCCGATAGACAAAAAATCTAGCAACTCTCGCACAATCACGCCAAGATCTGATGATTGTCTACCGAGTCAGAACAATTTTGGGGACGTTTTTGAAGAAACGCCAAAGAATTCTTCGTCTTGGGAGAATCTAAATTGTGACAATGATAGCGAGCCCAAAGATCTACTCAGTGAATTTAGAAATCTTCGTAAGTATACGATTCGCTAGGCTAAACTTGCGGGTCCCAATTCAGCTTTATTACCTCTTGTTTTTGCGGTGTTTTTCCCATCTTTTTTTCAAATGACAGAAGTTCTGAAACTAAGGTATTTTCACCTGCTAAATGTACGTTTTTGTACCAAAATGTTGAACGCGTTGCAGCAGACGCACTTCCTCACACGACTCGGCGTTCTTTTCGAACTAAAACACCAAATCACCGAAAATTGCCTGTTTTTAGTTTCTGTTTTGAATTTCAGTATTTTAGTTTTAGGCTTTTGACGTTTCAAACTGAAAACTGGGTGTTTTTTGGGTGTCAAAGTGGGAAAACGCGGTTTTCGTTCGTCAATAGGGTGTTGTTCTATAACTGCGCGTATATATAGATCTCCATGATCGCATTTATCCGTACCATTTATTAATTTCATCGAAGTGTTTCTATGTGCTTTTAAAGTCTTTTTGAATGGATCTATTTTGGAAAGTGCTTTCGTTTTTTCGTCAATAGAAAACTGCGAAGAATTTTCTTCAGGCAGCAATTACCATGTGGTCCTAAATGACTAAAGCATTTTCACGGCTCACAGTTAGCTAATTTCACGACGAATTCGTTAGAATTTTTCTCTCCGAACTCTTTGAACATGCATCCTAGTTATTTCGAAGGAGTATTGACTTGATTTAGTGCAGGAAAACTTGGAATTTGGAAGAACTGAAAATTCGAACGAGAATTGGAATGGGTGGTGACTATATATAGGGTTCATTATTTAGCTAAACATCGCCCTTGAAATTGCATTTCGAAAATCGTTTCGAAAATGGTGATAAAGCGTTTAAAGTATAACTGCTTGACGTCTTTTTGTATGTGACTATTTAGTTTATAGCAAAATAATCTGGAAATGATTTCCATTAATTGTTTTGGGAATTTTTTTGGCACATTAAGGCAATCTTTCTGTGCGGCTGTTTTCGAAGAGGCGTTGTCCAAGCTTATTCCATTAGGAGACAACACAACATATGACGCAGGCACTGAAAATATAAGTGTATATATGTACAGAAAACCTCGTGCATGTGTGTTTCAATCCAAAGAGAAAATATTCTTAGTAGGTTCGCTGTTAATTTTTCCATGCAGTTGTTTCATTGTAAAGAATGATCGAAGACATGCAATTGAGTAAAATTCAGTTTAGATTTTTGTCCTCAACTGTGCACTATAAGAACGCTAAAATAAGGAATCCCGTGGCTGATATTTGCTGGGTATTCAATACGATTTTATATTTTAAAATAAAAAATCTATGACCTTAGTACTGATGCTACACAAATTGTAATTTCAGAGATCTTTTAATTAAGGAGTGCAGTGTGCAATGTAATTCTACAGCTAAAACAGTCCCTACACTGACTGACGTGTTGGTCTTGACAAAGCTATAATATATATATTTGAACATTTATATTTGAGTGCATACACATTATTATTATGGTGTATAAGAAATAAATTATAATTAAAGACTTGCATGTATGCATGTGGCATGTAAAGATTTCATAAAATCATCTATATTAGTGATACATGGATCTTGGCCAAAATTCTTTGAGGTCTTGCATGCACTGCTTTTATACTGTCTGACACATGCAATAAAATACTATTAGGAATTTTGCCGTATAGCTATATTTACTCATAGTATATAACATTGACAATTTTATTTGTGATATATGTATATATATATATATAGCTACGTAACTGAGTAGCTGGACAACCTGTGCATTGTTTTCGGCCTGCTTCCAATACTTTTAAGTTTGTTTGATTTCATGATAAGACATGTTTCCTTACTTTAGCTGAGATGGAAGAAACTATGCATTGCTGTAGAGTATGCAGGCAATAAAGGATGTTTTCATTCTATCTGGATACACGCTTCCCCTCTCTATACATACATAAGAATATATATATACAACATTACATGTAAAATAAGGTATATATATATATATATATATATATATATATATATATATATCAGGAAAATATTTGTGCATGATAAGTGTTTTTAGTCCCTTTTTCTAAACTATTCTGATTCGGAACAGACTATTCTGTCGTACAGAACTCATTCTCTGGATATGATGTTAAAAAGTTATACAAATTTATATCAGTAATAATTTTGTAGGAATGCTTTGTTTGTTTATTTGCGAATCCCGGATATTTGTTATTGAAAATTTTCCTATTAAATGATTGTCCTGCAAGAAATTATTATTTATACATACCCACTCTGCGAGCGAGTTATTTTATCTTTAATTTACAAATTCAAATGTGTAATTTAGACTGCACGTTTTTGCTAGGGATATTATACACCATTCCTTAAAGGATTGAATTGGTGTTTATTCTTTGTCCACCTACGTTTTTGTATTCACCTGTGTACAAGAATACTCATTTATCTTTTGGTTAAAGCTGTTTTTAAACCTAAACTTTTTTGCCTGAACATGATTTGAGTAACATACTTTAAGATTAACATGTCCTGTTACATTTGCACAAATTATAGCAGACGCCGAGGGAGGTTTACACTTTCAAAGCTTGAAATAATTTTTTGTGCATGAATGTGTATTTTTATAGTGATTTTACATACATGCCCCTTGTAGAATGAAAATTTGTCCTATGTAAATGTATTCCTAACATGCATGTGTGATAATGTGTTGCGTATTTTGTATGGTTGATATCTTTCGCTATTCAAAGTTTGCTCAACGATACTTATAATATTATATACATGCGTGTGCATGAGCTAGGTCTATTTTAAAATTCTTAAAACAGGATTGCTGATATTATTTTTTGCTTCGCTGTGTTTAGTTAATAGCAAGTCTCTCAACTCTCCTGACACCACATCGAGTTCCTCTAGTCCTGAAAGTTCAACAGAACCCGTCTTTTCTTTTGAAAACCCTGTCCTAACAATCTCAGGAAGACAACCATCTATACAAGCAAGTTTGCCACCGCCAAACGAGATTATTTCTTATTTCAATGGTGAGGATGTTCCCACAACATTGGGTAACTTATGGGAATCCCAGGCAAATTTGCAGCAAGTAGACGAACCTCGCAATCCTAATATATTATTTTCCAGCACCGAGTCCGAGAATATATGTGCCCAAAGTAAACACCTGATGCAAACACAAGCAGTAGTTTCTGTCTTAAAAGAAGCTGATCAGGGAATTTCATCGGGCGATATTGCGACAAAAATAGCAGAACTTTCGCCTAGCGATGTGAACTTAATATTAAGTGAATTAGAAAAGCATCATTTAGTCTCAAAGTCGGGTTATGCTCCGATATTGTGGTCGTTAGTTAGACATACTACGACGGAGAATTCGTCCATGCAGTCGAATAAAACATTGAATGGATTTTCCTATCCAAAGAAAATACCAGAACCATCTCCTAAAACGGCTCTGCGTTTTCAAACATCAAAAGATGCTTACTTTAGTCAAAACGTAGGAAACCATATCTCAACAACCGAAGCATATCCCGCGTTGACGGCGGCCATCTTGGCTTCTTGTCCAACGACGACGACACCAAGCGAAGGCGTTCGTCCACACGCGCATGTTATTGAGTCCAGTTACATAAATACAACAACAACTAGTGATGTAGTCCATCCCTATACCCATGTTATTGAATCAAACCTAGTAAATTTGTTTCAACAAAACGGTTCACTAACTGTCCATGATATTTTCACAAAGCTTAATTTTCGAGACGAGGCGAGACTTCGTTTTATATTACAAAATCTGGTCAAGCGGAACATTGTGAAGAAAGATGGTGATCGAACATGGCGAATGGCGAGTCCAACGCGTGTCAATGTAGGAGTTATTGGCGGGGAACGAAAGCGAAGAAGTCCTGTTCAAAACGAGAGAAGTGAGATATCGAGAACACCCACACCTCCTAAAGAAAACGACCATCGCCTTAAAAACGGTTTCCCGTCAACTGCGAAAGAAAACGTTCATCGTGGCCTAAACAATTACAATGTCGCTTCCCCTCCCAAAGAGAACGACTTTCGTGTTTCAAACGGATACAAAATAAACGCAGCAATTTCAAAAGAGAACGAGCATTGTGTTATAGTTCCAAGTGGATACACCGCATCTAACGTTTTACACCAGAAGAGCGACAAGTGCAATGGTATTTGGCAAGATGATTACGGAGTGAACGGTAAACCCGTTCCAAATTCACACCAACGAAACACCAACAACAATAACAGTAGATTTTCCCCACCTTTACATTTGAATACCGAGGCAAGTGAGATGTTAGAAGATCTTATCGTTACTATACCGCAACCTTATCAGAAGGAATTATACGAGATTGCCATGCAAGAGGATACTGTTTGTTATCTACCTTGTGGGACTGGCAAAGAACTTGTTATCGCACAAGTTATTGCACATATGGCGATTTTGAACCCCACAAAACAAGCGGTAGTTATTGTTCCTGATATTGTCAGTGCTTTAAACACGGCCCAATTTCTTCGGAAGGAACTAGGTGTAAAGAATAAGCAAAAGAAACTTAATGTTGCACTCCATGCCGGACAATTGAAACAGTCGAACGGTAAAGTACAAGTTGCAGTTATGACATCTTCAACATGTTTAGGTTTGCTGAACTGCGGAGCACTCTTGTGGAAAGAAGTTTGCCTGCTAATATTTGATCATGCATATATGTGTTGCAATGATGAAGCATCAAAGAAGATTCTTCATGAATACTATCTTAAATCAAAGATGGATTTCCATGGTGGACATGTTCCGAAACTTCTTAGCTTCGTGGATTCTTCAGCCGGACAGGAGAATCTGGAAGGAACATTGCGAACATTTAGTCATGTTTTGTCTTCCATGGGTGATATTTACTTATCTTGTGTCACAGAGGCAGTGAACGAGCTGAATAAAGATAAACATGAAGCAATGTTTGTTTGCGTCCAAACAAATCTCACAGAAGAAGAATCCAGGATGTTTTTCTTGCTTGGAACTTATCTAAACCTTGTATTTGACAACCTTGCAGCCCAGTGGCAGCCAATGAACAGTTACAGAGAACTGTTAAAGATATCTTTTAAGGAATGCACGGTGATTAGTGAGGCTTTTGTAAAGTTGATTCATTTAACAGGCCAGCCTCTAGAGAAACGTCTTCCTGTGTCATGTTTGAAGACATGGCGACATTACCTGGCTATCTGCGAAATAATTTTCACCCTAGTTGAATGTGGAGAAGATCTTGCTAAAGAAATGTTGGTAAATCTGACACATGAAGAGTTTGGTTTCACTTGGGCGAACGACGTGGGACTGCCTGGCTATGAATTATCTCGACAGCTCATGGAGAAGGAGATTCCAAACTGGGGTAAATTTTCCACTTCCCAACACACCTTATTGTGGTTTATTTTTCTTTTAGTTTTACTCTACCAAAACGTATTGACATGGCTTCCTTTTGTCTTTTGATTATATATTCAATGAGCTTCGGCCTTTACGTTCCTTTACGTTGAATGAGAGGTTGATTTCAACTGTCATGATGTTTATAATGGAAAAACCGACGTCTAGATATTTCTTTATTTTGATTAGGTTCCAACTTGTTAAACCCTCGCGGCTCAGGATTGCGCGACCTTCTTGACCAACTAATGATCATCCAGTGGGAAAATGCGCGTGTCTCGTCAGAACGACCGCTGGCTTTGATCATCGTGAAACTGAACAAGACAGCCAAGCTTTTGGCAAACTACTTGGCGCAATGTCCACAACTCGCCAAAAGAAATGTGAAAACAACATTTATTGATGGTAAGAATTTCACCTCGTGTTATTGTAAATCCAACGTAACGTTTCAGAAGATATTATGAAGTTTGTTATGAACGTCCGTATTTTACTTGAATGTTCGAATATCAGGGCCAAGCTCAGTAATGAACTGCATCATTCCATAGCTTTTACCCAAGGATTAGCAATTGATGGGAGCAACAACCTGAAAGCTTGTCATGTATAAAACCGCAAAAATATGTTTGTCAAGCATGCTACAGCAAAGGATTTATCGTGACATAATTGCAGGGCGTATATTGTCAGGGCTTGAGATGTAATATATTTGGACGGAAATACTTCCTCCTAGTTTGGAAAACTACAACTATTTTTTTTTAGGTTCACGTTCTCATCATCAGAAGACAGTGCTCTCAGCAATAAAGCGACGTCAGTATCAAGTAATTGTCTCAACAGATAATATAGACCAAGATGAGTTACCTCCATGCGAACTAGTGGTTCTTCTTGATCAACCTACTGTTGTGTATGCTTTGGAGCAACTCCGAAGGAGGCGTGCTACGAATGTCGTTGCCATGTGTCGGGATAATGATGGTGAAGAAGAACTAAAGGAACTATTAAGAAGAGAAGAGTTAGTAGAGAAAGCAGTTACTGTGATCAGAGTTGGTACTGGTTGATATATATGTACAGCGGGGGATCAATTTGCCTTTCATCATGAGGTATTTGCATTGTTACTATATGAACAGGATGTTGTCATTAATTTAAAATATGTACAATTTAAAGCTAATCATGTAGAATTTTGGGACGTAGTATAAGCTGCTTGTTTTGTTCCTTTGTCCAGGTAGTTAGACTAAAGCCAGTTGTTTATACGAACGCAGGTACACGCGGGAAACGTTTATTGCAGCATCAGCATCACTTGTGAGGTAACCAAGTTTATAAATAAACAAAATTTAGTATTACGTTCAGTTCAGAACGGAATTTTGTCTGTGCGTGTACCTTGCGTATGAAAACCGCGTTACTAGAAAACGGTCTTTGTCTTTGATAAACACCTTGCACAGTATACCTTGCACAGTACCTTGCACAGTATACCTTGCACAGTGTTTTTTACTCGGTATTGTTTGGTTCAATAAATAATTGAAGGAAAAAATCTAAAAAGGATCCATAGCAGTACTTTGCTACGGTGGGAACATTTTCTTGAGAAAAAATAAGATGATTTAGTAAAACCTGACACATATGCAGTCTTTAAGGGTTATTGATACTGTCATCTGACTTTAAAAGAAAAAAAATGATGAAATTATAGAAGGTATGGGAAAGCAATGCATTACAACAAATGAACGCCAGTTCCTAAACCTTCTATATATTTTATATTGTAAATAGAAATATAGTAAAACTAACGTTAGACAAAGAGATATTTTAAGACGACTTGGTAAGAGTATACAGTGTTTGCATGGTTGGTCCAGGAATTACTTATATAGTATCAATTTATATCGTAAAATATAGATTTTAGATTTGAAGAAATTTCAAAATAGCTTCATTTCTGCATAGCAAACAATCGCAGCCATTCGTTACTAAATTACGAGCGTATGGAGGTGATTGGGAATATTGCGTATTCAATAGTCAAGTATTTTCTCTTACAAAGTACGTCTTAGATATATCTTAATATACAAGAGTATAACTATAAGTATAACTTAATATTTTAGAGTTACTAATGTACGGCGACCGAAAGCTGACATGTAGACGTAGTGTTTTGTATGTGACGATATTCCATGTTTGTTAGATTTACTTTATTGTGGTAATCAATACGTTAAACGTAGTAATTACCTTGTCTTGTTTGCCAGTTTGAGTAATAAATTGAAGTATAAACAAATCCAGTTTGATTTTCCAAATGTGGCCTTAACAAAACACTGATACTGCCTTGCCTTAAACGAATACACTAAAGGACATCAAGGCAAGGACAAGGAAGTACGTCATGATGGCCAAAGACGACAAAGCTTGTACTGCATGGATTAATTCACAGCACAAACGTAGGTGAAAAAACAAATTGATATTTTCTCAATAAAATTTTTTTCACTGCTGTATCTTTCAGATTCAAAATTAAGTTAAATTCTCGTCAGCATCTAAAATATGTCGTAACTTACAGCATTCAGCGTTTCATCTTTCTTCCTGTTTTACCAGGAAACCATCTCTCGGTTCGAGGAAAACGGTCATTTTCGTGGAAGATGGCTGATCGCATTCCATGAGAAAACCATTGTAAAACACCCTTTTCTTCAGAAAATCTGCCTTTAAATCCACCTATCAAAAGTGAAAGGTGAATACTTGGTAAATACTGGGCTTAAAAAGCAATCGTAGGTATTACTATTCAAATGCATGGCTTCTTCATGTTTTTAATAACATGAATCATCATCCCTTTGAACATCGCAATTGCACGTTTCTTGTGAATTTTAAAACACAAGAGCGCTCAATAGTAACGTTATTCTTGTATCCATATTCTTATTTTCAGGTCACGTCCATGTCGGTCATTTTACGGTATAAAATAGATCATATATAGTTCATGACATATATTAACATGATAGCTAGGCCGATTGTTCGGAAAAAACATCCAAAATGCTAATGCTTGTGTTTCAATTTAATTGTTGTATGAAACCATTTACCTGAGATAACAACGAACTGTCTTGTAGCAATTTATAAGTTTTATTATTTTCAACGACAACACTGCTCCACAATGCCATCGACCGCTTCCTACCGCTTCGTTCTTACTCTGACGTCCAATTATTGCTGCGCACGTGTCATACCCAGTCTCAATTCAGTGTCGGAGTGTAGCCTGAGGCAGCGGACACTTACACAAACCATTTTATTTGTGTCAACAGGAAGACTGCTTATACGATGCGATGTGAGAGTAATGAATACGATTGTGTCATTGAATTTTGCATGGATAATGTTGCTTCGAGTTACGGACTGGTCATACGCAAATAAATTGAGTTATAAAACGCTGAGGTAAATAAGTACTGCAGCGGGAAACCGTGAACCACAAACTCAAACGACGGAATCTGAGGGGTTGGGGGGAAAGCGTCAAGCTAAAACTCTACTTTTACTGGACGTTGGGTGAGCTTTAATTAAGCTGACCAGCCGAGACAATCTTGTTCCTGAGTTTCTCGCTTGTTTTGGAACACTATAAAGATGCCACATGAATAACAAAGAATTTTAGCTCTTACCCAAATTTATTTGGTGTACCATCACCTATACCTTCCTATTGGGAACGGCCTTGTCACTCCGCGCCACACACTTCCAGAACCTGTTTTCTGTAGTCTTTAAAATTACATCAAGTACGCCCCTCTGCGGGTCTGCGCCCTTTTTGTGCCCCTGCTCTCCTGCTTGTGAGTGTTCTCTTATCCATTTTTATCACTTGACATCCATGAGTGTCCCTTAATTGCATAATAACTTCGATTAAATTGTCACATAAACATCTATCATATTTCTTTTTGTCAAAACTTAAAAGGTCTCATTTTTGTTCGAAGCCAACAATAACAACATGGATTGTCGTTTATCACCCAGCAATAGAGCATAAAATATGGCGGAAACCTCACAAAAGGAAACATCTAACGTCGATCAAAAGACAGAAAAGCAAGGTATATATTTGAATAATAGAGTATGTTGCCTTTATATCATAAGAATATTTCATTAATTAATTATTGTGAAGTCAAAGCAGCTTCGCCCATTTCTGTACATTACGTCTTCCTGAATCTGAGAGCTGTGCTAACACGTACATTGTCGTAAATTGGGAGGGCTTCATTTAGAATAATATTTAAGACAACAATTTCCGTCATCAAAATGTTTAGCTGAAGCTAGGTCAATAATTTACAATTCCAATCTATACCCAAACATATATGAACAGTAGCGCATAAAAATTATAATTGAAATTAAATGCCATTTAATGTGTTGTCATTATTTGCCACTTCACTGCATTCCAAAAACATTTTGGTAATTTTTATCTACATTTCTGGTACTGTTGTTCATCCAATTAAATTCAAATTAAAATATACCATTTGGCTCATCTCCTTTGTTACTTCCTGATGTATATATTTATATTGTACATTTTAGTTCCTGGTATTAGTGATATAATTTGCAAAGAGTGTAGCTTGAGCATATAGTTGGGTTAAAGATACTTGTAACTCTATATTTAGATAAAGAGAACCAAACAGACCAAGCAAAACAAGTACTTAAAAGGTTAGCATTTTTTACACAATACTGCAACTAGAGATTTATTTAATTTTATTTTGAAATTGTTTGTAATGTACCCATGTAAATCAATTACTATGATAAAAAAATGAATCTTAATTAATTATTAGGGATTTTAATATGGCGGAATGTTTTTGGGTGCATTCCAAGTTAATAGGTAAATTTAAGTGTAGGGTGGGTCACACACATGACAATGCTAATTCTATTTTGTCACATGCAAAATATGAAGCCTGAAGAAACAGCAATGTCACATGTGTGACCAGAGAATCAGTTTCTCCTGTTTCATTGATGTTCATTATTTAGTCCCAAGCCTCCACTTCCTCCTCGACCTGTTGGACTTAGTAAAATAGCTGTGGGAAAAAAGAAATGTATCTCACCACCTAAATTGCTACAACATGTCAAGGAAACACAGAAAAAAGTTGACAGGGATGAAGAATGCTTATCACCTAAACCAAAACGCCCTCCTCATCCCTTGAACAAGACACCTGATGCTAGCATCCCAGATAATACTGGGTTTGTGGAGAAATGCAGAACAAATGTGACAGGAACAACCTCCCCTTCTCCTCTTCATCAGGAGCATTCATCTTCACTACATATTCCCCAAGGTACTAATTCTGAAATTGAAGGTATGTCATCAGTGCAAAGATCACAACAGACAAGTACACCAACAAGACCTGAAAATCCCCAAACATTTTTTAAAAAAAAAATTGTTGATCCTCCTATCATAACCAGTTCTTGTACTGCTAATAAGATTGTTAGACATTGCCAGACACCTGAGCGGCCCAGACCACCTAACAGAGCAACATTAATTAATTGTAAGCATTTGGACGCTGGTACTGATGTATCTCAGAACTCTGCATCTTCAGAAAAACCAGCTACCCCTGTAGTACTACAAACTCCGAAAGTCACAACTGTTGAAAAAAACTTAAATGTTCATGGAAAGCAAAGCCCCTCTGTAAAGCCAAAACCACCAATTCGCCCTAAGGTTAAGGAGGTAGTTAAAGTATCACACATTGCTGAAGGAAACAAGATGAAGAAATCTAAATCTTTCGCGGAGACACCACGTAACGAAGAAACTAAGTTGCCCCTAATTGAAAGATCTTTAAGCTCAACAGACATCACTGTTGTACCACAGACAGTGGAAGATATCAATTCTACCCAAGAACTTGTTGTTTGTATAGAATCAGAACCATTGGATAAAACTACTAAAGTCAAAATCTTCTCGGAGAAACCTACAGAACCATCTCTGAAAGAAACATCAAAAACAGTTCAACCGTCTGACGTAACACAAGAAAACGTTGACAAGGAAATCCACCCGAGAAAAGAAGGAAAGCCATCAAGGCCTCGTGCTCCGTCAAAAAGTAAAACAGAAAAAGATGAAAAGATTACTTACGATAATTCAACGTCATCTGATAACTTGCCAATTAAACCTTTGTCAACTGAAGATCACCCGCCCTCCGACACGTTGACAAAATATGTTGAATTCGCACATGGAAACAACAAATCAAAACACGTTACGCCAATCAAACCAAGAAACCCTTGTGAAGTCCCCAAACAAATAAAAGATATATCTCAAGAAATCAACGAAGATTGTGATAAGTCACTGAAACATGGTGATAAACCACAAAGGCCGTCAAAGCCCAAGCCCCCCATGGGTTCTGCAGTTGTCATTGATTCAATATCGAGCACTTTTCACGAAAATACTGCAATTATTTCCACCCAATCTCTGAAGAACAAACCGCAAAGACCTTCGCAACCAAAATTATTGACTGAACCAGCAGTAACTAAAGGATCAGATTGTAGCTCTAAACGTCGTGAAAAAGGAGGTGAGAAACAGGATTCCGCAAAACCGCAAAGACCTACAAAGCCAAAGCTTCCTTCTGAATTAAAAACAGCTGACGAAGAAGAAAAAAATAAACAACATGACATCTTAAAAGATGATGTCATGATACCTAACAAACCACGCAGTTCGACTGAACCAAACTCTGAAATTACTATTGCAAATGTACAAGATATGCTTTCTCGGCCTTGTACAGCAAGTGGACCATCGCCTGGCCTATCAACACATGAAGTCTCTTTATCAAGTTTGCATACAACTAAAATAGTTAAACCTAAACCACCTAGACCTCATGCACCCCATATTGAAAAACAATTGTCTCTTGAAATGGAAGAAACACCGCCAAAGCCAAAACGAACCTCTTTGTCTGGATATACCGAATTAAAAGGTAAACCATCACTAATAATACCGAAGAAGGAGAGAGTTGTAGTAATTGATTCAACTGCGGAAACAGAACTGGTAGAAAAGCCGTCGAAACCCAACCAAATTAACGATAGAAGCGTCAACGAGGTCTATGAATCAAAAGAGACTAAAAAACTGAGGAACGATGCTGAAAACGAGGTAAAAATTGTTTCTGATGAGTTGGGGAGAATCCAGGAAACTGATAAGCAAGATTTACCACCGGCTTCTGAACGTTCCCGATCTTTAAAACCTTCTCAACAAGCTTCCCCAAATGGATCAAGCAGTGCTCAAGAAGATAAATCGAGTGAACGCCATGGTGTGAGATTTCGAGTGAGTTCGCTGACTAAAACTGAGATTGAATCTTTTAATCAGAGGAATTTCCTTGAAAAATTAAAGGTAAAGGGACCTATTGCGCAAAACTCTGAAGGTGAATCAACAAGCATTCCTAATCGTAGTTCCAAGCCTCCGCGGCCAAAACCTCCGGTAGCGGGTTGGACAAAGACAACTTGCGAAGAGCTTAAAAACGACACTCTTGAAGTTACAGGGAGTGAAGTTGTGGTCAATAATGAAAATAATTCTGAAACAACTGATGTTACCTCTAGTACAACAACCAAAACTAGCGAAGAAAAAGGTTCTTCTGAAACAACTGATGTTACCTCTAGTACAACAAAAAAAACTAGCGATGAAAAAGGTTCTTCTGAAACAACTGATGTCACCTCTAGTACAACAAACAAAACTAGCGATGAAAAAGATTCTTCTGAAACAACTGATGTCACCTCTAGTACAACAAACAAAACTAGCGATGAAAAAGATTCTTCTGAAACAACTGATGTCACCTCTAGTACAACAAACAAAACTAGCGATGAAAAAGATTCTTCTGAAACAACTGATGTTACCTCTAGTACAACAAACAAAACTAGCGATGAAAAAGGTTCTTCTGAAACAACTGATGTCACCTCTAGTACAACAACCAAAACTAGCGATGAGAAAGATTCTTCTGAAACAGCTGATGTTACCTCTAGTACAACAACCAAAACTAGCGATGAAAAAGGTTCTTCTGAAACAACTGATGTCAGCTCTAGTACAACAACCAAAACTAGCGATGAAAAAGGTTCTTCTGAAACAACTGATGTCAGCTTTAGTACAACAACCAAAACTAGCAATGAAAAAGATCCTTCTGAAACAGCTGATGTTACCTCTAGTACAACAACCAAAACTAGCGATGAAAAAGGTTCTTCTGAAACAACTGATGTTACCTCTACTACAACAAACAAAACTAGCGATGAAAAAGATCCTTCTGAAACAGCTGATGTTACCTCAAGTACAACAAACAAAACTAGCGATGAAAAAGATTCTTCTGAAACAACTGATGTCACCTCTAGTACAACAAACAAAACTAGCGATGAAAAAGATTCTTCGGAAACAACTAATTTCACCTCTAGTAAAACAAAGAAAACAAGCGATGAAAGCGATTTTCATTTTCTTGAAAAATTAAAAGTAAAGGGACCTAATCCTAGCTCCAAGCCTCCGCGGCCAAAGCCTCCATCAGCGGGTTGGACAAAGACAACTTGTGAAGAGCTTAAAAACGACACTCTTGAAGTTACAGAAAGTGAAGTTGTGGTCAATAATGAAAATGATTCTGAAACAACTGATGTTACCTCTACTACAACAAACAAAACTAGCGATGAAAGAGATTCTTCTGAAACTGATGTCACCCCTAGTACAACAAACAAAACTAGCGATGAAAAAGATTCTTCTGAAACTGATGTCACCTCTAGTACAACAAACAAAACTAGCGATGAAAAAGGTTTTTCTGAAACAACTGATGTCAGCTCTAGTACAACAACCAAAACTAGCGATGAAAAAGATCCTTCTGAAACAACTGATGCTACCTGTAGTACAACAACCAAAACTAGCGTTAAAAGAGATTCTTCTGAAACTGATGTCAGCTCTAGTACAACAACCAAAACTAGCGATGAAAAAGATCCTTCTGAAACAACTGATGTAAACTCTAGTAAAACAAACAAAACTAGCGATGAAAAAGATTCTTCTGAAACAACTGATGTCACCTCTAGTACAACAACCAAAACTAGCGATGAAAAAGATTCTGAAGCAAGTGATGTTACCTCTAGTACAACAACCAAAACTAGCGATGAAAAAGATTCTGAAGCAAGTGATGTTACCTCTAGTACAACAACCAAAACTAGCGATGAAAAAGATTCTGAAACAACATCCAGTATTAATGGAAAAGTAGGTGAAGTAACTAAAAGTGATGCATTAATGGAAAAAGAAACTTTAATTAAACACATTCCGTCCTGTCTCAAGCACCCTGAGAGAAAAATGAAACGTCAAGCTCCTCCAGTGCCGGACGAACCTCATGTGGATATAAAGACTGGTGAGAGTCTAAAATATGATAAAGAATGTCTAGATAGAACAGAAAAACCCGTAATGAATAAAAGTTTTGAAACGACAAAACAAAGTGTTGAGAAAGATGACATTACTCAAGTTGATTGCGTGGACACCAGACCTCAGGATAATGAAGCGTTGGATGCGAATGGGCAGGACAATAAGGATCTTGACGAAACGGATAGTCCCTTTCAATCCCCAAAGAAGAAAAAAATTCCGCCTCCGAAACCAAAGAGAACATCGTCGTTGAAGAGAGACTCAAAACTCCTTGTACCTAAGGTATGTTAATTGAACATGAATAATGGAATGAGGTTAATCATAATATTAAGAATTATCAAAGCGAGGTTATCTTTCTTTCAAAGTGAGGCTTGATAATTCGTCGTATTATGTGAAAACGAATTTAATAATTGTTTGATTATTTTGACGTAATATCACAGGATATGGATACGACTATTTATCACACATTATGACGCCGCCAATAGCGTAATTTACTTCAAATGTTCTTGGTGGATTCAAATTTAAACGAAACGTTAACTCTGCCCTGGTGTTAACTCTGGCGTGCGTGCCAGTCTTGTCAATTGCAAAGGTTCTGAATATAAACACCAGTTCATATTTATTTAGAAGCGTAGCGAACCTAATTGTCGCTCAGACATTAAGTTATTCAGACACACATCGTATTTTAAAAAGCACAGAGGTTTAAAACCCAAACGAACCGTTTCTTTGCATATGAACACGACTTTCATTTCAAATTTGAAATTCGTGCAATTTCTGTTCACATTTATAATAGCATTTGATATGTGTTTACCAATGTAAATGGTTCGTTTTGTTTGACCGCCTCACGTTCAAATGATGGTGTCCGACCTGGGCTAGCAAATAGCTGATTGATTTGAAATTTAAAATGTATTTCGTGCCAAGACACGCCTGTGACGACGAATAAAAATAAACATCCTTGTGATTTTTAAAGCTCGGCACTACAGAAGAAGACGAGGATTCCAAACAAGAACACAACAAACAGAGTTCATTAAATGGATTAAATCAAATCCCGGAGAATATTCAAGTAAATAAAGGTACAGCAGATGTGACAACAACTACCAACGAAAACGCAGACGATTCTGGTACGACTACGATCGAGGGTGTGAATTATGCTGAAAACCGTCCTGAGGAAAAACGACCATTCAAAGCGGTATCTTCTAACCAGAGCTTTGTAACCCCCCCAAAAAATAATAACCAGAAGATTGAAACCAAAGAAACATCTGGAGGAACTGTAATATCAAGAAGTTTAAGTTTTGGAGGAATGATTAGAAATAAACACCAACCTAATCCCAGCCCTCCGACTTTTTTTGTGGAGGAGAATAAAACAAACGTGGATGTCTGTGAGGAGCTAAGGAAAGATGACGTCGTTAAAGTAGAAGAAACGTCAACTTCACAAGAAAGTAAGAAGTGATATTACTTATTTTACTATATTAGTTATTTACTATCATATCTAAATGACATCAATGATAAAACATTTTTTTACAACACATCCGAATAAAACGTTGCATATTTTATGTGTTTATTCTGTTTTAACAAATGCTATATGCCTTATGAAGTTCAGCCCAAAAACGTGAATGAACAAATCATTTAACCACTTTTTTTAATCTGTGTCTTTTTGCTTATAGTTATGTTACCTTGCTATTTTGCTGGAAGAAGAAAAAACTTTATTCGTTTCTTTTTAGATCTTACAGTCCTGCACGCTTTCCATGACGACAAAAAACATGACAGTTTCCTCACGACAGACTCTGATTCAGAAGACGAAAAGGCAATATTTTGTTATTTTTATCCGTCCATGCATGTGTGCATCTATCTATGGTGTAACTAAGTTTTGCTTTATCTGTTTAGGATAACGAGCCTCAAAAAAGCAAAACCTATTACATTTCGAGAGAGATTTTATCCACTGAACGAACATTTGTTGATGTTGTTAAACTGATTTCTGAGGTAAGTTTTTTTTATACATGCATGGTATCAAACTGTGAATAGTCATCGATAGCTCTGGAAACTCTGGAATTTCTTCACTCTAAAGAAAGCGTACATATTCGCATTTTTTTATATTCGCATTTCGTGTAATATTGAGCAATCAAATTTCCTGTTTGATGAAGATTAATGTTTAAGCTAATTCTTCATATTTCTATTGTCAGAAGTGAAAACCTGACTCATTTATGCCAGAACCTACGTCTGATTGTTTAGGTATTAGTTGACTCATTTTCCCATCATCTGTTTCTGGCTTGAATTTGAAGTGTGTATAATTCCACTCGAAATTAAGACCCTTTGAACCCGTACATTTTAAAATTTATCAATTAATCCAGATTCATGTGAACGGGCCTCAAGCTGTGGTATCAACCACCAATATCAATTAATCGTATCGTTTGATTTCAAACCCTTATTGATATGGTCAAGCAATTTTAATCTTACTTGCTTAAACATGCAATATTGCATGGCGGAGAAACACTTCATTCATATTTTTGAATGTTTGATGTCTTGCATGACGCTGAAAAATAACCATTTATTTACCACATTTATTTACCAATCAATAACCATTTATTAGCCCACATTTGGCATTACTATAACTCGGTTGCATTATAGTTTGTGTTACTGATTGTGTATAGAAATTTTTTTTAGGACTTTAGAGAAGCTGTGAAGAAGGGAAATAAGAGATTTGGAAAGGCTATCATTCCTGATGATACACTGCAAGATATTATTTTAAATATTTCTCAAATATATAAATTTGATTCCGAATTTCTGAAAGCTCTTGCAGACCGCATGGAAACATGGTAGGGCGATGTATTATATAACTCACGAAATATTTATACACTTAGTTGGTATATACATTTATAAAAAGCTTTATTTATTTATTTCCCTAGGGATGAAGAGCAGAGAATTGGGGACATTATAAAGAAATTTAGTCCCTTCTTAAAAGTACGCGTGCACATTTCGTTATTGCACCTTAGCTGTAACCACGTTACAATATTTCGAATTATTTAATTTCAGATGTACAAAACGTATATCCAAGGTTATGATAGTGCAATGTCTGTTTTAACTGAAGCAATGAAGAAATATCCTCAGTTTGCAGAAATTGTTCGAGAGTTTGAGGTCAGTAGCGACTGGAGTAAGATGCATGGTTTCTTAAGCCATGATATTGGCCTATCGATATTGGTTTAACTTGTTTTTCCCAAATCTGTTTTTTGCAGTGTAGTGAAAGATGTCATAATCTTACTGTTGGGATGTATATGTTAAAACCAATTCAGAGAATTCCGAGTTATCGTTTACTACTGATTGGTAAGTACTTATAATTTCTGGATCATGTCGATTTAAAGCAATATTCCTATTCATTGCATGAGCAAATTTTTCAAAGTTGTTAGAAAATACATAAATACTGATTGAAAAAGAGATTGACCAATTAATTAGTCGTCATTTTAAGAGGCAATAGAGAAGATTGACTTGAAAGATTAGTTTGCTTGCTTGCAACAAACAGGAACGAGTTCAATTCCTTAGTTGTGTAATAGATGAGGTGTCAGCTAATTTTAAGATAACTTTGTTTAGACTATTTAAAACATCTTGATGAGAATACGCCGGATCACAAAGATGTTTCAGGTAACAATATTGAAGAAACATTTGCTTTAGCAAAGATCACTAATGAAACGTAATTTATTTTATTAGATGCACTGGCAATTGTTTCTGAGGTTGCAACCCATATTAATGAAGATATGAAACGCGTGGTATGTATATGCAACCGGGACTTGTGTATGAGGTATACAATCCCTATATATAGGGATAATATCCGTGAGAGGTGCAAAATTCTTTGCAGGGTATAATTTCTGTAAGATATTGACTTTAGTGTTTGAAATTTAACTTTTGGTAGTTAACTTTTAACTATAGTTAGTGGCAGAATTGGCCAATCAGAATCGTATATGTTCTAGTTAACTACGATTTAACTAAAATGTAGTTAAGACTTTTATATACAACCGGCCCCAGACATTTAAATTAGTCGTATTCTATTGCATTTAGTCCGACAAGCCATTCAAATCACAATTGGTCAATCACATAAATTTGTTCTAGTCTCTCATCTTACAAGAGAATTATTTTCCTACATTCTTTATTTTTTGTATGTTGTTCAAATAACATATGACGTGATAGCATGCAGGCTAAAACGTTTCATATAAATATCGCACGAAATGTCCGTGCATGTGATTGGAAAATTTTCATCAAATAATTAGGATAACACTGATTTCTGTTTTAGTAACAGTATACTATGGTATTAAATTTCAAATATCGCCCGAAACACTTCACCTTTGGTATTTAAGCTTAACTATTACAAAGTGTGGATAGTTTTTAAATTGAGAGTATACAGTATATATGGTTGTATTATAATTGTTGTTAATGCCGCGAGCTTAATACAGCTGAATTGGCAATATAAAACAGCGAGATTTCAATATGCAATCATGCAAGAATGCAACGTAAGTATGTTTAGGTTTGTAGTCATGTCTGTGTTTTATTTAGATGTATTTATTTACCGTGTAAATGTGTTAGATTCAAAATAAACTGTCAGCGTGTTTCTGATAAACACTATATCCGGGTTAGCTTTCTTACAACCTTGAAAAGAATATAGCCTCCTTTATAGCCTAATTCAGAAATCGTATCCGTATTTCACGTCTTCTATTTGTATTGTTGTTGAACGATTACTATCATCGGATTACGTCCTCACCATGCAGCATTAAATGACAAACATTCAGCATGGGAAGTGAAAGCATACTTTTGCCAACCAGTTCTCTTGGCTGCAAATTGAAATGTAGCACAGAAACACACAGGAATTGAACATGTTCGCCCCTAGTTAGCGACAGATCATATTTGAATTCTTAGTACGAGTATCAGAACAACTTATTTTAAATTATATTTTTTTTAGGATAACTTTGAAGAAGTTCTAAAGGTTCAAAGAAGCTTGGTTGGACAAGTTGAAATTGTTAAACCCGGCCGAGTATGCAAGCCATTCCGTTTTTCATCTTATTCCCAATACACTCAACCTAATATTTCCTTGATATGACATGATAACTGCAATCTGTTTTTATCGTTCTTCCAATTGTAAGCCGCAATGAAAGCACTTTATCAATGTTCAACACCATTAGGTGCTGAAAACTTCATGTAGGTAGACTATATATAGCATGTAATATACAATGAAAAAATTATTTTTTTAAACTTGCGTCCACATGCAGTACAATACTGATAAAATAATCAATGGTAAATTCTGGTGGGTTTCTTGTGTTTAATGCAATAACAACGCACTTTAATAGATAAAATTTTATTTTATTTTCGTTTATTTCCGTTTACTTATTGTATCCCTATATTTCTATCTGTTCCAGGAGCTTATAAAAGAGGGCGCTCTCATGAAGTTATCTCGTAAGGAGATGCAGCCAAGATCGTTTTACTTAGTAAGAAAACGAGACAGATGCAATTAACTATTTCACCTTGCCCATGCAGTTAGTGAACACACATTTCTTGTGATTGTTTAGTTTACTGATATTTTGCTGTACACGACACCTGTCGCCAACAACCAATATCGTTTAAATCTTTCATTACCTTTGGAGGAAATTACGGTAACACAGGCATTTTATGATCCATTTTTTCTGCGGATGAATCGATCATGCAGAAATGTTCGTACACGATTTATGTTCATCAAAGTACACTCTTAATTTTAACAGTTTTTTTTGGTAGGTTGAGCTACCAGTCTCGCCAGATTTTGAAAATGAGTTTAGTATTATTACTACAAAGAAATCGTTCATATTGTCCGCAAGGTTTGTTCAAATTGATTACAATTACCACATGCATACCTACACATGTTGTGCATCCCAATATGAATAACTTGGTAACTAACTGAGTGGTTTGTGTTGGCGTTCAGACGGTTTAGTTTATATAATTCGGAGAGAATTTCAACAAAAAAGTTTTTTTTCTTGTTGTCATGCACGAAGGAATGCATGAAGTGAATACCTTGTTATAGATCTTTATGTCTTGTCATATTTAGTACTGCTGAAGAGCGAGACGAATGGCTGGAAGTGAGTATTAAGATAACATGCATGACTTCTTGAAATTCCTTCATTTTTTCAGCCAGGATAAACTTTTCTTCTATTAAGTAAATTGGCTTGTAGGTACACCACGTAAGTATTTAATACTACAAAGCTTTCGGTCCGTTAATCTGGGCCTTCTTTGGTGTCACCATGCAAACTTACAAGAATTTTATTCGATTATTTGTAATTGTGTATATGCCTTAGGCACTGCGTAATGCTTCAGATGAAATCCGAAAAAAGAAAATAACATTTCATCTGGCGAAGAAAGAAAAATTGGAGGCAGTATGTATTGTAGATTTTTTATTGTGATAACCGAGGTGATAACATGGTTTCAGGGATTAGAGTATCTCCTATCCTCGCGCAATACAATTTGTTCCCCTAAAAATTATCATTTTAATATAATTTCCTTCCAGTTAATTAAACAAATCATAACGCATGTTCAATAATAAACTATGGTTGTTTGGATGATACATACACATGGTGCTCAAATTCGGTTTCTTTAATTTTTGATCTATTTTCCTATTTACAAATAAAATCATGAGCCAGTTGTACTTCTTAAAATTTAAAGATTCTTTATATTTTACTTCTCTGCCTTTGGCAAGGCTCTGTACACGCGTCATTTTTTTCAGCTGTACGATGATCAACAACAAGGCGAAGATAAGATGGCAAAATTGGGATCTAAAGCTCCAGTATGGATCCCTGATGTTCGTGTCACAATGTGTATGGTATGTACAGATGACTTCACTGTCACCAACAGAAGACACCATTGTAGAGCATGTGGAAAGGTACGTATATTGATGTGTGTGATATTTCGTACGTATGACTGAATATTCACTGCCATTTGTGATTGGTTTACTTTCCCACTACTGTCAACTTTAACTAACTGCTTTTTAATACAAGCAACAGCAAGAACGATTCTTTTAATTTTTTATGAAATTGGGATGTTACATATGAAATGTTTAATTTTTACTATGGGCAAAATTTTACATTTTTACAAAGGGAACTGAAATAACTGTAATTAGGGTAACAAAAGCAGGCAGCCATGCGGATTCAAAAATTAAAATTAATGTATTGCGGCCGTAGTTTTCAACCCAAAATTCACTCGTTTCAAAATATTCCGGTTTTATTTAAAGCCGCAAAGTATTTTCAGCAAGCATCTGATCAATTGTGTCTTCAGTGCTTTATATTATATGTCTCATTATGTAAAAGGTGGGCCTTGCGTCAATACCTAAAACCTTGCAATACAATATGATTTTTTAAACCCCTCCAATATTCAGTAAAAACACTGAATATTATACAAACCAGTAACAAAATATTAAAAACGCAAAGTGAAACATGTTGAGCTGGCTATAATGCCAGTTTGTCTGTCTCCAAATGTTTCATATTTCAAAAGATTGAACCGACTTTAGGGATCTTGATTGAGGTTTATAAAATTCTTTAAATAGAAGATCAAAACATTCCTGTTGAAAACAATATAAATTCAGCTTTTATTGAGCTTTTATTGGCTCTGTGTGATTTACTGAATAAATGACGACATTCGTTTGTTGATATTTCCATTCATAATATTTCTTTATTAAATATTTATATTCATATAACTGCCGTGAAGCGTCGAATATCATATCATTTGTTTGTTTCCTGAGGCTCGATATAATACATGAAGTAGATATCTTTATTCTCATTATTATTATTGAAAAATTCTTCAGTTAGATATTCCTTTTCTGGAAGATTTTCGTCTTTACATTTTATTTGTATTAATATAGGCGTAACACCTTCAATATAAGCCACGTGAAATTGATCTCCCCACTCTCCACCCACCAAGGTCTTCTCCGAATCTTGAACGCGAATTCTTTCCCTAAAACATCGCCCATTATTTAAATCATCACTATTTCTTCGTTCTGTGTCTATCTGAAGCCCGTAACTTTCATCTAATGTGTCCCAGTCGTTCTCACAGTAATATAATAATTGCTTTCGTTCAGGGCTTGACTTTGTGCGACTTGTTAACACGGTCATAACAATAGACGAATCTTGTTCTCCACGTAATAATATCTTCCCTTTTGGTGTAGTCACTCTCAGTTTGGTCGGCGTGCCGCAATAAATACTCATTTTTAATTCCTTGGCTAGTGTATTATTGCTAAATATAACCCATAATATACTTGTTTCCTGAATGAATGACACAACAGCAGACTATATTTGAATATCTTTCATCAACTTATGAATTTTAATCTTTCTTGACCTACGCGTGCAGTGATTGGTTTAAGGAATTTATTTTAGTTCATTTTAATATTGAATATGAAAATAGATTGGTGTTACGAAGTTATTGTACACGAGAAGTGATATTTTCTAATTGTTTTATACATTGTGGCTTGTTTAATGTGGTTATTAGGTAATATGTGGTTCTTGTTCCTCTAACTCGGCTCCCCTGGCTTACCTAAATTATGAAACAGCCCGAGTTTGTGACATCTGCTATGATGGTAAGTTTATTTCATTAGTATAGCATTCTTATTTATAAGCTTGATGTCACATCTGTTATAATATAGTAAGTTTATTTCTGTTGTAGCATTGAACATGCATATACAGTATGCTCGATTTATATAAGATGTCAAAGGCAGTGTTTTGTCGTAAAAAACCCGCGATGAGCGCAATAAGTAAGCAATGGAAATAGCTGCTATATTTACTATAGCTATTTACGAAATTGTTTTTTTTAACTAGAACTAACCGACACATCAACAACTCTGACTACTGTTGAAACAAAAGAAAATGGTGTTGGTTCTGAAAAGAAGGATACGGTCCCAAAATTCAATGCTGTGAAAAAGAGTAGAAGGCTGAAAATTTTCAAGTCAAAAGAGGTACATTAGATATCTCCTTTTATCACGTGCTAGACCACTAGACACACATTCTATCAGTGATTATTTTTTTATTTTGTGACAAAATGAAAAAGTGATCGCCATTTTCTATCGTTAGGTACCCGCGGTGGAGGAATCAACAATCAGTGGATATCTAAAGACACGCGTGGGTAAGAAGTGGCAAAGAAGGTGGTATGTGGTAAAAGACAACGTTCTTTACGCTTCGAAAGCAAGTTCGGTGAGTAAATTAAAATCGTGCCAAACAAACGCTTGTGAAGAATGTTTTACTTCATCCGCAAATATTTTCTGCAGGATCCTGCCGCACAAGAAACACGTCCGTTACTAGGATATGATGTGCGAGGACCCGAGGCCGTATGTTATGAAATTCACTTTCTTTTTACTCTGAACGTGAGCAGCTACGTAGTTTATACCACGATATGTGACATTAAATCATAATTATTTAGATGGACGGAAATGATAAAAAAATAGTATTTCAATTAATTCACGCTGGCACTGAACCTGTCGTCTTGCAAACTGATAATATGAAACATGGGGAACAGTAAGTGTTGATAATCATTAAACTGTTAAAAAACTAATTGAAATTTGCCGCCTTTAGATCGTGGGAAACAATAATTTCAGAGCCTTGTATGTCCTATTTCCATTTAACTGATCGAGGGATTTATTTTCTTTCGCAGAATTTTCTTTAAATTATTCTATTTTAAAAGTGGTCCACGCTTTCTACCCCAGTTTAGAAAATATAAACTGAACATGAACTATCACAATAACATTCCTCCCAGGCTCCATGCTACGAGATAATAATCCCTTCCCCAGGCTCCACCAGGGCTCCCAATGATAACAGTGTTCCTTGGGACACTGAAGGGATTACCCTGGGGGTAAATAAAGGTTTCATAGTCATAGTCCCCAGCTAATGTATATCAGTGCTCAGCAAGAGAAGTCCCTGGTTACAAAGTTTTTAATGAATAGCAACATGCATACAGATGTAACATCGTAATCTCTTAAGGTTAGTTTTAAAAGAATGTTGACTAATATTTGTTGATTGGTGGATCCTTTTCAGATGGGTGAATGCATTACGACGTGCGACAATATTACCACATTAACATAATGTATATATATATAATACATAGACAGAATACACAAATTACCCTGGCGGTCAAAAAGAACTGCTCAAAACGAGTTAAAATGCTCTCAAATGCATGAAATATCCCTCTAACAACATGTACGAGTAAAGATAGACTAGATTACATATAAAAGCAAAGCTATATGGAAACATTTTGTTTACTCTCCTTTGGGCCTTACACCGGCGTGGCATACTTTCTGTTTCTGTTAACGTGGTAATCTAAGTTGAAGGAAATTCATTCCATGCCCGTGGACAGTCTTTACAGCAAACCCATAAATCATGTGAATTAATTCATCTCCTTGACATTGTCCCTCAGATTTCCAATAGGGTTAAGGTCTTTTGACTGTGCAGGCCAATCCATTTCTGTCACTCTCTCTTCCTGAAACTATTGCTTGACTATCATAGAGGTGCATTATATTATTGAAGTATTGCTTCGAATGAAAGAATTACCCAAAATGCCTCTGAAGTTCTCTCCCATATTTGCTTCTTTTTTTTAACAATTTATGTCTAAGCAGTTCTTTTTGACCGCTAGTGTATATTAAAAGATTGATTTTCACGATTCCTGTAACATACGATAATCGCAACATTTGAGCAGTTCTTTTTGACTGCCAGTGTATATGTTTTCCTTTCCAAACGTTGAAACTTAAACTCTCCGTGCACCAGCACGGTTGCGATGTTCACCTGTTGAGCTCTTAACGTCGGACAAGTTGTTTTTGAAGCAAGTATGCTTTTTTGCCTTTTGTTTATATTTCTTCAGAAAATAGTTAACTACTTCAAAAGTTGTCGTGTCTAAATAAGCAATGAGGCACCATTCCTTGAATGGTCGGAGTTTTAATGTTTTGAAAGGACAGCCCTAATCAAATTATTTGTGAAATATAATGTGTCTTCATGACATTGACAGTATAAAAAAAAAATTGTAATCACCCTATGCAAAATACAATGAAGACGTTTTGCCAAGACAAAAATACGTAGGGCAACTGAAATATATGTATCGTATCATACAATCAGGTTTACGATCTTGCAGCTATGATTTTTTACATTAGTAACTTTTTAATATAATTTGTTATTCACTTTGACAGATTAATTGGCATCGTTTTTTGCGGTTGTATACGTTCGATCGATTTTTGTGTACAATAGTGTTTAGCATAATCTCGACCCAGAATAAGATTAACGACAAACCTTCTTTCAAATGACAAACCTTCATTTGTTCTTGTTGTTCTACTAAAGCAAACACGGAAACGAAGCCATTATTATGTCAAGCGTGAAATGACTAGGCCCTAGATTTTTTAACTAAGATTTGAGATATGTACACTAAAAATAGATAAAGAAAATAGCTGTTCCTTATGAAACTAATAATAGTAATGAATATATTTTATACGTGAATATTGACGTAAATATTATGCTTTATCGTTCTTTATATTAATGCTGGATTAATATCGCAGGACATGTCCCAAGGGCATGCATGTTGCTTTCAAACACTACCTCTTGGGCTCAGGAACTGTGATTCTGTAAATAAGTCTACATACATATATATAGTAACACTTATGTGGGTGGAGTTAAAGTGGAGTTCCTTGGGATTATATTAAAGTAATAAAGTTAATTCAACAGAACTCAGCATGGAATGCACACACGGTGTGTCATAGGCCTAAACGACTTCACCATTGATACATGACAGTTTAAAATATCCCCATATTTTTGGCATTATTATAAAGTAGAATTTTCCTTTGCTTAGTCTTTGTTTCCATAGCCAGTACTGATAATTTTTATTTTTTATATAATCACTTTTGCAAATTCAAAAAACTTCGCCGAAAGTTCTTCTTTGCTTAGCCTTTGTTGAACTTAGAAAATTAATCTGATAAGTACAGCTGGAACAATGTATATAACATGTGTTTTGATTGATCAGGTCATCCAAACACGGAAATTTAATTCGCAAAACTATCTTGACACCTTGTTGTTATTATTTTATAAAACAATTAATTCGTCTTTTTATTAATTCCATTCGCGCGCTTTTCTTAAAAAACCTGTTTCCAAATGTCAAAAAATAGTTTTCAAGAAACGTACATGGAGTCTAATAAATAGAAAAGTTTCGTAATAGCCAAATTTACATCTCTCAAAAGCAGAATTGCATTGCAAGTTGTAAGAAAAATTGCACCGTGTATTCGTGTAACCATGATTTTATTATCCATGGTGTAACAGGGCCTTAAATTAGTATTGGGTGGAAACGTTACCACTTTTCGCAAATCATGTTTTTCTTGCGTGATACTAATTTATATATACAAAATTTGGCAACTTCGCACGGTATATTTCACACTTTGCAATACTTCCGTCACTCTGCCCAAAAAACCTGAAAATTGGAAAAGGACATCACCCCCCCCCCGGACCCATTGGACGAGAACATGTTATCCAACATGGCTGCCGACGCAAAGTTTTTGAGACTAAGTGACTTTTCTAGTTTTTTGGATTATTTCGATTATTATATCCATGATGTTATTACAAAAATGTTTATACAAGGTGGAAATAAATTAGGTGAAAGCGCTGAAATATCGTCGTTAAGCTTCTGTGTAATGTTGAATACGAAACGTTCAGGAAGAAAGAGTGATGTTATCGTGAAAACAAATATGAGTTTGAAGGTGGTTAATCCCATTTCATATATCTAATAACGTAGTCTAAGGCTACGTTCAGACTGAGTGCATGGCTAGCACTAGTGCCCGTCACTTTTTCTCTGCCTAAGTTGAACATGACGCTTCTAAATTAAATTGGGCTGCCCAAGAAAGGGCGGCCACTGCATGCCTCCAGAGGTAGCACTCACAAGGTCACTATGCTCAGCATGTTTTATGAATCAGTTTAGACTTTGGACACTGGTACCGGGCACTCTGAATGCAGCCTACTCCAGCACTTATGTGGTTTGCATCAATTAATTTGTTAGTCTATTTTTAGGAGGTGGAGGAATTACACACAAAAATGAATCAATGTCAAGCAATCAAGAAATATCTGGCCTCGAGTTGTATAGATCAATATAAAAGCATCCATATTGCTTTGGATAGAGTTACTTTTATGAAAGATTCTTTTGAAATTATTAGTGCACAAGGTGACCTCTATGGACAGAGTAAAGAAACTGATCAAGGCAAAATCATAATAAACTACAATGATGTTAAAATTGATAATGGACTAAACATGGAACAGTTGCGTAGTGTCCTGTTATGTAATCTAGTGGCACAGGTTTTAGGCCAAAAGAAGTATGTATTTTACATGTTGTTCAAGGATATTTACTTCATTTCTTGGTTAACAATTGGCATAAATAACACACAATTCCCAAGAGGATTTTAGTTTATAGCACATTATATATTTGACACATCCATAAAAGTCTCTAGTTTTGAGTTTTTTATTTATTTAAAGGTTCAAGGTTGATGTACACATTCCTGGGTCCAGCAGTATGGTCCATGGTAAAAATTTGAATCATGTTGAAATGGAATACTTTGGTATTTCCAATTTAAGGAGTGAAGATATAAGTTTTAGCGGAGAAACTGAGAGTATTCTATGGGACAATCTTTTGAAATCACCATTTAGAACTGATTCAAAGCCCACACAGGAGAAAGACTTGCAAAGAGTTTCTTTTGGTAAAACAGTGAATGATACCAAAAGGTGTCTGCATATGTTAAGTGATTACAGTGAAACTACTGTTGATGGAAAAAGAAATGAATTACCACAACAAGGCTTGACAGATGACAGCCTGAAGAATAATACATTTTTTTGTGAAGATATTTGGTTTGATCTGACAGTATTTCTTGAACATTTGAAGACATCAGAACAAATCAATGGTAATTAAAATTTTCAATAATCCCTATCAATTTTTTAGACAGAGGCTTTGTTATAAGCTACATACAGCTTTCTCTTGGTGGTGAATGACAAACATACCACTGAAACCACTTAAATCAGTGTAATTCCATCCATTCCATTCTGAAATTATTATAGAGGACTAAAACTGGGCTAACAGGGGACAAGCTTTTCGTTTCTGGTACTGAAGATATAGCCAAACAAAGTTGGCAAATTTTGTATACTTTTTTATTAAGGCCAAAAGAGTGTAACTAAATCAGTTACACACTGCCTCCCCATAATGCAAAAGTGCACAAAAATTGCCTACTTTGCACTCAATATTTTCCAACTACACAACATTTTGCAGCCAAAGTTCCAATTATACTAATTTCAGTATGCTCTTTTTAGCTGTAGTGATTTATTTCCTTCTTGTTATGTAGATCACGCAGGTCCAAAATCCAAGTTCATTTAAAGGGTATGTGCAATAAAAATTTAGTTTCAATTACTAGTGTCTTATTGAAAGAGCTTTCAAAATTATGATAAAAAGTTCTATTTCACATTTGTCACATTGTGCTTTGTTCATGAAATATTTTGACTAAAAGTGGCTAACTGTCCACCATCTCCGATTACTTTGAGGCCCTGGGTACAAGATTGCAATTTTGATGATGTCACAAGCTGGATCAACCTTTTAGAATTACTTCTAGCAAATATGATAAGAATGCAAACTTGGTCTATGGCATCTATTTCAAGTTTAAATTCAAGCCTAGGTATCTTGATGTAATTTTGTGGCATATTCATCATCGGCAGTTAAGATAAAAATAAAAATCCCATATCGTGCATATCCATTCGTGATAATCCAAGATGGCTAATTTTAGTCAAATTAGTTAACGAAAAAATCACAATATGAAAAATCTGAAATAGAACTTTCACCATAATTTTAAAAGCTCTTTCAGACACCATGTAATAATAGCAACTAAAATTTTATTGCCCATACCATACTTTCGCATTACCAGAAATTTGCGACATGATAATTTGCATTTATACTAATTTGCATTTAACTTTCAGCATAATGGCCTTCAACTTTTACTATAAAATACATATAGTAAATATACAAAACCTAAAAATGCCGTTGCCCTAGACCGTGCCTACTGTTTGCCGACCTCTGGGTCAATAGAACAGCCGTTTCCCAACGTTTTAATGATCGAATTACTTACCTTAGGTATTTCTACGTTCGGCCAACTGATTGTGAACAAATGTGTATATAGCCTTTGTATTGTTCAAGTTCCTGATAAGACTGATAATATTTTTTAAAGTGATTGCAGTGAAAATCCGAGCCGTACAGAAAAGTTTATACGCAAATACAAAAGACAATATCTTTAACAATTTTTTTTTGGTATATTACACGTCAATTTATCAACTACCTGAATCGAGATATTCGAATCAATGTGAGCGATTTTATAAGTTCGTTGACAGAACACGGATAAAACTTTGAGCAATATATTTTTAAATTTGGCAGATTGCAGAAATGCCCAAGCTAAAAAATTTGGTCACCAAAACGTTTCTAAACAGCTGCTCTACCGATCTAGAGGTCGGCAAACAGTAGGCAAGGTCTAAGGCAACGGCATTTTTAAGTTTTGTATATTTACTCCATGTATTTTATAGTAAAAGTTGAAGGCCATTATGCTGAAAGTTAAATGCAAATTAGTATACATGCAAATTATCATGTCGCAAATTTCTGGTAATGGACTCTTGCAATTTATCAACATTTCAGATATCCACATTAAGTGTTTTTCGCTATCACTAACCATCGCTAATGCATGTACTGGTAATCATTCTTGCATGAGCCAATTCTTGCGTCCAATTTTGAAACATTGGGCAGAGTGAGTTGATAATAATGGGCTTTTTTTAATAACAAGTTTCTTTGTAATTACGTCATGTTCAAAATGTAAAGCGTCTCTTTAATACAGTGAACTCAAATACGTCTTATTTGAGTTCACTGGTTTAATATAATTTATCTTCTAATATAGTTTTAATTCAGCCACAATGTGTTCTTAAGTGCATCTGATTTTAGGATATTCATATGCTATGCTTTACAAGACTGTGAAGAATATCAATGGTACAGTATATCATTATATAATAAACCCTTTCGATAATAACGTCACACCATTACTGTTTTAAATTTAAAACCACCTTAACCGAGATGGATTTCAAGTTTTACTCTCACAAGCTATGTGGAAGATGCAAAACGTCTTCCTTCAACACATGCATGAAAAATAATTTTTAATTTTGACAAACAAGTGTGAAAATAAGCCATAACACAAGAACGAGGCTGCCGCTCCTGGCCTGGTAGCCTTGTTTTAGTGTTACGACTTATTTCCACATTTATTGGTCAAAATTAAAAATTTTTTCATGCATTGCATGTGTTGAAGCAGGATGTTTTGCATCTTTCCACATAGCTTGTGAGAGTAAATCTTGAAATCCATCTCAGTTAAAGTGTTTCTAAATTTAAAACGGTAATGTTGTGACGTAAGTATTGAAAGGGTTTACTACCTGAATTATCAGTGATCGCTTGAACTCTGGCTAGGGAGTCCAGTATTTTACTGTGATCATTAAAACTGTCATTTTAAAGCAGCCAGCCTGTTTCATTGGGGTTGTCAGTGAACTCAGCAGCAGCCTTCAGAAATTTTGGTTTGATGGATTTGTTAATTGTTAAAGTAGAAGCTGTTGTGTTGCAAAATATGATCAGAACTACGGCGACAGAAAAGAGTGGAACAGGCCACCTGAACCCCCATTGTTAACTGTAGTTTTTTCACCCTGTATTAATGGCAGGATAGGGCTGTTATCTACATGAAAAAATCAAATGAGATATTGGGTTTTGAAATATTGTTACAAATTGATGTGTATAAAGCTGTAAAGATTTACTGAAATATCAATATTGGCTATTTAAATGATGACATATATTTGGGAAAAATTTTTTTATTGTGTTTTAGTTTCACCAGTATGGAAAAATGTGTTGTATCTTGAAATGTTAAAAGATTACATTGGAAACAATTTAAATAGCAAGGTATAATAATTTCACAATGCCGATGGTTAACATTGTACATGTATGTTGTATATAACGTCTCTCAGGTTGATAATCTTGTCAAGATCTTGACAAGTTCTTAGCAAGATTTTACAAAAGATCCTGCCAAATACAAGATCATTCAGTTATGTCTGCAACATTGTGTCATAGAATAATGAGAAAACTAGAAGGGCTACTCAAGTTGGAACCATTTGTTGTGAATTTCGCATTACGCATGTGTTTCGCCATCCTGCTAGCCAGTCCACATTTTTCGGGCAATAAACAGTAGACACGCTATACTGGGCGGCTGCTCTAGGTCAGTTTAGTTTACCTGGGGCCGGTTGTATCAAGCCCGTTTAGCTTTTTTTGGTTAAGTTGAAAATAGAAAGCAAGTCTATCGCTTTATTCAACAAGGGAATTAAATGTTTTTAACCTTTATTAGAACGATACTGTTTACAACTACATATTCAGTGCATAATATTCCAGTTGACTCATTCAAGAGAGATGTAAGATTGTTCTTTAATTTTGACTTATCCACCGTTTAAGCTAAACGGGTTTGATACAACCGGCCCCTGAGTCGTCTCATTATTCTATGACTGCATGTGTTGTCGGATAGAGATAGGTTGTATAATAACTTGTTAACAGATTGCCGAAGACTGTCGATTAATCTCTGAAAATACTTATAAATTATGCATTTTACGTGTACCACTTGTTCTCAAAAAATAATTTCCTAGCAGTAATCTAAACACTGGGTAGTTAGAAAATATACTTTGTCTCTCGAATTTAAAATAACTCCTGTTACCAACTTACCATGAACCTTTTGTGCGGTGTATTGAATAAAAAACTGATTGGTATGTAGTTAGTAACCATGATTCAACTGAAACTGCAGATGTATAGGTTTGGCTTTTTCCCCAGGCATTCTAATTATAACAATAGAATAACATACTATTAATCCATCCAAGCCAATTCTATTGTATTTTCAACTGTAATAGATAGTCCTCGTTTGCGGTCAAGAGAAGTTAGCTCACTGGCAAAAGGTTGCACTTATTTGGCGATCTTTGACATCAAATGTAAACATGGCAGTCGAGAATAGGGTTTGTTTTTTTAATCAAATGTACGCATTTTAAATTATAAATATGTATCTGCATATGAATTGATACTTACTCTATAATTTTATAGATTTTAGTTATATCTCATGCAGGTTCTGCGTCAAAATTACGTGTTCATGAATTGTTAAGGTGTGTTATATGGCAACAATTTAAACCAAATGACAGTGTTTCTTAAAATACGCCAGATAGGATTGTTAATAAATGCACCAATTTAATTCTACGTTTCAGGATCCGAACAAAGCAAGTTAAACAATCCTATCTGCTGAAATACGGACCAGTTGTCAATGGTATTTATTACCTTACACTATATATAAATAAATGTAATTTGGTTGATTAACAATATATATAAATGTTGTCCGATATATATAATCTGTCTCGTCTCGTATAATTTGTCTCGTCTACACACTATGGGCTACATTTTCTTTAATTTCATATTTCATTGTATCCAATGGCATTGTCTTAAGACCTGACTCGTTTTTCTATAGATATATCTTGGACACAAACAATTACCAAAATGGCTGTGTCAGTGATAAAGTTAGAAATCTTGCTTGTTCCTTCTAACTTCCAGGTAAATTTTGTCATCAATTGCAAATAGCAAAAAGGAATTATATCATGAAATTTCTGTATTTAGGTAAAACTTGATGTTACAGAAAGCAATGATGTCCCCCCCAGCTGTCGCCAAGCTTTGTTTGTGTTGTACAATTGCGCAAGACTTGCGAAGATATTAGAAAAATATCAATATGAAATTGACCAAGGTAAATTTTACCTTCGTAGATATTTTGATCTCACAATAGTTTTTTTAGTACGATTTGTATATCAATTGCCATTTTCACGTGTGTAGGAACGTATCCTCCGCTACCTCATGTAAAAGACATTGATTTTTCCCTACTAAAAGATCAAGTAAGTTCTATCTAGAACGATTTACTAGTTTGGACAAATAGAGTAAGACGTCATAAAATGTTAATTTGCGTTGTTTATTGGTAAAGATTGAATGGGAACTTGTGTTGAAATATGTGGCAAATTATCCGATAATTGTGAACAATGTGGCCTCATCAGTTAAGAATCCGTCTGGATTGATAAGGTGTACTTCGAGCAAGGCAAGCCATTGCTAATAATTTTACACTGAGTTCTATGGAACACGTTATAAAGTTCACTCGTATGTATCACGTTGTTTCATATATTTTTTTCACTTCTTTCAGATTCCACAGTTTCTAGTTTCCTTAAGTCAAGCTATCAGCTCGTACTACAGCCGCGTGCGCATTTTAGTGGTAAGAAATCTTCTTAATCTAAGAATTTGTAACTAGATTAGAAAACACCTGAGTGAGGAATCAATGAGTGAGAGGAATCAATGAATGAGAGGAATCAATGCGTGAGAGAAATCAATAAATGAGGAATCAATGAATGAGAGGAATCAATGAGTGAGAGGAATCAATGAATGAGAGGAATCAATGAATGAGAGGAATCAATGAATGAGAGGAATCAATGAATGAGAGGAATCAATGAATGAGGAATAAATGAGTGAGGAATCAATGAGTGAGAGGAATCAATGAATGAGGAATAAATGAGTGAGAGGAATCAATGAATGAGAGGAATCAATGAGTGAGAGGAGTCAATGAATGAGAGGAATCAATGAATGAGAGGAATCAATGAATGAGAGGAATCAATGAGTGAGAGGAATCAATGAGTGAGGAATCAATGAAACAGAGGAATCAATGAATGAAAGGAATCAATGAATGAGAGGAATCAATGAGTGAGAAGAATCAATGAGTGAGGAATCAATGAGTGAGAAGAATCAATGAATGAGAGGAATCAATGAATGAGAGGAATCATTGAATGAGAGGAATCAATGAGTGAGAGGAATCAATGAATGAGAGGAATCAATGAGTGAGAGGAATCAATGAATGAGAGGAATCAATGAATGAGAGGAATCAATGAGTGAGAGGAATCAATGAATGAGAAGAATCAATAAGTGAGAGGAATCAATGAATGAGAAGAATCAATGAATGAGAGGAATCAATGAGTGAGAGGAATCAATGAATGAGAGGAATCAATGAGTGAGAGGAATCAATTAGTGAGAGGAATCAATGAGATAGATAATCTGTTTAATAAAATCATCTAGCAGCCATAGGGCTGAATTGCATGATTATGTATACAAAAATATTTGAACAACTATTTACAAGATTATTAAACGTCATAGGTTTTACAATAACAATTAGTACATACAACTTTAATCACGAACTTTTATTGTCTTTTAGAAACCACAGGAACACTTGTATCCAGTGATTTTCGCTAAGCTGTACCTCATTAAATCTTTACACCAGGTAAATGTAAATTATGCGTTCCTTACTAACACATAGTATAAAAAAATCAGTTAAAATCAAGGCTGGAAAAAACAGTACTATAACAAAATGAAAGAGTACTGGATTGACGAACTACTTTAGAAACAAGGCCTCTATTATAGCATTATTCTAATCGATTCCTAATCGAATAGTAGCTAATCGATTCCTTTGAACGCCAAGGGCTTTGCCCAATGGTTGGTGGTCGAACATTAATACTTTGTCCTAGACCCCTAGGTCAGTAATCATTCATAATACCCTGTATGTTATATACAGAATATTACATACACTCAATTGTGCGTGGTTACAACTGCTTTGACTTTTCAAAGGTGAACTTCATATAGTTGGAAATCGCGTGGCTTTGGCAGGTGTATTAGAATATTGTTCATTGTTTTTAGAAACTTTGCAGTATTGTGATGAGTGGCCAAAATTCAAACGAGTCAGTCAGGCAGTCATAGTGTAAACTTTCCGGGGGGTGAACTTGATATGTGTTTATAGCGATTTTTTGTGCATGGTCAGAAGATTGAGGTTTTTTAATCAATTTACTTGTCTTATTTAACAATTCTTTGGTCCTTTTGCCAAGTTCACAGAAAAGACTCAAGGAATCTATATCGTTCCTGTGAGTTTTACGAAATTGTTCTTCTGTGGTAATGGTTTTGTTTAAAAGGAATTTACCCCTAGAACACCCGATTTTAAAAGATATTACCCCCGGAACATCGCAAATGCGCATGTGCGCCTTGATCAATATTCCTATTGTCCTCTTCACGGACGAGTGTATAGAGAAGAATTGAGACGGCAACAAGGAGTAATATTGGAGTTTTGTTGACAACACATAACTCTTTCGATAGTCGAGGCAAATACTCTTGTACAAAATGCAGTTATATCTGTTGTAAAGTAGTCTGCAGAAAATAAACTTCAACTGAATGCCAAGAAATGTAAAGAACCGACCCTTTACTAGTGAATGGCAACCCACTTAGTGTCGTCAAACACCAAATGATCTTAAGTTTATACATGTCAACATGCTCAAACATTTTTTATTGACTTCTTTTAATAGATTTTTTATGCTCACCAACACTATCATAAATACCGGGTGTGACCTAAAACCTTTGTTATTAAGTTTAACAACTTCATAGGAACTTATTTAGCTATAATTAAACTTATAATTTTATTCATATTTTACTAAATGAATTTTAGGTAATGGAGAATGCTTTGCATTTATTGAACATAGACGCGATAGATCAAATGTGAAAACTGGCAAGATTGAAATGGAATTTCACAAACACCATGTTAGAACAATAATTCGAAAACAGGCAAGAATTTTTCAGAGTATTGGTATCGTATATATTGATATAATAATGATTTTCATTCGATCATGATTTCTTTATTTATTTAATACTTATTTATATTTATTTCACCTAAGCCACGACTACGTTTGTATATATATTATCATTTTGCGATAACAGTAGATGTTTTGAGTTTGTTAGATCATTTATGAAAATTCGCGCAAGTGTATTTATTTCTTCTGCTATTCGTGGTCGTTCGCGAAATTTGCGCAAACTTCCAGTTTGCTTCACTATAGTCCCCCTGGTATACATCAGTCATCAAAAAACAAAATTGTTTCGAGTTTCGACCAAGGGTATATGTAGTTTATAAATAAAATCCCAGCTTATTTATATTATACTCCCGTCTTTATAGCCGGACTCATTAATAGACATTAGAGCAGGAGAGAATTTGATTATCTTAATACACACATATATTAATTATATATATATATATATATATATATATAATATATATATATATATAATATTATATATATTATATATATATATATATATATATATATATATATATATATATATATAATATCATATAAGATATAATCAGGTTTCTTTTCTATAATAAAGCTATTGCTGGTCATTAAACATAATTAAACATATAAACGATAATGCTTTCCAGTGCGAGGACCCGCTTTATTATTACCATGCAACAACTATTAAATCACTAGAACGAATCAAAAACTGACAGCAGAAATGTGTAAAGATTGCAAATTGGAATAATGTTTAAAGTGTAAAGCATTAAAATCGCTAAAGTTCATCTTTCGCTGCAAGAGCTTTTCTTGTTTCACGAGCGATATCGTCGGGTACTGTGAAGGTAATCAGAGGGCATTTGCCAGCGATGTTTTGACAAAACAGTTTTTCAAGACTTGCTGTTTTTACAATATCAAAACCAACTTCCCCACCAAATGTAGAGTGTTTCCAGTAAGATGGACTAGACACAGGATTGGAGAGTAATCCTCGCAGTGAGTACGGAGCTCCAAAAGCGATCATAGTTGATCATAGTTATACCAAAAGGAGAGGTAGCTAAGCTCTTCTCAAGGAAGAAACCAACATAAAGATCAACAGCGTTGACATCACCGTACGTCTCTTGCAACTCAGCAGCCATCTCGGGATCACCTAAGATTGATACGTTCGCAATTTCTAATATTAATAACTTAAACAGGCTATACTTAGACAAACCTATGACGTAAGTGTGTCGTTTTTTGTGTCAAAACACGTGCGTCGTTTTTGAAGCTGCTTTTTTTTTGCTTCGTGATCATTTCGAGCTGTAGTTGAGCATCAAGAGAGTATAGAATAGACTGACTCAGTTCTTCAAAGCCGCACATCACTTACCAGTCATTTCCTCGAAGGACTTGTATGGTTCCAATGCAAAATGTTGACGATATTGGTTGAATGACTGCATTCTTAGTCGACGTTGATGCTTTATAACTTCAACACCAACTTCTAATGTATACTTGCCATGATTATGATGTGACATCTAAAAATATTTATCAATAATATTGCTAATCAACTTCTTTGTATGTCCGTTGACTTAAAACTATCATGTGTATAGCAAGTGTGTATCTGGGTATCCTTTGCAAGGCCATAATTTAAGCAATTGCCCACCTGATCAACGCTTTTATGTTCACGTTTTAGGAAGGGCAACTTTGCCTTCAGTTGTATATTAATAAAAAATTGTCGCATGATTACCTTTCCACATAAGCCTCTAGACATTGAATCTACAAAGGACTTCATCCCATGTTTGATTACGATCTCTGGATGATACATAAATTCGTCTATAGTGTAAGTTGAGCCATCGATGATGAACTCATCCGGGCTAAAAGGATGCCAATGATACATATGATTGAATTCCAGGTGTATTCGATTGTCGTAGTCATAGCCTTTGTCAAACAGCAATTCTGGGTTGTATTTAAGTTTTAAGTTATAATTAGCCAAATGGTTGACGTAATCTTCGATCACAATTTTGATCAATTCACCTATAAACAAACATGGTATATGTTGTTATGTCAGGTGACAATTTATTGAATTTAAACGTTTCAAATCTGGAAAATAGTATCAATGCTGGTCTAGCAAATCTTAATGATTTGACTGGCTAACAGCTAACCTTTTTTGTCTTATTAAGGAGCGAATTTATGATTAATAGCTCTGCACAAAGTATTGCTAAATTTACGAAACAATGTACGAGAGGAGAATACAATGTGAGCCTGTGAGAAAAGAGTTAATAATCTTAATAGATATTTTAACATGCATATATTTTTAATTACACGTTACACACTTAGCCTCTTCTTGCGATCTGAGGATCACATATTTTGGATCTCAATTTTTGATCCGAACGCTACGAGTAGTCTTATAGTGATGAGTGAAAGCGTTTTGTGAAGTTTGAAAATTGCAGCACAACTGAATTTCTGGGCTTCCTTTTATCTTACCAGTGATGATGAGTTTGCCAGTTTGGTAAAGTCTTTCATCTTCCCAATATGGATGTTCCTTCATCAGGATAGTACAAACGCGATTGTGTTCTCTGATCCAAATTGTAGCATACATGAACAATCCCGGCAGCATGCTGTAGAAAGGATGACCAAGGGCAAACTTTTGATCTTCCGGTGTATCGGGTGGGTATTGCATCGTAAAGTTGCTCACATCTTTTAAATATGGCGGCCACTCTTCATCATTTATCATCTGTAAGAAAAACGTACTGGTTCCTTTCATACTACAAAATGTAGAAAAACCTATGCATCTAGAAGAACCTTAAAAAGATAAGGTGTTGCAAATACTACAATCGTACTAGGTTTTAATAGGCGTAGATAAACACTGTACTGATACATGCGCATATTCATGCTCACAATTCTGCGTATGAAAACCTGCTTTCGAAATTTACGTGAAAATGTCAAAATAGTTGTTGTAATATGCTTTTTTGTGGCATGTGCAGTATTTAACGATAGCCGAGCTAAATAGGTGAGCGTTAGATCATATTAACCTACGCATATTTGGGCAACATGTATTTTTTTGAGGGAGCTATAATCTTTATAAAGACTCGTGGCATAATGCAAAATTATGAGATAAAATTGTATATGGATTTTATCTGAAAGAAGCTTAGTCGCTCTGCAGGTGTAGGACTCGAATCCCAAACTTTATACTAGTCCACAACGCTCTACCATGCAGTCGTGCAGTTCAAGAAACGTAGACTTGTTAAGACTGAGTGTCTGGCAAAATCGTGAGCGCAAGAGCTCTTCACGACGCCGGTCTTTAATTTTAAGCCTTAAACTTTAATCTACAAATAAGTCTGTCGAAACTAAAAATATACTATTAAAGTGTCACAAAATGGCGGATATTCTTCATCGTGAGAAAGGTTAATAGACCTTATGCATAATGACGTATCAAGCAGTGACGCCTGCAGGGAATTCTGGTTTTAGGCTTTTAGTAGTCACGGCGAAAAATTCAAACTTTAAAATTTCGGAGATCGCTAGATAGTATACTCCAAAATAAGGTTTCCGCGCGGAGGTCTGGAAATGAGTTTGTCAAAATTGTCAATATCTTCGGAAATTAACGAAAGCAGCAGCAAAAAGGGCGATCGTGATATATTATGTGTGATTTTTATATACGAGCGAAGACTACGTGGTTCAAGTTCCCTTTAAACTGGAACTGGGTTTTTTATACGTCTCCCGCTTAGTATTTCAGGCAAGAAAGTGTTTAGTTGTTAGTATATGTTACAACTACAGTCTACTGTGATTGTTTTGTTTAAACGAAATTTTTACAACAATGACAATGTGCATAATACAGTCTATATAAATGTAGATATGTATAAACAGCTATTGAAATAGGGTGTAGAAATTGGTGTAGAAAGAAAAACTCAACACTAAATATTCATGATATTCGCTTTTATTCAATATGAAAAGATCGTAAATATCAAAGAATATATATATATATATATATATATATATATATATATATATATAATTATATATATATATATAGTTTTAAAATATATTACATTTATAAGTTATACCATTATATAAAATTAAGTTAAACATTACATAACTTATGGGGCATCCACCCTCTGGTATGAATTATGAACAATATCATGATTAAAAAATACAGCCCCTAGCAGATTGTCAATAGCTTTAACAAGTTAGCCTTAGGTTAACAGGTTCACCCTAAAATATACCTCTAATATATGGAAAGCAAACACTGCCATTTATATTTGTGAAGATGTTCTATCAACATTTCATCAGGATTGATCTTTCTCGAATATGACATGGCTGATTCTTTATATCATGTGGAAACATGGTTAGTTCTTGTTGCTCCAAACATTGTTGTAGGTGTTGACGCATCTCACTTTGTTTAAAGGTGATTGCTCCAGGATATATCCCTTTAGCAAGAGCTAGTGCATTTGCTATTGCAAACAAACCACAGTCAACAAAACCTGCTTGCTTTTGACAGCACCTTAGTTTCACTTGCAGAAGACCACCTTTTGCCAGACTCTTGTACATATATACCAACTGCTGACTTAAAGGGCGTGTCATTCCAGGATAAAGGGAATCGTAGACAATCACTGACTGGCCACTTGATTGTGATACAAGCCAATGTCCAGGAAGGTTATGGATCTGAATTGCATTCAACATTGATGTTATTGGATCCTCCCTGGTGAGTTTGCTTGATACTATCAAGGTATCTATTAAGCCATCTACTTTGGTGAATTGGTTTTTCAATAGAATCTGGACTGCATTGATGTGATTATCATTTAGAAGGTTGCCTGAAGTCAGTTCATGTTTATCAGCCTGATACAAATTCAAACTAGGCAAACATACCCAGAGCTTTCTTTCTAGATGAAAACAGGACTTCTTACTGGGTGAGCTGAGATCAACTACATCTGGCTTTGTAGAGCATCTCTTCTTTGGTCTATCTGAGGCAAGTGGCACATGCACTTTGAAATTTTTCTTCATTACTTCAGCATGCTTCCCAACTCGGCCTGTGTAGGGGTGTTTTGGGTGACCATATTTTCTGGTTGTTAATGTTTTTATCTTTCCCTTTTTCTTTTGACCATTTTTTTGATGTGTTTTCTCCCTCTTGTGGTTACTGGATTTTTCTTAACTTGGGTTTTTTTTATGATAATTCCTGCTTCCTGGGGTGCTGTACTCTTCGTGCCTTCTCTAAAATCCCCTCCAACTCACTGGCAAGACTGGAAAGTTGTTGTTTGTCATCCATTAGAAATGTAAGGTTTGAAAGTTCCTTCATCAAATTGCGGCACTTGAGACGAAGAGCATTTTTGCCACTTGTTCTTTTAGGTGGAAGTGATTTATAATCTTTATTGACCAGTTCAGGGGGTGAAGGTGGTATGAAATCATCATTGTCTCTTTTTTCTGTTGGAGGTTGATCATTGGTTACATTTCCTTGCTGTTTAACAATGTGTTTATTTTCAGGATAACTGTTATCTGGTGGAACAATTTTCTGATCTAATGAAAACAGTGGATTTCCTATGTATTTGGCACTCAGGTTTTCCCATCTCCATTCTGGAAAAGCTTTCATGCAAGCACAAAAGTGTTTGCAAAGAAGCTTGTTGTGTCTCCAGTCCAAGCATGTGCAGTTTGGGAGAGTTTCTTCATCACCAAAGAATAATCTGTATATGTTCCCTCCTGTTGAACTCTTTACATCAAAGACCCCAGGAGACACCATTTGGACCATGTCATTTGTGATGTCACTTTCCCAGCGCTTTATTATATGAGATACCATTTTTGCTGGTCTATTGTGCAAAAATTTGGGAAGATCCTTATGGTATGCACGATAACCATCATGGCATTTCACATTTAACTCAACATACCTATATGGTAAAAAATACAACAATTCTTTACATACTTCACATTTGTGAAATTTAAACAATATTCCTGAGAAATTCCATTAGTGCTGCAATTTTACAAGTAGGCAACTCTTACTTTCTGAACGTTTTTGGAAGAAACTGATCCACAAGGACTTTTAGCATGTCTGTTAAAGAGCATCCTTTGTTCCCAAGCAGATATTCATATTTAAATGCCTTATTTTGTCTCTCAATCCCATTGTTTGTGTTGACTGCACAAATAAAATCTTCAGCCCGGTATGCTTGGCACCATCTCTGAAAATCAAAATTTATGGTTTTTAGTATTTCTCATGTTTGCTGGTTTGACAAGCACTATTAAATAGTTCAGTCATTAGTCATTGATTGACTGGACTTTCTAAGCTTTCCTATAATATGTTGGCTTTGTACCTTTATGTTTGGCAGCCACTTGTTACCAAACCAATTCCTTAGTTTCGGATTACTTTTCCAAAGTCTGCTCTCAGTAAGGCATGTGGTTGATTTTCGACACTCTTCAGATGTGGCTGCATGTGCGATGCTCCGTAATAGATTTAGCAGATGTTGTTTGTCATGAGCAACACCATTGTCTAATTTAGATGTCCATTCTTGCCATGACTTCTCCCGATGAAAATCACAAAGAAGTACTTCTGCATCTGAATAATATAAATGACATTGAGGTGCATCAGGTATATCTACAAGCAGATGTAAGGTATCTGTTCAATTCCGAAATTGGTTTTGAACAGCTGTTTATCTGTTTTTCCTTACCTTCAAAGACTGTTTCGAGAGCTTGAATTTCTTCCTCAGCAAAATCTACCATAAAACGCGAAGGGGTCCATGTGTTAATATTCCACTCCTTGAAAACCATTATAGGCCGTAGGATGAGCATCCAAAAGATGCAATTCCGTTGCACCCCTCGTGAAACTACATAATTTTCACATGAATCAATAGATAAAAACTTACTTTATCAGATTCCGTCGCTCCCCAAGTGAAACAGGTGCACAAATGGGAAAAAAATCCCTCCAAAGTTTGCTATATTCGCGCTTCGAAATATTCGAACCGCCATTGTTTTAGTAGCAAATACGCATGCGCTTGTCAGCCAAACTCGCACTGCGCACGCGCAGACAGGAAAAATGGATTTTCCCTGTGGGTTTTCCCCGATTTCCCGTGTAAAAATAACAAAATAGAATCACGGAATAAAGATCAAACCTTGTAATATTAACGAATAAATACACACACAATAAATATTGTTAAAACACATTGTACATTTTGCTTGCTCATATGCTAAATCACTTCAATTTATTGGCTATTGTTTCAAAATACCGTTTTAACGTATAATTCTACTTATTAACATCTTAATTCAATAAAAATTTGTGAGGTAAAAAACCCACCTGTATCAAACAGGACGGAGAATATATAAATATACATACAACTCACACAATCAAGAAACAAGTTAAATATTTCGCTTAAATATAGCCTTGGCCAAACGCAGCAAGAAACATTGTCGCGAAAATATTCGTGATTTTCAATGTTTGCTCCAATGTTTCCCTGTCTCCCACATCTGGAAACATTGGCTTTTAATGCAGAAACAAAATTTGCTTCTCGAAAAGCAAAAATATTTCCTATTGCACTGCTCCTACCAACATATCTACATAGACAGAATGCAAGGTCTTTCTTCTTAGCATCAATCTGAGGTAATATATGATGTTCTTCCTCAATTTCCTTATTTTGCATGGCATCATTTAAATTAACAGTTTTTCTTTTTCCAAGAAAATAAGGATTTATCTCCTTTGATGGTGCTGGGAGGGATCTTGACCTTGGAATGCTATCCCGTCTCTATAACTCAGTACTTGCACTTTGTTCCCTTTGAATGATAATGCCCCCAGTGATGTGAGTTGTCCCTTTGCCAGATCTAGTTTCTTCTGAGAAATCATCATTATCCCATGCAAGAGTAGTTGGAACATCACTAACAAAGCCTGGAGGAATAGCAGAATCATTGGATATATTCATCTGTGCAAGGGCAGTTTCATGGCACAATACAAATGAGTGTGACATGCAATGTCCAAAGCCACTCAATAGAGAAATTACTGAGGCTGAACCTGTCAGTTGTCTAAGTGCCATGGCAAGTGCTATGCTCTTAGGTGTAGGATTCCTTCCCCCAGATGCTAAATTCACAAGGTCTTGTACAATTGATGTTAGTTTGGAACTGTTCTTGCCCTCAATTGGCACGTACTCACTTAAAGTTGGCTCTGAAGAGAATCCACAAGTCCAAGCCAATACATTAAAAAGTTCACATGGAACCACTTTTTGCACATTATCCATTGTCAAATCAGATGCCAATGGTGGCCAAGGAAGATCTTTCCCCTGGATTTGCATGAGTATCCGTTCATCATTCTTTCTCTCGGCAGCTGTATGTAGAAGACCAGCATCAATTGTTTCTGCCAACATGAGTGGGGTTCTTCTTCTCTTCTTAGTCACCTGGTGTGAACAAAACTATTAAACTAAATATCTGCTAATAACACAGTTGGATGTTTGCAGCATTAGAAACTACTTTACCCTAAGCCTAAATAAACTTAATTGACCACAATTCAAGATATTTTAAAACCAAACTCGAGAATGCTGTGCTACTAGTGCACATTGCACTAGCTACTAGTGCACATTGCACTAATATAATTATATCTATCAAAATGACCATACCTTGTCTAGTGAGAACCAAGAGGAATCTCTTCCACAAACAATACATATCTCTGGAAGTACATGCTCGTTTCTTTTAGGCAGGGTCTTATTAACGTCTGCGACTGATTGTCGTGTAATTTTTCGCCTTGGTTCCATTGGTTCCACTTTCACATGTAGTCCTTCGGTAGGAGTTACAGTTTCAGAGCTAGTGCCTTCTCCTTTTTCTTCCTTTCGCTTTTGTCTACGGATCTTCTCTTCATCACAAAATCTCTTCCAGCATTTCATATGATGGTACCATTCTAAGTTAATGCTGTCAGGGTTCTTCTCCATGTATGAATTGACAGATCCGTCATCGATGTTTTCGTAAGATTTCTTAGCTATTTCAGCTTGTTGACATTTAAGTTTGGCCCATTTGGACCTACACTCAAGAAATTTCTTAAGCCTTTGGCGTGTAACTTTGCAAAGTTGCTCCGTAACGCCATCAAAATGAATAAAACATGAGGATATTCGAGTGTTATAAATATCTTCAGCCATGATTATTTTGCATAACTCGAAGCATGTGCGTGCTTATGCGCGTGCGCAGTGCGAGTTTGGCTGACAAGCGCATGCGCATTTGCTACTACAACAATGGCGATTTGAATATTTCGAAGCGCGAATATAGCAAACTTTGGAGGGATTGTTTTCCCAATTGTGCACCTGTTTCGCTTGGGGAGCGACGGATTCTGATAAAGTAAGTTTTTATCTATTGATTCATGTGAAAATTATGTAGTTTCACGAGGGGTGCAACGGAATCCGTTTTCTAAGCATCTTTTGGATGCTCATCCTACGGCCTATTAATGCTTCCTTTATACATTGTGTGTTCTCGTACTGTATGACAAATGAGCCGACAACTTCATAACAAACATTCGTTCTTACACACAGGAAGTACAATGGAAGGTCATATTTTGTTGTTCTGTAGGTTGCATCCAGCAGACACATTTGGTTACCATACTTTGCGAGGAGATGTCGTTGATCACTGGTCTGATGACAGAACAGTAATGTTTGGGTGGAGTATTCGTCGGAGGTGACGCAGTCATCTTCATCCTGAACACAATCATCTGGTACTGGCTTAGCACAATGGGGACGATAGAGAAATGAGTCTTCTGGATGCTCATTCTTCCATTTTTCGACCAGTCTCTTCAAATTTTCTTGGTCAATTGTGGAGAAATTGTCTGGTTTTCCTTTGTACAAATGATTATAAATGTCCTTGTTAGTAGGATAATATCGCCTACTAGTTTTGTCTGGCGGTTTACATCCCTTGAAGAGGTCACATTGCACGAAAAGCTCGAGGTACCTGCGTGCCTCACTTACTGAGTGGACACCTTCTTGGGCTAGCTCTGAAAGTTTTTCCACTATAACCGGGTCCAGTGGCTCTCTTATTCCAGCAGCCTGTAATATAAAAAATAACCATTACATTAATAATTTTAACAATCGCGCGTGTTTTATAAGTAAATTACAGTACTTTTAAATTCTAATATGTGCCAATCCTGTCGCAATGTTATGTAGGTTTATATATTTTCGGTTTTTGTGGCAATAAAATTTTACCTTTCCCATTATGTGATATTTATGTTCAGATACAGGTGGTAACTTCACGATATAATTCATTTGAACGTCGGCAGCTGCGATTGTGCTTGCCGTCAACCCTTCGTGCAATATCTTTGCTGCTCTTCGTCTGAAGAATAAGCTGTCTTTTTCAATCTAAAGCGTACATTTAAAGAGTGCATTATGGCATCCAGTGGTTATAAGTGATTATAATTATTTTATCTTTTACGGCCTAAGTAATAGTATAAATTCGGACCTTCATATTTGGAAATTTTGCAATTTGAGTGATGAATATTGCAGCTGGGCATTGCTTCTTTTTTGACGTTTGAGCAAAGGTTCTTTTTTAGAACTATAACAGTGGTCAGCATTCTGTAAGTGTGTAAAAATAAATTTTCTCAAAGGTGGTAACACAGTTTACCTACACAACGTTAATTATAAATTAGCTTATATATCCATTCAGTTTTGAAATGTTACCTGGCACTCCTGAGCTTTCTCCTTATTTTTTTGTTTAGCCTTTTCATTCTTATCTTTTCCTTGATGGCACCACATCACTTTCTCCCCAACGTGTACAAACGGTATTCCGTCGTATAAAATGCTTGGTCCTTGCTGATTCCCATCCTTTCTCTCCCAGTAGACCTTACGTTTATCTTTTCTTAGTTCTAAACATATCAACTACACGTTCCTGCCCGGGAAATATATTTTTACCACACCTTTACTTCATTTTCATACGTATGTTTACCCCCTCGTAATAACGTTTTGGCTACAAGTTTACCCCCAGGGTCACACAGAGAATTTTAGGGGTCCCAATTCCATAGCAAAAACGCCAAAAAAATAGCAGTTAAAAAAATACCAAAAAAGCTTTTATTTGTGGGTATTTCGTACCAAACGCTTAAATGGTGCTCTCGGCGTTTTATTTTTGGTGTATATTTTCACTCTGAAGGGGCATCACCCCTTGTATTTTTACCTGACCTGCCAAAAACACCAAACTTATCATGATAACTTTTGGAAAGGGACTTTAAGAGAGCTATATACTCCTGTGGTATTCTGCCCCCCCTTAAGCAGCCTTTGTATACACCTCCACCTCCTTCCTTTATCCGGCCTGTTTCACGATAGAACAGCTTTTTAAAATGCGTATAATCTACGTACTTTTAAAGCTTAGCTTACCGTTTGATCCAAAGCTTTTGTCGCTGTAATAGACGATGAATTTGCTGCTCGTCTCCACCTCGTATTTTTTAATGAGCGCCTTTACATCGGACTCGCTATGTACAACAGCCGTGTTTTGAACGCTAGTGTCCTCCGAATATTCAAAGGACGACATGCTTTTCGCGCAAATATATTTACATATCAAGGAACGATATTTGCTATGAATATTTATACTCGTGGTAAGTTCCCGCAAAATTTAAAAATCGCGCGACAAAAAAAAGGATCATCCAGAAGTATATTGTCCTTCGTAAGTTGTTCGCCGTCATTTCACGAAGATTTTGACAAACTCATTTCCAGACCTCCGCGCGGAAACCTTATTTTAAAGTATACTATCTAGCGATCTCCTTTAAAATTTCCCGCCGTGACTCAGTGAGCTCCACATATATCTGGAGTAAGAACTTAAGACTTCCGTGAGGCCAAAAAGTGAAGCCAAAGATGGCGGATATTGAGGCGCTATAGTACGTCAGTTAACGTCAGTTTCAGTCTTCCTATGTGTGCGCGGTCAACTAAATTCGTATTTTTTATCTTTATTTTTTCATATTTTTGAGTAAAAAATGAGGGGAATTTCAATGAAAAGTATAATATTAATGCTTTGTATTGAGATACTTTTATATTTCAATTAAATTAAGTTAATTAACAAATAAATAAGCGATATCTTACAAAGAAAGCTAAGGAGTGGCTGCGGATTGTTGATGTTTTCGGCTTTTCGCAAATCACAACATTTTCCCATAGAATAATCAATATGCTTCCCAAAAAAACATGAATAAAACTTTTCTCAGTTTAATTCATCTATATGAGGCTTTCATTCATGTAAAAAAAAAATAGGAACTGAAAACTATGCTGAAAAACGTACGAGTTTGAAATAATATTAATATATGATTAAATTTATAAACAAGACTCATAATGCACGTATAAAAGAACCTTAAAAAGAGCCCTATGCTAGGAAAGCTGGCCAAAAAATAAAGGAAAACTAGTGTTAAAGCGTTTCGAAACAAACAACGAAACAAGAAACTCAAAACATAAGTTGGAAATACATGAAAATAACTCAAAATTAAACAAATCTGAAATGCGTAGTTGAATTTATGGCGAAAAATGCATATTTACTCACACGTACAGTTGGAAAATGCGGCACCCACATCGGGTAGATGCAGAGAAACAGATTGTCAGTAAAATGAGTCAATTTTTTCCATTCTTGTGGTCTCAAAATGATGAAAAACACGAAAATCTGAGGGTTTCGGGAACGTCACTCCCGGTCAAAAACAATGAGAAATATTTGGCCGCGCGAGTTAGGAGACTGAAACTGACGTACTATAGCGCTTCAATTTCCGCCATCTTTGGCTTCACTTTTTGCACCCAAAGTTCTTACTCCAGATATATGTGGAGCTCACTGGTTTGACCTACGGACTTTAAATATCATGCATTATTTACATAATTATACAGGGTGAGTCAGAAAAAAGTCCCCTCTATTGAAATCAAGCCTTTGTTAGAATCTGATTGCCTTAATATTATGATAAACCCAATTGAAAGCAAGACGCTTTATTTGAATGCCTCAACCTAATAACTATGCTATTTACACACTACTGCGTTGATCATGCATTCAAATCAACAAAGGCTTCATTTCAATAGGGGGGACTTTTTTTTGACTCACCCTGTATATAGTTGTAACTGTACCAGCAACTCCAAATGGCGTCGGACAATTCTTGGGTACAGGAGGCAGTGTCCTCGCGAAGTAAGATCTGTTGTAATGTGCTTCCATTGTTGGATATTCGTGATAACTTGTGTAGACATGTGGTACTGGTATAAAGTCAGTACGTGCTGTAAAAATAATACCTCTATACATTTAGTTAAAAAAGGTAAAATAACCTGCTGCATGGATAGAGATTCTCCAGCTAAACTACGTCAATATTTTTCTGTTTACACTATAATAACACTATATATGACCCACAATTTTAATAACAATCTTGTTTACCAGTTTTAGTCTTAGAACCAGTATATATATAAGTATAATATTTACACGCAGGCTTGGCGTTTGGCCGGATTTTTGGACCGATGAGAAATATTTTTCACTCAGCGGACCGCCCAAAACTTAATTCCAACGGGTTTTTTTGCCGAAGTCAACGTCCAGTCGTATTACAATTAGGGCTAGTTTAATTCCACTCAGGAAAATTCTCCTTTGGATCGGACAGGACAGGACAGGACAGGACATGACAGGACAGGACAGGACAGGACAGGACAGGACAGGACAGGACAGGACAGGACAGGACAGGACAGGACAGGACAGGACAGGACAGGACAGGACAGGACAGGACAGGACAGGACAGGACAGGACAGGACAGGATAGGACAGGACAGGACAGGAAAGCTTGCTTTGTATAAACGTCAACGACAAAGGAAATTTTCCTGTCCGTTCCGATCCAAAGGAGATTTTTCCTGAGTGGATGAACTAGCCTTCACTCGCAGGGGAATCTTAAAATGCCCTTAAGGGTTCACAAACGCACTCCTTGATAAATAGGCAATGTAGATGCATTTGTGGATAATATGATGTGATTGATGTCGGAACCTTCGAATGGCGGAACTACAATAAATTATAATATTGGCAAACTTTATCGTATGCTTGTATCCAACAATTTAAACGAGTTAAGCCCCGTACACACGGAAAGTTTTCCTGGACAAGTTTTATTTGCCCGTGCATGTGTACGGGAAAAAATTTCAAATATCTTGTCAGTGGCAAGAACATTGCACCGGCATCGCAAAAGCGCAGGTTCGATTCCTGCCGCAGGACCTATAGTTGACTCATTTTTCCATCAACTGTTCTTGGCCTGAATTTGAAGTGTGTATATTCCACTCGAATTTAAGACCCTTTAAAACTGCTATTCAGATAGTCGGCTAGTTTTGTCTTGTAAATAAATGTAGTAAGATAATACTATTAGATGCTCACAAAAGTATGCAGCCTTCATGACAGTATTTCGAATGAACGGAACATTGTTCACGATCCACCAAAACCAATTGAAGTGCGTAAGAATGAAATGTTTAGATTCTTCGCTCGGTGCGATCAATGAATAAAACCACGTCGACCAGTTTGCTACATGAAATAGAAATAATATAGAGTCAATTTTACGAGTCATGTCGAACAGCCAGTGGCTAATTGGCCAGTCTGACGATTATATAATAACTGATAAAATTGGATACGAGTACCATTTTTTGGCCGTGCCGTGACAATTATATCAGGAAACTAGATGAAAAGTACTCGGCTATCCCCTTACCTTTTACAGCTCTTGCCTTTATTTATATAGATGTATTTTTTGGTACAACTTAGTTTTGTAGCTTTAATAGCACAGTGCTTTTTAATATACCCTAATGCAATATTATGAGTTTGTAGTAACAATTGATAGGTAATTCATAAATAATTCCTAGGTTAAAAAAGCTCAATCAGTTTGATGATTTTCGGATAAAATCCAAATACAACGAACTTGTCGCTGTTTGTTTAACATTTTCGGTTTCAAGATTTTAATCTTTAGATGGTATTTGTTTTAATAGGTTATGACGCGCGGAAACCCTGACTAGAATTTCTTACGTTTTTCACAGTTAACTCCAAAATGTCCAGTTCTGGTACAGTCACAGGTGTATTCATCACCGTCATCAACGCATACTGCACCATTTTGGCATGGGAACGAGCAGCATGGATTAACTGAATGATTAGATAATTAAAAAATATTATTTCTGTAGATATAAAAAAAATTGCGCTTCAGATCGAATAATAACATTATAGCCGTTACATTAGTCATTAGTGAATATCATAGGAACGGTCGGGGGTGGGGTTACTCGGGCTACCGTAGGTAGAGCGAGTTGAAAAATTGGCTCGGTATCTCCTTTTACGTCGCGAGTTTACGAAAATCACGCGTGGGCGGCACGAAGTCTTCGAACGAATTGAAATCCTCTCTAGGATCCCTTCTCGCGTGGGTGTCACGACAGCTTTGACAACACGCCACTCTTAATATAACTGTAATTTTCACAACAAAAGTTAGGCGTTACAAGCTCAAGCGAGATAACTGTAGCATAAGTGAACGCTGCAGTTGAGTGTTTTTGCAATCATGTGTAGCCGTAGGTGAAGCGGCAAACATTTTCAAAATATTTAAGGATGTCTTCCTTCCTCCTTGTATTTAAATATATATATATATATTATAATATTAATATATATATATATATATATTTGTGCTTTTTTGCTCTTAATTGAGCCATGTTTCACTTGTGGATATATATATATATATATATATATATATATATATATATATATATATATACGTCATATATAAAATAGTGATGCAAGAGGATGATAAGCAACTCATTTATGTTTTTAATCTCGTGTATAGAATGCAGTCATATTTACGGCATGGTACTTTCTGTGTCAAGATGCATTCATCCAAGCGACTAATTATACGCATTCACTTACTTTATGAGTTGGACTTTGGTCACTTCCTCATATATATTTGTAATACCATGTCTTTTATGAATATTTTTGGGTGAATGCAAACTAATTTTATTGTCATCATGCATAAAAATGCTTGCTATGTGCCTATAATATGCAATGTTTTATTGATGAATCTGCCAAAGGTGGCTAGATTACTGAAAAAAGAAGCCAAACATTGTTGTAGTTGGCCCTTTGATTACTTTGTTTGAAACAAAGAAAACAACGATTATGGTAATAATGTTTCGCTAATTTATACAGTATTCTGGCAACCCAGAATCTGCCACTGTGGAAAGCGATAATTCATGATAATAACAAACGTGTTGTGCGATTATCGTGTTTGATCCACCAATCATGAAGCAGGTATATATACACGCCCATATGATAAATTATCATTCTCAACACTCGAAATAAATTCCATGTTTTATTGCATCCATGCATCCATATATTATTTTGTGGTTTTAAGGTGCCGAGGGGCAGTTGTATAAAAGGCTAGTTAACTTTCACTGTAGTTAAGGACAGAATTGGACAACGCAGGCGCCAAATTTTTGCCTTGCATAAAGAAATCTTTATATTAACTTATATGCTGGACGTCATCCAGCTAAGGGCCTAAGTGCTTCGTTTTTTACATAAGTTTAACAACTAAATACATCGAGAACTTTTAGTGTCATATGATATGAAAATTCATTATTTGCAAAGTAGACAAAAGTCTTTTGTCAAAAAAACTTCATGATTTGCAAACAGTTGCAAATTAATACAGGATTGAACTTATAACGAGAAAACATTCTTTACGATTCACTGAATCAGTTAATGCCGGATTCAAAGTGTAATGCCTAAAAAGCTTTTTAAGAACTGGTATGAGATTTATTTGAACGAAAGATTCACCACAATACAGATGCAAATAGAAAAACACGTGTGTGCATGTGATTGATACGTTGAAAACTGGGCCCAGCATCGCAGACGACTCTGGATAACATTTACTTTCCAGCATACATTATTGAGTTGGTACTTACCAGCGTCACACGCAACAGTATACAATGCCAAATATAAACCAAGCAAAACAACAAACTTGACTCCAATTTTGTTTTGCCCAACAACCATCTTCTTAACCCTTTCCTTCTTGTTTGCGCCTTATTACTCCTGCTGTGATTGGGCCTCAGATCTTTTCACCTTTTTATAAGACACGTAAGCACTAATATACCTTGGTGTGTCCCAGGATGCAACGGTATCTGTCAGGCTAATATTCAATGTTTTCACAACTTATTTGCATACGACTGTTCTCGTAGGAGGATAGGTATGACAAAAGAGAGACAAATAGTGTGTTTATACTATTTGACATGCACAATTAACTTAACGTTCATACTATTTTACAGGTCTGTTCAGATTAAAAGCAAAATATAACAAAAAAAGAAAAGTAATCAGCCCGTAATTTGGTCATGTTCCTGGACTGTTGATGATCGCTATTTTTTAACCGCTTCCAGGGATAAAAAAGTTTTTATTTATTAATTTGAAAAATCTGTGGAGTATAATCTGGAAGTGGAATCACCGCGAACACTTCGACTTAATAATCTTTATCGTGCATGAGAAGTAACAGCTTTCTATTTCTTTTTACAAGGTCGTAATTTGGGGGCAAGATGAAAAAAAAAGAAAGCTGGGCTCAATATGACCCTATTGGACGCCGGCGAAGCTGTAACAGCGGTTGCTGCGTCATGAAGTACTTCGTTTTTTCCGATGTTAACGTTTTCTCGATGTCACTAAGCAGTCATTTAGCACAGCATAGCTACTTATAAGAACATACCGAGTATAACTTAGTCGAAGGTGGTCAGCCCTTATTTGCGAATAGGAAATGCACAAACATATATTTATGAAAAGGTGGTTCCAGCTTTTTCTTTATCTTCTTGTATTCAGTTATCTTGTGGCGTTAGGAACGGAGTCCGGTGATATACGTTTGTATGAATGGAGTCTAGTATCCTGTCAATATAGCAGTTCTAAATTGTTATACGTCGTATTAATTTTACCTTTAGGGTTCGTATCCTTGCATGGTGGTATCATACAATATAGTTTTAGGTCATTACACCAACTCCTATGTAATCCGACTAGAGGATATTGATATTATTGTATCTTATTAACCTTTTATTCAGAATACTTCACACCGGGACCGTCACAAGAATTCGTTGGCCACCTGGCTGTACGGACCCGCTTTTTATTGCAAGCTCTTCAAGTTCAACTGATAATTGTGTCAGGATTTTTAAGGTCAAACTGTCAGGGAAGATACCAAATTGAAGTAATCTCACCCAGTGAGAAAAGGTCGAAAGGTTTCATATCGCAAGAGTCGACCGGCAGATAATGGAGAAAGACTTAAGAGTATCGTCTATTTTGATAGTGAGTCTGCGCCTTTTTGATCTGCATGCATACGCAATTATACGTTTATTCAATGGAAAATACTGGGATAGCACGGCTTACCAAACACCGAACCAACCAAGCAATATATAATAATATAAATATATATTAATCTAAAATATATATTAATACTAATAAGTATATATTAATCTAAAAAAACAATTTTGAGCTTCTATGCCCTCTTTCAGTATATGAGCAACCCGTGTGAATGGCCTAATTTCTCACTACATATAAAAGACAGACGAACTAGAAGACGAACTTGGGAAAGAAAAAGATAGTTCGTCTTCTAGTTCGTCTGTCTTTAAACCCGGACATCCCTCAACACAAGTTAGTTATCAACATAGTTCGTCTACTATTTAGACGAATTTGAATGGGTAGTTCGTCTAGACACATCATCCGTTGTTAGCATCAATACGGGAAAGGTTAAACTGCGGAAAATTTCGTCATAAAAGTTAACATTCACCGAAGGCGTTAAACGAAAGTGAAGTCTCATTACTGACGAAACAATCGTTAAAATGCAGTTTCCAATTGACACGGCTAAAATGGATACCGGTACCAATTCTACCTATGCTCGGTCTTTGTATTGGTAGCCTGAACACGGATAAAATTGGGTGCGGGAGTGTAGTGTAAACGGGGCTTAGAAAATGTTTACTTCTTTCCGACTTTTTTGGTATTTTGAACTCACGCTTAATTGTTATCATGAATTTGCCCTACATTAAATCATATTTTTAATTTTAAATCATTTTTGAGGCAAACAAACCGTTTTCTGATTATGTTTAATGAATATATTCAGTAGTTCTATTATTAAACAAACCAAAAAGAACGAACACACAAATTATCTGCCTGAATTTAAAACTGTGCGAATAAGTCTGAACAAGGAAGTAGGATTAGAAACACGAAATGAAATCGCATGTTTTTCTTCGCTCTTATTGTTCTTGCTAAGGCTCACCCCATGATGATGCTTTGCATCTCCCTAGTATATTTTACTATTCTGGACCTAATTCCCTGTAGGAGTAGCACGCCCGCTATAATAACTAAAATTCGCCGGAAATGTGAAACGCCCGCATCAAACGTCGAACTGGCAGCTATATTAAAAAAATTTAGATAATTTTAAATGCAAATTGGGAATTGACAATCTCTTGCATGCATGTGTACCTTATTTTGTCACGAATTTGCATGAAAATGAACGTAATAATTCCCAAAGGGCAAAACGGCAAACCGTTGTACACTAACTTCGCAATGCTCAAACAGCCAGGAGAAACAATATACAGGGTGTCCCAAAAAAACCGAAAACTATTGAAATCACTCATTGTTAAAATCTGAATGCCGTGTGCACGAATTTTAACCCGTGGGGATTTAATGCAACTCAGTGAAATGCTAAATGCTTTGTGTTGCTAGAGAAAGGGGACATGTCGAAGGTCATGGTGATTGAGATGCACATTTAAATATTGTCAATAAATATCATTTTCGCGTACGAGCAAATTTTACTGCATCATATGCATGCATAAAAATGCTTATGGCAAACATTTATACGCCTGTGGGTCCCAACAGAGTGCTTAGGCATTCAAACTCTAACAATTACATTGTTATGGGTGATTTCAATAGTTTTCGTTTTTTTTGGGACACCCTGTAGAGATAGAGTTAGAGAATGGAAATGTTTTAAACTTTTAAGCATTTCTAAATGTCTTTTTCGCCATTTATATTAATGTTGCGATCGCAGAACCATTTAACCACACTTCCAATGATCGCGAATAAACATGCTTGTTTCAACGGTGTTCAGTTAGTATTTTTCAAGCATATTTTAAACAAATTACTCCTGGCTGCAACATGTGCATACTTCCAAGGGCCGTACGCGCGTATTGAAAATTTGTTGTTTCCGAGAGTTAGAATTGCCTTTCACACTGGATGTTCGTAATCGGGTACTTCTGGTGCTGATTTGGCTTCGAATGTATCAGGAAGTCGCTGTTATCTGGCATGATAGAAACTCAGGAAAGTTGTCTTGCTGAAATCGGTTTTGTCTTTTTAGATTGTTGATGACGGCAATATTCTTCTAATTTTAGTTTGATCACGCAGTTATGAAGAGGAATGTAAGTTTGTTGTTGGGTTGTTTGTGTATAATTACTCTATATACTGCTTGAAACCGATTATTTTCGTCAACTATTACTATGCACCCGGCCACGTACAAACTGTAGGTTGTAATTGATCCGCCATATATTAAAACATGGTTATGACTCGTGGAAAAGTATACTGAGATTATGTAATGACTGCATGGTTTTACCAACTGGTTTTACCACATATATAAAACGAAAAGGCCATGTTCATTTTTTTGCCTAATTTATTCCGGGCAAACTTGGTTGGGGAAATTACATGATTTGGTGATTATCTATTGTTGTTTGTTTGAATGAATATTTTGTTTGTTTTTTCGTTGCGTAATATAATTTATTCAGGAAATTGAATTTGATAAGGAAGTTGTATTTATAAATACGCGTTTGATAACGACGGTATTTATTTCTGTTTCCAGAATTAAGGAATCGTGGTCGCTTTTGGACGTTTATGCCTCAATGCATGCAGGCAAGTACAAAAGTATGTTTCGGCATTTATATGAATGAGTGAAAAATGCGTCGGCTTTTTGGCTGCAATATACTGGACATTCTTCTGTTTATTTCCTCATTTCGAAATTTTCGGCTTGCGGTTTTCGCATGGATTTAGGTGGTCGTGTCAAGCAGAGTCTAGGGGCCCCATCACTTGGATTTTCTCCATCTTGAACGACAAAAAAAATCGCAAAAAAGAGAGCGGCTAAAACATGAAAATGCATGCATGAGAAATTGTATTTATTTGCAGGAGATAATAGTCGAGTGTTTTAGTCTTCTCAGCTCAGAGGATCACATTACAAATAAAGTAGTATTACTTTGTCATACTATAAAACGTGCATGCATGCATAATAATTTGTATTCACGTATGCAATGCTTTAAAAGAGTGGCTTTGCAGATGGTTGAAGGTGTCGTATATTTAATCCTACATATTTTATCATTGATAGCTTAATAGCATTTAATTCTCTGTTGGAAATGGAGGATATGCATGACGATATTTTTAGACATGATGATGATGAACGAACGTCCCAGGATGAGATGATGAACGAATGTCTCAGGATGAGATGATGAACGAATGTCGCAGGATGGGATGATGAACGAATGTCGCAGGATGGAATAATGAACGAATGTCGCAAAGTGGGATGATCAACGAATGTTGCAGGATGGGATGATCATCGCAGTATGAGATTATGAACTAATGTCGCAAGATGGGATGATGAACCAATTTTTCAGAATGGGATGATGAACGAATGTGGCAGGATGAGATCATTAACGAATGTCGCAGTATGAGATGATGAACGAACGTTGCGAGGTGGGATGATGAACGAATATCACAGGATGAGATGATGAACGAATGTCTCAGGATGAGATGATGAACGAATGTCGCAGGATGGGATGATGAACGAATGTCGCAAGATGAGATGATTAACGAAAGTCGCAGTCTGAGATGATGAACGAATGTTGCAGGATGAGATGATTAACGGAAGTCGCAGGATGAGATGATGAACGAATGTCGCAAGATGAGATGATTAACGAAAGTCGCAGGGTGAGATGATGAACGAATGTCTCAAGATGAGATGATGAACAAATGTCTAAGGATGGGATGATGAACGAATGTCTCACGATGAGATGATGAACGAATGTCGAAGAATGAGATGCTGAACGAATGTTGCCGGATGAGATGATGAACTAATGTCGCAGGATGGGATGATGAACCAATTTATCAGAATGAGATGAT